GGAAGGAAACCCTCTCTTTCCGGTTTTGTGACGACAAGGGCCGCTCAAAAATCGTTCAAGATTACTTCTGCGACGCGTTGGGGCATGGGTTTGAGCCATTTGGGTAAAAGTTAAAACAGAGCAATAAGCTATAAGAGAGAGAAACAAAAAAATCAAACCTTTAACATGTCTTTTGTCCTTTCCTCTGTTTTTTTTTGTCCTTTGGAAAAACGTTAAAAACAGAGCAATAACCGGTTCCTTTCTCTATACCGAACAGGTACAACCACTGTACCGTAACATTAGGAAGACTTATGTTGTTGTTGGTTTGTGGTTGCAGGAAGGTGTATCAAGAGTACTGTGAGGCAATGAGTTCTCTGTCACTGAAGATCATGGAGCTTTTGGGGCTAAGTTTAGGCGTGAACCGAGACTACTTTAGAGAGTTTTTCGAAGAAAATGATTCGATCATGAGACTAAATTACTACCCTCCATGTCAGAAGCCAGATCTTACATTAGGAACCGGACCTCATTGTGATCCAACTTCTCTTACCATTCTTCACCAAGACCATGTTAATGGCCTTCAAGTCTTTGTCGAAAATCAATGGCGCTCCATTCGTCCCAATCCCAAGGCCTTTGTGGTCAACATCGGCGATACTTTCATGGTAAACATCTTAATTTAAAACCCACTTACTTGTGTAGATATACACAACCATTGTCTAGGTCCTTGCATCTACTAAACCGGGCTTGATCTTGTTTTGTAGGCTCTGTCGAACAATAGATATAAGAGCTGCTTACACCGGGCGGTGGTGAACAGTGAGAGCGAGAGGAAATCACTTGCGTTCTTCTTGTGTCCGAAGAAAGACAGATTAGTGAAGCCACCAAGAGAGCTTTTAGACAGCAACACACCAAGGAGATACCCTGACTTCACATGGTCTATGTTACTTGAGTTCACTCAGAAACACTATAGAGCAGACATGAACACTCTCCAGGCCTTCTCAGATTGGCTCACCAACAAGCCCATCTAATTTATTAAACAACATCAATGTTTTGTCTTGTTACTTGTTAGTTACTATGTTCTTTATATTTCATGTATATGGTAAGATGCAACAACACTCTTAGCATTTCATTTCCAAAATCGATCCATTAAAATACCATGCTGATTGCATTGCATCCACAACTTTTTAACAAGTCGCGAAGATATAAAGATCATCGATTCACAAAGATTATAACGAGGATATATGTGGAACATCTGATTTAATACTAATAGCATGTTTGAGGAAGCGTGGTGGAGAATTAATCCAAAAACAGGGAACACATCAAATGTCTACGACAAATGTGTACAATTTAAGGTTAAAAGAGAGAAACTCGGTGGATCATGCATCATCTTGGAGTTTCATTAGAAAAAAACAAAACGTATGGGACACCATAGCCTAACTAAGAATGCTTTCTTTCTCACAATCACAAGACTCCAAAATCCCAAACTATACGTTTTCTAGTTCAAAGTAATTGCGTTTATTTACTCTAATCTATTAGATAAATAGTCCATTGACTCCGTCTTAACGTAGATAATAGTCCAAGCCAAAAAATAATAATAACAAAAATCTCTAGTTTACAAATGAAAATTCCAAAATATATACACGTGTACGCTTGTTGTTGTACTTGGATATGTACGAAATAGTCGCTATATACATCGACATCACATGTTTATTACGATATTCTACTAATCAGAACAATTATAACCAGGTTTTACATGTGTTTATGAATAAAACTTTGAGGTAGATCCAAATGTTCTTAATTGTATTGACCATGAGCCTAGGAAAATATCGACTTTTTAGTATTGAGTTGGACTGTAAAATATCATGTTTAGGATATTTTGAATGCAAGCTCTTTTCTTGTACGTTTTTACATTACCATGTTAACCTGAATAAACTACTAAACTCTATAAAATTAAAGAGAAGGTGACGCTATATATTCAAGAGAGGTTACTCATAGCAGATAATAACAAGAACAAGAATAAAGGCAAAAGCAGACAAAATCAAACAAAAATGAAAAGAAACAAAAAAAAACAGGCAACACCACCATGTTAACGATTCAAAGTAGGGCGGGTACATGTTGCTCTATCTATTCAAATCCATTCACTTAATGGATTACCTTTACTTTGCTTTGTCTTCTTCTCCAGCTCACCCCATTCTTTTAAGAGAAACGAAACAAAAATGTTGTAATATATAAAATGTTTGATTGAAATGGACGCATGATCCTGATTGGGATATCTTATGACATATGGATTCCAATGTTTCGAATTTTACGAATCTTGTATGAGTTATGTTAAAATATAGTTGTTTAGGATTATTTAGGTTTATCTAGTAACAGATAGTTTACTAGATGGCTAATGACTAAAATATTTCTATAGATAAGGTAAAGTGTAAGCTAAAGCCTATAGTAAAGTTTATGGGAAAATTTATTGGTATCAAAAGCAGGTTATTAAAACTTCATCACATCTACGACCTCTCCTGAGACAAATGTTCATCACCCGTTTTAATATTTTTATACAGTCACTGCCTCTCAAAAAAATATACTACTGTCGAAAAACATGTTCAATTTTATGTGGTGGTTTTTACGATAAAAAAGTAGATGATCTAAAGTTGAAAAAAAAAACTCACAAATATATGTGAAATCTTGTTGGGTGGTTTACTAATTTAGTAATTTTAAATTGCATGCGTCAGTCCAACAGTAATTAATTCACATAACAACGGTAGAGCTATTATTCTGGGGACGTAGCACTATCATATATGGGCTTTGAGTAATGAGCGAGCCCACTTATTAACTAAGACTGATAGCCCAATAGTCCCTTTTAAATCCGAACCCCTTCCGTAGATCACAAAATCATTTTGTCTTTTCCTGAATCCTGACATATTTGCGAACACTATTTCATGCGATTACATGCAGCTATTTTGGAATACTAGCAGAATTATATTAAACTTAACCTTTAGTAAAAAAAAAATTGATATAACTCAACAGTAACATTTTTAATTATATAGAAATTAACAGAAAATAATAGATGGAATAGAAAAATAGTTAGGTATGTACGTTTTCACATTTATAATAGAACCTTTTAGAATCTTATTAATGACGATTGTTCACCAAATAATCATTGATTGGGTAGGTAGGAGAGGAGATCGTCCTTAGATAATAGCTATCAGACATGACACCCACTGACGGAGAACTACATGATTTGTATATGTAGATGAGGTTATGTTTTGGCTACAAATCATTATCATATAATTTTAAACCCACACGGACACACACACAAATAGATAAGTTTTGGTCAACACTTGTAAGTTTGAAAAGCTAGAGTTTATATGAACACTACTTATTAGCGCGGATGACTCATGTTTGCTCTAACTTACTACTATTTTCGTCTACAAACTCAATTATATATCAGATCAAATTACCCATTTAGCACAGATAGAAATTTTCCAATTTCATTAACGATTTTTTTTTATTATCATTCTTTCATGAATTGATAAAAAGTTTCTGTATTAAAAATGCCACCAAAAGCTCTATTTTGAAGTGATATAAGAAGGTCAGGGAAACTGTTTATATTTCCTATCTTTACCAAAATAAAATGTTTGTATTTTCTGTTAATGTTATTTTGTTTTTGTCTGGATGCTGGTTGGATATAGAATGGGTTTTAATATTATTTTATCAATTTTTAATATATCGTCAAAAGAAATGATTAATTAAACGCCTGGAGTATCTTTATTGGAACACAATCCGATTTGATGATCATAAATTTGTTGGACGGCATCTCAAAGTTTTTAATTAACTAATATAATTACCAATAATGATATAACTAGAGATATCAAGCGAATATTAGGGAGATCTCAACCACTCATCATGCGTATTTCCTAAGTAAGTGCTTCAAACATTTGAACTAGTGTCAACTTCGCTTTAAGTTCATAAGATTTATCATTTAAAGTGGATATTTAGATCTAAAATAATGAGATTAAAAAAAGGAGACATTACTAAAGTAATATATGATTCTGTTCATATGCTTATGGGTACGTAGGAAAAGAGGAGGCAAAAGAAACCAAGATTTTGGGGATATGTACAACAAGACTGTGTCGTAAATTACAAAAGAAAGGAAGATTTTGTAATTGTATACTATTAGATAATCTTCTAGACTTCTACAATATCTTAATTAAAAATATTAATAATGTAATGTTGAATAACAAAGTAATGTCAAGATGATAAACTGGAAAAGTGGGTTATACACATTAAATTTAGGCTTTTACAATATTTATGGCAAAATGCTTCTTCTTTTTCCGAACAATCATCGTGATTAATTATCATAAGCATTTGACAATTTGTTTCATTTTGTAATCTTTTAGCAAAAAGAAAAACTAATATTTGTAATTGAGCAATATTACAGTGAATACTGAATACTATCAAAATCGGCGTGCATCGGTTGCCTCAATACGTTTAGTATATGTTCTATATATCTTCTATTGAAATTACTTACCGAATCTCACTGAATATATGAATATATATATAGATATATATATATATTGTTTGATGAGAGAGATCTAGTGGTTTTTAGTTGTATATTTCTTATGTCATTTACATTGTCATTTGATGATCTGAAGCGTTGTTGTGCTTATGGATTTACATGTATCCTGACGACACTTGCGTATTTAGTCATTTGAAATTTCGAAATAGTGGTGTCATATTAAGATTATCAACTTACATACAATTTCAAACGATTTGGTTTTCTCGTGGTTGGTATTGTGTGCATATATGCATTAACAATTCACATAAAATATCGAATATAGATATTGATAGCGAACAGAAATTAATCAGTAGCTAGGCTGGAGGCAAGCTTGTAGATCATTCTGACCAATAGAGCCCAAAAGATGGTTCCCTCACCTACCATTGCTTCATACTTATCCGGTTAGGCTTGTGTTACTACTTACTAGGCGATATATTATGTAATTGCATGGGGCTTATTTACTGTCCTTTCCGATTTTTCTTCCAATAGGTTTTATTAATGATTCGTTGGATGTAAACCTTATTTCCATACCAAAAAAAACCTTGTTTATTAAAGGGAAACACGAAAGCTGAAATCTGGAGGTTATCTAGAAGCCAAATGCAAAGCAAACAAAAACAAAACCTTGTTTATGAGAAAAATGTTCAACTGCAAACATCACACCCTTGGTCTTTACGGTGTACGGCCGGTGAATGATGGCGAACTAATGATCTACCCCATAATGAAGCTACGCCTCCATCCATTAATGAACTTTAAAACCTATGCATCTTCGGCGCCTTACGACTTGCTCCCAAGATGGAATTTTAAGCGAGCCTTAGATATCAATTTCTGTGTTTAGCATGACATGAGATTAGTTAGAACATTAAGAATATTCTGTTCTAAAATGCATGAACAAAGATACGCCATACTGAACATTGTATATCTTAATTTGTGTTCCGTTGATGCACAAGAAGCATGTGAAAAATCTTTGTATGTAGTTATTCTGTTGTAATATGCATGAACAAAGATAAGACATGCCGAACATTGCATATCTTTGTGTTCCATTGATGCACATGAAGCATGTGAAAAATCTTTGTACATATGAGTTTATGAACAAGAAATAAAAAGGTGGAGCAACGAGCATATGATCATATCTACAAATATACTTTGATAATATCCCACTAACAAGCTTTACTACCAAATCTAAAAAATAAAATAATTTTGAAATGAGTTTATATTTAGCTAAAGTTCAAACCTACATATAAGAAAATAAAGAGTTCAGGGGAAAGAGACCATACTATATAAATATGAAGAAGGTCTTTAGGACAAATGCTGTGTTTTTGATTAGTACCCCATCGGAAGTATCAACTTCTCAACTAGCTTATGCTGCAACCAAGCTATGTCCAAGCATCCGAAACTATTAACCTGTAACAATTGGATATAGTTAAACATAATGAAAACCCTAGATTAACTGCAATTGACATGGCACATTAATATATATATACCTCGACTTGAATATTGTGCATGAGCCTCTCATTGACTCTTGTGGTGAGAGAGCTGATGATTTCAAGCCCTTGCTCTTGAAGTGCCTCGAGCACTCTTGAGAGTGGCAAAGCTTGGGGGCCTGACGAGTTGCTGCTCACCACCACTTCGAAACCGCTCACACATGGTTGCACCATCAAACTCGCCGGATCCGATTTGCCTAACTCGGGTCCAGTTTCTTCTGGATCCGGATTCCATTTGTATCTCTGACCCGTTTCTCTACTTAGCTCATCTCTTCTTGCACTGAGTTCTTTAATCCGTGTTTCCGTGTCCTTTATGAAACTCACCGCTCCATTTACATGATCCGAAACAGCTCTCTTTCCCTACACACAAAGTTCAAGTATAAAATATACAATTAAAATACGAAAGAAGAAGAGTCATATTCACAACCCTAGAAGCCAAATTCCACCAAATCTTGGTTTCTCGTTCGAACGATTGATATAAGAAAATAAATAAAATTTTGAGAAAGAAAAAATTCAGTAAATAATAGGAACCTTGATGTATTGGAGAGGCAGGTGAGTACGAAGAGAAGCAAAAAGTGTAGCCATTTCTTGTCTTCTTTGGCGTTCGATGTCGCGGTGGAGAAGCTTCTTCTTCTTCTTATTCTCATCTACTTCATGGGGCACACCGGAGCCGCCGCTGCTGCCGCCATCGTCGGCTGAGCCAAACGGTCTCTGTCTCTGGTACTCTTTAGGATTGGGATTCTGATAAGGATCCATAGTTTGACACTTTGAGCTTTAGCAATGACAGATCTCCGTAGGATTCTGTGGTTATGTCGTCCTATAATAATTTAATTTTTTTTATTGATTACTCATTAGTTTTTTTTTATTGAAGGATGGTGCCTTAAAGAAACAAATGGTTCTCTCTGTCTCCTTAGGTGAGAGTAAGGACCGTTCTTTAAATACAAAATATATAAATACAAATTAGGAGAACCAAATAATGCACAACTTTTGGAATTACTCTTCTTCAAAAAAAAATTTCGCCACCACTTTTTTACTTCTGATATTCGTTTTCATTTGTCAATAGATCATATCATTTTGAAGAAGAAAATGACTCATTGCAATGTTGTAAATAAATTGGTTGGTTGAAATTATTGTATGTATATTTTTTGAGTCCAAGCGGATATAAGTACTGTACATATAATTATATAAATGTCATACAATCATACCGACAAATATATAAAAATTGACTAGAACACAAACTGTTGCAAGAAAATAATGAACTGTCCCTACCCACAATTTCCCTAGAATTTATGATCTCGACGACTGGAGGGAACTAGAGGACACATCTATTTGACATCTGTGGACGTGGAAGCCCAGCCGTGTCCTAAGATTCGGATGCATGAAAGATAAAGATGATCAAATCTCAGCCATTGATCTTGTAATGGTCGCATGTGGGCTCCCTGCTTTTGATGTGCACCTGCTCACACTGCAACTACTCTTATTCACATTATTATTAAATCCCCCATATCCATTGCGTATCAGATATATAATCTATATTTTTTATTCATCTTAAGAAGATACCATACAATATAATTATATAAAATATGCTTTGGATAAATAATACGATGATATTCTTCCATATTATTTTCTTCATTTTTAAACTAAGCCTTTTGGTAAAGGTTATCCTTTCAAGGCAAAGGCAAAGCAAATCCTCCTTCTCTGTCACGAATCCTCTGATACCTTTTATATATAGTCCACTATATTTAAATTTATTTGGATTTTGGACCTTAATTGTTTTTTTTTTAAATGTTTGACCAAGTTTTGTTCTATACACTAATGCACAATACGTTTATTGCGTCCCTCTCCATGTTTCCGGACTAAATGCATTTGTAAAAAAAGTTTGGTGTAGACAACGCCGTGTTTAGGTCATCGAAGGTCGTAGGCAAAATTTATATTACTTCATTTATTTGTACTTATGCCACTCGCCAGTCGTTTACACATTGTTGTGGCATAAAACATCGTCTGTGTGTTTCATACATGACTTATGTTTTAGGTTTTTTACCATGTAAAACGTAAATTTCAATTTAATATTGACCGTTTTAAGTTTTGATACTATAGTAGATGACGACTTTTTCTCACCAACGTACCAATATTTAAAGACTCCTTATATTAGTTTTCTAGTTGATGAATTTATCTTCCAACCATCTTTAATTGATGATTTTTTTCCTTAAAAACTTTTTTAATATAGTGTTTCTAAACAAACACATCAGATATATTTGAACTAAATGAAGTTATATTGCTATGTCTTTTTTGCATTATATGTATAAATTATAAAATTACGATATTCTTTCATTATAAATGTAATCAAAGTTATGTTTTGAATAGAAAAATAAAACACTGCATCATACTTTTTGTTGTTAATTTGCATCAAATCATTATGTAATTTTTGTGTCCGTAAACAATGCATAACAGAGAAACCTATTACAATTATTACAATTTCTTCACCAAAAGGTAACATGACAAACGTTGCGTTATTCCAGAATGCATGTTTCACGTTGTATTTTTTGACTTTAGGTCTCAGATTTTAATCAACCATTAAAATATAAGTGCCGCCAAACGTCTACAATATCTCTTTAGCTATCGTTTAAGCAAGTTATTAGCCTTCTCTGAATTTTTATCATTGCAAATGTTCGCTTAAACAGTCCTCTTGATGCGATTAAAAGGGAGATCGATCAAATTTTATTTTCGTTACATTGACACCCTTTCGCAATATTGACTTATTATCATCATTAGTCGATCTAAATCCTTTCTAAAATGCGTCTACATATCTCTCTTGCTATTCATTGCTACTGTGAAGGTAATATGTAGAAACTTATGGTTTTTGTATACTATTTGAAAGTATCGCAGGTGGTCGGTTGATCTGGGGGTATCTGATGCACCAGTTCCAGTCTTATAAAATAGGAAATTATATAGAAGCACGTTTTTAATGTAATGACCACATGTCGGACATCAAATCGATGGTTGTCAGAGAAAAAGAGACTTGTGCAAAGTTAAATTATTCACGATCACACTCACACTCACACACAAATGCCTTGTAAGAACGAAGACTAAATAAACAAAAGACATCTTTTTCTATCGGACGGTTACCAACAATAGCCGCAATTTCTACAGTAACAACCCAATTATTTCTAATTTCGTTTTTTTATGCTTGTTCAAAATAACTATATTTTGATAATGTTTCATTTGTTATTATGGTTTTGACAAAATTAATAAGTCTCTTAAATATGTTCCAACCAAACAAATATAAATTAGAGCACATGTATTGTATATAACACTTCTGACTTTGCCAATTAAAAGAATCTGGCAAGCTGCAAGCCAATTCCTATATTAATTAAACATATTCAGTGAACTTTACGCAACAGCTAACTGACTTTTTTTTCTGAAAGGTAGTAACCTAATTTTAAATCGCAATCATGTTTTTCATCAACATGTCCTTTAAATTCATTGTGACTTGTCATTTGCCTGGCACTAATACGATCATCATAGTTGAATCACAATTTTGTTAGGTCGTAAACATAAAATAGAACACCCAACATCCATAAAACTTGGCCATGTTTTACAAAATCATATTATAGATTCTTGCCTAATTCAACCCAAACCCCTTAGGCTAGGCCGTAAAAAACAAACCTTTTTTTTTGTATTTCATTTACTGAAATTGTTTACCAAAAAGTCTAAAAGAAAAGTCAAACAGTTATTTCCTCAAATAGTCAAATGTATAGTTTTCAACTAAGCCGCATATCAGTTCCCTATTTGTTTACTTTCCGCATCGACTTTATCATTAGATAATATTTCTTGACAGACGTTATCGTTAGCTAATCGTTAAGTATTTGTATTCTTCTTACTTGCTTGTTATTGGCTTAGTTTTGTTTCTTCGGTTATGTGAATTCGAAAAACACACAGAAATTGTCTAGGTTCAGGCTCCACAATACACTGTACCCTTCTTTTTTCTTTTTAATGTTTAAAAACGATTAAAGATACGTTTGGTCAACGATAAATGACGAATAACAAAGGTTAAATCAGTTGTTCAAAAAAAAAAAAAACAAAGGTTAAATCATGTTCATTTATATGTGGAAGACAGGCTCCACACGTCGAGATTAAGTGGTCTGAACTTTAATTAAAAGAGATAGGGGTGCGAGAGAAAATTGATGTGTCATTAATTAGTACAAGATGAGTTGGTAGATATACCTTCACGTGTCAACAATAAAATTGTAATAGTTGAGTATAAATATAAAGAGTGATAAAGATAAAGTTATGGATAGAGAACGATCCATTTGTATTAGTTGGATCATATAAACTAACGGCCAAGAAAAGGGTCGCCAACAGAGACAAACTAATGGATATAGAATGGTGATATCTGTATGTTGCGTCATAGAAAACAAAATGACTTACATAATTAAGACGGAAGAACAGGTTTCATTTAACCCCCCTTGCATACAATGGGTTATATATGTATTTGGTGGATGTTGGAAATCTTATTTTGTTATTCCATGTTAAGTGAAGTAGATGTAACTAAAAGAGACAAGTTGGATTTTATAAAAAGAGATAACTTTGTGAAAATGTCTTCTTAGTTTCGGTATTGGTCTTGGATTTACACAAAAAAAAAGAAAAAAAAAAACCACTCGAAAATGTCTTTGAATTTTAAAGTATATATATATCTAAAATCAGTTCAAACGGGGTTGCATTTTGATTTGTCTGAGATTCTTTTTCTTGAAGGAAACATAGAAAAATGATATTTTTTTGTGATTATTGAAGTAGCGTTTTTTATCCAAGATCCGGACGGAATTAAGAGATTGTGATTTCAGTATCTCCTTTTCAATAAGATATCTTTGTTGATTGCAGAGGAATAGGGTGGAGAAAATGATACGATAGGTAACTCCAGCAGAAAGATGGATAAAGTTAAACACATATGGTGTTTCGAGAGGGTATCCTGGAATAGCTACAGCTGGGGGAGTACTACGGGATGGTGATGGAAATTGGTGTGGAGGTTTTGCAGTGAACATCGGACGATGCTCTGCATCATTGGCAGAGCTTTGGGGGCTTTACAATGGATTGTACACAGCTTGGGAGAAGCGAGTGTCGAGACTAGAAGTAGAGGTTGACTCGGAGCTCGTGGTGGGATTTTTCAAGACAAGGATTTGCTGACTCACATCCGCTATCCTTCCTGGTACACTTGTGCTATAGCTTCCTCGAAAAAGACTGATCAGTCTGTATATCACACGTGTATAGGGAAGTTAACTATCTAGCTGATAGTTTAGCAAACTATGTGTTTTCATTACCATTGGAGTTTCATGCTTTTGATTTGGTCTCGTCTAGTTTTGAAGCAGCTTTGAAAGATGATGAGACATGAACTATGTACCCGAGACAAGTGTATGTGTAATTGGGTTGCTTTGAGAATGCTTTAATAAAACATAGGAGCCTCTGTTCTCCCAAAACTTTGACAAAAAAAAACAAGATATCTTTGTTTTCGTAAATTCATAAAAATGATGAACACGTATACGCATTTCAAATCTTTGTTCTCATCATTTATTTATAAATAATCAATAGTAAAAAAATTTGTATTACGTACCTACACAAAATAACGGAAACGCCTCGAAAAAAACGAGTCATGATTCTATATAAATATCTTCAAAATCTGAAAAACACAGATATATACAAATACACGGCACAAGTGCACGAAATTAAACTATCTATATATAATATATACATAGTTTTTGGTTTGAGAAGTTAAAGATAAATCTACTAAGAAAACGTTTGCTTCATCAGGGTAAGTGCAGTAAGTGTATCCTTGAGGTCTGCAAAGTCAATAAAAGCGAGATCGTTGACCTGCAACATAAAAGCAAATCAACTTCACAACTTAAGATAATATCATTACTTTCATTCGTATAAGACACCATGCAAGGCCTTTGCTCTGTAAGCTGACAGGATCTAAACATAAAGTAACAAACTTTGAAATACTAGCTATATTGTTATGAGTAAGTGTTACTCTTATATAAAATCCGTTATGTAAATAATGGAACAGTCGAACAGGAGCCACCTGATATACATTCAAAATATGACCTATAATCTAGAAGAATAATATAAATTAAATATATGTTAAACAAAAATAAAACATGATGTATGCCACGGATTCAAGCCGTGGCTACACCATCGCGGGTGTTTGTCACCCTTGATTATGTAGGACCGCGAAAATCCAGATTGAAAATCACGAATATAAAAATGATTTAAATCAATAATAAACGATAATAAAAGCATAAAACTTTTTAATAAAACTTTTTAGAAAAAACGAGACACGGAGTCGAGATATGATCTCTTTCCTTAATTCTTTAAATCTCACGCAGTGTGGTGGTTTTGAAAAGATTCAGAATCCCAGGATACAACCGTGTTGAGACTAAAATCGCAGCACCCGACTATAGAATCTGCGAACTTATGAATCTACGCTATACTCTCGAGACTCATCTAAGACTGTAGAGACGAGAGGGATTTGCTGGATATTTGTTTTTTAGAAAGTTATAAGTTTTCGCTGATCATCAATAATGAATGAGAGAGGCGAGTATATATAGCGGATAGAAGGATTGGGGCGCAAGGGTTTTCCTTGGCCGCCACTTGTAGATAAACGGAAATATTCCGAGAATCTTTTATTCCTTGATCGCAAAAAATAATAGAAACGGAAATATTCCGGAAATCTTTTATTCCTTTCTGATAAGGATCTGGGCGAAACAGATATATTACGAAAATATTCTGTTATTAATTTTCGACCCAATCATAAAGATTTATCGAGTTATGCAAATTATCTTTAAGGAATATTAACATATTTATGAAAATAGGTTAATAAATATTTACTCCAAAAAGAACATCTTGTTGTGGGCTAACATTCACCAAGACCCAAAGCCCAAGCCCGGCCCGGCTCGGCACGACGCGCGCGCGTGTGTGGTTTTGCATAACAGCCCTTTCTCTCCTTCTCCATAGTGTCCTCTTCTAAAGGCTAGTGAACCTTGTTGAGAGTGTGTCACTATATATACTAGTGGAAAATTCTTCCAACTTTCGTTGTGGGACAAAAATGCTCATCTTGACATTTATTGACTTTTTGTCTTGATTACATTCCCACTTTGACCAAAGATTTCTCATTCAAATCAACTTCGCTTTTGACAAGTGAATATATTATCTTATAGTACTCATTACAAGGAATCCAAAAAATCCATAATCCAATCATTTCGGTAACTGTGCTCACCGAAAATGTCGCCGGAAAACTGGCCTGAGCCATTTGTCAAAAACTGAGTTCCAACAGACTATCCGTAGCAACGACTATATATAAGATTAATCCAAAAAATGATTATATATATAAGTTGTTTCAGTTGGTTTAAGGTTGTCAAACGTTGTCACTTCTAATTTAAATTTCGCATTTTAACAAAGTGAGTAAGGATATTTTTATATACATAATACATGGGAACCTATTTACATTTTTTTTTTAGCAACAACCTTTTTACATTTTACTTGATGAATGTTTTGATTGCTGTAAAATTAGTAAGCACGATATATTGTACCTCAGCCTGTACAGTGTGAATGAGCCTGTCATTCACAATGGAGGAGATGCAGCTAAGAACACAGAGACCATGTTCACCTAGCACTTGCAGAACGTTTGACAACGGAGTTTGTAGAACGGTAAAGATGATTTCTACGCCGACCAAACACGGATGAATCACGACATGATTCGAAATCTCGTTCCTACCCCCTCCATTACTACTTCCAAAGCTTCGTCCAGACAATAACATGAGATCATCTCTCTTGGAACTCATGTTCTTGATGTTCCTCTGCAAATAGTTTATGTAGTTTACCGCTTCGTTTAACTGATCTGACGTCGAACGCTTTCCCTACAGAACCAAATCAAGAAACCAAAAAAAAAAAAAAACAGGTTAATATCAGCATTATTGTCTTTAGGATCTTACGACGTTGTACAGTTTGATTGATTATCTTTTTGACAAAATAACAGCTCAAACAAAGATAGAAAGCTTACTTTTACAGATTAATTCTAACTTGTAGATCTGTAAGAGTGAAGAATCGAAAGCAAGAGTAATTAGGGTTTTTGAAGAGACAGAACCTTGATAAACTCGAGAGGGATAAGAGAGCGAAGAGATGCGTAAAGAGAAGCCATTTCTTGTCTCCTTTGTTTCTCAACTTCTCTGTGCACTGTCTTCTCCATGTTTTCTTCACTACTAACTCTCAGCTTTGTACTACACCTTCTTCTCTTCTCCTGAAAATTATTCATCTAAAAACCTTTAGTTGTCTTTTTAAGTGTATTTTTTACAAAGATTCTTCTTGTAATGATGATGACGATGAGGATGAGACAGCAGGATCTGATCTTGTCTGATTTTATGCTCTGGGATTTGGTCTGAATCTCAGTATAAGGGATTGGTTGTAAAGTTGAAAAATATGGGAGTCGGAACAGAGACAGTAAAATAAAGAAAGGGTTTTGTTAATGGGAATAGTTTTAAAATAAAGAAAAAGATACGTTATTGGTAGAAGTATTGGAAAAAGAGGTTTATTAGGGTAAGCAGTGACGTCTTTCTGCTTCATCATTAAACTTCTTCTCTCTTTAATCAATGCCATTATGTTCCCATCCACATTCCAATTCTTACTATTATTATCAATTTCATTCATTTCTTTACTTTCTTATGATATAGTACTACATGTATATATCAATTGTACGATCTCGTGACAAAAAAAAAAATATCGATTGTACGATCTGATAGATGACATACCATAAACCCTTTATATTATTGTAGGCTGCGGCTCTGAGACCATTTGCTAGACCATATCCCCAAATTTATTTGAATATCATTTTAACTTTTGAAGTAATATCATTTCTTTAATGATATAGTTCGTTGTTTCTAATATATATGTGGCTTCATTTTTGTGAAGAACTTTTTAACCCTAAATACTTGAGAACCTTAAAATAGTAGACTAGTAGTGATACCAATCTTTTTATTTATTAATCGACTTCTCTAGTACAAGGCATATGCCGAATCTCTAGTATTAGTGAGCCAAGCTGGCCCAAATTATAAATAGACCCAATTACGTTAACGAGTGCAAAAGAGGCAGAAAAAAATTATGGTTTTAAGGAAAAAACTAAAAAAAGGAAGAGAGATTGAAGATGGCTCAGTATGGCCCAACGTGGCCCAAATTAACTCAATTGGAAGAGGTTTGCATTCTTAAAACTATTGGGCCCAAAGGATTTGTAAACTGATAATAAAGTGAACTCGAATTATACAACTTTCGTTGTTAACAAAATGCAACGTTTTCTTTTACAATCGAAGACATCTACAGTGGCCAATCTTTTCGTGGTGAACCTTTCTTCAACCAATAGACTATCGTGAATTGGATTAGTAATATTGTTAAAAAAGAAAAAGGAAACCTTAAAATGCGTGTGAAAACCTACTCAATCTCTGTCATTATCAATGGTCGAGTACAATTATGGCTGAAAAAATTAGATAATTTATGAACCTGAAGAAAATTTGGAACGGTAAAGAATAATACAAAGTGTAATAGTAACACTACCATTAATTGAGCTACCAAATTGATTCCTAAGTTTATCAACGGCGCTGCTTCCTCACCGTCTTCAACGGCGGCGATGGTGAGAACTCAGTAGGCAACTCCGGCAGACTCACCTCTCCATTAAGCATCAGCAAAACCTCTTTCATCGACGGTCGTGAAACCGGCAATCTTTGCAGACACTGCAAGGCCACCTTTATGCACAACACTGCTTGTTCTTGGTTCACATTTTGCAACTTTGTGTCCACAAGATCAACAAGCTTCCCTCTTCTCGCCAGCTTCCTCGCCCAAGACATGAGGTTTGCCCGTTGGATCTCACTCGCAGATCCCGTCATCTCCAACGGACGCCTCCCGGAAACCAGTACTAACAGCAGAACACCGTAGCTATAAACATCGCATTTCTCAGACACATTGTTGCTGTCTACGTTACAGTACTCAGGAGCAGCGTAGCACACTGTTCCTCTCATGCTCGGCGTGCTACTGATTCCGCAGCTCTTACCTATCTCGCCGCTCACCGAGTCATGGCTATTGCCTCGTGCTCTCGACCAACGTTCACCGCTTAACCCATCTAACCACCAATCTATGCTACTACCTTTACTGTTACCACCACGCCGCCATTGACTCACACTACTACTCCCATCATCACTGCAAAAATCGGATTCTAAAGTCTTCTTCTTCTTCTTCTGTTTCTTCTTCTTCTTAGAGAGTTCTCTGCGATACTCATCTTTCCACCACTCTCTAACCATCCTCCGCTTCGTCTTCTTCTTCTTCTCATTCTCTTCCTCCAGTGAAAGCCACCAGTCTAGTCTCTTGCTACTCTTCTTCTCAAGCTTCTTACTTGACGAAGAAGAAGAAGCTGTGGCCGCCATCGCCTCATTCCAATCGATGCTACTCGGGACTCTCTGCTTCTTTACTTCTGAACCAATCCATTGCATCACATAATCCTTCACTTTCCCTCTATCAACATTGCTCTCCTGCTTCCACCACCAATCTTTGCTCTCACTCTCTTTCCCCTTCCTTGTGATCATATTACCACCTTCCTTCTCGCTCTCCCCCATTTCCGGGGAAACGGAGATAACCGTCGCCGTCGTCTCCGGCGATGCCAGAGGCGCCACTCCCGTCTCCGGCGAAGCAGTCACAGACCCAGGAACTCTAGCGACACTTTCCGGCGGATGATCCACCGAACCAAAGTTGAAATCTTCACACCCAGTCGCAGCAGTCATCACACTCTCTGCTTCTTCGACGGCAGATCCGTAATCCTCCGCCTTTTCTCCGCCGCCATCACGCTCCGGTGCTACCGTGATCTCCACTTGGTCCAATTTCAGCCTCGCGAGACCGAAATCGGCGATTTTGGCGGAGAAGAGTTTATCCAACAGAACATTGCTAGGCTTTATATCGCCATGAATCACTGGTGGCTCAAGGCTGTGAAGGTGCTCGATCCCTTCCGCAATGTTAACCGCGACCATAAATCTCCGATTCCAATCCATGAGCTCGGGGCATCTCCGGTGAAGCAGCGCGTCCTGGAGGTTTCCATTGTCCATGAGCTGGTAAACGAGAAGCAAACGCCGTCGTTTCCGGTCGTGGGAGAAGCCAATAACGGGGACCACGCGAGGCGAGTCAAGCTTGGCGGCGAAGAACAGCTCGTTCTGGAACTCTCCTTCTCCTTGGAGAGATTCTGAATCCATCACCTTAACGGCTACATTCTTGCCGCCGGAGAAAGTTCCACGGAACACGACGCCGAACCCGCCCTGACCTAACCGATTCACCGGCGAGAAAGAAGCGGTGGCACGGCGGAGGGTCGAGTAAGAGAACTCACGCGGCGGCTGTCTCCGAGGGGATGTGGAGTCGTCTCCCGCCGGAGGTGGAGGACGTTTCCGGCTGAATTTACAGAAACAGACGGAGAGAGTGATGAAGAGAGAGAAACCGGCGCCGGCTCCAGCCGCTGCAAGCGGTGGAAAGACTCGCGTTGTCCTATCCAATGGCGCCGGGGCTAAAGAGGAAACGATCGGCAGCGTCGCCGGAGCCGGCGCCAACATTGCTCGTGACGGCATAGTGAATTAATTAACCGAAACTGAACCATAAACAGGGAAAAATATCGGAGCTTTTTCGTTACTCCGTCGGATTTAAGAATGTTTTCACTTTTTAGAATTAAATCAGAAAGAGAGAAAAAAGGTAAGTCGTTTCGAAAATGGAAAATTTGCGTACATCCTTGTTAATCATGTTTTCTTGCATTTAATTGATGTAATTAATTAATCGTTACATTTTGGATTACAATAAGGTTCCGAATTTTGACTTGGTTCAACCAAATCTAAACCGGACTCTAGTCAAGTTTCTGTTAGAGGTTAGCTCTCAAACCCTCGATTTCGAAACAAAGCCAAATCAAAGTACAGAATCAAATTTAATCTGGTTCTTTAACTTTCATCTACCAACATACCCGGATAGAAAAAACCGAACCGGGTTAGATTTTTGGCTTACATGACGCGAAGATTTAATGCTCTACTGATGCGTCGCTTTTGAGTTTGGGCAGACATTAATTAAAGAATTCAATCAGTAACGTGTTGCGTATCGACGCGACGTATAAATGTACTTATTTGAAATGAAAATGTGGATTAAAGACGTGTGAATTCACGTGCGGTGGAGTGTGTGGGCCGTGGGGTAATCAAAGATCACCATGTGGAATTGTCTAATTAGGTACTACTTAGATTAATTAAACACATAGTGAAAACGGCACGCAACTTTTATTGTATTTTGAGAAAACGGACCGAAACCACACGGAAGTTGCTGTCTTCGAGTTTTCGGCTGTCTAATTAATCAAGTTGGATTAGTTACTTATTTACTTTTCCTTTTTGTAAGAAACTTAAAAGTCAACGGTTTTATAGTCAACTTTATTAAGAAATCCGTCAACTTTCTAGTACGTTCTAACGCATACTATTTCCTTTCTTAGATAAGGAAAGGAAAGGAGATCACAAAATTAGAAACATTAATAATTTCTTATCACAATGAAAAGGAAACACTAGTGCACATAGCACAATCAATCATCATACTCTATATATATAGAATCGTTGAGGAATCATCACACACATATCTTGAATTGCGTCTCACAAAATTCAACGAGGAATTCCCAAGGCTACTTAAAGCTCAAGAAGACGAAGAAGATGATGAATGCGAAGATGATGAATGTTAGCGAAACAGAAGCAGTACCATGCGCCGGAGGCTGTGGACTCTTCGGCACCCGAAAGAACAACAATCTATGCTCCCTCTGCTACAAAGAGAGTGTCCGTAAACAACTGGCCGCTCTCAGACTCGAACCCGAGACCAAGCCATCAACGGTTTGCCCTCCTACTAGTAGTCCCGTCGCTGCGGAAGAACCTGTCGTAATCAAACAGAGATGCGGCAAGTGTCAGAGGAAGGTTGGGATGTTGGGTTTCAACTGCAAATGCGGACACATGTTTTGCGGTTCCCATCGATATCCGGAGGAGCATTCTTGTCTCTTCGATTTCAAACAATCTGGGCGGCTTGACTTGGCCAGACAGTTGCCTTTGATCAGAGCAGAGAAGTTGCAGAGGATTTAGTCATGTACTTTAGATCTTAGATATAATTTTGATGTTCTTTAAGATCTTTCTGTGATTTATATATGCTTCCTTTTTTTTTTTTGACGGAAACCCCCTGAGTCCAAGCAGAAGGATCCAAGTCAAAGTTTGTCCATAAATTATTTATGCAACCAAAAGAGTCATAAAGTAGCAATAAGAATAATACTTCACGATATAACATTAATATATAAGAGAGTAAGATGTCAATAATCACTCGGTGGATATGAGTTTTAGTACCTATCCGTGAAGCAAAGCAGTGAATTACTTTCTTGGAGTTGTGAATTGTGATAATGCAGAAAAGCTATATGATGCAAAAAAAAATTAAAACTTAACTACAACCAAGTATTGGAAGAAAATGATAATCAAAAGGCCTGAGACTGTCTTGTTCGAGCTTTGCTGACTGAAATAAAACTCCATCACTATTGACCTTGTTTCTTGAAGCTCAAATCTACATCTTCATTCATCTGCACCAAACCAAAACACTCAGCACTTGTGACTTGAGAGAAAGCTATATAGTCCTATTCTATAGAAGTCGGGTTTCAAAACATTACTGATTTAGCAACTTCTTTGGCTTTATCTTCGTTAAACCCGAGCGTCTCCAAAATCTGGCGGCCTGCTGAATCCTTCTGAGACCAAATCCCCAGAAGCAAGTAGGCCGTGGTTAGTTCCCCATCCACACCTGTGACCAAACAGTTTATTATAACGCATGGGAACACACAAGGACTTAGAAACATCAAGATGGTGTTGTTTATGCAAACCAGCTTTCTTCTTCTCATCAATGGCCCAGTCAATGACCTTTCGAGCCGGTTCAGTTAGAGGAGGATGCTCTGGGCTGAAAAAGTACATGTCTGATTTACCCAGCAGGTTTATCGTCTCGTCACGCACCTTAAAAAGTGTGACTCCATTCCCCCTCAGGTACTTAGCAGCTGTGCTAGTGCCTGAAATGAAAACAGACAAATAACAAAAGTTAACACACGTCAGTAAAAACACATAATCCGAAACGATTTACCATTGGTGCCTTTCGAATAACAGAAATAAGGATGACTGAAAGCTAAACAACACAAAAAAAAATAAAAATAAAAATTCTGATGATTCTACCCAATTTCCTCCTCTCGTTCGTATTTGAGCATGATCATAAGCATTCCGCAACTGAATATAAAGGTTCAGTTTTTCAATGGTTAAGAAACAAAAGGATAGAAGCAAAACCTCATCTCACACGTATATTGATTAATAGGGAACAAACACAGCCTATGCTTATTAGCTATTGCCCAGACTTAAATAAGCGGGTGAGCTGAAGCACAAAGCTGGACAGAGAACTCTTCACCATGCTTTAGCTTCTGCAAGACTTTTCAGTCACCTACAAATAATTTTTACAGATAAATCCCCCAATTCTCCTCAACCATCTGAATATACAGCTTCAGCTGTTTATGACTATACAAACAAAAGGACGGAAGCAAAAATCTCTCATCCCACAGGAACAACCAATCACATGCTTGCTTATGCAATTGCAATGAGGAGAAAATCTTCACCATCATTGTTTCTTACAATTCCTCAAAACAAAATGTAAGCTTTCGACCGCGACAAGCACACATATATCCAAGGCAACATAAAGATCCCAGAAACCACAATCTAAACTAGAAGACGCAGCAAAGACAAAGCTGAAGGTCTCAGAAACTTAAAGAAGATTCACAAACCTTCGACCAAAATACCCATGAGAATGGCTTCGGTCCCGGTGGTTGGATACTTGAGCTTCCTAGCTTCCAACTCCCCCATTGCAAGTGATTTTATCGCTCTCGCCGACCATCTAGAATCAAACGGATAAACATCTCAAACAATACGAAATCTCAACAATTCAAACCTACAAAGCTCTATAATCACAAATTAGATAACGTAAATTCGAGTGAGACTCACTTTGGGAGCTTATCCGAAGAACCATTCTCCGGTTGCCTGAAAAAAAAAATTCCAACCTGACAACCCTAAGCTTCCATTTCCATGGAATACAAAGAAACCCAGAAAATATAAATTTGTAAAAGAGCCGTCAAATCAATTACTCACGCAGTCGGGACGCTAAAGACCGTGCTGGCCGAGGTCAAGCACCGGTGCTTGGGGACGAAGCAGCGGCGCGGCGGTTGTGTCACCAGAAGCTTCTTACCGAACAGAGAAGTAAGAGGAATCTGGGAAGAAGAAGACGAGGGAGATCCATTCGCTCTCGAAACAAAGATCCGAGGATTAGAGACCGTCAAAGGGATAAAGGAGAGCGTGTACGACGCCATTTTCACTCCAAGAAACGAGTCGTTGGGTGCGCTGAGCGATTATTACGCAGCTACTTTGTTTTTTTTGCACAAAAACCCCCAAATCTATACATAATTTTCCTTTTTTAACCCAAGTCTCTTTTAGCATCACACAACTAGAAGCAGAGACTAGTTAAATTCAGTTTTATCCCGTAATTTATGCGGTTTCTGTCCTCGCAGGAACAAACCTCAACTCATACCTCCGAAATATTTAGAAGAGAAAACAAAAATAGCTTTCAATCGCAAGGCACAAGCGAACCAAAAAGTATAGTGGGACTAATACATCCGAAACAATCCTAATACTAACTCACCGTGGTTGACAAAAATCTACAAGTGAATTTATATTTGGTTTATTATGGATTAAGAATCTAGTACACTAACTCGTGTAATATTCTCTGCCTTGCGTTTCAGACCATGTCAAGATGATGAGTTTTTCCTTTTCCTGCCTTCCACGTCTCTCCTTATGAGCTCCAACACCATTTCGTTCCATGTATCGACCGGTCCGGGCATGCACCAGTGCAAGCAGTCCTGAGGCGGAGGCCGACCATCCGGTCCCCTTTTTGTGATCTTGTTTGGGTCGGGGCTCCTGTACGGACCAGGATGACCGTCATGGCGATACCCGAAGGCCTCTGTAATATCCATCAGCTTCAACTTAAGCTTCTGGTTCTCCGCGACTCCAACCACTGCTCGGTTAAACCCTGTCGCTTGCTTCTCATGCATTATCTCCGTGAACCCGTTCTTCACTAGCTTCCCCGGAAGGATGGGTTCTTCTTTCCCGGTGCATGAACCGCCTGTGTTCCAAGCACCGCCCTCGTAGTGATCAGGTGACCATGTTCTCACAATTGTCAAACCGGTGTAGTTCGGGTGTGTAGCCATGGACTTTAGGATTGTTTCAACCGATATTCCGAATGCTTCCACGTTGTTGACTTTCATGGGTTTTGATTTGTCTGGCCACCATAACTGGCCTCCAACGATCTCGTCCTTTAATATGTAGACAGACTGCTTTGCAAACCAGTGCCCTGATGAGAGGACAACCACGTCAAATGTCGGAAGAGCTTCTATTATGCGCTCATCAGGAAGGTCCAGCTTTAGTTTGGTGACACCTTCAGGAGCGTAGTCGAATTTTTCGGTGAACTCATGGACGAGCCAAGATGACCAAATGCGGGCAATCATCACTGATGATGACTCAAAATACCATCTCTGCATCTTTCGGCTCCCACGATTAACCGGTTTTTCAACCTGAAAAACAGCTATTGACGTTAATATAGATCATTTATACACGTTTTTCATCATTGACAAAATCTCCAAAGAGAAATTGACCTGAAAAAGAAGAATTACTTGCCTGCCAAAGAAGGCACAACATGGACTCCATCTGGTTACGAGCTACTGAATCTCCTATAAAGGCCAGTGTCTTGCCTTTCATTAGCTCAAGAAATTTCCTGGGATCAAATCGAGGAAGGTCACACTGAGACGGTTTCCATCTCCAGTTTTCATATCCCTTGTCAGGTCTTCCATTGCCCTGGCAGTTCTGCATCTGCGTCAGGACGGGGCAAGAGTTGTTCGTGTACACAGGTCCCCCAGGATCATAAAACCAGCTACCGTGATACAAGTCACACTCTACAAGCAATCAAAGGTTTGGGTGAGAGTCAAACTACTAACGTGTTTAGAAAGCATCGAACAACTATAATCATGAGAAGCAAGAAACTGAGGTCTAACTATCGAGTAAATTGGGTAGAAGGCAAAATAACAAGACCATGATAGCAATGAAACTACTTTTCTTAATTCAGTACAACCGAACCAGATAATTGCTCTCTAACCAACTCAAAACAGCTCTAATCTGCTACATTCAGTCCTACGCTAGATACAGTAAACCCAATAGCCAAGAGTTGAGCCGCCAAACTTCTTTAAAGCTTATCGGAAAGTTGAGCCATTTGCCATAGAAGTGCAAAACTCAATGTATAACATTCCCATACTATTCTTTTGTTTATAATAAAATAAGCTACCAACCATAAAACAAGATGTTCCAAATAAGAAAAAGCTACATAAATGGAAACTAGCCTGTTAAAGAGAACAGTACCTGTTTCTGCTGAAGTAGTTTCAGAGTCATCATGTGGAGGAGAAGATGATGCACTCAGAGTGTCACCAGCCTTGGAAACATTTGTTTCACTTTCATCTGATCCAACATCAGACTTCCCAGTTGTATCCTCTTTTTCTTTTGTCAAAGGTTTCTCCAACTTCCTATCACTATCGAAACCTGGCGGAGTTGTTTTTGTGATTACAACATCAGAAGAGACAGAGCTAGACTGAGAAGTCAGGTTTTGACCTGAAGTATAGATGTCGCTAGCCGCCGTGTGGAGGCCTTCTACGGTATGGTTGCTCAAAGATAAAGGGATTTCAACTTGTTGAAGAGTCCCTATCCCATAAAATATGCCGCTAACTGAGGAACTGATTGGATACGAGAGACGTAGCAACAATCCGAAAACAAAGAACGAAGCCAATCCACCGATGGCAATTGCAATTGTAGACACCTTCCGAGGAAATCCAGCGGCAAATATAGAAACTTTAGGAGAACCCAAAGCCATGGCTTTCCTAAAGAAACCAGGAACCAATGCCAGCAAAGAAGAACAGAGCCTATATAGGTGATTCGATCACACTATCAACATTCTTCAAAATGGGTGGGGTTGAAAGATCAATGCTCCAAGCAAAATGATTTCGTCACTGGGATCGCGATCTTCCACTGAACTAAGTGAAATTTTAACCTTGACGCACTGGTTCACGGTTTGGATTCCTCCAATCGCCTTCGTCAGGTTCGAAAGCACTGAAATCTGGAAGAGCAACACTATGAATCAACATTCTCGATCTCACCAAAAAAGGTACTCTAACTAATGAATAATCTAACATAGAATCGAATTTTTGAAGAAAACTTAGAAACGTTCATCAATTTGCACAATTCAACAATCCCTAAACCAGAAATATCCTGTAAATACAACTCAGATTCAGCTCAAAGCATACGTATTCGCCGACAGATTTACCGGAGAGAACAAAAAAAAAAGATTGTTTTCTTCACGAGACAGATCCAACATGCAAACTTACGGAATAAGAAGAGAGAGAGAATCTAGGAACCTTGAAAACTCAGGGGGATTTCACCAGAGACGAGCAATCATCTTATCCTTGTCGTCTTGTTCGTAAAGCGAGCTCAGAGGGAGAGAGATTCACAAGAGAACCAGAATAAGTAATCTGCGAAATCAAGTTAACAAAAGGTTAAAACCAAAAAAAAAAAAAAAAAAAAATTAACAAAAGGTTAGTTTTAGTTATAGAGTTAATATTGTTTAATGATGTTTTGTTAAATCTCTGCGGAAGTAGTTAGTGGAAATTAAAATCATTGCTTTCTACTTCTTCTTCGGAAACGTTCGGAGCAATCAATGCCGTCTGCGATCTCATCAATCAAGACGGCGCGTGGACGGCCGGCCACGCGAGGACATCCAAAATTACTAAACTACCCTGCGCTGCTTCGAAGGTCAACACTCAACAACCACATGCGTAGATTTCGACTATTCTGTCAAATATTATTACCTGTTCATATAATTTTGAGCTCCTGACAAATTCCACAAATAATTGTGTGTTGATTAGTTTGAATTTCTCTCTCAATAATATTAAATAACTATCATTGAAAATTGAAAACTCAATGTTACTCCAAGGGATAAAATATCACAAACCGGTCGTAAGTCAACAGAAGAAAATTAGATCGGCAACATTTCCAAAACTTTTAATTCGCCACATAACAATATTCCAAAACTAATTCAAAATTGATCTTTATTAGCGTTTTAGCGACATGACATGTACAGTACTTGTTTTCTTCGTTTTTAACAACCGACATGTACATCTTTTAACTAAGTAAATTGTTTGGTATAAAAATGATATCCGTAGAATATATGGCGAACAACGACGCGAATCTCATTTTTTTATCGTACCTGAGACGACGTAGAATATATCTTTTTTGGTCGACCAGTGTAAAAGAAGATACTGGTTTGCACGATTGCATCTAATAAAGACATTACACATTGGGTTTTAGGTGACGACAAAGCAGGGTAGGCTCCTAAAAAGATAAGATTACGAGGTCTATAGAGCCAAACCATTCATTGATACAAAAACCACCAAATCATTCGTTTTCTATATTCTCAAGTCAACTAGACGTGGATGTGTCATGTGCGTATACATTGGCTGTAATTCAATAAGCACATTGACATTTCACATGTAGCGTCGATTATAAGAGATCAAATCAAATTAAGTTAGTATTTTCTACGCTGTTGCGAAACTAAGACCTGGTCTGCCTCTCTAGAATTGTTTAAAAAACTCTTGGCATCACTCAAAACCCAAAAGTCAAAATCTCATTCTTTCCTGTTTTGTTTCAAAGACAAAGAAACAAGATTCTTAATTAAGATTCTGACTATGGACTTCGATCTCTAGAGAGAGAGAGAGAGAGAGAGAGAGAGAGAGAGAGCCCTGAGGCTTTAACAAAAGGAAACGAAGAATGAGATTCGGGAAAGAGTTTGTGTCTAAGATGATCCCAGAATGGCAAGAAGCTTACATAGATTACGCTTACCTCAAGACCATTCTTCAAGACATCCAAGCTTCTCGAAAGCTTTCGGAATCCAGCAGCCAGAACAACAAACCTTCATTCGCACGCAACCTAACCAGACGGTACAACCGCGACGCCTTGGTCTCTGAGGATCACGACATTGTTGTCAACACGGTGACTCGGGAGATCGACACGACTTACGAGACGGTGTTTTTGAAGGCTGGAGAGGCAGGTGGAGACTCTGAGGTTGCTTTCTTTGGAACCCTAGATCGAGAATTCAACAAAGTGAATAGCTTTTACAGGTCGAAAGTGGAGAAAGCGAGGAGCGAGGCCGTGTCTCTGTCCAAACAGATGGATGCTTTGATTGCTTTCAGACTCAGAGTTATGGAGAAGAAACCTTCTCACTCTGCTTCAGTCTCAGTAGACATCGATTCTTTAGCCTCTGAGATTGGATCATCTTCCAAGTCTGGAGAACACAGTGAGTTTCTCAGGTTCTGTTTGCCTTTTTAATCTTGGACCCTGAAGATTGTAAGGTTTAATCTCTATGTTTTGATTAATCAGGAGTGGCGCTTGGTGAACTTATGAGAAACGAGGAAACAGCGAATGAGAGTATTCTTGAGCGTATCAGGATGAACAAAACGCGGGAATCTCCTCTGTCTGCCATTAAAGCCATCGTCAAGGTCCATAAGCAGGACGAGCTCAAATTCACAAGAGATAATCTCAAGAAAGCCGAGGAGCTACTTCAAATAGCGTTTATCGAGTTTTATCAGAAGCTTCGGTATCTTAAGAATTACGCCTTCTTGAACACTTTGGCGATATCCAAGATAATGAAGAAGTATGATAAGGTACTTTCTACTCATCTTCTACTAAATTCCCTTGTTTTAGGCCTAAGCTATCTGTTCTTTTTAAAAATTAATTTGGTGGACTTTAAACTATATTGATTGTATATTAACTCTCGACCATTTCGGAAATTTGAAATTTGATAGTTTATAAACTTAATATTAAAAAAAAGAACCTAAACATATACAATATGCTGACAAAAAATCAAATAATAATCCTTTTTTTTTTTTTTACAATTTTGTCTTTTAATGGTTCTCTACAAACTATAGTGTACATAAGTTTGATCAATTATATATTTATTAAACTTGTATTGGAAAGATTTTAGTAGTTTTTTCTGATAATATATTCTTTTATATTTTGTTTGTTGTTTTCATTTTTTTTTAATAAGAATAATTTTCTCAAATTACTAAAAATATGACATGCCATCATTTCTGTTGATAATGTTGACAAATTTTTTTTCTCTGTATGGCCTAATGATTGAGATGCTTTCCGATCATTTAGATAGCCGCAAGAAATGCTTCGAAACTGTATATGGAAATGGTGGATGGCTCTTACCTCACTAGCTCCGATGAAGTAAGCAGATTTAAGATAAAACTCATTCTTCTCTGTCTACAAAATAGGAAAAATGCAACTTCAAGTTAAGTATGAAGCTTTAAACATCTGCAGGTTCATAAGCTGATGCTAAGCGTTGAATCTACTCTCACTGAACATTTTTGCAATTCAAACCGGAGCCAAGGGATGAACCTCTTAAGACCAAAAGTGAACAAAGAAACTCATCGGATCACATTTTCAACCGGTATATAATAACACACTGCAGTATCCAAAATTTGATATGGATTGTTCAGGAGTATATCATCATTTTGTTCTGTTTTTCTTGTGTCCTCTGTTTTTTTTTTCAGGCTTCTTCTTCGGCTGCGCTATTTCTCTCATAATAGCTCTTGCTTTGATCATCCATGCTCGTAATATCTTGGGCACACCGGGACAAAGAACTTACATGGAAACAATGTTCCCTCTTTACCGGTAAATAATACAAACCAAACAACTTTTCTTTCTCTTTGCAACATTAGTTCTTATGAGATACATTTCATTTTCAGGTTCTTTGGGTTTGTGGTTTTGCACATGATCATGTACGCTGCTAATATTTACTTCTGGAAGCGATTCCGTGTCAATTACTCCTTCATCTTTGGATTCAAACAAGGCACTGAACTTGGTTACAGACATGTTCTACTTCTCAGCTTTGGTCTTGGTACACTTTCTTTGTGTGCTGTCTTATTAAACCTTGACATGGAAATGGATTCTCAAACAAAAGACTACAAAACAGTCACTGAACTTATTCCCCTCTTTCTCCTCTCCGTAAGTTCATTTTCTCTCTCTTTCTCTTCTAATTTCGATTTACAACTCAATCCTTTTGTGGTTGGTGAGATTGGTTTCTCTGCACATTAATGCAGCTAGTGATTGCCATTACTCTCTGCCCCTTCAACATTTTGTATCGGTCAAGCCGATTCTTCTTCCTCGCGGTTCTGTTCCGCTGCATCGCTGCACCATTTTACACGGTACCAACAATATCCTCTGCTCCACTCACCTGAACAAAAAACATAAACAAAATGTAAAGATGAATGTCTTGTTTTTTTTACAGGTGAATCTTCCGGACTTTTTCTTAGCAGATCAACTAACAAGCCAGGTTCGAGAAATCGATGCTCAAAAACTACTTCCATACTTATTTGATCGATGATTTTATATGTATAGAATCAATGTATAGGTTCAAGCATTCAGGAGTCTAGAGTTCTACATATGCTACTATGGATTTGGAGATTTCAGACAAAGACAAAGAAACACCTGCAGATCAAACGATGTGTTCACAACATTCTACTTCATTGTAGCCGTTATACCTTACTGGTTACGATTTATTCAGTGCATCCGAAGGATATTTGAAGACAAAGATCTGGGTCATGGTTACAATGCAATCAAGTATCTTTTGACCATCATCGCTGCTTGTCTTAGAACAGCTTTTACTCTTAACAGAGGAACCACATGGAACATCACAGCTTGGGTTCTCTCAGGAGTTGCAACGCTTTACGCAACTTACTGGGACATTGTTGTTGACTGGGGATTGTTTCAAAGAGGATGTAAGAACAGTTTCTTGAGAGATAAGCTTCTTGTTCCTCACAAAACCGTGTATTACGCTGCAATGGTGAGCAGTCAAAAACAGCAGTTTCCTCTGTTTCTTTTTTTTGTTTACACTATTGTTGAATGTTGTTTCGTCTTTTGGGCAGGTCCTGAATGTTTTGTTGAGGTTAGTGTGGTTGCAAACAGTTCTGGATCTGAAATTCTCATTCTTACATAGAGAGACTCTTGTCGCGCTTCTGGCTTGCCTCGAGATCATACGCAGAGGCATATGGAACTTCTTCAGGTAAGATCAGAGGCAGATAAATTATTGTTGTTTCAATGGATGTATAATGTTTTGAGAAGTTTTGTTGGTTTTTGTTGATAAGGCTGGAGAATGAACATTTGAACAACGTTGGGAAGTTCAGGGCGTTCAAATCTGTCCCGTTACCGTTCAACTACCAGGAAGATGGAGATCAACACAGTAATTAGCTTAACAGGAAATACGTGGATTTATGAGCATAACTTCATACACACGTAACCTAACTAGGTTTCACACACACACGAAAAAAGCTCACAATTTTGAAATATATAGAAGGGATGTTTATATATTGTTGTAAAATATAGTTTTTTTTCATGAAAATATTGTTGTAAAATGCATTTTTCAAGTTACACAACCTTCCGATTTCATTTTGGGGCTTATGTTTACAAATATTAATTGGTTGTTTTGGGCCTCACCGAAGGCCCAAAATACCGAGAACGGTTTGGTTGGACAAACGATCGAAGTTTCTCGAAACCGCGTAATCTCGATAACCGCCGATTTTAGAAAAACGTTATAAAGCGTCTGCAAAAACCCTCGCTCTAGGGTTTTAGTCTTCAGAACAAGCTGCCGCTTCGAATCTAAAGGGTTTATCGACATCTAGCCGAAAATGGGTTTCTGGGGTTAGTTTCTCTGTTCGATCAACGCAATATCGTTCGCCTAGTCTCATCTTTTTTTTTTGTTCATCGTGTCCTGATTGTGTTCTTTTATTTAACACTTGCAGGACTTGAAGTGAAACCTGGGAAACCTCAATCTTGTGATCTGAAAAATGAAGAAGGGAAGGTTCACGTGACCCAGGTATAATCTTGTTTTCTAACCATGAAATCTTGTGGAATCGGAGCTATATATATACAGTTTCGTTTGGAAATTGATTGTATCGTTGTGTTGAGCTCGTTGAGAGTAATTTCGAAGCTAGTGTTGATGTTAGTATCTATTCCCACCTTTCAGGCAACTCTAGGCGAGGGTTCGGGCAAAGAGAAGAGTGTCATCAAGTGTTCGGTAGGAGACAAGACCCCGATTTACCTGTGTTCATTGTTGCCCAACAAAACCGAATGCTGCCCTTTGAATCTTGAATTCAATGATGATGACGAGACAGTTGAATTCTCGGTGACTGGTCCCAGAAGCATCCATCTGTCTGGATACCTGGAGGAATATGATCAGGAAGGTGATGAGCAGGACGAAGATGATTCGTATTCTTGGCAAATGATAATTTCACTTGTTTTTTTTTTTAAAATCTTTAATGCATCTGCTGTTTATAATCTTGAAAGTTTTCATTGCGACAATATTAGAGATGGTATCGATATTGGTGAGAGTGAGTCAGAAGAGGCATCTGACTCTGAATATGATAGTGAAGAGGACCAGCTGGATGATCTTGAGGACTTCCTTGACACCAACCTTGAAATGTATCGGCAAGCTTCTGTCCCAAAGAGTGGAGGTACTTTCTCTACCCACAGATCTTAATTAGACTCGTAGCAAGCACTTTACAATTGCACTTTAGTACCTCACTCTTGTGTTATAAGTATAAGGTTTCAAATAGATATTGAGAATATGATGTACCTTCTCAAAATTATATTTATAAACGTGAATTTTATGTGCAACTGTATAACATATGCAAATGCTGTATGATTTGTTATTTTATATTGTTATGTAACAACAAACTGAACGATATTTTTGCTAGTTGTAATTGAGGAGATAGAAGAAGATGAAGAGAAGCCCGCCAAAGATAATAAGGCAAAGCGGCCCAAGAAGAAGATTCAACCTACCAAAGACGAGAACGCAAATAAACAAATCATTGTTAAAGAGAGTGCCCATGTTCCAGTTCTGGAGAGCGAAGATGAAGACGGCTTTCCTATTCCCAAAGGAAAAGCACCTGAGCCAGAGAATAAGACTGGTAAGAAGATGGACTTAGATGATGATGAACAAGGTAGCAGCAAAAAACGCAAGGCCAAGGCTTCTGAGCAAGATGGTGTACAAGAAAGGTATCCTTTTCTTTGATTGTTTACTGACGCTGAGGATGTAGTGAACATATCATATGTTAGCAAGTATTGCAGAAATATGAAGTTGTTTCTGAAATTTGTTCCAGTGCCAACAAGAGTAAAAAGAAGAAAAATCAGAAAGAAAAGAAGAAAGGGGAAGCTGATGAACAAGTTCAGGCGGGAAATGTGCTGAAAAAGCAAGAATCAAGCCAAAATTCTCCAACCCCGAAAGCTCAAAAGGGAACTGTGAACAATGCCATGTGAGAACTCTTTATTTCTTGATTTGAGGGCTCTTTTTGGATAATAGAACGTATCTATGTCATTTGTGAAAATATCAGTATAGTAGACTTTTGAATGATTATTCGAAATCATTAGGTCACAAGTAGAGAAGGCTTTGTGTCATGTATACAACGGTTCTTTCAGACATTTTCTCATATAACAAACTTATGTGCTTTGTATGGATTTGCAGGAGTGAAAGCTCCAATACCCCAGTTAAATCTGCTGAGAAGAAAAATAAGAATAAGAAAAAGAATAACTCAAGTGAGGAAGCTACAGTGGAGACTAAAACCAATTCTAGTAAAGCTGAGAAATCAAAATCAGGCTCAATTGAACGGAATCAAGAGGACTCCAAGGCTTCTCAAGAACGGACATACCCAAATGGGCTCATTGTTGAAGAGTTAGGCATGGGCAAACCCAACGGCAAGAAAGCTGCTCCTGGAAAACAGGTTTGCGCGCTTATAGTTATAATCTTAATGTATATGATATCATAATTTACTGCATATATGTCATGTAGATTATCTTACAAGGTGGCAGCGTGATTAAGAATGTGGGTATACAAAGAATCCACATTAGATAGTTAGTGAACATACTAATGCCTTAAAAGACCTAAGAGCACCCACACACCCTTAAGTTGTGGTGAACTCTACCCAATAGTCTATGTTGGCATCAATGTATTTTGTTAGCCTTGTTGTGTTTTCCCCCAAATATTGAGAGCTCGTTTCTCTTTGTCTCTTGAGTGCAGGTTAGTGTCCGCTACATTGGAAAGCTTCAGAAGAATGGGAAGATCTTCGATTCCAACATTGGAAAGAAGCCTTTTACCTTCCGTCTAGGTTGGTTTTTTTCACTAGATGCAACAGAAACCGATTTAGAATTACAATTACAGTGTGTGAAAGGTACTTGATACTTATGCGGCTTGTTGTAACATGCAGGTGTTGGACAAGTCATTAAGGGATGGGATGTTGGCGTTAATGGTAATCTAATTTCTTACTGGTTTTCTTCAGGTTGTTCAAAATGTTACATCTGTGTTGTTCTGATCTAAGTTTTTTTTGAATTCCACAGGGATGCGTGTCGGTGACAAAAGAAAGCTTACAATTCCTCCATCGATGGGGTAAATTTAAATGCAAAGAATTTTGATTGATATTTTCTTTTCTTGATTGTGATTTTTGTTTAACCAATGGGATGTGTGGGTTCACAGGTATGGTGCGGGCGGTGCTGGTAGCCAAATTCCTCCGAACGCTTGGCTGACCTTTGATGTGGAACTGATTGATGTTAGGTGAAACCGCTCCGAGTTCATAAAGATTGAATCTATGATCTAAGGATTTTTGAGCTCCCAAAAGATTGAATCTTTCCTCCTAACTCTTGAATCTTTTAAGAAAATGACTCATGTTTTCCATAGTGTCATAAACAATTGTGTTAAGTTTTCTTGTATTGTGAGTTTCTCGGATTTTATGTCAACGTCTTACTTCATTTGTTGTCCTTTCCTGTTACACTTAAAAAAAAACCAGAGCTCTCACCCCCATACCAAAGTTACTCCATACCAAATGATTGAAAATCTGTACCTAAATTGTGAATTGAACAGCCCTATTTACATATATGTAACAGCACAGTTAGTACAGCCCCCGTATGCATACATATTACTATAATTATATACTACAACCATGTGCAACTCCATAAACTAATGAAGACTTTGATCTTAATTTTTTGAATTTTGATCCATGATTAAACTAGATATATATTTTAATAAATGAATCATTTGTCTATGTCTCTTTCTACAGGTCAAGCTAAAATCAAAGTCATTTTGGTACTGTCAGAAGATACTTTGACCGGTTTCTTGTTCTGCAAGTTCTTTTGACCGGTATATTTCTTTTAAAATTATAAATTATATTTACAGTGTAAAATTGATGATTCCATACATCACCATCGTTCTCCTTCCGCAAGGACAATTTCTCCGGCGCCGGTTTGTTCGCAATTTTCTGTGATTGTTCGATCTCCATTTGCTTGAACTGCGGTGTTAATGGTTGTTTGAACTTGTATAATTTCTAAATCTTTGGTGTTGGCTAAGTAAGCATGTGAGGGACTTTTGAATTGTGGTTTCCGAATGAAATTACAAATAAAAAGCTTACAAAAGAAAGATTTTAATCTTTTTCTTAACTAAGAGAGGTTTACATAATTCTCTATCATTACCATTTTCAAGATAACAAAACCACAGAGTTTTCAGGTTTTTGCACACAACACAACAAACATTGTGAAGCAACAAAAGATAAGTATTGTTTTTAACCGTGATTCTCTGGAGCAGAGGAGCTTAAGTTGTAGTTTCTCAAAGCAGAAGCGACCTTCTTAACTATCTTTTGCCACTCTGTCTCTTCCCCTGTTTCACACAGTTTTCACTAATTGGTTAACAACATTTACATACATGAAATTTTCATAAGACAAAATGTTTAAACTTTATTAATTTACCTTGGTGAGGTCCTCCATGAAGCTGCCTTCTAGCTTCTTTCAAGAACGAGACCACTTTAGGATTCATTCGGTTATCCTCCTGTATAAGACAAATGTCTCCAACTTTTGCAGATGTGGTCTTGTCAACGGAAGGACCTTTGTTCCAGTGAAGTTTGAAATCGCATCCACACACCTCCTTCCCTTCTTCATCCCAACCATGCATCTCCCTCTCCACCTGAAAACGTACAAAAGAACATCAAAACCGGGATTTTCAACATTAATAAACCGGGATTTCAAGATTTTTGGAAGTCTCTCACGTGAACGACGACAGCGTCGTAGAATTTGACTTCGCCGGTGACGGAAGGACACGTGGCGCAGACTTTCGTGCCTTCGGAGAGCGTAGAGCACTCGAGGTCTTGCATCTGAACGGAAGTAGCACGGAATCTTTCTTCGAACTCTTTGATCTCGTCGGAGTTCTTGAAACCGTCAGGTGCATAGACTTCGTCGTACTCGCAAGGGAAGCCGTTGAAGGTAACCACCAAAGAGTCGCACATATCCCACACATCAACTCCGTACCACGCTTCGTCCTCCGGTGATCGGAACTCGATTTCCGGCCAGTTATCGTTAGCCACCTCGTCGTCAGAGAAATGGCAAATGTATGCTCTTGGACTACCCTCATCAGACATTGTAAAAAGTTTCTTTGGGTTTTCGTAAAAAGTCGATGTCAATGCTAATGCAGCTGCTACTTTTAAGACAAGACCCAAAAGTAGCTCTGTAAGAAAATTGTCATTTTCTCTGTCAACTTCTTCATCAGTACAAGTGTTCAAAATTACGTCTGTGTCCCCCATCATCAGTTTAGAAGTTACAACATACTAATATCTAGAGACTTTGTTGAATCCTTTATTTCAAGATAGATAATTTCATGACAAACATGATAGAACCAAATTTAAATGTATATCTAATTTCAAATTTCAAATTAGCAAAAGCAAAGTGAGAAGTTTCTTGAAGCAGGAGTTTGGCAAATCGTAAGTTTGTTTCTAACATGGATACTACAACAATCACACAAGGAAAGAACCTAAACATAAGGAGCTTCTAAAACATCCTGTGTTAAACAATCAACCAAAATCTGAAAACCCACATCACCCTAACAAATCCGAGAAAATAAACAGCAGGAGGATCATCAGCTCGGGATCTCGTTGTCAGATTGGCTATCGCCTCCAAAGTCTCCATCCTCGCCTTCTAACTCATCGTCATCCTCTTCATCCTCCTCACCCTCTTCTCCTCGTACCTCTCCCACTCCCACTCCTCCTCCTCCCTGGATGGAAGAGAAAGGATCCTTGGCATGGTTAACCGAGTTTGTGTAGTAACTGTGAACCGCACTAGGTGCGTTTTCATGCTGGTACGAGACAGTTGGTGCAGGAAGAACAACAGAATTGTTGAGCCTCTCGAATCTCGCCTTCCGTTCTTCCGCCGAGATGTTAAAGGAGATGGAAGATGGTTGAGACCCGAATCTTTGCCGTCTTTCTTTTGCTAGCTGCAGCTGCGACTGCTCCTGACCCGCTATAAATGTCCCTACCATAACCTTTGTAACAAAAAAATAGATGTCAGACCACAAAAATAACTCACTCATGTTCCGAGACCACACAAGAGCTGGACGTTTGAACCAACCTGGACAGGACCAGCAGCAAGAAAGAGACCAGCGAGCCCTCCACCAAAGACACGACCGTCTGGTCCTGCAAGGCAAACACTCATACCACCAGCTCTACTTCGAGTCCCTCCAGAGTCATTTTGCATAAACGAACCCGTCAAAGAGAGAATCTCAAAACGACCCTAACCACAATAACATACAATAAGGAAACCGAACAGAAACAAGTGCATTCTTTATATGTATGAGAATTGAGGAAAAAGAAAGCGTTTTAGACCTCGTAAGTTAGAGTGCCGCCAGATGTCATAGATTGACGAAGTGTGACATTAGAGATGGGACCATTAGCTGAAAGAATGCAGATAGCACGAGATCCTTGTTGAGAGAAGGTCATTATCTTCATCGTCACATCCTGCAAAAATCCATGTGTCAAAAGATCAGGCTAAGTAATTGATCGTAGTTAGGGATCTGAAGTTTGAACCATGTGACTCTGATCAGATCAGGAATGAACATTCAGAAAAACCATACCTCTCCGGCGTTTACTGTGAGCACATGAGGTGTAAAGTTGGCACCGACAACATCTGCAACAGTTCCTACACCTGCGAAATTGGTATCAACTGAATCCAGAGAAGTCAAAAATCAGAGATGAGACAACAAGACATTAAGATATACATAGGCAAAAATAAAATGAGATGTTGTTGATCCATGAAAAAACACACAAGACGAGGATTTTCTCTTGATAAGAGCTGTTTTTTTTTTTCACTCTAATCGTGGAGCATTTGGGAAATGTTGTGATGTAGCTATTCTAATACTTCCCTAAAGTCGCAGCCTTTTTCTTTGTCTTCACTAGCTTATGACTTCTGAAAGCTCAAAAGTTCACTTCTTATTCCAACATCGTTTAAGTCAAACCCGCATAGATCCATACGAATCAATTAACTAACAAAACCGCAACATTTCTAATTCTGAACAGACAAGGTTCCAAAACAAAGTATTATTTACCAGGACTTCTGTCGAATTGGAACATCTGGGACTTATCGCGCCATCGACTGGACTTGTTACCACGTCCTCTTCCTCGCTTCCGAGGAGGAAACTCCGACGACAACGGAACGGAGGAGGAGATTGGCATCGGCGAGAGAGTCACGGCGAGAGTCCCGTCGAGGTTATACTTTCTCGGCCTGCCTCTCTTCTTTTTCGGCTCGGAGGAAGCGGTCTCCGGCTGCATTGTCAGGCTGAACGGAGGAGCCGCATTCTCAACAGCAACGGCGGCTGTGGCGGCGGAAGAAGTGATGGGTGGGCCCGAAAACGGGCTAGGGTTATCGGGTCGTGGTGGGTCCATCGGGTAACCATCAGAAGCAGCTTCATGTTGTTGCTTCAAGCCGAAACTGCTGGCGTTGTTGGTTCCTTCTCTCTCCTCCATCCGGACATAGATCAGTGATTCTTGTAGGGAGAGATTCCGACAAATGAGTAGAGCCCAGAACAAAAATAAAAAATCCTAAGATCCCCTCCGAATCTTTGTGATCACGAAAGATTCGAACTTGTTTCTTCTACAAACTCCCTACAGTTAAGATTCAGAGATAAGAGCGAATACGAAAGATGACTTTTGCAGGAGAATTTTTTTTTTTTTTTGGGAAGGAGCACGGAAACAGATCACTACTAGAGAGAAGAAAACAGAGCTTCCATGAGAGGAATCAATCTTAATTTCAGAAAATTCGACCTAAAACATCCATAATTATAAGCAAAGAAGAAAGATCTAATATTTTTTTTTTTTTCTAGGGGGTGGTTTAAGTTGGGGGAGAAATTTCTTAACGGGAGAAGGTGAAATTAGGGTTTTGGCAAGAATGGAAAGAGAAAATCAAATAAAAAAATGGAATAAACCAGATGGATATTATATAATTTTATTATCAAGAAAAAGAAACAAGGAAAGAGAGAGAAACAAGGAAAATGTAACTGTAGATTTGACTGATAATTTAAAAATTCAAGACTTAATTCGGATAAATTAATTACCTGGTTAAGCGGTTTAATGTTCTGGTTCTGGTTAATCTTGGTTAAATTAGTATAGCTTTAAGCTAAAAATTCAAATTTCTAAATTGGTTAGATAGGACCAAATAATTTGGTTTGGTATTTACCTTTTTGTTTAGTCAACTAATGGTTTTGTAATTACTTAAATTGTAATATTTAAATGGGATAATATTTTTTTTTAAATGGCAAAAAGAGCTGTAAAGCGAAGGAGCAAACGTAACGTTTGAGCCAAATTGCTTTTTTTTTTTTAATTTTTGTCCTACAATAAACATTGAGATAGAGACATGAATCTCTTTTAGTCTAAACTCGTTGACTAAAAAACATAAAAAGTTTGACTAAAATTCCTCCCAAACTCCCACAAACTCTGTGGTCCTTTTCCTCAAAAATACGGACTGGGCCTGTCAGAGTCCATTCTCACATGTCTATGATGATTGTTCATTTGCATCATCGCACGTTTGATTCACTTCTCAGATTTGTAATATCTCATCCAGATGCGAAATAGGGCTTATCCTCAATTGTAAATTTGTAATATCATCATCCAAATCTGTTTTTAAAAAGCTCAAAATTAAATTTATCCGTCTCTAAATATATCTTTTATTCAATCAATTACTTTGTATATATATACAAATGCATCGTTTCTGAAAGCCAGATAAACTAATTAGGATTACAGTTATCTCAAATCACAAATTACAATCTAGCAAAACCGATTTTTATTTACTTTAATTAATGTATTTTTGTTTGGTGTTATTTATATAAAAGAAATACAAAAATAAAAAGGAAATAAATACGTTTTGGTGGCAGAAAAGCCCTAAATCTAAACCCGATAAACCACCTGACCCGTTTCCAAACCCATTTCTTCTTCCCGCCGCACTGAGCAGACACGATGAGCTCGGAGATGGATGACTCTTCACCTGTGCGGCGGCGCGTGTCCTGCACAAAAAGCTTCGACGCTCTCTGGTTTTGCTACTGTATGTTCTCCCCCCTCCCTTGTCTGGTCGCATTCTCTGATTCTACATCTTCGATTTGCTCTCCTGCAAAAATCTATATTCCCTCTCCCCACTCAACATCTTTTTTTTGCTACTGGTTCCAATTAGTAATTGTTCTCCGTTGGGTTTATTCATCGACCAATCAAAATTTGAACTTGATTGAGATTTGATCACCTGTTAGAAAAAGTCTTCTCTTTGCTCATTTTGCCTTTCGGGAATTTTGATCTTCGTCATCTGTAGTTTTGCGTGTTTGTTGTGTCACCTTGGTCAAAGTATAGAAGTTTTTACACAAACAATGGGATTTTCGGATTTGAAAGGTCTCTGAAACTATTTCCACAATGTATGTTTTGTTGAAGGGATGTCTAGATGGTCCATCAAAACCAGCAATGGCGATGAGACAGAACAAGGTTGGGTTTTTAAGAAAAAACTGGAATAGTCTTGAAATATTTAGCGACCTGTATCGCTTTGTATCATCCAATTTCTTACACAAAGGGTGAAATCTGACAAATGTTTTGTGTGTGTTTGTACTTTTGTCTTTGTTTGCTCCATCTGTGTTTGAGGGTCCTATGAGAAACTTAATCCTGATGTACTGGAATTTTTTTTTTTTCGCATTTCGCTCTCCGTTACATTATGTTTATGTTGAATTCACTTCACATATAATGTTGTCTTGGCTCTATTTGACACAAGGATTAACTCAGACGATCTCTTTGCAGCACCATTTTACCAAATGCAGCAGTATTACCGGGTTGGAAGACTTGATGATTGTTCTAAGAAGTTCTCTGATCTCTTTGATTGTCTTTCATTAAAGACAAAAAGAGCTTCTGAAGCCGAGGTTTGTAGAATTCTTTTGATCTTAGTTGGTTCATTCTTCATTTCTTTTGTCTACTCAAACATTAGCATTATCTATTGGATACCACATAGACTAGATAACCTCGAATAAATATTACACCTCTTTTTGATGATTCAAACTCGATTTTACCTCAATAAATTCTGTTTTTTTCTCGGAAAAAGATAAACATGGAACATTGTTCTTCTGCACCATATACACATACATTTGTTGAGTTTCGATTGCTTATGTCTATGGATATCTGCGGTTCCAAGATATTTACGGTTTGACAATTGCAGAAAATCCTGGAAGAACAAGAGAAAGCAGATGCAGCAAAACATATCTGGATTATGCGGACACAGGAAGAAGCTTCAAGTCATTGGAACGAGACTTTTGGGCATTTGGATGATCCAAATTGTTAGAAGTACAGTTTCACACTCTCTACTGGATTCTTGATGGAGATTTTCACTTCCTAGAAACTCGATTTTTCTTTTTTTGGTAGAGATCTGCAGATTGTTTTGCCGGGTAGAAAAAAGCCTTTGTCATGGGGTTACCATGAACATTTTGAGCTAAGTTTAAGTTATGCCTCAATCCCCAAAGCAGCGGATCCGGAAAGATGGAGGGATGTTTAGAGATCATTTATTGGATCGTCGATGATGTATTTGGTTGATTGGTAACATACGTTGCCGAATGAAATCTTACATTTGTTAACAGAGAGATACCATTTTTTATTAATAAAGTTCGACATACACCAGTGTTTTTTTTTTTCTTTTCTTTTTCAAATAGCAATACTTATTATATGTTACAATGTTTAGAAATTTGGAAGTGATAACTTGAATAACAGAACGTCTCTGTTACTATTATTGGATAGAGCTTTGCGCAACACTAAAGAACGAAAGACTTCTTTATTGGCATTGTCTTAAGTGATTTGAAGCAGAGACTGAGAGAGAAAAAAACATGAAAACACGAATGGTCGGAGGAGACGGAGTTTCTTTGGCCCATACGCAATTGTATATCTTTCATTTAGATTCTCATATTTTCGAGGTAAGTTTTTCCATTGAGCTCACGGGAGAAGAAGCCATTGTTGTACTCTTCGGTGGTCACGCTTTTGAAAATTGCCGCCTTTTCCCTTTCAATGAGACTTCTCAGTGGACCAACTTCTTTGCCCGTTCCAGGATTATGAAAGGTTGCCACAGAGAGCCTCTCTTTCTCTGAGTTCACAACACCACGATGCTCTATACTTCGGTATGTCCCATTCGTTATGATCTACATTGATACCATCATCAGAACCATTTACAATATGATACCATCAAAAGTATATATGCTCTCTCGTCCATATAACATATACCTCTAAGATGTCTCCAATATTGACAACGAATGCATTTGGGAGAGGCTTGACAGAGACCCACTTGCCGTTTTTCTTGATTTGGAGACCTTCCACTTCATTAACCTGCAGCAGTATGGTGAGTCCTGAAGCATCGGAATGCGGAGTTACACCGATAGCCTTATCGGGCTCTGGACAAGGCGGGTAGTAATTTATCCTTATTCTCTGATCTATCTCCTCATCAAACAAGTTTTCCATTTCCTCGGGCTTGATCTTCAAGGCCGTCGCCATTTTCGCAAATAAGATCTTAGCTACGCGTTTCACTTCAGTGGAATACGTGTCTAGTGTGTCTCTGAAGAAACATAATCAAAGTATGTTAAACAGAGAAGACTTGTGGAGCTGGTAAGAAATGGTGTTTAATTATACATTTGAAACAAACCTAATGGGAAGAGGTAACTTGGAGAACAAGTCAGGCTTGCGTACTCGAACTGGTTGCATTGAAAGCATGAACGTGTCTGCCCAATCGAGTTTCTGCTCTTGTGAAACCACAAAAGCCTGTCCAAAACCTTCGATCTCACCAGGTTGTTGCCACAGTTTCTTCCTCTCTTCCACAGGAAGGTTGAACAAATCTTGAATCTCCGATTTGATTTTGTCCAAGAAGCCTCCTGAGTCCATTCCATGGTTCACAAGCTAGAGATGAACATAAAGACATATCACACAATGATAAGCTTTAAAATCTATACGGGGTTTACTATTCTAACACACACACAAAATAGAAGAGGAGTTGTTTTGTGTAAGAAATTTCGATAAACAGAAACAGTGAAGTTTGTTTGTTTGACTATTTCTTGACGTTATTTTTTTGCGTGTAAATGTTAAAAGACTAATTGAGACTTGCCTGGAAAAATCCCCATTCTTTGCATGCCAAGTCGAGCTTGTCTATCTCAAAATCCATAGTGGTTGAAGAACACAAACGGTTCAAGTCAATGATTGGGATCTCGGTGCTTAAATCACCGTCGATCTCAGCTTTGTCTAGATCAGACCGTACATACCTCAGAGGAATTGTCGTGCTCATCTTCTCCTTCACCATCTCTTGAACAGAAGGAACGATTATAGAGCTATATTGGCTTGCTCTCTTGGCTTCCATGGCGGCTTGTTCTTGACAGAAAACAATGCTAATAATCCCACATATATACTGATTTATTTGAGCTACAAAGTCTGTAGCGAGTGATGACTAATCTATGTTTTTGAATACTATTCTATATTTGAATAATGACTGTTTTATATTCTTACTTATAACGAGGAAATTTTGGGAACATAGTCTGTAAAAATTATTTAGAAAAACAACAACTTGTTTTGAACTAACAATTTTATGTTATTTAGATTTACTATCTTTTGATTTTTCTTCTTTTGGGGTACAATTAAGGAGAATACAATTTCTGACTTGCTTTCTCTTATATAGGACCCTTGTAAGGATTCTCTGTTCTAAGGAATATATTATTAGGTTAAGTGTAGGAACAAGTGCAGATGTGTTGATCTTTGATATTGTTATAATATAATTGATGTCTTCTATTTTATTATTTTTCCTATGAATTTATGTCTGAAGCGATGAACACAACCAGCGTATAATAGTCATCGCAAATAATAGTCATCGCAGAATACACACACTCAAGATGGGTTTCCAAATAAATTACTATTTATCTATTCAGAAGTTTTGAATGTTCTACAAAATGGGTAATTTTTTTTTTAATGTCAAAGCTGTATGAGCCAGTCAATGTTTGACCAAAACCGCGACCTTTTTTTCCCTCTAAATAACATAAAATTTGTTAGTTTAAAGCCAGTCAATCTTATTTAGATTTATTCTCTTTTGTTTTAAACTAACAAATTTTATGTTATTTAGAAAAACAACAACTTGTTATCTCGTAAGTGGTCTGTGTGCAGTAACGAGCTATAACAGCCCAATATTTTCGCTTAATATGGCCAAGAGAGCATATATACTTTTGATGGTATCATATTGTAAATGGGGATGAGATACAAACGTGAAGAAGCGAAAATGTTCTTTACTGGCGATTGTCTTAACAGATTTGAAGATTAAGGGACAGAGAGATTAAGGGGGGAAAGAGTGTAGATAACAACAACAATGCAACAGGAACGGGTCAGAGAAGACAGAGTAGAGTTTCTTAGGTCCCAAGGCAATGGTTTTTATGTATATCTTCCTTCAGATTCTCATATCATCGAGGTAAGCTTTTCCATTGAGCTCGCGGGAGAACAAGCCCTTAAAATACTCTTCCGTCGTCACGCTTCTGAAAAGTGCCGCCTTTTTCTTCTCAACGAGATTTCTCAGTGGACTAATTTCTTTACCCATTCCGGGATTGTGAAAGGTTGCCACAGAGAGCCTCTCTTTCTCTGAGTTCACAACACCACGATGCTCTATACTTCGGTATGTCCCATTCGTTATGATCTACATTGATACCATCATCAGAACCATTTACAATATCATACCATCAAAAGTATATATGCTCTCTTGTCTATGTAACATATACCTCTAAGATGTCTCCAATGTTGACAATGAATGCATTTGGGAGAGGTTTGACAGAGACCCACTTGCCGTTTTTCTTGATTTGGAGACCTTCCACTTCATTAACCTGCAACAGTATGGTGAGTCCTGTAGAATCCGAATGTGGAGTCAAACCAATAGCCTGATCGGGCTCTGGACAAGGCGGGTAGTAATTCATCCTCATTCTCTGCCCTATCTCTTCACCAAACAAGTTCTCCATTTCCTCGGGCTTGATCTTTAGTGCTATCGCCATTTTCGCTAATAAGATCTTAGCTATGCTTTTCACTTCAGCCGAATACGTATCTAGTGTATCTCTGAAGAAACAGAAATATAATCAAAAATATTTTAAACAGAGAAGACTTGTGGAGCTGGTAAGAAACGGTCTTTACACATTTGAAGCAAACCTAAAGGGAAGAGGTAGCTTGGAGAACAAGTGAGGCTTGCGTACTCGAACTGGATGCATTGCAAGTATGAAGGTATCTGCCCAATCGAGTTTTTGCTCTTCTGAAACCACAAAAGCCTGTCCAAAACCTTCGATCTCACCAGGTTGTTGCCAAAGCTTCTTCTTCTCTTCCATGAGAAGGTTGAACAAATCTTGAATCTCTGACTTGATTTTATCCAAAAAGCCTGAGTCCATTCCGTGGTTCACAAGCTATATATAATCAATCATAAAGACATGCCACAATCAGACAATTTGAAATCTATATGGGTTTAACATTTTATCAAAAAAAGAATAGGGGTTTTATTGTAAATAATAAGTTTATACGAAATAGTGAAGTTTGACTATTCGAGACTTGCCTGGAAAAATCCCCATTCTTTGCAAGCAAAGTCGAGTTTGTTAATCTCAGAATCCATGGTGGTTGAAGAACACAAACGATTCATGTCGATGACAGGTATCTCGCTTATTAAGTCAACGTCGATGTCAGCTTTGTCTAGATCAGACCGTACATACCTCGGAGGAACCATCGTGATCAGCTTCTCCTTCACCATCTCTTGAACCGATGGAACTATAATAGAGCTATACTGGCTTGCTCCATTGACTTCCATGGCCGCTTCTTCTTGTAAGAAAACAACTGTAAATAGTGCCAAGTCTAATGATTTATGGGAGGCTATTTTTTGCTTTTAGAGCATACTATGGATAATACTACACAGTCTACAATGATTGACTACAATGAGTGATTGCCGACAAAGACAGAAAATTACAAATACATTGAATTTGAAAAAAAATGTACTATTTTTTTCTTTTCTTTTTTTTTTGGAAATTTTGGATTATATAATACTGTAGAAACTATTTTCAGGTATTATTTTACCAAAGAAATATAAAAATTGTTAATGTAAATCCAAATTTGCTTAGGGGTTTAGTGACTACTGGACCTTTCTTGAAATCCAAGCAAAATAATGTGTTTTTGGATCATTGATTTTCATGTTGAGTAGATGTCTGAACCTTTTCCAGAAGCTCTTGATAATCTGTTGAGCAAACACATTGAAATTATTATTGTCTTAATAAAGTGGCTCAGGGCTCTCACGTTACGAGTGTGTTTAATCTCTTTGAAATCTTTAATCTCTTTGAAATGACAATATTGGCACACGTTACGAGTATGTTTACGTAAGAAAACAATGTAAACCTACAAGTTTATTTGATGTCGTTTAACTTTTTTTAGGTTTGTAGAGCAAGATATGGCTACTTTTCAACATGCTTTAACATTTGGTTCAATTTGAGTCATGTTTTAACAATTACTTTTCTTCAATCTACTAATTAAAAGGAAAGAAAATGGGAACGACGTCGTTTCGAGTGTTTGGTCTTTCTCTGTAGGGCGTTTTCCCTTCACCACACACTTGTCAATGAGTCTTCTCCACCACAATTCCTCTCTCTCTCTCTGTCTGCTTCGAGTTCATGGAAACTTCTAAATCAACTGATTCTGGTCTTCCAGAGACGTCCTCATGGCGTCGCTCCATCTCCCGCATTTCCTGCCTCACCATCTCCGGCGTAATCATTTCCCCGCCGAATATCGAAGGAACCGAAGCAGATGTTGTTTGTCTCCGGCAACGAATGTAGATTCCACGGCGGTTGTGTGGTTCAAGCATGACCTTCGTGTTGATGATCATCCTGGTTTACTCTCCGCGTCCAAGTATAAAGCTGTCGTACCTCTCTACGTCCTCGATCGCCGTATTCTATCTCGTAAGCTCAAACACAATTGATGAACCACTGCTTCGTTTTAAGCTTGTGGGAGACTAAAATTGGATTCCACTCGAAGTTGATATTTTGTCATGTGTATCTGATCCAACTGTAGGATACACAACGGAGACCCTTGAACTAGCTATTATAGCCTTGGAAGAGCTGCGAAATTCCTTGAAGAAGCAAGGATCTAATCTTATGCTCAGATACGGGAAAGCAGAAAATGTCATTCAAGATCTTGTCAAAGAGGTAACTTTCACGGTTCTAGTTGAGCAATTTCACAGTTTTTAGCCAAGATAAACTATTTTGTCACAAGCACGTACTTGGGTCGTGACAGGTCCGAGCACCCTTTGTCTTTGTGGAAGACGAAGTAGAATATCATCTCTGTGAGGTTTTGGATGCTGTTAAGAAAAAAGTGGAAGGCGTTTCTTTTCCTGGAGATTCACCGAAGATTGTTGTTTGGCGAACTCCTTTCTATGAGACCCAAGTAATGTTATTTGCTTCTCTTGCAATATCAGTTTCTCCATTGAGATTCAGAACCAGTTTACTTACTTACTTAATATGACACATTTTCGTTCCCTCCAGGATTTGACGGATCTGCCACAATCATGGGAAGAGTTTAAGAAACTAAAGCTGCCTCTCACACTGCCAGTTCCTGCAGCAAGATTTTCATCTCCAGGAAGTGAATTGCAGTGGGGTAAGATGTTTCTTCAAAACTCATGAAGTTTGATCTCTTGATTGAGTGGTTTCTTTAGATATCTGATTCGTGACTCTTTTAACGGTAGGGCAAATGGTAAATGAAACATGCTCCAGGTTCTGTGCCAACGCTCGGTGACCTGAAGGACTACATGAAGGAAAGCTTATGTGAAAAAGAAAACAGTTGGAGGGAAATTGCTCAGGCATCTGTCGAAAGAGTATTAATGGAAAAGCTTGGTAATTTGAAGGGGAGCCGTATGAATCCAATCGTTGAGGGAAGTTTAGGGAAGAAGGTGCAAAACTCTGCGTTTGTCACAAGAAAAAGAGATACTGTTGGAGGTGGAACTGAGGTTGTACTGAATGCCCTAGCAGGATACTTGAGGTACTTGGAGGGTACAAGTCGAGATGACTGGCAAGAGTACGTGTGTGAACTCAAATCATTTCCCATATCATATGGAATGAATCTTGGTATATGAACTTATGTCTTGTCGAAGACTGATCGGTGTTGGTTTTGGTACTGAACAGGGTTCATGCAAGGCTTCGTGATGCTGAGGGTAGGCCCGGAGCTTCGTTTTTCAAACTTTTTGGACCTATCCTGTGTCTTGGTATTGTATCAAGAAGAAGGGTTCACTACGAAGCAATCGAGTACGAAAAAGAAAGGAATGCTGGGTTTATCTCTCCGTTTGGGTATTCAGCTGCTACAGTATCTGCTGCAACTGATGCTGTCTGCTCTATGGAGGTACAAAGAGTCAAAGGTGTGATTTTTCTATGCTTTTACGCTCTTTTCCAAAATATTTGAAGCTGTTCTTGGCAGTGGTATTCACTTGTGGCTCTAAATAGAGAGAAGGTTGGTAAAAAAAGGCACTCTATAAGGATTTGGAGATGGAAGGGCTATCTTATTCAGGTTTCTGATATTTACTCATATAACTCCAATGGCCTTCATTTGTCATTTTTGTAATCGCATTTCTATCGGTTTATGGAATATAAATAGGAATCACTTGCTTGTTTCAGTACACAATGGTTGGCAATGAAGGCCCTGCCGTTCTACTTGTGCATGGTTTTGGTGCTTTTCTAGAACATTACCGCGACAACGTAGACAGCATCGTAAACAGCAAAAACAGAGTATGGACCATCACAGTCTTGGGTTTTGGAAAATCAGAGAAGCCGAACATCGTTTACACCGAGATTTTATGGGCTGAATTGCTGCGGGATTTTATGATTGAAGTAGTTGGCGAACCAGCACATTGCGTAGGGAACTCCATCGGTGGTACGCACCTTAAGTTACTGAGCTGTAAATTGTAACACATATGCGTATAAAGCGCACAAATATTCTATGATACTCATCTAATTGTGTGCATATGTTTAACCTTTATCAGGGTATTTTGTTGCATTGATGGCCTTTCTTTGGCCTTCCTTGGTTAAGTCCGTTGTCCTTGTTAACAGTGCTGGCAATGTGATACCTGGATACTCTCCTCTCCTAATCTCTAGAGTATGTGTTTCAGATTTATTTTTGGAAATTAGAAGAGTTTTGGCTCGGGAATTTAACTAAGTATACTGATTTTTTTTTCCAGGAAAGGCGAGTTCCATTTGGCGCAAAGCTGGGTGCTCGTCTTCTTCTCTTGTTCCTACAGTTCAATGTCAAAAAGCTATTAAAGGATTGTTATCCAGTTGTAAGTAGTATGATAATTGCTCAATGCTCATCATTGTGTTTGTGCCGGGTTTCTAACCCAACTTGTACTTGTTTATGATGCAGAAACCTGAGAGAGCTGATGATTTTCTGATCACTGAAATGCTAAGAGCAGTATCCTTCTTTTTTTGCTGCATTAACTCATTGATGTTCTTCAATTAAAGTATTATTGATGATTAGTGGCATTACCTTAATACATACAATAGTCCCGAGACCCCGGTGTAGTTATGGTCTTGGAAAGTATCTTTGGCTTTGATCTTTCGCTTCCTTTGAACTATCTCCTCAAAGGGTTCGAGGGAAAAACTCTAGTGATTCAGGTATCAATATTTTCAAACATTTATTGGATCCTCATATCGTAACTTCTATTAGCGATTGCATTTATCAATATTCATTAGTTTTTTTATTCATGTATTAGGGAATGAAAGATCCCATATCGGATCCGCAGAAGAAAGTGGCCTTATTGAAGGAGCTTTGTCCAGCGATGGTGATTAAGAAAGTTAACGCAGGTTAAACAAAAAAAATCACGAATTGTTAAAAACCTTACAAACCTTCACGTCTCTATATCATTCTTGTTGACTCTTCTAAGTCTCATTTGCAAGTGCAGGTCACTGTCCCCACGATGAGATCCCAGAGGAGGTGAATCCTATTATCAGCGAATGGATAGCGAAGGTCGATAATAATGATGAACAAACACTAAAAGCCTCATCATCCAAGCAAATTTACCAAAGTAATAAACAGGGCTAAGGATTTGGTCAGCAAGACAGCTTTTAGTTCATAGATTTCAACAATTCAAATGCTAGAAACATGAGTAGTTGACGAGCAAATTCAAAGGAATCGTTATCATCTGAGTGTGTATACACCAGACAGACAGTATGAGATTCTCTGTTTATCTTCATAAACTTTATACTGTAAATGCCATATAGTTTGGAAATACGTGCTGTTTTGGGAGGGGGAAAGCGACACGGCGTTTGCTTTTTCTTAAACGGAAAACTGCACGTTTGCTTTTTCAGTTTTCACTTGATTTTTTTTTGACCTATTCTCTTCTTCTTTCCTTTTAAAAATTCGCAGGTCGCTTAAAAGCTGAAACACTAACATAAATCCCACCAAAACGCTGTCGCGAAAACGTTGAATAATTATATATTTGGCGCACTGCACCTCATTATTTTATTCTCCGTGATCCGTTTCTCGACGATATTTCTTGCTGGGAATCTGAAAACCCAAAATCCAAAATCGAGGAAACCGCAGACAAGTGAAGGAAGAAGAAGAAGACGAAGAAGAATACCGCAGGATGTGGAGACGCGTGGCTTCACTTTCTCAGATGATTTCTTCATCATCCCGATCCCTTGCGTCTAACCAGGTGCGACGTTTTCCGCATCGATTTCCAATCCCAATCGTTTTATCGTCGTCTCTTCCCTCGCTCGAATTTTTGATTTTGTGGATTGAACTCAGTTCATTACTCATTTTCTTAATATTCTAGGCAGCTTCTGGGCTCAAGCTTCGGGAATCTTTTGCAACGGAGATAATCAAACCGGTATGTGTAGGGATAAGCTCGATCAATCTGCTCGTGAATTGTGTTTTCATGTTTAAAATTGTTTACATTCTATATATATATGCCACAGGGAGAACGGATTTCACCGCCGAAAGAGAAAGCTCCATTCATTACATTTGTACTAGGCAAGTTTTCGATCTATCTGTGTTGATTTTCCATATAATATTTTAAAGATGATAAGCTCTTACGTACTCTTCAATCAAAGGGCACACGATATGTTGTTCCATTTTTGTGATAGTGATTTCGTCATTTGAATCAAACTTTTATCATGTTGGATTGGCATTTCAACAACTTGAATTTAGTCTCATGGATTTCAAAATCTCAGGAGGTCCTGGAAGTGGAAAAGGTACACAATGTGAAAAGATTGTTGAGACCTTTGGATTGACGCATCTTAGTGCTGGAGATTTGCTCAGGAGAGAAATCGCACTGCACACTAAAAATGGGTAGGACAATGAAGTTTTGCAGTGTACTTACTGAGAAAGCCTCAAAAGTTTGTAGTGGTGATATCTCAATGATGGTGAATCTCAATTTCAGGGCTATGATTCTCAACTTGATCAAAGATGGGAAAATCGTTCCCTCGGAAGTTACAGTAAAGCTAATACAGAAAGAGCTGGAGTCGAGTGACAGTTGCAAGTTTCTCATTGATGGGTTTCCACGAACTGAGGAGAATCGTGTTGCATTTGAGCGCATCGTGAGTAGAGTAGTATCTTCTCAGTCTGTGATTCCTTTCTTTTACATGGAAATATTCTCGAAACAAAGCTTTGAATAGATAATAGCTCCTTGAAACTACTGCAGATAGGATCCGACCCGGATGTAGTGCTGTTCTTCGATTGCCCTGAAGAGGAGATGGTGAAACGCGTCTTGAATCGTAATCAGGTGCTTATCTAAATCTATTTCCACTGTCAAGTTATTTTAAGTTAAGAGTGCCATGAAACCTTAATCCTTGCTGCTGCAGGGCCGAGTTGATGATAATATAACTACGATGAGGAAGCGTCTGAAAATCTTTGAGGCCTTAAATCGTCCTGTTATCGAGTACTACAAAAATAAAGGAAAACTCTACACGGTGAGTTTTTTGCAAACATTAGATAAGCTGTTGATAATGTTTGATTTCAAATGCCTTAGCTGATATTTCATATTTGGTGCAGATTAATGCAGTAGGAACTGTAGATGACATATTCCAACAAGTTCTTCCTATTTTCACTCCGTTTGAGGTATTCATTATCTCTCTCTCTCTCTGTATTCCAATTCAAAATGTCTTTCTTGTTTGCATCATCCAGACATCAGGCATTATATACACACTTGTGTTTTCTGCAACCAAATCATGACAAGATAAGATTTTTTGCCATGACAGTACAATAACACCTGTTATAATTGTGTGCAGCAATTGAAGCAGAGTCGACATGTAAATCCAAAGCCTCCTATCGGTTCGAGTTTGGTAGAAAATTCTTCTTGACAAAAGACGACCAGTCTCAAATTTGTTCATTACTTGAATTATGTGATGCAACGCAATGTATAATGTATTGCATGATTAGCATCGTTTTGTTTGTAATAACATAAGCTACAAAAAAACAAAAAACAAAAAATATAACTTTTTTAATACTATATATAAATACTTACACTCAGAACCTCTGCTTTCCCTCCATTTATCAATTCCCAACTTATGTATCAGAGAAAAAGAAGATAAAAAAACAGTAGAAAAGAGAAGGATGGTGAGTATCGTACACAAACCAAACTTTTGTTATCCATCCGTATCGTCTTCTTCGATGAAGAAGAAACCCAGACATTACGAACAGTTGAAGCAAAATCAATTAAAACACAACAGTGGATTCACTTCCCTTTCCTTCACCAAACCATCTCCCAATCCCATTTTGATCGGTAAACAGTCGGTTCACCGGACCAAACTCGAAGCCTTAGACTCCGTCATTACAGACCTCGAAACCTCAGCTCGAAAAGGCATCACGATCAGCGAACCAGAGATCTTCGCTTCTCTTCTCGAGACATGCTACAGCTTAAGAGCTATTGACCATGGCGTTAGAGTTCATCGTCTTGTACCTGTGTACCTCTTGCGCAATAACCTGGGGATTTCGTCGAAGCTTGTTAGGCTCTACGCGTCTTGCGGATACGCGGAGGTTGCACACGAGGTGTTCGATCGAATGTCTAAGAGAAAATCATCGGCTTTTGCCTGGAACTCTCTTATCTCCGGCTACGCGGAGTCGGGTCAGTACGAAGACGCCATGGCTCTATACTTTCAGATGGCTGAAGAAGGCGTAAAACCAGACCGGTTTACTTTCCCACGCGTCCTTAAGGCTTGTGGAGGAATTGGGTCTATTCATATCGGAGAAGCAATTCACCGTGATTTAGTTAAGGAAGGTTATGGATACGACGTCTATGTGCTCAATGCTCTTGTTGATATGTATGCCAAGTGCGGCGACATTGTTAAAGGAAGGAATGTTTTCGACATGATCCCTCACAAAGACTACGTTTCGTGGAACTCCATGTTGACTAGTTACCTTCATCACGGCCTTTTACACGAGGCCGTGCACATTTTCCGTCTGATGGTTCAAGATGGGATTGAGCCTGATAAGGTTGCTATATCCAGTGTTCTTGCTCGCGTGCTGTCTTTCAAACATGGACGTCAGTTACATGGATGGGCTATTAGGCGAGGAATGGAGTGTGAGTTATCAGTTGCGAATGCTTTGATTGTTCTCTACTCCAAAAGGGGTCATTTGGGTCAAGCCTGCTTCATCTTCGATCAGATGGTCGAGAGAGATATCGTATCTTGGAATGCTATTATCTCTGCTCATTCTAAAGATTCTAGTGGGTTAAAGTATTTTGAGCAGATGCAGCGTGCTAATGTTAGACCTGATGTGATCACGTTTGTCTCAATTCTATCTCTGTGTGCTAATACAGGAATGGTCGAAGATGGAGAGAGACTATTCTCTTTGATGTCGAAAGAATACGGGATAAACCCGAGAATGGAACACTATGCGTGTATGGTGAATCTCTACGGAAGAGCAGGGATGGTGCAGGAGGCCTACACAATGATTGTGCAAGAGATGGGGTTTGAGGCTGGACCAACTGTCTGGGGAGCTTTGTTATACGCTTGTTACCTCCATGGGAATGCAGATATAGGAGAGCTTGCTGCTCAACGTCTTTTCGAGTTGGAACCTGATAACGAACACAATTTCGAGCTGTTGATGAGAATTTACAGCAAGGCAAATAGAGCAGAGGATGTTGAGAGAGTAAGGCAGATGATGGTGGATCGAGGATTAGAGACATAAACTGGTTCTATCCGAAGGTACATACGAGTTCATCTTTCTTAAAATCAGCACATGTCATATTATGCTGAGTAATCTTACACACACATTAGACTTGTTTGTTCATAAGAAAGGAATCACATGACATGTTTGAACGCGTCTGATTGGTTAGCTGTTAGAAGTGATTTCTGATGTCTAGATTCTCGTGGGATGTCTTTTTGCAAGATTTGACTTAAAAAACAGCGTCTTCACTAGATTTTACTTTTTCCTCTGCATTATTCAATTGAAAAGCCGTATTTCTCGTGACCAATAGTGTTTCATATGGTTTTAGTAATTAGTAACATGGGTTTAGTCATTGGTCACGTGCATCAGGACCTACCACTTGTATTTTTAGAAAGCTAGGATCCAAATATGTTGTCTAAAAGAATCATAAGATAATGTGAAGGAGTCTGAACACCGTAGATGAAGACAAACCGGTTCCAGCTTATCCTCTTTTATTGATATCCTCACTGCTCCACATTTATTGACGTTTCAACTAACTCCAACTTTTGCTCTACAAATAAATATTGCTTTGTGTGTTAGGATTTAAGGATCAATGTATCTGCGTTCACACATTCTTTAAGCCTCTCTCTATAAAACCCTGAACTCTTTTGCTGCTACTCCCATATTTAGTTATTAGATTTAAAAACACATTTGTGTTTGGAACCCAAAATGGGTAAAAGTTTAGATCTTTCTCTGATTCTCTTTGTTCTGTATGTGTCCACCGCAGCAATAGCCATGGCCAGAAACCTTGAAGAGGAATCAAGTGGTGATACAGAATTCATTAAAGCCTCTTGTGAGACAACAACGTACCCGGAACTATGCTTTCAGTCTCTGTCTTCATACGCAAGCGAGATCAAGAAGCGGCCTCGTCAGCTAACCGAGACAGCGCTTGCTGTTAGCATGGCCCGAGCAAAGTCAGCGAAAACCTATGTCTCGGACATGACTGACTACAAAGGAATCACAAAGAGGCAGCACGAGGCTGTGTTGGACTGTGTGGAAGAGATGGGAGATACTGTTGACAGGTTGAGCAACTCGCTGAAGGAACTGAAGCATCTGGAGGAAGGCGAAAGCGGAGAAGACTTCTGGTTATGTTTGAGCAATGTCCGGACATGGACAAGTGCGGCTCTGACAGATGAGACCACGTGTCTTGATGGGTTTGGAGGGAAAGCCATGGATGGAGAGCTCAAAAGCTTAATCAGAGCACACGTTGTGCGTGTGGCGCAAGATACGAGCAATGCCTTGGCTCTGATCAATGTCTTTGCTTCCAAGCATTGAAAACATTTCCAAAAGGTTTGGTCTTGAGGACATAGTTTTTCTCTTGGATTTGGTTTCTATTGCGATTCAAAGAAATGTGCTTTCTTGTGGTTTCGAGTCAAATCAGTTCTCTTGCCATATTGTTGTATCATCTACGGTCCACATAGTCATGAAGCTGTGTGGATTTTGGATCTTTTATGATGAATTATATTAGATTCGTTTTCCATGTAGAGCATTTGCAATCAACTCTTTTAAACCTCTCAAATCATCTTTGATGCTCATTCTGTCATTCATTTGAATCTCCGATAGGCCTGAAGGGCTTATGGATTTGGCCCATCAAAGTCCTTAGTAATCCTCGACCTTTTGTTTTTTTTACTCTGAAATGTCGTTGTCTTCGTTAAAGTATTTGTTTGAAATGATAGTTTTAAACTATTTTTGAAAGATGATATCTAGAAGTCATTGAAAACTTGGAAAATATTACATAAAAGTTGTGATATATTCATAAAATTTTAGGGAATTTAACATTATTGCGTTAAAACTATATACTAATTTTGTATGTTCTAGAAACAAAAGTCATAAAGTAATTAGAGCTTGTATTTTATTGGTGTGTATTACTGTAAGCGTTAATCGTTATGTACTTATCTTATAATCGAGGTATAAGTTTGTAAAAGAGAGAAACTTCTGATACTTTCAAGATCTCATAGAGAGAAAAAGTCACAAGGTCAACGGCAAAATGGCCCAACTGGAATCGTTCATCATGGCATATGAAATACGAATTCTCTAACATGTCAATCCATATATTCTCAAGAATCGGTAAACTATTATTTGGAGAAATTTAATATGAATCGAATTTCATAAACCACCATATGGTATTCTGTTTTATTTTACCTGTTAATTATTTATTTATTTATTTAACATGATTTTTCATAACGAATTATCAATGTTTACGTGTTTGAGGCTACCATGTGAACACACGAATGAGTTACTAAAAGTCCAAAACATATAATAATTTTCTTTTTAATATTCTTTAAATAGTTTGGTACATCAATCTCATGGTGCACATCGTGAAAAGTAACTCTATAAACGTTGCACATTGTGAAAACCTGGAAAACAAAAAAAAAAAACGGTACACATGCACATGCAAAGAGATGAGGAGAAGATAATGATTGATTCAGTAACGTAGATAATTAGTGATAAGGGCCAAAGTATTGCTTGTGATCCTTGAAAGGTCAGTAACAGCCTTCTTCACCTTCTTCTTCGTCTCCACATTCACTTTCCCTTCCTCGAACCCGTCCGTACACGTGCCCTCGTCGGTCAACGCCGAGCTCACCCACGTATTCACGTTCTTTAAATGCTCCTCCTTAGAAATTCCTCCGCCTTTAAGATTCTTCATCTCGGCCATGGCTTGCTTGAGCTCATCCACAGTGTCCTTCATCTCATCTACGCAGTCCTTGAGGGTCGGGACCTCGGGGCTCGAGGCGGCTTTGGCCTTTTTGAGAAGGTTAGAGACGACTGATGTGGCTTTAGTGGCGGCTTTGACGTTGAGGCTGAGATAGGTTGTGCAGAGTTTGATTGGGTCGGATTTGATGGTGGAGCAGTATGGGGACAATAATTTGAAGCACATTGTAGGGTATGTTGTCGAGTTGCATGCTGTTTTTACGAACGTTTTGTAGTTTTGGTAGCTGGCTGGTGGAGTGGCTGCTGTCTTCGGGATGCTTGATGAGTTGATGAAAACCATGAGAGCTAGAGAGATTATCACGAAACGCGACATGTTTGAGAGAGTATAGATCAACAAACAAAAAAAGAAAAAGAGAAGAGCTAAAGAATGCAAACTTTTGCCGAATTGCGAAACTATGATGTATATGTACGTATTTATACACACACACACACATGACTCATTGGACTATTATTGCATTCCAGTTACTTAAGGAAATGATTGGATCAACACTTATATTAGGCTCGTAATATAATAACAAAACTATTCTAACCAACCACAAAACTATTATGTATGTGTACATCTTTTCATTTCTGAAAAAGAGGCAAAGATAGTATGATAAGGTCATATATGTAACTGAATTGTAACCAAGTTCAATTTTATTTGGAATGGTAACACCATGTTCCATGTTCTTTGCTCCTCTTACGGTAAAAGCGGTGACGTACTTTATGTTCAACAAGTAAAATGCATCCGTCTCCACATCCGTCATTGTAGATTTCACTATAATTATACATTTTGGAGTTACAACTTTCTTTCTCTCTCTTTTCGTTCTACCAAAAACTCTATAATATGCAAAAGTACATGCTTAAGATTAGGCCTACATCTAAATCTAAAAGAAAAACATTCCCATGGTTTTTTATACATATCTAACAATATATATTAGTTAATCCAGACAATTTCACTCAAAAATTGTTCCGATAGTTGAAATGCTAGAAAATATCACTACATCAATAAGCTAGTTCTTCTATTGTTTTAGTTTATTATTCGACATCTCATTCTGTTTGTTCATTTCTCCCGGATCATTAATGAATGTTATTCTCGTTCCCCTCTAATCATGCTCTAAAGTGTGAACAATCATAAGAAGTTATTTACTTACAAAACATGGCCGTTTCAAAATATACCTTAATCTGTGTCCAAATAAAATTAAAAGAAGATTACAAACAATTCATTCCGGTGTTTAAGCAAGGTGACACGTGATGTGATATGATGAACGTGGACCAGATCTCTTATTTCGGAGAAACATCATATTTTTTTTTTGTTAAGATAGTAGATTTATCACCTTTCTTCTGTAATCATTAAGAAAGACAGATCAACGTATCATGTATTCATGTATGTACATTAATGTGGAGAATTGATATCCAAATTGATCTCCGATGCATGATTTATAAGTATACAGGTGTTTATTGGTTGTAATTTTCACATAGTTTATAATTATATTTATAATTTTAGTATATTAATTAACCAAAGCAACTGAAAACAAACAAAACATTCGAGTAAAAACTCCTACCAGGTAAATAAAGAAGTTGAGTTTTGCAGCTTCAAGATCCGAGAAACAGATGAAGGATGTGAATAGTTTAATTGACAAAAACAAAAACAAAACTTACGTTTTCATCACAATTGCTGAGAGTGGTACCAAAGAACAAGAAACACGATTCTGAAACCAATTTGATCTAAAACCACACAAGAACCAGAAGTTGCTCTGATCCATGGGGATCAAAGATCTATGGATCAATGGGGGTAAATTAATCTAAAAATCACTAAGATAAAATCCAACGTTTAACATTCTACGACGATCTACAGCCAAGCTAGTAGTAGGGAGATCAAGAAAAACAGACCGGAGAACTTCACTTCCCCGGCCGGTTGATCAGCACAAACATGTAAAAGACTCAGCAAAAGGTGAAAACCGTGGCAAGCAACGCCATTAGTATGCTAAACATCAGCTTCAAGTGTCCATTTAATGTAGATGTTGCAGCTGAGTGGTGTTGGTCCCTGCAACAGTCATGAAGAAGAGTGTCACTATTCTATATATCACACAACAGAGCAAGAGAGTGAGAGAGAAGGATAGCAAAGTTTCAGATGCGTACTTCTGAAAGTTCTTAAGGGCACCACAGTAAAGAACATTGTCAGGTGGATCCATCTCTGTCTGGCCATTCTCCTCAGGGTTTGTGATTCGCATGTAAGTTTCTACACCAAGATACCATCTGTCAAGATTCTCTACTCGGATGTTCCAAACTCCGACATTATCAAGGGAAATTAGTCCAGCTGTCCATCCTCCTGGGTAAACCTAAGTTACAAGAAAACCAAAATAAAACTAAGAAAACTTGCAGATCAGAGTATTTTGAGTGATGCTGCTTTGTATGAACCTCGATTGTGCTTCTTGAGATGGCATCGTAATTGTTATATGAACCCTTTTTGTCTTCTGACCAAATACCAAAGTCCATCCTAAGATATAAAAAAATGGCACATCAACACCAGATTTTCATTTTCGATAGATAATTTAAAGGAGGAACAAGAATAGATGACAAGGTGTTATGTTTTTTCTTACCCAACAACAAAGAACGTGTAGCCGTCCACATGGAAACTCTGCATCTTGGTGTCATTGTTCTGGAAAACAACTTGTATAAAGCCCTTGTATGTTGCGTTGATGATAGATCTGTCCAAGCGAGGGGGTCTACCAAAAGGTCTGTCAGGGAAGTCCAGCTTATACGCTCCTTTCACTTTATTGCGATCGGCAAGCCTCACCGGAGTGCTTGGATTCACAAACGAAATCCCGTTGAGTGTAGCACGAAGTGACCCGTTGATCGTTGTTGGAGGCAAACTTTGCAAGATGTATGTGTTAGTGATGTTTATTTGGCCGTAGTGAAATGATCCCTGCGGATTTGGACGAGCTCCACTAGCAGATGTGTTTTGCCTGCAGATGAGAAAAGAGTCAGCTTCACCGGAACAAAATCTAGGTGTAGCAATAAGCAGGGGATACACTTGAGTGCACTTGCTCCCATAGTCTTAAAAAACCAAACCTGATGGCTCTCGGCTGGCTCATTGCTGACCACGGGGCAGAAACATCTGTTTTTGGAACTGGTAGAGGACCAGAAGCAGGTCCCTTGGAATTAGAATAATGGAGAATGGCGACACCGGTGACTCTTTGCCACACGGTTTCATTCACAAATCTAGCACTGGCCACAATGTAGTAGTCGCTTGTGGCGTTTTGGTCCATGGTGACCAAGAATGAATACGACTGCCCTACATGAATATCAAAATCGGTAAAGTTCGCCTGTGAGGTATAGTGACCGTCAGTTTCTACCAAAAGCAAATTGTGGTTCTGCATCCTGAAGTTCAGGCTTGTCGAGATCCCAACATTGTGAACACGGATTCTGTATGTTTTTCCTGCAAAAAGATAACACCGTTATAGCAAACTACTATTAAAAAAGGACGAATCTTCTTGATTTTCTCCTAATAAACATTTGAAGATGTCAACTTTTGAAGTACCATCTTTACAAGATGTTCAACTACAAGAAACAGTTACACACGTGTTAAGAGCTATAAGGAAAAAAAAAAGGAAATGAACTCCTCAAGAACAACTTTACTAGGATGCAAAGGAAAGTCACATGAGAAGATTCATGCGTTTCATGAGACAAAGTGATAGCAAAAGTTCCTGGAAACTCCCAAGGTGGTACCTGGTTCAACATGAGCGGTCAAGTAATCAATTCCATCAGGTACACTACTGTTGTACTTGTAAGGACCCTTCCCATTGATGAGGACTCCATCCGGCATCCCAAGTTCTTTCCCAGAGTCAAGCATACTCCTTAGTGCCTGATAAGCAAACAGTGTTTCATTCATGTATAGGTTAAACTAAAAAAGGGCAGAGTATTGATAACAAAATGCGGACAAGGACAATGATGATAACAACATACTTTATGGTCCTGAGTGTACCAATCACCAATCATGAAGATGATTTCTCCGTCGGGCTGAGGGAAAGGGATGGGAATAATGTTCCGGTTATTAACCACGATGGGACCAAACCCCCCAGAGGCTCTCTGAAAGTTGAGAGAAGGTGAGTAGAAGAAGCTCCCAATCTGATCTTTCACTTGAAACTGGTAAGTAAAGTTCCATCTCGGAGGAATTGGGCAGTTTGTGCCAAGAACACCGTCTTGCCACGAGTTACGCCTCATTTGAATGCCATTCCTATTCCAACAGACAAAAGCAAGAACCCAAGAAGAAGCATATTAGTCGCATATGTGATAAGGAGGTTAATAAAAAGACAGCTTCTTGGTCTCACCAAGTCAAGAGGAGAGGCTCGTCCAAATGATTGAAGACTTTAACAACAACATTGAAGTTGGTAGTAGCGTTAAGCAGAGGTCCTGGAAACTGATCATTGATGGCGATAACCTAAATTCAATCAAACATGCGTAACGCATACATGTGAAGTTAAACACCACATCAAAGTAGGCTAACAAATACTCAAAGCAGCGATTTTTCATATGCCAATCAGCATTTTCAAACAAGAGGAGACATTGGTTGAATACATAAACCATGAAAGTTATGATTTTGGTAATGGGTTTGAATCAACTCAGAGACCCATCACTAGAACAAAACCCAAAAAGAGAAACTTGCGAGAACCACCTCAAAGGTACTGTATATATTGAAATCCATACGAATTCCAGAAAGCCGAGAAACCGAGGACGCCATTAAAGCTCTCAATTGACAGCGAGAAGTCGGTGAGAATCTTACTAAGACACCGAATCCGAGATTTACGGGGAAGAAGGGTAAGAAAGTAAAGTGAGGAACGGAACCGAACCTGCTGACGAACGCCGAGAGGGGAAGCGGTGATGTACGAAACTTTGAAGTCGTAGGAGACGAAAGGGTCCGCCGCGAAAGACACGCCGGAGAGAAGAAGGAAGCAGAGGAGAGACGCGAACACATAACAAGGAGAGGAGTAGAGAGAAGCCACGGCCATTGGTTTGGGTTTGCTTTTTTACGTTTTCGCAATCAAAAGCTACGGATTTGATAGCATTATGGTGAAATCGAAACGAAGAGAGGAAAACCCAAAAAAAAAACCGTAGAGAAGACGAGGAAATGTGTGAAGTGTCAGTGTGGGTTTTTGAATTTCTTACAAAAGAGTGGAAAATGAGCGACACAGGGATTTTCAATTATTTTCTATATACATTTGGCACTATTCCAAAAATAATTATTTACAAAAAACTTCTTGTATTTAAATTTAAATTATTTTGTCTTTTATTCAAATATACATTGCTAAGTAATTTAATTTTGTATTAGTTGTTATATTGTGCTATGTGTGAGATTAAATTGAATATAAAAAAAGTACTAGTGTGAAAAAACCTAATTACAAATAAAAATCGTATATTTAAAATTTTTGTAAGATTATTAGTAAAATTTTTGTCATCAGCATGTAATATACAAATCATATCATATATTTACAGCATATCATCACACACTTTAGTTTTCGTGTTAGATAATTAACAAATTATATCATTATGGAATTACCTTTCCAGTGGCTAATTCCCTGATGTTTTTTTATAAATGGGGAAACTATTTTGCGCTAAAAACAATTAAGGTTGATTAACATAATCGAGGCGGATAATTTTTCGGCTTAATTAATCTAATTGAATTGAATAGAGGGTAAATCAAACCGTTGAAATGCAAAGATTGAGGAGACGACCTGGAAACATGCGCAGAAGAATGTGGGGAACAAATCAAATCACAAACCTTTTCAGCTATTTTTAATTACGACACCTATTTGTTCGGGATTGAATTTATCAAAAAAAATGAATTCTTCAAAATGTTAATAATACAGCTAATTCTTATTGAGTCGTCGTTATAAAATGCTTCGCTGATCCATCAATCATTTTTTTTCTATGTGATCATTATTCTCTTTGCATTAAAAGCAAAAACCTTAAAAATATTTAGTTATGAGAAAACAGATGAACGTACCTATATTATAATCTTTCGAACTAACTAGAAGCGTATTAATAAAATGGGAATTATTGATTATCTTTTGCCAAAGCAATTTACACACGGCATGGACTAGAAGAAAAGTTGCTTCTTCTGAAAGAATGCAATCTTTTCTTGGCTTGAAATTGCGTTAAAAGTACTACCTACATGATACTTCTTTATTGATGATAATATAATGCAATATACATCGAAATGGTTATGAAAAATTCAAATTGTATCTGTATATATGGGTTTCATCATCGAACTAACTTCTTTATAAATAATTAGATTTTTCAAAACCCACTCTTCACGACGACAATTAAACTATTACTTTTATCAGAAATTTTTAATGAAATTTAATCTACTATTTAAACACACACAGAATTAAACGCTGCATTTTGGTAACACATGAACAACCATGCGTGTTTTAAGATTTTAATAAAGAAATGCATGCGCATACGTCCGTGTATGTGCCTGTGGCCTGCTTTTTCTTTCACAAATTATCCTATCTCTTCAGTCCATAAAAAAATAAACAAATTGAATTCTTCAAAATGTTAATAATACAGCTAATTCTTATTGAGCCATTATAAATTGCCGCGCTGATCCATCAATCTTTTTTTCTTTCTATGTGATCATTATTCTCTTTGCATTAAAGCAAAAGCCTGCGGTATTTTAAGTCATCAAAGCCAGTATAAAGGAAAATAGGACGATGCTTTTAAGGTTTTAGAGAAAATTTTGAGTTTACACATTTGATGATATTCTTACTACACACACAGGCTATTGGATCAATAACAGTAGATTCTTTAATCTGCTTCTTTTTTATTGTAAATTACACATTCTTATACAGGAGAAGTAGCAGCACAGAGTCGTCTCTCCCCAGACCACCAGAGGGTATCAGCACCTTGTGTAGCTTTATTTGTTCGCAAGAGGAGCAATGAACAGAAGCTACTATACACTAGAGCCTCTTCTTCTTCTCTATAGCAAGGAGTGACGCACCAACGCCTTCTATTTACAGCGGGTGAATCTTGGATTGTTGGGTGGTGTGTAAACTTAAGGACAGAGATATATCCCCAATCATTAATCTATACCTAAGGTTGATATGGAAGTGCTGCAACTTGCAAGTGCTCGGTATTTTTACACAAAACTATCATCACATCTGGAGAAGATTGTTCACTGTAACAGCAACAGAGTTTGTTCTCTGCAGGTCCTGCAAGAAATTCAAACGCAACGTGTTCTAGTATCAAGGCACGAAAATCTTATAACTGAACAACGATAGAGAACTGTAGCACTCATCACTGAAGGACCAGTCATGTGCAAACAAGATAACAAATAACGTGACAATGGGTTAAGGCAAATTGACCACATATATAAAGTGATGAAATTCGGTTTCAGGTATAAATATATCAACTCTCGTTCCTTCCACTCAATGCCAAACTGTTTAAATGATCCACCAACTCAACCACACTTACCGTCAAAAGGTTACAGAGTATCATATATGCACTTAAAATTTACCTGGAAAATGATTTCATCAGGCACATGTGGCATAACTTCCCTCACTGTCTCGGCCATCGCTAGTATATTTGCCAAGCTTTCATTTGCCCCACTTGATACAGTTCTTAGATGCAGAGGACCTGTCCTCCCACCAGCAACAGGAGGTGTGGTTGTGGAAGAAGTGGATGCTTGTGAAGGGTTCATTGGCCATAGACTCCAAGCAGCATCGTCAAGTGCTGTTTGAGCATAACTTTCCCCAACAGATGCAAGATGCCTCATCATCATCTGAACCCGCCCCAGGCCAACGGACCTAGAAGCGGTAGAGGGACCAGCAACATCAACACCTTGACCTGACCATGTCTGCAGCCAGGTTGGATCCAATCCCAAGTTCCTATTTTGTGAAAGGAGAAGGTTGAGAACTTGAACAATCCAGTTCGAAATGAAACTCTTTTTAATTAAATTCAAGAAAAATGCACAACAAGTGGTCGTCACAAACCAAATATTACTTCATTTCTAAAATATTTAAGGCAACGAACATTTAGTCTATCAGAACGAAGACTAAGGAGTCACAGGAATAGGATCATTCAGTTATAAGCAATTGTTACATTGATGTAGTTAATAAGTAAGTCTGAAAGAAGAATGAACTGAACCTCGAAGGATCACTTTCAACGGAATTTGGCACCTCGGCAGGAAATAATCCAGTGGCTAGTGGATGTTCAGGATTGTTTTGTCTTTCAAGCTGACGGGCTAACTGCTCATCACTTGAGACTTCCACAGTGCGAGGATTCACCTCACTTTCAGTTCTACCAACAAAAAGAGGTTTGCGACATGTAGGACAAGAATAAACCTCATTTAGACCTTGATCCAACCTGCCAGAAACCAAGCATCATCAGGATCAGCAGTTTCAGTCATAAATACTTAAGGCTGTCCGCATCTAGCTAAGCGCACCAGGATCGCAGGCATCCAAGATGGAAAAGGTGGTTGCAGTGAAGCCTTTTAGCCTTAGCCATAGGTTCCTGCCATTCATAATGTACCATGAGTTTGAGGTATAGAAAAAGTATATGGAAATAACTCAATAGCAGAAACATACCCGGCATATAGCACATTCATCATCATATGTCCGTAACTCTTCAGAAGTTGCATCAGGAAGGGCTGCATGGAGAGCGCCCAGAGCTATTCTCAGTTTAATGTATCCTTTTATTCGTTTCAAAATTGCACTGAGTAATGCCTGCCAAAACAAACGGAAAACATAAGACACAGCAATTAAATGTTGTGCCTATACTTAAGTAACCTGGAGAGCGACACCATTTCGAAGAAAGTCAATTAACAAACTTACACGTATGTTGAGAAACAAAACTGCATCCACCAGATGAAAGGCAATGCCATGCAGCCACCAGATGTGCAAATAATGACCAAGTGCCATTACCAAAGTAGCCATGTCCAGGAAGAAACCAAGGTTACGGTTGAGGAGTCCCTTCCATTCCAACAGTGAACCTATCCAATGGGTGACAAGTTACCTTGAGATGTGGGGCTCGAATAGACCAAATATATCAATGGAAATGCATTCCCGGGTTCTAACATAAAAACATGGCATAACACCAGAAAAGAAAAGACCTGCTGTCATGGAATCGAGGAACTTAGATCTTTGGCAGTCTGAGTTCTTGACTGCTAAGTGGTTGATCCACATATCAAGCAGCTGAAACCCATGAATTAACAGCGCCTGCAAGATAATCCGATCAGCTCTATATTCTTTTTGACATGGCTACATAAAAAAGTCAACAAGTAGGACGAAGAACACAACTCCTATTACTTAAGTACAGTACCTGCAAGGTCTCAAAAGCTATACTGCATGGCTCAAAAAGTAACAAAAGGTACACAGAGGAACCAATTGTATTGTATGTCATAAGGGAAAGCTTTATCCTGCAGAAAAAAAAAGTAAATCCCTTCAGTCAAAGTATCATCCAGACATGAATGATATCCTGCAGATAATTTGTTTTACCTACTTCATAATGCACAATATGAAGCCCAGAGAGAAACTAGAATGGAAACATGACTTTTCTAGTTCAAGTTTGTAAGCAGATAAAAAAATCCAGCAATTGAATATTTGACACTATACCACAAGGTTTAGGGAATACCACAACATATCAACAGAGAGAACCAAGAAGAGCACTGAATACACACGAAAGTATGTCCAAGGTGTAGAAGAAGGAGATGCATTCAATCGTTCAAGCCGGTCTCTAGCCAAAGCTTGAAACATCTACATTACAAGATTCACATTAGGAGGGTGTCCGGAGACGATATGCAGAATTTTGTTTATCGTAAATAAAGAATCTTTCCTACAAACAGTCTAACATACCTTTAAAGTGCATAGAACAGTCAGCCAAACTGACCACAGTACACCCTGGAATATTGTTGGGGGAATCACCAGCGGCAGAAATGTACCCTATTAAAATGGGGGGTTTAATCTATTAATATTCAGAATACACAGGTATATGCGAATGACTTTAAATTTTGGAAGCACCAAACAAAGATGCAACGAGTAAATGAAAGGGAAAAGTGTCAGAATCATCTGTCTAAGTAAAGTCCTATCTTAAGCCTCAGAATTTATTATGTTCCTTTTCGTTACTCTGCCATTGTAAGCATAGGTATGTTGCAGTCTACTTTTCAATCAAACTCAGAACAGCTACCTTGTAAATGATGTAATTGGCAAGTCGCTCCACCAACTTTTTAGTTTCAACGCCATATAAATCTCCAAAAAATAGAGTCTGCAAAAGACGCTTAAAATACATTAGAACCACAGAACATGGTCAAAAGACATTTCCTGAAGTAATTAATAAGCCTGTGCACATTACTATGGTAACGACCAGCATCAAGTCGTATCTTCTTGAGTTTTCATTCATGCAAGACCTACATTCAATTATCTGGAAACGAAAATTTGACTCTACAGATTCACAACACTTGCTTCCTACGCAGAGAACTTAATTAGCACATGTAAACTAACTATAATACTTCCACTTGCAACCAAACTAAGAACTGCAAATTGGACTCTTTCCGACAGAAGAAAAATCAGTGGTGACGGTCGATACTTTAAGAGAACTAGGATAGCTAGCAAAGCAGCAAGTAAAACCATTAAGAATAAGAGTCACAAATAACGAGACACCTATCTATCAGCGACTAATGAATCCCACTCGTAAAAAAAAAATGCTACTCTTACCTTGAGAGAAAGCACCAGAAGAATATACACATTGAACACAAAATTTGTGAGCAGCGCGATTGTGAAGTAAGAACCCAGAAGCAGCTCAAGCGCATGCTCGGAGTCTCCTAACGAAATGTTCTTGGCAATCAGCCCATCCGCTCTAAGTCTATCAAGAGACAACTCTGTCCAGACTTGCAGGCCGACGAAGCTCAGAGCTGTTGATGCTACCGAGACAGGCAAGTACTTTATCCCCATCAGGAACTTTAACAGCCTTCTCACTTAAACTTAATCCCCAGAATCTCATTTAATCAAATTAGCATGATGCCCATCTGCAGCAACACCATCTCTCAATCAGTAACTACAAGCCCAAGTAAACCGTAATCACAAATCAACTTGGTATTCGATAAACAAAAGGGAGAGATCATGGAAAAATATACGATTTAAGAAGAAGAAAAAATGACCATTTTCATCAAAAAGGAATATTTTTTTTTTTACAGTAATCTACAGATAATTGAGCTCCAGAACAAGGGACAACCGAAATTTGGATTCTTTCAGGCGAAAATTCGATGCGACAGAAGCCAAAAATACTAAACAGAGGGATGGACTCGGGTCTGGAGAAGTCATCGCAGCCGAAATGATATGATCCCAGATTTCACAGGTTGAAACCATAAATAAAATATTTAAAATCGAAGAAACTGGGAAAATCGTAGAACATAGATAGAGAGAGAAAGAAGCTGGGAAGATTCAACGGAGGAAATGCAGATAGCAGGCAAAATATCAGAATTTTTAAAAATCGATCAAATCGCGAGAGAACCTGAATCCGCGAAGCTGTCGGTTGGAAATTCTCTTTAGCACCGGCCTCTCTGTCTTCCTCTCGATCGAGAGAAGGAAAAGGTAGAAGAAGAGCAAAAATCGATATCTTCTTCCAGGAAGAAAGTATTATTAAAATTAATAATAAGGAAAATAAAGTGATACGGTCAACAAAATGTGTGTGTGTTTTTTAAGGGGGGTTACTTTTCAACCTATGCTTACGAAAAAAAACTGTGATGAATGCAAATATTACATCAATCCTATTAAACTCATCTATATTTGGTCATGGTGCAACCAAAAGCTCTACTTATAATTGTATAACTTGATTTTGACACGCCAACAAATTTGAATATGACCCAAATAATCAAAACATCTTAATGTCACTGAGAATTTATTCCATTTACAAATTATATAATTTAGAATATATGAGTAATTTAATCCGGATTTCGGTTCGGATTTTTCAGTTTTTAGTTTATATGATTGTGGTTTTGGTTTAAATTCGAGTTTTATCTGGATTTCGGTTTGAATTTTTCAATTTTTTAGTTTATAGGATTGTGGTTTTGGTTTAAATTCGAGTTTTAGTACCATAAATATATTACAAAACTTTGAGAAAAAAGATTGTTTTCATAGTTTTTAAGTTTGATGTGAATTGGGATTTGTTTTTTAATACAGAAAAGTGTTTCCATAATAAATTTTGATTAGAGATTTTAAAAATCGCAACAGTTTATGCGAAATGAACAACAAAAAAATAACTAAACAACAACACAAACCTCTAAATTCATATAAACCAACGGGAGAGCCCATGTAAGCTTAAACTATGTTTGGGCCAAGAACCCTAGACGGCCCACTGATGGATCTTCGATCGATTCTTCTCATTCTTCGACTATGTTCTAGATTTTCGCTTTTACTTCCGCGAATCTCCGATTAATCGTCTCTCCAATTCAAAAGCCCTAACTTTTACCGATCTAGGTTCACGCCGGAGACCGGGACATCATCACTCGCTCTCGCGTTAGTTTAGCGGAGAAGAAGAAGATGGGAATAATACGGAGCAGCTTCTCTTTCCTCACGGGAACAGTGTGCGGGATCTACATCGCCCAGAATTACAACGTTCCCAACATCAAGCAGCTTGGGCACTGCGCCGTCTCAACGGCGAAGCAACTTGAGGAGAAGTATCGCAAGCCCAAAAGTAGAGACGACGTTTGACAGATTCCACTCGCTTTCTCCTCCCAAATCCTTCTTTGTTACGTTTTTTTTTTTTCTTTCTTTGATCTCTTGATACTTTTGAGGGTTTGTTGTGGGATTGTAAATTCAGAGAAATTCGACAGATCTAATAGAAGCAAATGAAAATTCTTTTCTCAGATTGCCGCAATTTTTCAGCCGATTTGATCGTTTTAAGAGCGAAAGCGATTTTATTTTCAGTCAAACCTTAGAAATTTTAGACATTGATCATCATCTTAAACGAAGTTGAAAACATAACAAAAAAGTGGCCTTTCTTGTGAAATTGTCAAAGAAAACAGAGAAATCAAATCATGAATGAAACGGAAAAATGCAAAACTCATAGGAGAACATCAATGGGAGCTCTGTGTGCTGGTGATGATGCTACAACTTCGTCTTCCTCAGATGATCCATACAACATAGCCTTCACTTCTGCTACAATAAGCTTAGTGAGCAACAATCCAGAGACGAAAGCTGCAGTCATCAACATGTAAAACACAGCGTCCCAGCTAATCGCAGAGATGTAACCGGTAAGGACCGGTCCGATCGCAGCACCGACTGATCCTGTGCCGTCTATAATAGCTGTGACTGTAGCCAAAGCCCTGGCATTGCCTTTGAGAGACTTGTGGGTGCCGAGATCAGCTGAGACAGCTGTTGTGATGAGAGCGAAAGGTCCATTGACGAATACTCCAGATGTGAACATGAGGATGACGTTGATTGTCATTGAGATGTGTCCGTAGACTCTGTAGAGGAACAGAGCTGGGATCGCTAGGTAGATGAATCCTGCTGCTGTGATGGCTCTGCCGTCGAGCTGATCAGAGATGTATCCGGCTAAGACTCCTCCGACCACGCCTCCAACATCAAAGAGTGTCGACAAGTTTCCTGATGTTTCCTCAGAGAGGTACTCTCCTCCGATCACTGTATTGCGTAGTTGAGACAAAAACATTATATTAAGGCATATGAACCAAACTGAGTGTGAATGAACCAGAGATGAAGGGAGAAACATACTGTTGTGGCTGACGTAGTAAGGAAGCCAATAGAGGAAAGTGTATGAGACCAGTTTGGTGAAGAAGAGGCAGAAGGCGAAAGGAGCAACACCGGGGATTTTCCAAGCGGCCAAGAACCCGATTGCTTTTCTATCGAATCCTGTACTCATCCTAGAGCTCAAGAAGCTCTCTGTAATGGTTTCACCAAGCCTCATTGTTGAGTCAACTTCGGTTCCATCTCTTTCAGCACCAACGGTCGGAGGGTTCACCGGCAAGAAAAAGTAAACAACGATCCCGAGAAAAGTTATGAGCAAAGCCGGTCCAAGAAACGACCATCCCCACCCAAATCTAAGAAGCCCGGACGCGAGCAGAGACCCTGTGATGTTACCGAGAGATGTGTGAGCACTCCAAACACCCATAATCATGCCTCTTCTCTTCTTGTCGAACCAGTTCCCGAGCACGGCCACAACACAAGGCCAACCTATCGACTGGAACAATCCGGCAAAAACCTGAACGGCCAAGAAATAGTAGAAGCTGTGGAAATCCGCCCAGAACGCAACTCCAAAGAGAGCCGTGAAAAGACCGGTCCCGATCATACCGATGGTCAGAAACGTCCTGAGATCCAGACGATCTCCCAAATGACCGGCGACAAACATCCCAACCGCATAGACAGAGAGGAAAGCCAAGTCGATCTGTCCGAGCCAGGCTGGTCCATCAGGTCCATCAAAGGGAGCCCAACCGCCTTTGACTGTTGATGCGGAGAGCGTTCCTTTGACGATGCTATTGGGCTTCCGGGCAGCGTGGAACGCAATATAGGCAACAAAGGTCAAGATGAAGACAAGGGCTTGGTATTGCTTGAAGGAGAGTCTTCCTGAACGCTTGAACCGTTCCAAGAACTGAATACCACATGGCTTGGTTTCTTCATACAGGAACTGGGATGAAGTCCACGACGACATCTCTTTAGCGACTCCTCACGGCGCCAAAACCTGGATTAGTAATATCAAGACATGGGTTTATCTATTTCTTGTGTAACAAGAAAGCTCGGTATCTTTCAAACCAAGCAGAAGAAAGTTATACAGAAAACTAAAATAGAATAATGAATGACACGAGAATATGGATCACCTTTGAAATTTGAACAGAGGGTAAAAGTATCTCTCTCACTCTCCGTTCTCTGCCACTTCAATGGTTGGAGAAGCTGTGAAAGGGGAAAGCACTACTTAAAGAAGGCGAAACTAGCTAATCTTGAACAACTTATTCTGCCCCTTTGCTGTATATTTTTATTTTTTTGACCAAGCATTTTGCTTCACTGGCCTTTAATTATTAAATTTTCACCATATGTACGCAAAGTAAACTATAGCTCTCATACGGCTAAACCGGAACGAACCAGTCGAGAAAGAGAAACAAATCAAACTAGAGAAGACGAGATCAGTCATCATAACCTTCAACACAAATGTGGAATTATCTAATAATTAGTTTATGTGAAGTAGTAAGTCGGCGTCCGATCTGTCATTTGTGCCCGCACGTAAGAACATCACATAGTTCATTTGTTCACCGAAAAATTCAACTCACTAATTGTTTAATTTATCTACAGAACTATATAAATAAATAGTAAAACAACATTCTTTGGAATGGTACTTCATTTTAGTGTCCAAATTCATTTTTTTTCTTCTCTAGCTCATAGGAAGATGACAGAACACCATCTCTCTACAAATGGTTTAATTATATATTAAGCATATTATTCATTACAAAAATATGAAGCATTTAATGCTTGTTTTTTTCTTTAGAAAATCAGATAATTATACTAAATGACTATTTGCAAATATATAAACCCTAAAAACAATATTCAGTTTAGATGATAATCTTGTACAAGTTTGTCTAAGATTATATCAGATCAAATTTAGATAGGCAGGACAATTATTTCTCAGTTCCTTCACTATGTTACCTTCAACGGTTGCAAACCAGAGTCTCAACTTAAATTGGATCGCATTTCAATTGTTAGAGACTTGATAATCCATGTAAAGTCAAAAATTAATTGATATGTTCACTCTAGATATTGGCCAACTGTTTAACCTGAGTGTATCTTCTTCCCACGCACGTTGAAATCTAAATCTATTTCTTGTCAACAAATCTCCAACGTTGCTAAATCAGTGATAAAACATCTAGCCAGGTGCTAACTCATGATACATTTTATAGCCAGTTCAGTTATCTTCGTCAATTAGTAAGGATCACTTCCCCTTTTATCATTTATGTCTTGCTTGTTACCGATTACGTATTTTCTTCAGGCTGTTTTCCCCCTTTGACTCGGCCTAGGGCGAGAAGGTGGAATTCTTGCTGCAAAAGTTATCCTGTAGATACGTTATATCTCGTTGCAGGTGTAATTTTCTAGTCCCTTATCGTTATACAATCTGCAGAACCATGTGAATGGCTGCAAGAATGTAAGTAAACGATAGATATTGCGGGAGAGCATATTAGAATTGCAACCAATAGCTTAATCACGTTTGCAAGTTACTACACATATTACGATAAAATAGTTAGGCCGTTTCTAAAAAAAGCATGCTAAAAGAAGGATTCGACAGTTGTTTGCTTGTTTTGGAAAGCAGCAATCTTGACTTCAACTGTACGTAGAAGATCTATCCTTTGGTTTCATTTCTGTTTCCTTTTGTGAAAGACTTTCTAGTTTCATAGTGACATCCACACAAGAGTTCTATCACAATGTGGTTAAATTTATGATGGGAGTTATTAAAAGAGTTCTTCTCCAAGACTATGGTGGGTTTTGATTTGGTCTAAAACTCTGACAATTCGTGTCGCTCTTGCGACATCCGACTCAAAACATAAACTACTGGAACAAGAGCATATATAGTCAATATTAATCGTGTGTGTTTTGCTCCAGGGTTATTCCATTTTCTGGCTAATAATTTCTAGGAACCCTAACAAGAGCTATAAACTATCAATACGAATAAGGGTCTTACACCCAAACAAAGCATCCAACAAAAGGGGGGCATACAGAAAATATAGACTTACATCAGGATTAGTTCCAACAAGCTAAAAGATGCATACTAGAGAGTAAAAGAAACAAACCACAGATATAGCTCAAAATGAAGAGGATGCATTGTCTTTGAATATCAGCTTTGCAGTGCTGTCCACGAGCCCACTCCTCTGCAAACACAGCTCCACCTGCGTTTCCTTGAGCTTCTTCAGCCTTTCCTCCATCTCTCTCTTCTCCGGTCCATCCGCAACCATGTCCCAACACGCAGCTATCATGGATTCGTCCAAGCCAAATACACTCACATTCGCCGCCTTGAAGAACGATGCTATCTCTTCACTAGAGGAGAGATGAGTAGTGGTCACAACACTCGCCTTGGGCTTTCCGGTTTCCGTTTCTTTCTTGAGCATGGGCGTGAGCGGCGGAAGCAGCTTAGTGTCTTTAGACTTGGTCCTTGGTTTTGCAGGAAGAACACCATTGGCTCCCCAAATCTTTCTTGACAACTCAAATGATTGTTGGTCAAGATCCTTGGCGCATCTGATCTTGTCTTCGGTCTTTCCCTTTTTAAGCGAGTTCTTCACTATGTTGACAAACTTCTTCTTGCACCTCTGGAGTTTTGTAACAATCTGGGCCTTGGAGGCATTGAAATCGATCAGCGTTTTCACATACTCGCAAAATGCATCAATGTTCTCCGATGGATCTCCTTTGGTAGAGGTGTAGTCAAGGTAGCCTTGAAGCATGGCGATTTCATCAGTCTCGCTGAAGAGCCTCTGAAACATCTTCTTGGCTTCTTCTCCGGAGATTTTCTTAACCTCTTCATCAGAAGCCGGTTTCTTCTTCACGTGCTCGGTCGTCGATGTCTTCATCTTCTTCTTAGGCTCGTCATCTGCTTGCTTCAGAGAACGCTTGGCCGTGGAGCTCTCAGGAAGAGTCACGGCAGCAGCAGATCCAGAGGTCTCTGGCCTTGGTTTGGTGAAGACAGTGTTGAGAGGCTTCGTCTTCGCCGCAGGCTCGGAATCGGAGTCGGAACCCGATTCAGATTCGCCTGATTCAGAGTCAGATTCAGGCTTCTTCGAGGCAGCAGGGGCAACGGTCTTCTGAGTGAGCTTCGACAGGACATCGCCTTCGTCCTCTGAAGACTCGGATTCTTCTCCGGTTGAACCAGACTCTTCTTCTTCCTCTTCACTGGAAGAAGCAATTGGAGGGTTCTCGATCTTGTCCTTGGGTGCCATCAAACCAAAGTAGGAGAGAGAGAGGAGATAAAGATTCGATGTCTGAAGAAAGCTTCTTCTTTCAGTTCTTCTTCTCTTCTCCCGTCGCCGTCGATTTGGTTGCTTTTAGGTTTTTGTGATTTTAGGTTTCTTCTCTGTGGGGATTTGTTTCTTCTTCCGTCTTTTTTTTTTTTTTTTTATTCCCTTTTTACGCATAATCTAAAAAAACAAACAGTGAAAAAGGGGGATGGATACAGAACAGCAGCAACATTCGTTGGACCTTGCTTCACCCAAGGCCCATACCCTGCACTAATAATACGCACTTTCGGCCTTGTGATTCATCCGCGTTTAACGATCCGGTGGAATCACCGTGGTTAGTATTAAAATTTCACTTTTATAATTCATATAGAAATAAATCTATCGTAGCATGTTCTTACATATTTTCTACCATTTTTTTTTTGTCAAATTCATTCTCAGATTATAGATACATCTCTGTCGTAGTTCTCTGTATCACTACTGAGTGTTTCTCTCTTTTTTTATATCTCAACGTTTGGACCATATCTTTTTCAATTAGGTATAGCTTACGTTATAAATACAACCATTTACATTATCAATCGAGAAATTATGTTTATTATTATTTTTTATAATCTATGATAAAAGAATAAAACATATATTCATTTAACTTTATAAATATTATATCTATTTCAAAAAATATTTAATTAGACTTTCCATTTTGTTGGTCACCAAGGCATAGTTTATGCATATGTTGCAACAACAAAAACACAGATTGGAGAAACATAAAGACAGTTCCTTCAGCTTACGAAACCCGTTGACTCGACATAAGCCCACACACTTCTTTATTCAAAAACCTATCAACAAAACAACAACAACCACAAAAGCAAAACGACGACGTTTTAGTTAACCTCGATCTGGCGAACATCATTTCTCTCTTCCTCTTTCATCTTGGGAATCACCACTTTCAGAACTCCGTTCTTCATCTCCGCCTTGATCTCATCCGTCCTGTATATCTTCTCCGGCAATCCAATCCGGCTCGTGAACCTCCGACTACCACTCTCTCCCTCCTCCCCCGCATCGTCCTCATCTTTCCCTTCTCCTCTGATAACCAGAGTGTCCTGCTCCAAAGCCAGCTTCACATCCTCTCTGCTCAGGCCAGGCATGTCAATCCTCAAGTAGAGCGCATCTTCTTTCTCTTTTATATCCCATCCACGCCGAGCTCCAGAAGCTCCCATGCCTCGCGTCGCTGATAACAGAGGATTCTCCATGAACTGGTCCATCAGATTCAGCACCTGACTCACACTCCTTGTTGGCGAGAACGGATCAAACACGTCTACAACAAAACAATCACGAAAACCATGTCAACGACACCGATGTAGATATAGATCAAGAGGAAGACCGAAGCACTTTGATGTGGCTAATTGAGTTAGTTACCTGAGAGGAAATCGTCACCACGGCGGCGAGAAACAGAGCGATTGGAGCGGCGGTCTATATCAAGGCCGTGGCCATTTTCTCCGTCGTCGTAGCTCCTGACAGCGTTAGTGTTGAGAAGGCGAGAGGCAACCTGTGGACGAAGGACGCTACCGGAACGAGGAACGACGGTGGTGGAAGATAGAAGTCTCTTAAGAGCTAGAGATGACGCCATAGGAAGAAGAAATAGGAAGCTTTTTCAGAAAGTTTTTAACAGAGAGTTTAGTGTTTGTATGATAAGTGTGCGGCGAAAACGGAGACAGAGTAGCTTATATAGCAAGAGTGAAGAGTAGAAAGTGGATATTATCAGGTGAGAGAATGTTCTGGAGAGATGAACATATCTCGGGATGGTTCTAGAGGTCCTTGTCTCCCAAGCTAAGTGAAACAAATATAAATGATCATGTCCACTAACGGCCCATCAGATTTGGGCCATACTGCTAAATTTAGATGGCCATGTCAGGTATCAGCGAATCCAAAGACTCCATTTGACTTGGAGTGTTTCTAATACACAATCATAGTTCAGAAAAATTAATGACGAGTTTCTTATTTTGACAAGTACAGTACTAGCTAGTACTGGTATCCATATGATCATTAATAACATCGAGCGTTGGCGGGACGATGGCCAGCACTCAACAGGCGGCCACCACCCACCGAACGTGGGAAGTATTCTATTCAGAAAGAGAAAACTGTTCTTATTACAATTTGAATATTATTCGGAAATAGGTGAAGGCAGATAATGGTATTGAGGTTAAGACTTTGACGCTATCTTCAGTTTATTTTATTCAAATTAGACTTGAGATACCAAGGGGGCGTTTTGAATTGGACTTTTATGTTATTTTTTTAATAATTTCGTTCAACGCCATGTTGTTTGATTAAAATACAATCATAGGATTTTTATTCTAAAAAATAATCTTGATAATACTTTCAACCCTCCGTGTTGAGCTAGAAAGATAAACAGAAGACGTGTCTCTAGCTAAGCTGACCTTTGTATGCTTTGACATTATACATATAAACTCGAATTTAAGAAAATTTTATTATATAGACACACACTTACATGCAGAAGTGTTCTTAATTACCTGCCTCTACGTGCTGTCAACTCCTATGAACCCCGACCCTAAACGTTAGTAAACTGATTAAATATATGTAAACCCTAAATATATCATAACTTCCTTGACCAACATAAAATTTTATATATCATAAACTTGCACAATTCAATGTATATATACAATATACTCCAGCTTTATTATAAGTCTTGCCTGATTAATTAACTGTCAAACCTCAAAGAAATTAAATGACAACCACCACCACCACTAGTCGCAGACTTCGGCCTCCGTCGCCGAATATTGACCGGAGCCGGAGTATAGCCTCTTCGATCTCTCTCCCGGTATCCTTAAATGCTTCATTCTCGTCTTCTTGTTCATCATCTTCTTCTTCTTCTCCTTCCAACTCAAGCAAACGTGTGATGATAAGCAGATCACAATCCACAACAAGATCTTCCAGACCCACCGGATCCAACCCGAAATCCGGCGAGATGATCCCGGCTAGAAACAGCGCATCAAAATCCCACGATATGAACAACGGTAGAAGCAGAGAGGCGTTTGCTCGGTACTTGGAGCAACGTGAGCGTGGCAGTCCTCGTAATTACGCTTCATCGAAAGCGGTAAAACCGGGAGCTACCTCAGCATCGGCGTGGGCATTGTCCCCGGGGAGAGTTTCTACGATGAAAACGTCTTTGTCCAGCTCAGCTCCGGCTAATTCAACGTGCCAGACGCCCCCTGAGTCCCCGGTAAGCGTGGCCAAGATAAGAGGCGGTGGCGGTGGAGCGGTAGCCGGAGTTTTGAAATACTTCAAGACGCAGAAGAAAGTTTCTCCGGTTCAAGAGGAGGAGCATCACCGGTTTAGGATCTTTCAGAACAGATTACTTCAGTTAAGGTTCATTAACGCAAGAACTGAAGCCACTATGGCTAACCTTAAGGTCAACGTTGAGGTACAATGTTATGACAACATCAACATATATAATGTTAGTAAAATATAAATATTTATGAAGTTTTATTTTTTCTTCTTTGAATGATTACAGGATCAGTTGTTTTGGGTTTGGCTTAGGATATACAAAACGAGGAACTATGTAGTGGAAAATTTAATTGAAGTTCAGAGGCTCCGTCAAGAAATGAAATTACGTCAAGTTCTCAGTCTCCAAATGCCTTTACTCAATGAGTGGTCGAAACTGGACGCGAAAAACTCCGAAGCGTTGAGCAAGCTAACTCGAAAACTGCATGCTTTGTCTCTCCGTTTACCCCTCGTACATGGTGCAACGGTAAGATATACTTTCTTAGGGAAAATAATTGTGTATAAGAAAGTTTATACTTTTGTTAAGAAAACGAATAATTGGGAAGCTACAGATAGATGTGGTGTCCATACATGATGAAATGGTCATAGCTATAGAAGTCATGGATGAGATTGAAGAAGTCATCAAGAAGTTTCTCCCACGAGTAAGTCCAAATTATTTATATAGATATTTTTCTAATTTTTAATGAATAAGAAATTAATTTAAGAATGTTTGGCCATTTGGGTGATTAAATTATCAGCAGGTTGAAATAATTCTGTATGAGCTGACAGAATTGATCAGTATGTTCAAGCAAGAATTGTTATATTTTGAAGAGTTGGAGAAGAGCCTTTTCCTTATTCCGGTTTCTGCGGTAAATTATCTACTCCTTTCATTATTATCTACTACATCAGTCTGAAGTGATTTGATTTTTTTTGTTTTGTTTATTTTCAATTTTGATTTTATTAAAGTGGTGAATCTTCATTTTCCAGGCGAAGGAGAGTAGCTTAAAGGTCCATTTTCTCCAGAAGACTGAAGAACAGAGAAAATCTTTGTAACGTTGATAATAGCTTCTCTCCAGTAACTCAGAAGTTGGGATGTGTAACTACTACATGTTAATTACATTACACATTGTGCAAACTGGTGACTATATAACGCGACACTTTAGTAGAAATACCACAGTATTCTCGCAAGTCACATTGTAGGTAAAAGTTATTACTCATCATAGACATTTGTGTTTCATACATAAACCTATCAACCAAATATTAATAAACTTCCTTTGATTGTCCGCGAAAAATAATTTGGGTTATATTCATGTACTATTTGTAAGGATGAAGACTAAAATTTGTTCATGAATTGTTAACATAATTATGACCGAATAATAATTGCATTCACAATCAGTATTGTCAATAATAATTCAACAAAAATAGAATCCACAATTTTGTTCACAACATACATCAATTTTCCATTGAACATCGTATACTAATATGGCCACCAATAATACTTATAGACTCAACATGGTTGACCAGTGACCACGAACACTAAACTTGGTCTTTTCGATTCAACTTTCTCTTTGATGATAACTAGACGATGTTTGGTAGTTGGAGAATGGAGTAAGAGGAGAAGGAAAATTAAGTTTCACAATGGTAATAGTGTCTTTTACTCAGGTACCTTAAATCAATCTAATCTCAATAACAGTTTTCTTTAAAGTTGTTTAAAAGTACTGTACCTAGGCTACAACATTTTCTTAAAAAAGGTCTTAGTGAGTAATAGACTCATAGTATTATTTGTTCAAGTGATATTAATCCGCATGAAGCAATCCATCATTCATTCAAATATCATAGTTCAAAACAAAACAAAAGTATAAATAATTGAGAAGAATGAGACCAAAAAAGATATAGTCTGACGTTACAGTATTTAACTAATCTAATTATAATTAGGACCTCAGAAAGTATAATATAAATATTAGTTTTTGTAACGATTTCATTAAAAGCGCTTCTAGGTCTCTTGGAATTCAGTATTTGTCATTTGAGGAGAACCCGAGTTCGAAGCTCGAATTAACAAAATCCCTAAATTTTTTTTTCCCCCATCTCCGATTTCCTTACCGGCGACTGCCATGGATTCAGGCTCAGAGGTTCCCCGAAAGTCGAAGGTAAGCCTTTTACTGATTTCATCTCAAGTCTCACCGAAAGTTCCGCCGCGAAATTGTGTTTCTCTGACCTCTTTCTCTCCTTTCTCCTTCTCGGCAGCGGAGGTTCCAACCAAGACGTCCGACGCCTTCTCTCCGGCCGATCGCACCGACCACTAACACGTAATCCGTCTTTCTCTCAAGATCCTTTCTAGTTTTGTGCACGTGTATACAAATCTATAGGTATGCTTATATGAATTTCATGCTGAAGATTTAAAAATCGTTTCTCTGAACACAGTGAAGCTGAGGCTGATGAAGAGAACAAAAAAGCAGCACGACAGATTGCTAAACGTATCGGCGTATGTAGAATCTTCTCAATCTTGCTTTCTTATTTATTTCCCTGGAAAAATTAGTATCAGATTATTTTACAGCAATTAGTGTGTCAGTTAATCTAAAACAGAAATGTTCCCTGATTTAAAAATATTAACATCTGACAAATTAGATTTAATTATAGTTTTATACAAATACAATACCTCTATGATACCAAAACGGTGTGCTTTCTTGATCTTTGATATACTAGAGAAGTGCAGCAAATCAAACAAATATGAAAAACATATCAGATATGTAGCTAACTGGTTTTAAGGATGATGGCTTTAGAGCTTTATTACATGAAAATGAGTTGGGTTCACTATCCTTAACACGTTGATGGTTGATATCATCCAAATGCTCGAAATCGAAACCGAACTTTCTTGTGTTGTTGTTGTTGCAGATTGGCAAGAGGAGACCTAAAACCGAAACAAAAGGTAATATACTAATATACATTCACATTCTTCATTTTGTCGAAATAATGAAAATGGGTCAGGTCATCTTGAGAATCATTTGTGAGGAAGGAGGAGGTGATATGTGTAGTATCGATCGTTCTTGAAAAGTTTTTGAAATCTTGCAGTTTCTTCTGTTGAAGTTGCATTCCAACCAAACATGTCTTCACTTGCGATAAAGTCGTTTGGGGTTCCTAAAGAAGACGGCAAGCACGATTCTGATGTGAATCCCTCTGCTTCTTCTGCTAGTATTCTTCCCACTGCTTCTTCTTCTGCCATTTCTTCTGCTATTGCCCGAAGTGATGTAGAAGAGGTTCATAATTTGGTTACAAGAACTGACGAACACTACGCTGAACACTGGGTACCTAAAATCTTCAGAAAGAATTTTGATTTCCCCTCGCAATTTCTCTTTTGTTGATTTATGTGACATAACGTTGGGTTCATTTCATGTTCCAGGATTATAGAGACTCCTACTATCCTACTGTTCTTCCTTTGAGAAAGCCTTACTCTGGTGATCCAGGTATGCTCTGCTGCTTTGCAATCGCTTTATGCTAAACCATATGGTTATGTGAATCTCAAATCTCAAAATTTGAGAAAGCCTTACTCTGTGTTCAAAATTTGTTTGCGTTGTTAGAACTTCGTGACCAGGAGGAATTTGGGAATGTGGCTAAACACCTTGATTATGATGAGACCACTATCAACTCAGCAGAAGAACTCGGTCTGACAATGGTAATAAACTTGTAAACATATTGGTATTGACAGAGAGAGGTGAGCTTTTGAGTGAGTTTTGACTTGGTTGTGTTTTCTGAGCTGCCTGCAGAAGCAACACTGCAAAAAACAGATGTTTTTCTTTAAGATTCCCGACTGTCTCCCTGTAACGAAGCAAATGAACACCAAGAGCTCGGTACCGGAGAACAGTTCGAATAGAAGCAACCCTTTTGAAGGTTTACCAGAGGGATTTATGGGCAAAATGCTAGTTTACAAGAGCGGTGCTGTCAAGTTGAAACTTGGAGATGTCCTCTATGATGTAAGTTATCAGCTTTACTTTTGGAAGAGTATGTCTTTATATGTGAACACACAGTGTGTCAGACACAGTACTGGAGCTGTGTTTGAAACTCTGCTTGTAACTCTTCTTCATCTCTTTAAACTCTCAGTCCTATACATATATATGCAGGTCTCGCCAGGTCCGAATACGATATTTCATAATGATGTGGCAGCGATCGACACCAAAAGGAGGAAATGCTGTCGCGTTGGTTCTTCAGCGAAATTTGTGACTGTTACTCCTGATGTTGAGTCTCTTTTGAAATCTGCTTCAGACATGGAAACACACAAGTGAAGGTTGCTCTAGACGTAGCCGGTCCTATTCATGAAGTATGTGAAGAGAGTAGTATTAGTAGTATTGTCCCCTTAGATTCTGTAACTACAAACTAGTCTTTTAACCATGATCGTAAAAACTCATCTTTGTGTGTTCTTCTTCTTTTGTCAAACATCCAGTGTACTGGAGGGTAAGAGAAAGCTCTTTTAACACTTTGAAACGGTTCTTGAAAACGCAACTGAGTAAATCGTTTACAATGTCAACAATGGAATGCAAAAAGCCAGAAACTACAAAAACAGACCACAGTACGACTTGAAAGAAAGCTAAACAAGAAAGTTTCCAAGAGACTGAAAGACGAAATGTATTGTCGACAGATTCGAAACGATCAAGACTTGTTGCAGGCTCGGGACACCATCACGACCAGCATGACCACGATGGAGAGCAAGACCGAGGTCTTGAGCTTTTCCTCGAGCCAGTTGTTAAATTTGGCATCTTTCCCCTTTTTGGTAGCACAATCGTCATCGTGGCTATTTAAGAGCTCAACCACGAGCTTTGTTATCTTCTTAAGCACTTCCGTTGCCTTAACCATTGTGCTGTCAAATACCCATTTTATGAAATCCGTTGCGGCGTTATTCTCCCCGGGAGTTTCATCTGAACTCTCCTCATCTGTTATTAGGAAAATACAAAAGACCAAACAAGCCAATGAGTGAGTGCCCTGAGAGCTCTCTCTCAAAAAAAGCTCTAGATTAATCAATTCACTTTTCCTAATACCTTGACTTATGCCATTGTTGTACAAGTCCTTAATCTCTCGCACCACCTCGTTGTTCATCACCGCCTCCCACACTGCTTTGTCAGATGACAATGATATTACCATTTTCTGCACAAAATGTTAAAAATCCATTGATTCATGTGCCCTTTGTGAAGATAGACACACATACAAGATAATGGGTTTTGTTGATCTAAACCTATTGTTTGTTGAGCTTAGTGAATCAAGAAACAAAAAAAAAAGAAGATCACCTGCACGGATGGTTCTGTTCGGAGAAGGTCAAAAGCACTGTAAACCTGATCAAAAGCATGCGGCTGTAAGGTTCTTGAATGGCATAGTTGCACTGAAGGCTCCATCCAGTCCATATCCGACCCAAATGAAGGAACTTGATGAACCATCCCTGTGGCTATGGGGATCTGGTTTCCACCACCATTTTCTGGATAGCTCTCGTATCTGTCTCTAACCAGATGAGAATACGAGCTACCATCGAAAACCCTTCAAGGAAACAAGAATCAACGGTTACTCAAATCCCCGTTAAACAACAAAACAGGTTATTTAAGATTCACAAGAACCATTAGGAAACTGAAACTACAAATTTAAGGTTAGGTACAAAACAACTAACAACTGTTTGGGCTTAAATGACACGGGGGCACTATATCCAGAAGAAAACAAAAGAAGCACCAATTGATAGAGTTTCCATCATCTTTCAGTTCATCAAATCAAGACAATTCCATCACACTCAGAAAAACAGAATAAAAAGTTAACTTTGAGACAATTCTCGGGTCTATTACCTGTTCAGACTTAGACCTCATGAACACTAAAATCTCATCCACATATATAATATTAATCTCACAATTCTGTTCATTAAATAGAGAAGTTTCAAAGCTTAATTAGTCGCATCAAAACAAATCACACACACATAGTTTTGAAGCGTATGGAGAAAAGAAAAGAAAATGATTACTGCTGGAGAGCAGAAACAGCATCTTGGACTTCATCAACAGAGGGAACAGAGCCAAAAACAGAGTCATCTTCTTCGGTTCCTTCCTCCGAAACCCACTCAAAGTCTTCATAAGCGCCGGAATTGATAAACGAAAAAGCCCCGCCGTTCCATCCGGAGGTTGCAGCCACCGGGAGATTCAACAGCGACCCCGATGCCGCCGATATCGTCAGATTGTTCGACCCAGAAGAAGATCCCAGTTTCTTTGCACATCCTCCACCATGCGAGACAGAGGCGTTTCCGGCGGTAGAGGACGACGACGAAGACGGTGAGGAAGTAAAGGGATCTTGAATCCCGCCGTTGGCAACGCCTGTCCTCGTTATGGCACGGCCGGCGGCGCGTATCATCCCTCCGCCGCCGCCCATGGGTCCTCTTCCTCCACCAAACATATGAGACAATAAAATTATTTGCTCCGACAGGTTTCGTACGTGTTTACTCGGTGGATGAGTTTTGTCTTTTGGTCTACCGAGTCGGATCAATTAGAAGAAGCAGTGGTAGAAGTAATGGAGTCTGATGGATTTTGCTATTTCTTAGGATTCTTTGATTATTTCGAGGAGACGGATAAGATTTTAAATGCAAAAAAATGGCTTTTTAGTTTTTCAGGATTTTCTTAGAATATACTTATATATGTGACTTTCCTTGATTTGCTTTGCTTGGTCCTTCTTCTCCACGACACGCTTATCCATTACTCTGTTTCTTACTGCATTTAATACAATAAAATACCATCGTTCCAGATTTAATAATACTGTATAGGAGTTTGAGTTATATAGTTTTCCATGACGGAATGTATCCCAAATTAAATAATTTCCAGAAAAGAAATTTAACACATTAAAAAAAAATAGTATGCATAGAAATTAGAAATGCAAATATTAGACTCAATAGCATGAAAACTCCAAAACGAATTTGAGATTCAGAAAGACATCTCGTACGGAAATGGAGTACCGAAGTTTTTTTTAAAAATGAGATCAAATATTAGACTCAATAGCAGGAAAACTCCAAAACCAGTTTAAGATTCAGAAGACATTTCGTACGTAAATGGAGTATCAATCAAAGTTCTAAATAAATAAGAAATCTATGTCCAAATCGGATGTGATGAAGATTTCGGTGTGGAAACAAGATGAAGTTTAAATTCGAGTTTTTTTTTCCACTAATATCATTATCAAGGAAATCGATATGGCATTTGTCTTGTTAATAAAAGTAACTCAATTTTTAGAAATTATTAAACAAAACGGTTTTGATTAAAAAAAAAAAAACATATGAGTTTAACTAAATTTTATACAATCAAGTGTAATATAATTTATACATGTTGTCACTAAGATCAAAAATGTAAAATCATGTTGTTTTTAAGTGATACTACCAACTTTTGGTTTGTCCATATAGAAATAACAATTTCACAAACTGGAAAACATCTTATGAATGTGGTCCGGAAATCTTCTCTACGTACGAGACAAGGGAATCCTATTCTTTCTGCTTGAGTTTTTGTGGCTTGGATTTGATGATTATGATTCTATATTTAGAAGTCTGATTCCAGTTTTTAGTCTATTGGCTTACTTTCCCGGAATCTTTTACCAGAAAGAAATCGGATGAAATGGTTTTTTTTTTGTTTATTAAAAAAAAAAACTATTAAAATGGAAAATAGAATTGCTTAACAAAGTGGGTAAAAATGTTATGGAAACAAAGAAAAGGAGCGATAGCGTGTGGGCCTCCTCCACTCAATTTCCGGTTTACCTCTGCTTACGTTTTAATTTACGATGACTAACTAATGTTTGCATCATGAGGTGTCTGTCTAATTACCTTAGCAACTTCTTGTCATCATTCCCAGCAAATCTTCTGAGTAGGACACACTTGCAAGCAGCAGAAATGTCCCTTTTATATATAATTAAAATATCCATATATCCAAAATAGTATAAACTTCGAATGGTTAAATACATTTACTGAAGCAGATCATTTTTAAACGTCCATAGAAAGATGTAAAAAAAAAAACTGTTTATATTTTGATTTTGGTACAAGGAGCGACCGCACCAAACATAAAATAACTCAAACCGAACCATAGCTAATGCCTTGTATGCACAACTCGTTTGATTTAAGATTTGTAGTCATATGAAATTAATCTTTATACTTATAAAGCACAAGTCAGTTGGTAATTATGGTATTGACAAGTGTCCTTTTATCTTTTAAACTAATTTATCTTTTATTTTTTTATCACAAAAAATTATATTTTTTAAACTATTTTTTAAAACAATCTCATAACTATCTATGATCTTTTTAATTTCCCATCTTTACAGCATATTATCGTCACTTTCATCATATATATATATCAGAAATCTTTAGCCCATGTAATCTTTTATAAATTTGCAAAGAAAATTCGACAAAAAAAATCTGCAAAGAAAAAAACATTTATTTTAGGTAATCTATTAATTTTCGATTTTTGGAGTTTTATCTAAATTATTAATTATTATCATAGATTTATAGATACGTAATTTGAAATTTTTATTTCACTTATGTTTCAGGTATTAGTGTGATTATTTACAAGATGAAACAACTACTAGAAACACAACATTTTTTCTGGTAATAACCAAAAACATAACATTACAAAAATGGTAAAATGTAAAGATGTCTTCGGTAGAAAGTGAGGTTCTATCCATTTAATAATGATAACATTTGTAAATTAAAAATATTAGGCTGATATTTTTTTTTTTGTTCTGTGATCTATCTTTCTGGATTTGAGAAACATAAAAAACGACAAAGTGATGTGCAAAGTAAACATTTATTTTTAAATTTTTAAATATTTATTTTTCATTTTTTACTTATTACACTATCAATAAATATTTTCTCGTGATAAAATTAATTAACAAAATAAATTATTTTATACATGCTTAATTATCTATATCAAACATTAAAATGTATTATTTTATAATTTTGTATAATTATAAAATACACCTACATACTACTATATAAATATTTTGGATAAGTATGTTTACTTTTTTTTTCTATTATCTAATTCTCAAAATTAAAGTATTTCAATAGTAAAAATGTTTAATTGTTTTAATTTTAAACATGTTATTTTTTACCAATTTTATATAATTTTTTTATTTAAATATTATATTAAACTATTTTGATTTTAAACGTATGATTTTTTATATTAATTTATCTCAAATACCAATCCCTCCATAACAGAGGTAAAATACTAGTTTATGCATAAAGAGGAGACAAAAAGACGTGAGGAAGGTATAAGGTCATGCGTGCAACTAAATAGGCAAACAAATACTATAATAATTGCGTTGAGGAATGTAATTACTAATTAATCATCAGAAACATAGGAATTGAGAGATGAACATGATTAAAATAAGAAGGAAGGCTCTATGGATGGACAAAACTTCATTCTTTTTTAACAGACACTCCCTCTGTCACACTGATAATGAAGAAAATTCTGGCGAGAACAAATGAGTATATACCAGGAGTGATCCCTTTGACGATTGACATGACCAAGTTGTCTCATTTTCTTATTATTTTCAATTATTGTTTTCAAATCTTTATAAGATTCTGTGATTATAAGAAGCCATTGATTGTATCCGAGATTAGCAGCACCAACGTGGGTCTTCCTCTTCTCCGGTTGCTCTTTTGTTTATTTTTTTTCTGCCATTGATTTCTCTGTGAAATGGAAGCTTCTACCATTTCTTCCCCAATTTCGAGATGCTCAAAGCCAAATTAAGAAGCATAACTTTTTCTCCTATCCCCTATTTATGTCTTGGGTTTGACTAAAGTCGCATCCTTTATTTACCAGGTAGATTCAAAATATGGGCTTCTTGTTTAGTTATGGTTACGGTTTCAAATCTGTTCCCTGAAGATTGACTTGGCTAATGTTTCATACTCTTGCGAAGTCTCTGCAGTTGCATTGTGCTATAAAAATTTGACATTTTTCTTATAAAGTTGAGCTGTTTTTTTTTCTATCTATTCAAGAAGTTATCAGTTTAGCTTATATGGTTGGTTTGGTGTTGCTTTATGATCGGTGTACCTCTTTTGAATTCAAGATATTGTCATCTGTTCATCTTTTGTCTCTACTTTAGGAACAAACTACTCTTTTTACGACATTGTGTAGCAGTATCTGAAAAAGGTTAAGAGTGTGCAGGGTCAAAGCAACAAGAGGAAAAAAGAAAGACAATGAGTAGATCACCAGACAAACTTGCCTTGCCTCCTCCTCCTTCATCTCATACCGTCTTTGTGGCTCTAAGTGGGAGCAGTAAAAACAAAAATGTCGTTACATGGGCACTTGAAAAATTTGCCCCTCAAGGAAATGTTGGTTTCAAGCTACTTCACATTCATCCAAAGATTACTTCTGTACCTACACCAAGTAAAGCTCCAACTATTTCTGTTTCTTACTTGCACTCAACAAGACTTCTTGTGTAAATAAAAACGGAGACTTTACTATTGTAACTGACAAAAGTCTGATGATTTCTTGCTCTTTCTCTCTCAAGTGGGAAATGCAATCCCTATTTCCGAGGTACGAGATGATGTGGTAACTGCATATAGACAGGAATTACTGTGGCAGTCTGAAGAAGGGATTAAGCCTTTCAAGAAATTGTTCGAGCGGAGAAAGGTAATGTCTTTGGTATACCAGATACCTTATGCTTCTCTTTTGTTTTCAAGGATCAAAACCTGAATGTTTTATGAATTGTACTACCTTAACGAAAGGTTGCAGTAGAAGTTCTTGTGATCGAATCAGACAATGTGGCAGCCGCGATAGCTGAAGAAGTCACTCGGTATTCAATAGAGAGGCTTGTCATTGGAGGCTCATCGCGTAGCTTTTTCTCAAGGTACACACCACAGGGACGATAGCTTTGAACCTTTTATTGTTTTTGGTTTCTTGTACCAATGAATCTTGTTTTGAAAATTTCAGGAGAGCTGATATGTGCTCGGCGATATCAGCTTTGACGCCAAACTTTTGTACAGTCTATGTTGTTTCAAAAGGAAAATTATCATGCGTCCGACCATCAAACTCAGACGGAAATGCAACCATAAGAGATGATGGTAGTGAAAGAACTGATTCCTCCAGCGGTTCTTCCGGTCCCACCTCAGGTCCATGACTCATCAATGTATTTGTGTGTGAATATGCTATCAGAAACGGTGTGAAAGGTCTAATTTTTCTACCCCGTTTCTCCTTCTAGAATCAACAGATGGAATTTCAAGTGCACGTGATGACTCTCAGTCTCGTGCTCTATCCCTTCCGGTCAGGAGATTGCAACATTTCCCGACGGTTGCAAGACAAGCATCGGTTCCGATGGAGACGAGTTCTGTCGGCTCGGATGAAACCAGGTGCATGTCTCTGGATGCAGAGGAAGCTAAAGATGTTTCGAGTATCAATAGAAGCAGCACGGATACTACATCACGTTGGACTCCACGGCTTAGAGACTATGAGGAGAGAAAAGACGCTATGAGTTCTTCTTCTAGCAACCGAGAATATGGGAATGTTGGTAGTAGGTTTAGCTGGACTGGCATGATGATCGATACTACTCACTCGCGGGCTTCTCAACAAGCTTCCAACATGTCTGATGCTCTAAGTGAACAATCTTATACAGATAACCAGGTATTAAAATGGAGTTTTGATTTATTTCGACAGTGTCTTGTTAAATGGAATAATATAAGGTTTGTTTTGTTCAGGTAAACCTAAGCTTTGAGGTTGAGAAGTTGAGAGCTGAGCTTAGACACGTTCAAGAAATGTACGCTGTGGCTCAAACCGAAACCTTTGATGCTTCTCGAAAGGTGAAAGGCCGCATAGTCTCGTGTTATCTTTGTATTTGATGAAACCTGTTACTAGTTTTTGCTCAATGCATTTTTGAAAATGTTTCAGCTTGGTGAGCTTAACCAACGTCGGTTAGAAGAAGCCATAAAGCTTGAAGAGCTAAAGCTAAAGGAGTACGAAGCGCGAGAGTTAGCAGAAAAGGAAAAGCAGAGCTTTGAACAGGCGAGGAGAGATGCAGAGAGCATGAGAGAAAGAGCGGAGAGAGAGATTGCTCAGAGGAGAGAAGCTGAGAGGAAATCCGCTCGTGATGCCAAAGAGAAAGAGAAGCTTGAAGGCACTCTCGGGTCTCCTCAGCTGCAGTATCAGCACTTCACTTGGGAAGAAATCGTGGCTGCCACTTCATCCTTCTCAGGCGAGCTCAAGATTGGAATGGGATCTTTTGGAGCTGTTTACAAGTGTAATCTGCATCACACAACCGCAGCTGTCAAAGTCTTGCACTCCGCTGAAAATGGTCTGTCCAAACAATTCCAACAAGAGGTATGGAAGTAGGCTTCGGTTTTTGTGCCCATTTCCAGATGGAAGTTGTCTGATTTGAGTTCTTGTGGTATGTCTTGTCTTTTTTTCCACGAAGCTCTCATTAATATCTCTATTTTTGCAGCTGGAAATCTTGAGCAAGATTCGGCATCCACACTTGGTCCTCCTTCTAGGAGCGTGCCCTGAGCAAGGAGCTTTAGTCTATGAGTACATGGAAAACGGTAGCTTGGAGGACAGGCTGTTCCAGGTCAACAACAGTGCACCGCTCCCGTGGTTTGAGCGGGTTAGGATAGCTTGGGAAGTGGCAGTGGCTCTTGTCTTCCTCCACAAATCAAAGCCTAAACCGATCATCCACCGTGATCTTAAACCGGCAAACATCTTACTCGATCACAACTTTGTCAGCAAAGTCGGAGACGTTGGGCTCTCAACAATGGTTTCAGTCGATGCTTTATCAGCTAAATTCACTGTATACAAGCAAACAAGCCCCGTGGGAACATTATGCTACATCGATCCGGAGTATCAACGCACGGGAAGGATATCATCTAAATCAGATGTGTATTCGTTTGGGATGGTACTTCTCCAGCTCCTCACGGGGAAACCGGCTATTGCACTGACACATTTCGTTGAAAGCGCCATGGACAGTAACGACGAGTTCCTCAAGATCTTGGATCAGAAAGCGGGTAACTGGCCGGTTGAAGAAACCCGGGAGTTAACCGCATTGGCTTTGTGCTGCACAGAGCTACGCGGGAAAGATAGGCCTGATCTCAAAGATCAGATTCTCCCGGCGCTCGAGAGCCTGAAGAAAGTAGCTGAGAAGGCAAGGAACTCGATCTCCGGTGTGCCAACACAGCCTCCAACTCATTTCCTCTGCCCTTTGCTTAAGGTAACATCATGTTGTCCGGTTTATATGTCATCGAAATGCGAATTTGTTGTTGTGTTGTGATGAAATTGTGAGAGCTTTTGTCTATAATGAAACAATGCAGGACGTGATGAACGAGCCGTGCGTTGCGGCTGACGGATACACATATGACCGTCGTGCGATAGAGGAGTGGCTTGAGGAGCACGACACGTCGCCGATGACGGATTCACCGTTACGTAACAAGAACCTTTTGCCTAACTATACTCTTTACAGTGCCATCATGGAGTGGAGGTCTAGAATCTAAGACTACTACAGTAAGCCCAAAAACTGTGTAGCGTTTTCTGAGTATATAAACGACAAGATGTTCTCTTTCTCGTTACATCTTTGATTTGTCGAATGAAAAAACTGTAACCGTATGTTATCCATTGTCGGTTTTTTCCAAGTATAAACCGAAATTAGATTTATTTATTAATTTTCTATTAATTCATTTATGGCCATTACTAAGCCAGGATCTTTTTGTCTTTCGTCTCTTCCATTCGTTGCCCAAAAAGAAACAGTAGCTTTCTCAGATCCTTTCTCCATTGAAACAAAGGACTTGAGGGAAAGGTTTACTGTTTCTAGGGTTTCTATATTCCATTTCTCTTATTTGGAAAAATGGAAATACTCATTTTCTCTAATTTTCTTCGCATCTCGCTTATCTCCTGATTCCTGTCGGCGTTTTCTTGCGTCGAATAAAAACCATAGCTCGATTGAATCCGTAACTTTCCCAGAAATACAGAATTTATCAGATTCCTCAAGACCTAATTAATCAAAATTTTCACCTTTTTCCTCCTCTTGATTCGGTTCGATTCGTTCTGTTTCTGGCATTGTGCGATGCGGCTTCTTGCGAGTTTCCTTCTCTTGTCCTTGTTTCCTCTCGCGTTTTCCGAGGAGAAATCCGGCTCGCACATGGTTCCGCGACCGTTGATCTTCGAGACGCAGCTCAAGAGCGTCGACGACAATGTGCATTGCACGAGCTGGAGATTCGCGGCGGAGACGAACAATCTCGCGCCATGGAAGACCATTCCGGCGGAATGCGCCGATTACGTGAAAGACTACCTGATGGGTGAAGGCTACGTCGTCGATTTGGAGAGAGTCTCCGAAGAGGCTAGGGTTTACGCGAGCAGCTTCGAATTTTCCGGTGACGGGAAGGATATTTGGATTTTCGATATCGATGAGACTCTCTTGTCGAATCTTCCTTATTATCTTCAACACGGTTGTGGGTAATGTTTCTTTAATCTCCCTTTTACAATAATCTCGCTTTCTAAAATTTGGTTCTTGTGGATTATTTTGTCCTTTTCTGTGTAAGATTTTGAGATATGTGTCGTGTCTTTTTCTTTGCTTGTTTGTCTGGAAAATTCACAACAGGATCATTGATATAATCCCAAAATAATCTAGAAGCTCTTAAATGTGTGAATCTTTGTGTTCTTTTACTGAATTAAAAAGTTATCATTTTTGTTTGGGGACTTTTGCAGGCTGGAAGTTTTTAATCACTCGAAATTTGATAAGTGGGTGGAGAAAGGTGTTGCTCCGGCGATAGCACCAAGCTTGAAACTTTACCAAAACGTTAAAGATTTGGGGTACAGAGTTATCTTGCTTACAGGGCGGAGAGAGAACCACAGGGTCGTCACTGTCGAAAACCTGCTCAATGCCGGTTTCCGTAACTGGGACGAGCTTATTCTGAGGTAACGTTTACTTGATCTTGGATTATAATATTGGATTTGGATGATCGTGACGCTTTCATATTTGGTGCTTTGATGAAACAGATCGTTGGATGATGAGAACAATGCGACCATTTACAAGTCAGAGAAGAGGGAGAAGATGGTGAAAGAAGGGTATAGGATCAGAGGCAATTCAGGTGACCAGTGGAGTGATGTGTTGGGTCCTGCGATGTCAGAAAGGTCCTTCAAGCTTCCAAATCCAATGTATTATATCCCCTGAAGTGGGAAACGCTAATTCGATAATCAGAGAGGCAAATCAGGTGAATCAATGGAAGCAGCCTACTGTTTTTTTTTTTAAGTTTGGGTTGCCATGTAATCACTTGCTATATATATATATAAGTACTAATGACTGCATCAATTCAATGTGGATAGCCTTTGATCCAACAAACCATATATAAATATACAAAATGTTATAAGCTTTCTCTGGTTCAAGTCAGATCGTTTGCTATATTAGTCTTATCTTGTCAGTTTGCAATCATCTATTCGATGGTCTTATGGGGTTGAAATCAAATTAGGAGACGGCAAAACAATAATCAAATTTGGACTTTACCACTTTAACTATACAAATTATGGTAACCTCAGAATCTACAGATCAAAATGTCCACAACCTACTATCTTATTAACAAGACTTGCAGATCAAAATCAATAACATTTAAATCTTTATCAGAAAGAAAGTAAAAGATAAAACGAGACAGATCAAACATTTGTTTCACGAAACGAAAACTTTCCATATATAGACGTCTTACAAACGAAAGAAAGTACAACATAACGTTTACAAATTATAAGATTAAAAAAGAAACATGGTACCATTTGACAATAGAAACACCACTTGAATACATTATTCATATAACAAACAAAAAAAGAAAGAAACTCGATATCGGCTTTTATTATCCCCCCACTGATCAAATTCTAGACACTTTATTTTTCATGAACTCGACTCCCCGACATCGGAGTTATTGGACTGTGATGGTCGTTGCGTAATTTAAGTAGTTGTGTGCTGGGTGGTACGGCCGGTGCGGTCACGGTCATGTTCTCCACCAGTATGTTGCTGTCCGTAGTACTGAGCTCTGTCTTTCAGATCCTGAGCTTTGCTTCCCAACTTCATCCTTGCACTGTCCAGCCTGTCTGAACCCTGTGGGTGCTCTCCCGTTGCGTACCTATTCACGTTTTCACATCAGATAGGCTTCACAACATTTGTATATATGTAACAAACCGGCTAAGTCAACAACTCAACTCTTCAACAACAACACAATGACACAAACACATGTGTGTACAAGTGGATGTAGATGATACACGTGTGCTTACTTGTAGATCCAAGAGAAAACGGTAATAGCGGCAATGCCAAATCCACCGGAGGAAAGGAAGCCGGTGATAAGCAGTGCGACGGTGATGAGAGCTGGAACGAGGATTGGGCTGAAGATGACGAGCAAAGGAGTGGCAACCGTCAAAGCAATGACGGTTCCAACGAGGGTAAGGCTGGAGAGGACAAGGAGGGACCCACCAGCGGTGACTGCAGTAGCAGCTTTAGCAATCTGCCTAGACTTGGAGTAGTCTCGGTTGGAGACCTGGTAGCCGTACGGGTCGTACTGGTCTCGGCCTCGGCCCACTATCGGGTACTGGTCTCGGCCGACGATGTCGTGATGGGTTCTTGCTGTATCCGCCATGTTGCTCTTGTTGTACTAGAAAAGGAGATGTTCGATGAGAGATCAAAGAGAGAAGGATCTGTTGAATATATTTTGGAATAGCTTCGAGTGGTAAAGTGTTTAGATATATGGAGAAAAGGGAGGAGGAAAAGAGTCACGTGTCAATGGCGTCATCATGCATTGTACGCCACGTGTTAATGGCGTCACCATGCAGCCATTGCATGTGTAAACGAGAGGGGTCTACTTGAGGACACGTTTGGTTCTTGTCTCGTTCATGTGAATGTGGCGTTGGCATTGAACCGAATACACACACACAAAACGGAACATTGGGCTGGTAACTATGGATTCGGGCCTTCCATGAATTCCTTCATTCTTAACGGCCTACCATCGATAGCAACAGAATCAAATTCGGAACGTAAAACCCAAGACTATATGTTATTTGAGAGGTACAAATGATGGAACTCCTTACAACATAATGTAGGAGCCTTACTTAGAGTGATCATGACAGTTATAGAACAACGCATTATTGGAGACTAAAACAATAACATATTTGATCTACAAAGCCATTTCTGGCATTTACCACGTTGTAAATTAGGAAAAACCAAGTTATATATTATTTTTTATTGTAAGGTGGATATTAGTTATCGGAAAGCATGCATGATGCAAAATCCTGACCTGAGCGCTAAAATATCTTAAAAAATTAGTCTGGAAAATGAATTATTAATTAGTCTTTGACATAGCTAGGAGAATAACCTTTGGGAAAACACCAAATGGTTACAATAAGTAGAATCATAATTTTTCCTAAACAGTGGGAAATGCATAGCTAATAATATCTTGGGAATTTTAAACGTGGAGGAAAAATTAGGATTTCAATCTTATTTTTAGTTATGTCAAAAGTTAATTATGTTCCGGAATATTCTGGAAATCGACGACAGTTTCCGTGCGGGAAGAAGAAAATTTTAGATAGAAATATCCGACGCTAGAGTTCCCCATTCCCCCACGTCACTCCTCTCTTCCTTCTCTTTGATAATGCTAGCTCTCGCCGCCTCTCCTCCGGTAATCTCCGCCGCCTCTCTCTCTAAACCTCTCCACTCTCTCTCTAAAGCCGCACTCCCTCTATCTAGAGCCAAAACCATTTGCCCTTTCCCCAAAACCTCTCGACTCATCTCCGTCTACAAACCCCCGATGAACAACCTCTTCAACAGGCTCGGATTCGGGTCTCGTCCCCAAGCCGACCCGGCTTCCGCCGCAATCGCCCAAGGACCCGACGATGATGTTCCGTCTCCGGGTCAGCAATTCGCGCAATTTGGCGCCGGCTGCTTCTGGGGAGTTGAATTGGCTTACCAGAGGGTCCCTGGTGTGACGAAGACTGAGGTTGGGTACAGCTCTGGGCTCGTCCACAATCCGACCTACGAGGATGTCTGTACGGGCACGACGGGACATAACGAGGTTGTCAGAGTTCAGTACGACCCGAAAGAGTGCAACTTCGAGAGCTTGCTCGATGTCTTATGGAAGCGCCATGATCCCACCACCTTGAATCGCCAGGTGATAGCTTTATCCTGAAAATTCTAGACTTGAACGCATCTCCATTTGAATTATCTTCAGAATCAGTAATTTTCCGTTGATACAGAGCTCTACTTGTTTGCGGATTTCGGGAGAATTGTTTATTTATCATCGCTGCTATATGCTGATTTGGTTCTAGATCCATAAATCAAGAACGTTATGCTGTTTCAAGCTTTGGTTTTTATTACATTTTGATTTGATAGAGATGGCTTTGTTGTTTGCGAAGTTAAGACGTTTTTATGCTGTTGATACGAAGTTAGAGCTGAATCAGAATCTGCTCTTTGTCATGTTAGATTATGTGGAAGTGACATTACCATTTCTGATTGTTTTCTTCTCCTTTTTTATGCAGTTCATTGATTTCAGTCTCTTTATCCTGAGAACATGTTTACTAATACTGATATATACAATTTGAGGATGAATCTAGTGTTGTTTTTGTGGTCCTTAACTCGCCATGCTGACTTATGTGCGTGAGTTCTTTCTTGATTGAGTAGGGGAATGATGTGGGAACGCAGTATCGATCGGGCATATACTATTACACAGACGAGCAAGAGCAGATAGCTCGTGAATCTGTGGAGAAACAGCAGAAGATATTGAACAAGAAGATTGTGACAGAGATACTCCCCGCCAAGAAATTCTACAGAGCAGAAAATTACCATCAGCAGTACCTGGCAAAAGGTGGCCGCATGGGTCTTAGACAATCAGCTGAGAAAGGTTGCAACGATCCAATCCGATGCTATGGTTAAGATTCTAGTCACCCTCTTGAGCACAAAGAAGTTGAGTTGTTTTATGAAAATGCAGTACTCTGTAGATCACATTCATGTCTTGTCTTGGTTATATAATCAGTGGTGATTATGCATCATATGTTGGTACTAATGGTGTGCTACTTTATACAGTTTTCTAATAATCATTGTTTTTGGTCTCCTATATTCAAAATGTAATGGTTTACAAAGGACAAAATTCAGTATATAAATAACAGTTTATAGGATTTTCCAGTACATTGACATTTTATCCAAAAGAAAGGAGTTCTAATCTCACAATCTCGTTCAAATGTGGCCTCTCTGAGAGAGATACAAAAAGATACTATTAGCTAGAGATACATTATTAAGTGTTTGCGTCGGGGAATCAAAATCACTATATGCCTTCTCTAGATTGACCATAACCCCAACCTTCTTCCACCAGGAACTCGAGATCTTTTCCAGGCTCCTTTTCTTATCCATATGAACGTGTTGAGAATATATATAATAAATACACCAGGAATTTCACAATGATTTGTACTGTTCGATCAAGCGTGACGCATGGAGACGTGAAGTTGGGACCACCGTGCATCCTAGACTATGCAGAAATGCGATCTGTCATGTCAAACACATTTGCAGAAATTGTATCATCTTCTAATTAATCGGTTGGTCAAATAAATGCTAGACTGAAAGTAATGTACACTGCGTTGGATGAATAGTGCAGTGTTTTCACCTGTTTACTGGTTGCTTCTGAAGTACCCATTGAGTTTTCAATTCTGAGTTTTTGGAAATGCTCCTGAAACATAAATATTTTTCCAAGTTCGAGGAGTGAGTCGACTTATAATTTCTCATTTTCTTGTTCTCTCAAAACAAAGATACACATTACCTGTTTCTCGCGGACTATATGAGCCCGTGTGTCTGCAGGAAGTTGTTCCCACCTAAGTACCTGACATTTCCAAAGTACACAGGAACAGAAGCACCACAATCTCAGTACTCATTTTTATCAGCTCATTAGTGTGTGACAATTTTATTTTTCGGATAACATGCTTACATGTTCTGCATATTGGAACGCTTCTTCGGAAGTCAATGATGACTTAAGTGCTCGTAAGACATCCTAACAATATAGCGCAGCATCCAATTAGTCACCAAAGCATATTCCAACAATGTGTTACGTCCTTGAAAACAAGAAGACGACTGTGTCTGTTTGTTTATGAATAAATTTATAAACGAGACCATATAAGATTAGAGAGGTATACAACCTTGTGTTTGTTCTTCTTGATAGCCAAACGTTCACCAATCACAAACCTTACCTGCATGCACAAAAACGTTAACATGAAAGGTAAGCTACGAACATTGCTTGGCGCTTACTGTTGATCGAGAACTGTTGCAGAGTAGGCGGTACTCACTTTGTCAATTAGCCTCTTCGGGTCCTGGAATGCTTGTTTCTTAGCCCAGTTGTGGAATAAGTGAGAGACAACTGATCTAACCTCCACATCAAACCTGTTGAGGATAAAATCTCTACACCTTTGAATGATGAACCAGAAGAAAGACGGCCAAACAAGATAGCTATGGAAGTTTTCAAGGACGTAACCTCTTGAGGAAATTGTTCCCATTGGATGTGTATGCTGCTTGTATTGACTCCTCGGTAGCATCATCTACTGGAATGTTCATCATATCATTATCAGCTGGTTTAATATCCTCATGCTTTATTTCTGTTCCGAAATTGGAGACGCTCTGCTCAGTCTTGTTTGGAAGGTTTTGATGAACTTTTCTGCAGTCATTTATGCTCAAGTCTCCCTACAAAAGAAAAAAAGAGACAAAAGTCAAGACCTCAGAAAGGTTTGTTGTTTGGCTATTGGCTGACTTCCACAAAGAGTAAAACACTTGGCCACAGTCATATTTGAGAGTTCTTATTAGCGCTATCACATTATCATGCATAAAATTGCAACACAAACTGAGATCTGAACCTGTAGAAGATGGCCTGGAATCTCTTTAAGAAATCGCGAGGGTTGGAGCATCTAGATGGAAGGTCAATAGTCAGTCAGAGACAAAGTTTGAGAGGGAAAATTCACAAATCATGTGTAGTTCTAACCTGCCAGTTTGAATCTACTGTCACGTACAAGAAAAATAATTTCTTGCGAGCACGAGTCATAGCAACATACAGAAGGCGACGTTCTTCCTGCAATTTAAACAAACAATGCGCTAAAAATAGATTTGTAGAGTTTGCAGAGGTGGGAGATCGGTTGAAAGTTAATGAAGTACTTCCAGAAAAGGAAGAGTGATACCTCAAGTGACGTTCCACTCTCCGATGCAGTGCCGTTAGACTCATGTAATAGGGGAATCTCGTTTTCATTAGCCTGTTCAGCAAAACTTGGATTCAAATTGAGCCAAGGAATTTTTAATTTAATCGATTCTATATCATGTTAGGTATAACTGCCACCAGCCTGGCAAAGAAATCAACAGAGAATGATATATACCTTAACTATGAAAACTACGTCCCACTCCAAACCTTTAGACTGCAGAAAGACGAACAAGAGTTGTAAGCCAATATTGCCATTACTATCTGAAGCAACTAATTCTAAAACCAATGGACATCAAACTCTGGAGTGCTCGACAAAAACCTGATGAATGGTGGTCAATGTGACAGAATTTTCATTGTTATGTCTTCTTGAACGAAAATTTTCAGTTTCACGCTCGGAGATATAGTTGATAAATGAATTAAGTTGATTGCAGCCTTTCTTTTCTTTGATTCCATCCACTTCTTCTCCAGTTGTAGTGCAATGAGTGGAAATAAACTCAGCTACATCATCCATTAGGTATTGGAGTACCTGCAAAACAGGAAATCATTCCCCAAAATATTTTTAAAACATGCATACGAAGAAAAAGGATTATCCAAGTTTTTGAAGAACAAAAGCCACGTACAGATCTAAGGTCGTTGTCTTCATTAAGCAGTTTCCCTCCATCGTTATCCACAACTGCTCGTTGCTCAAGAAGGTATTTCTAGAAGTTGAAATAACATGAGCAGATAAGCATGATCAAGAAAAGAAGTGAGTATGATATTGCATAAAGAGTCTAAGGAAAGACACAGTAAATCTTCATAGCAAAGTCATGTGTTCATAAACTATTTTTTACTGAAAGTTATACCTTAAATGTATAATCAATAAATCATGATATCTATACACTTTCAAGAATGAAATTAGACTGTCAAACATAAGGTCCTTTTTCAAAAAATTCAACAACGGATATCAAGAGAATTTGTATATCTGTCTTGCTTAGCAACATAAATCTTTCCAAAATTGCCTGCATGTTTTGTATATATATCTCTGGAGATGACAGTCTAGGGCAATAGTTATAATCATATCATCACTCAAAACACAAAAATTAATTACCTGCGGGATCATATTTGCCACACATGTTACTACAGCTGAAAGTGATTGTTCCTGCAAAGAATTAAAAAGTAAGGGATTAGTAGTGCTAAGTTGAAATAAGCATGACCATTTCAAGTAACGCATAATATTTAAAGGACTGAGAAACAAATATCTTACCCTATCAACCAGCTTTGCTACCATGTCAAGAGTCTGCAACACTTTGCGTCCCTGGGTAAGCTGGTTCCTGTGGGTAATTTAAAAGAAGCTAAGAAGGTTTACAGGAAACATAAAATTAAATCAACAAGACTGTGAGGGTGGTAAAAACGACAAGTATCTATCACTCTAGTATGCATCATGAAAAATAAAAGCAGACATTGATATGAGAAAACTTGTATTATGTCCAAGAAGCAAGCATATTCTCAATTCGGAACTAAAACTAAAGCAGTATTATATATTGCTTTATTACTTCATTTCTTCAAGTAAATACCTCTTGAAGGTACCAGAAATCTTGGCACTGAAGATATCACTCGCAGCTGAAATGAAGCTGCATTTCCTACTAGTGGAGATTTTGTCAATATGTTCAATAACCTGCAGACGGAGGCAAATAAATTAATTACAAAGAGCATACGTCCTGATAGCTTAAGCTGAATAAGAAAAAGTAAATCATAGATAATCATGTAAAAGCTGAACCCAAAAAAAAATAGATAATCATGCAAATGAAATCAAAGGAGAGCAAATGAGGTACAAACCTTCTTCTTTTCCTCTTTCTCAAAAGGAAGTAGTGCCTTAAAAACTCGCCGATAAGAAGCATCATCACATTCGGAAAATGTTGTTCTCAGCATGGCCAAAATGATTCGGACAACCTAACGTCGAAACATATTATAGTTGTCAAGCATTGAGATACATGGAGATCATGAAACAATTAAACATATGAGCTAAATATGAGGCAGTCTACCTTTTTCCTGTAGAAAGCAACACCATGAACGTTGAATGGTATTTTTCTCTCGCGGAACGCATTTTGGAAGACTTTACCTGACACCTGAATATCATTACATTCGTCGTTTACAACGTGTAAGTAAATAAGTTAAAGAGTTTTTAACATTCGGACAAGATGTCATTAAGAAATAGAAACGGACTGACCTGCCTCCTATACAGGATAGCAATATCTCCATGGGAACGAGGTGTTGAGCCATCACTAGTGATTTCCATTATTTTGTCAATGACATATGCACACTGTGCTTCCTCGTTATGGCATTCCTTGACAGTAATCTATACTGGGTAAAACACGAAAAGTTAGCTTGTAGCGATTAAATGATGCAAGTTCTCATAGAGACAAGTTCAAAACTTGCCTTCGATCCCTGAGAGTTTTCAGACGAAATGCTTTTTGATTGGCACCTCTTTGTATTGTTTTTTATAATGGAAGATGCAGCTTCCACAATATGGCGGGAGGATCGATAGTTTTTTATCAGCCTGACCTGCATCAGAAGCAGTAAAAAGAGTTTTATTGCATCCGCAGTTTAATGTCGAGAGCTTTTGGTTCCTGAAGCTAATACACCATATGTGGTATAAATTTAGAAATTTAATTCACGTCGAGAAGCCAAACCTCTTTGTAATTTGGGAAATCTCGGCGAAAAGAATCAAATCCTGAACTGTCCGCCCCGTTAAAACCGAAGATGGACTTCAAGAAAAGATGTATCATACGTCCAGTTTTAGATAATCAAACAAATAGAAGTAAGTTTTGTTAGCAAACAAGGTACCTGATCATCATCACCAACAATCGTTATGTGATTATGAGTCCCTAGCATCCGTAGAAGCTTGTACTGCATTGTACTAGTGTCCTGGAATTCATCAACTATGATCGCTTTCCAGGTCTCTTGGCATTCCTTGAATACTTTAATCAAAATCAGCAAATACGCGTAAATACAAGGAAGTCAAGTGTCATAAATCTTAAAGCCAGAAAATAGATGTATGTGGCTTCACCTTCAGGAAAGTCCGAGAGCAGCGTGACCGAACAACTGATCAAATCATGATAGTCCAGAGCATTACAAGCTTTGAGGATATCATTGTAGTTTCCAAGAATTTTAGCCTGTGTCAGCACAAGTAGAAGAATCATATCGTATGTGCGAATTAATAGTAGAGATGCCTGGAATAATATTTAGCTGACTTACTCCTATCTCATTGCCCATCTTACGGCACTCCTCTGGAGTTCTACCGGAAGCCTTTCCCTAAAACGCGTAAATAAGTTAAAAAACAAAATGGTAAGAGACAAACTAAATGTAAAAAACAGCATATACGCACTATCAACAGACCACTAAGTAAATTATGTTAATTCTCCATTGTTAACCTGGGTCACATATTTTTGCCATTTCTTCGATAAATCCTTGGCATATTCAGGACATACTGCTCCTGCACCGGCTCCATTCATACCTTCACATGCACCAGAAGTACTGCATCCGTTTTTCTTTTCCTCTTCATACAAACGCACTGCTTCAATAATAGCTCGTCTTTGTTGCCCATGTCCATACACTGAAAATTCAGATGTACGTTGTAACCTGTGACAGTAGGAAAATAATAAGGTACATGAATCCCATAAGGTGTCAATGGGTGATATGTAACTAATAACTACAAACGAACAGTAATATAGAATTAGTGAAATCACCCTTCCAACTATGCAAAGCAGATAATTATAACAAGGGTAGATTTTCATCAAATAATCTTGTTTTCAATTATAACTTCCATTTCCTAAAGGCACCAAGTTAACAACATAGAAAGTTACATATTGCAGTGTTAAGAACAAAATAATTTCTTGTCTTCAACCAACATTTTGACTTGAGATTAACCATCAAAAGAAAATTTGACAAATGTACCAAGCAATTCATAATTCATATTCTTACTTGTCTGCATGCATCCGACAAAGCTGCAAGGAAAATGAATGGAATGTACTGATTGTTATTTCTTTGGCTGCTTTCTTTCCAGCAGATTTTCCTATGCGTTCTCTCATCTCCGAAGTTGCCGCTGTAGTGAAAGTCATTGCAAGGATGTTTGATGGATGTAGACCCTATCAAGTTAGAAAGAATATAAAACTTAAGAGTTTAAAGACAGTTTTAAATCTCAAGTACGAAAGATTTTCTAAATCATTCACCGGCTATAACTGATATTACCTCATTGAGCAACACTAAGACACGGCCAACCATGGTGGAAGTCTAACAAGGGAAAAGGAATAATTAGCACTGACTGTATAACATGAAACCTCACGAAAACTCTTGCCTCAAAGGAAAAGAAGTGTAATTAGATACCGACCTTTCCACTTCCAGGACCAGCTATAACCATTAAAGGAGTTGCAATATTACTACACGCTGCATCACGCTGTCTATCATTTAAAGACTGCATATATTTTGAACACTCATCAGGCATGATGTTGATGGATGCAGGATCAGCAGCAATGGTAGTCTCTTCATTGAGCTCCACTTTGGCATTCGAGTCTTGCTCATGAAAATCAACAGCATTAGAAACAAAGCTAGCCTTGAGGTCACTGTTCTTATCATCACTGGACGGAGTCTGAGTCATGCTGGTATTTGGAGTTTGACATGCTGCTTTTCTCGCCGACTGTTCAATGATAGCGTCAATCTCTGCTAAAATGGATTCATCAAAGTCATCATCATCAAGAAGTGAAGAAGTAGAGCAGTCATAACTTAGTGTAACCCTTTCCGGCTCTTTCAGGGGAGTAACAAATGAATCTGGTGAAATTCCATTGCCCGTCTGAGATGCGTTTGTGATCTCCTCATCCAGATCACACCTATGAGAAGGGATGCTCACGCCACGAGGATAACCATCATCAGAGGACTCAACCCCTAATTTTAGGCGCTTGTGTGGTGTGTTCTCTGATAACTCCATAAGAGGAATCCTATTGGAGTTGGAATGGCGAACATGGGATCCACCACCCATAGAATCCTTGATTCTGCAAAGAGAAGAATGTAAATTTTACGGAGATTGCTAATATCAAAACCAGAATTTGAATCAATCAAAAGAAAAGGATGTGCATCGGACCTTTGAGGAGAAGGATAGGAGAAATTAGCTGCATCCTCAGATGGTCTTTTCCGATCAAGGAGCGGCTTGGCGATCCTGAAGCTTTGAGAAATCCGACCATGACTGTACTCTTGATTCCATATTCCTCTGTTCGGCGGATGATTCTCCATTTTCCCCTAATTTTCGTCGGTTCCTTCCCCTAAGAGAAAGAGAGGGAAAATTCGAAATGGTTGAAACCAGAGTGAGACTGGGAAAACCTAAGGAGAACGAAGCCCCGTTGTCAGCCACGAAGACTAACCTTTTCCGGCATAGGGAAATTCAATTGGGCTTCGCCTATATGGGCCCTTTATTTTGGAAGAATAAGAGTTTTGTATAATGGAAACAGTTTTGTGAACTTTTCTGATGATAAATATTTTTAAGTTTGTGTTTACTAATTAAAAAATAGGATGAGTTTAAGAAAATGGTGGTCGTTTTTAAATTTGTGTTTACTAATTAAAAAGCCTAAAAGTTTGGATACACGAGTTTAACTCGAGACAATTTGTGTAGCTTAGGGATGTTGTCCTAAACGAAGTTTGATGAGTGCATGTCTTGTAAATATCAGACATTACAATGTCAATTCAATAAGATCACAGCTTCATCATATTCTAGTACTCTATGGTGGGTAAAATTTATTCTAAATAAAAGTCAACGGCAACTACATTCTAATTATTGGTTCCTTGGCACTATCAAAATCCATGCTTCTTCTACAAAGGAAAATAAAACAGGCAATTAGAAGAGAATGGAACAATCAAAATTCTCATCTTGCTAATTCGGTTTGTCCACACATTGTTTATACGCAAGTTGATTAGTAGTCTTCACAAAAAGTCTTCACGAATACATAAGCCTAAAGTCGTCTCTTACTCTGTATTTCATTTCCTTCTTTACTTTATTGGCCTTTTCCTCTAAACTTCCTATGCTTAGTTGCAATAACTCCGTCCTTGATCATTGATGAAATGTCCAGCAGCAGAAACGAAAGGTTTTGATCTGCAAACTTTCGGGAAAATTTGGGTGGAAATTCGAAATAAGTCGAAAATAAAAGGGTTTTTGTAAGAAAAAAGAAGAATGTTGCTGCTAGTGGACTGCTCCAGCTGTCGGACGCCGCTTCACCTCCCTCCCGGAGCCACCCGAATTCGCTGCTCCGTTTGCCACGCCTTCACTCTCGTCGCTCCCGAGCCCCGTCTCCAATCTCATCCCCACGCGCCGCCGAGCCCTCTTCCTTTCCCCAACTCAATTCCGACACCATCACATTCCGTCTACCCGCCACCGGCACCGCTCAATCACGTGCCAGCGCCTTCTCATTCCGTCTACCCGCCACCGTCACCGCCTCCGTTTAATCACGCGCCGTCGGCCCCACCTCCATTCAGTCACGAACCGCTGTCTCCGTTCGATCATTCTCCGCCGGCATCGTATCCGGTCATTCACGCGTCGACAGAACTGTATCCGTATAACCACGCGCCGCCAGCACCGTTTCCGTATGATCACGCGCCACCGGGGCCACCACCTCCTGTACATGGACAGAAGCGAGCGGTGATCGTCGGGGTGTCTTATAAGAACACGAAGGACGAATTGAAAGGATGTATCAATGACGCAAACTGTATGAAGTTCATGTTGATGAAGCGTTTCCATTTCCCGGAATCTTGCATTCTTATGCTCACAGGTATTTTTCTACTTCCCTTCATCTTTCATATATGACCATACGCAAGAATAGTCAGTAAACACGAAAGTAAATGCTACAAGTCTCAAAAATGTTGTAGAAGAAGAAACGGACCCATTGAGATGGCCGACGAAGAACAACATAACAATGGCAATGCATTGGCTAGTTTTAGGCTGCAAAGCGGGAGATTCCCTCGTCTTCCATTTCTCCGGTCATGGCAACAACCAGATGGACAACAACGGCGACGAGGTCGATGGCTTTGACGAGACTCTTCTTCCTGTTGACCACGCGACCTCTGGTGTCATCGTTGACGACGAGATCAATGCTACAATCGTAAGGCCTCTCCCATACGGAGTCAAGCTCCATGCCATCGTCGACGCTTGTCATAGCGGTACCGTCATGGACTTACCCTATCTTTGTAGAATGGACAGGTAGTACGTTAAATATATATCACAAATAGTTAAATGGTTATGTATAGTTTCATAACTCTTTTTTTCTCTCTTGATCATGCGTTATGATTGAATAGACTCGGGAAATATGATTGGGAAGACCATCGGCCTCCATCAGGCATGTGGAAAGGTACGAGTGGCGGAGAAGTCTTCTCCTTCACGGGCTGCGATGATGACCAGACCTCAGCTGACACTCCGGTACTTACATTCCTGATCTCGACGTTGAACAGCTTTTGATAGTATTTGTAGCAATTCTACAAAAAAAGACTTAAGAGTATTTAGGAGCTCTCACAAAGAATTTTTCGTGCACACCGCAGCAACTGTCAGGGAGTGCGTGGACGGGGGCGATGACGTATGCATTCATCCAAGCCATAGAACGTGGTCACGGGACGACTTACGGGAGCTTATTGAATGCAATGAGATCAACGGTTCACGAGATCTTCGACAAAAACAAAGGTAGAGAGCTTATCGAAGTGGAAGGCGCTGATCTTCTCACTACTCTTCTTGGTTTGCTCATCTTAGGCGCTGCTCCTCCTGAGGACGAGGAAGTAAACCAGGCCCCACAAAAAACTCAGGTGATCCATTCATCTTTATCCTTCATCTAATTATTACTTCAATTAACCTGAATTTAATAATTTTCGTAGCAAGATTTATGTTAGTTGATTTACATTGATGATAAGATATGTTGGTGTGTTGGAATGCTACCACAGGAACCACAATTGAGCGCTAACGAGCCATTTGCTGTGTACGGGAAGCCCTTCTCTCTATAATATCATCACCTTGAAAGGACATGAAAAACAAAAAAAAAGGAATATGAAATTTCTGAAGATCAATAAGATACTTTATTGAGTTTTGAGTGAAGATATATATATGGGGCATGTTCATGATATATTATTTTTGTCGGCCTTTTTCGTGAAATGAAAATACTTTTTGAGAATTTTAACAAATTGTAAAAAAAATAGACACCATCTTTCGAAAATTGACCTTTTATTTATAAAAAAAAAATCTGAAAAAGATATGTATGAAAAGCAAATGTCCAATAATTGTCGATACAATTATGACGACACAATGAGTCAATAAGACCAAGCGAGGAAAAAAAAAAAAATTGTACTGCAAGAGATAATGATAGTACAAACTATACGTACTGCAAGTCTGCCACATGTACGTTATGCAATGCCATACCCAAAATCCAGACCCATCCATAAAAACTCAGACCACAGATAACACTGGCGTGTGCTCTCCTCGCTTGCCCTGAAACTAGAGGTTCTGCTTCTATCTCTGATCCTGATCCACTTTGTAGCTTCCTGTTCAAGTTTTGCTAGATATTTCATTTTTACGTTACTTGTATATCTTTTATGTGTTTTGCAAGAATATTGATTAGTTTCTGGGCATCTCGATGCTATGTTGTCTGAAATGTGCTTGTGCAGCTTCAAGTCCAAAAAGAAATGGCTGCTTCAAGTGCTGTAACCGCAAACTACGTCCTCAAGCCACCTCCGTACTCTCTGGTATGAGTTCATTTACTTGTTTCCACGAATCAATTGTTGTTGTCTCGGCAAATGTCATTTTGTTTTGGTTGGATCATTAGTTTTTGCTTCTTGATTAGGTGATAATATAATTTGTTATATTAGTCAAAGGCGTTACAAATGTAGTCCTCTGATTTCACAATAGAAGGAGATGAAAAAGGATCGAGTCAATTTGTGTTTTTTTTCGAAATTTTGGATAACATTGTAGATTTTCTTTAAGAACTAAAGTGGCTCAAACGTGTAATCTAGTTCAAATTTCAATTTAAATGTTCATTAGTATGAGCTTGTGTGTTCCTTAGCGGATTTATTGTTTTCTCTCACTAAGGAAATGTTTGGAGTATCTGATGAGTCTTGAGTGATAGAGATTTTGATGAAAATGTTGTTTGGTATAATATTGGAAAGGATGCTTTGGAGCCGCATATGAGCCAACAAACTCTGGAATTTCACTGGGGAAAGCATCACAGAGCCTACGTGGAGAACCTCAAGAAACAGGTTCTTGGATCCGAGCTTGAAGGCAAGACCTTAGACCACATCATCAAGAACACTTACAACAATGGCGATCTCCTCCCTGCTTTCAACAACGCTGCTCAGGTAAGAGAATAAACCCATTTAAACTTGAGCCCTTAAAAGATGGTGTGTGATTGTTTAGCTGATCCAATGGTGTATATACAAACAGGCGTGGAACCACGAGTTCTTCTGGGAATCAATGAAACCCAATGGTGGAGGAAAACCATCAGGAGAGCTTCTTGATTTGCTTGAAAGAGATTTTACTTCTTACGAGAAGTTCTATGATGAGTTCAATGCTGCTGCAGCCACTCAATTTGGAGCTGGCTGGGCCTGGCTTGCTTGTAAGTTGACGGCTTTCAGTTTTTTTGTTTTCCTTCAGTGAATGGTTTCAAATTGAAGAGTTTCACATAACTATTTTAGTTTATTCCTTACCATTATCTCTCTGCTTTCAGACGCTGATGACAAACTGAAAATAGTGAAAACTCCAAATGCTGTGAATCCCCTTGTGCTCGGCTCCTTCGTAAGTTTTTTCATTCAGGAACTTGAATACATGAGTTAACTTGATTAGAGATCACCGTACAAACAATTGTTACAAATCCTTAAATTTGATATTGTGTGGTGATTTCTTGCAGCCATTGCTTACCATTGATGTGTGGGAGGTAAATAAACACTTTTGTAACCCATACCAAATAGTATTTGTCTTAGAACCTATAACTTTTTTGCTAAAAATTAACTGATGTCTCTTCTTTTCTTCCTTTGCTATATCGAACAGCATGCTTACTATCTCGACTTCCAGGTAATAATAACTATAAAATGAAAGTTTTTCTTTTATTTCAGTTCCTTTGTTTTGTTGATTGGTGTAATATTTTGTGTATGAGCAGAACCGGAGGCCGGATTACATAAAGACATTCATGAACAATCTTGTGTCTTGGGAGGCTGTAAGTTCCAGACTTGAGGCTGCCAAGGCTGCTTCTGCTTAAGACAGACAATTTCGGATCACAAATTTGACTTCTGTGGTGATTTCTGCATTACTGAAGTTTCTTAATAAAAAACATTGGTCGTGGTAATAAGGACACAGCTCTCTTGTTGTAATGTGTCATCGAGTCTTTCGTCTATTTCTTCTTAACTGAGTTTTATTTATCGTGTAATGAATAATAATCATGTTTTGCTCTGTTTGGTTTGTTTTTTGGATCTTTGTGTGTTACTTTTTCACTTATCTCTTTTTTCAAGGCCGACCCTTTTGTTATCTATATAACTCAAACGCATACTCCAAGGATTTAAATTAATACGGATTATGATTCGTTAGCAATACTGATACAAACCATTAAGTTATTAACTCCGGTAAAAAAAGTAAGCACGATATGGTTCTACGTTTTTGTGTACTCGAAATCAAGATCACAACGAAAACCATCTTACGCATGAGTCACGAGTCTCAGAATCGAGCAAACGAGATGCAGCATATCAGTTGAAAAAGCTCTCCAAACCGTGGTGGGAACACACGTCAATGAAATGTTGGGGGATATGAAATATTTCGGGCACATCAAAAAGCTTGTGGCCCCCACGTATCAATTTGTTATTGCATTATGTTTCGACGTGTTGGAATATATTTTATGCGTTACTCGACGTTGAATTGTTGATGGACGTCACCGTTTGTATAATTATAAAATGACTAAGCGAATATTTAGTTTAGGGTCGTCTCGAATAGTATATTCTTTTTTTTTTGATAAATCCGATATAAATTTAAATATTTATAATTCAGTGCGGATTTTTTTTTTTTTTAATGAGAGAAATTCTTTACGCCGTTTTATGTATGGTTTCAACTCTTCTTATAACTTCAAATTTAATAACACGATAAAACTATAGTATTAACAAATATTTTGTTATATTGATAAGAGATTTTAAAAGAGTTTAGATTTTACTTTTTAACAGGGGTTTAATCGTTGACGAGTTTTGGTATTGGTCTTTTTTTTCTTTCTAAGATATTAATTGGTCTTTAATTCTGGGTCCACGTCTTTCATATTTTATTTCATTGATTTTGTTTAGCACATGTTGGAAGAATCATGTGTGTTGTCGAACGCGTAGTCATTGGCGTCACCATTTATATACATGACAACAATACGCGAATTTCTCCAGTCGTCTCATATTACATCCCAAAGAGTTTTAGATCGTGTCTCTCATTTCCTCGGGAAATAAGTTCTTCAGAGCTCTGAGATGCGAGAAATAAATTGCTCCGTTTAGTCAACCATTCTTTGTGTTTCCCGTTAGAAAATTTCCGTTATATAGGGGACGACGACTCTACGCAGAGAGTGAGCATTGAAGTGGCAGACTATCACTCCGACTCGGACACAGAGGAAGAGAAGAGCAGCGACACAGTTTTTTTCTATTAGTTCCGGTAAGCGGACCATTGCATCCAGCCGATCGAGCAAAATCCGGCCATGGAAAACCTTGGAGGCGTGACCGGATCGAGCGTGAAGGAGAATCCGGAGAAGAAACGGAACGGTCTGGTGAAGCGGCTGGCCTCCGTTTCTAACCAACTCAAACGCTTTACAAGGGTCTCTGGAGAGAGTAATCCAGCTCGGTTGGAACGGTCGAAGTCAACGACCGGTAAGGCCTTGAAAGGGCTCAAGTTCATCAGTAAGGCCGATGGTGGCGCTGGCTGGACCGCCGTGGAGAAGCGGTTTGTTAAGATCACGAAAACTACCGAGGGATTGCTGCTTAGGTCAAAATTCGGTGAATGCATAGGTAAAATTGTACATTCGAGGATATAGAAGAAAAATAAATTGTTTTGGATATCTAATAGGGATAATGACATATTGTTGCAGGGATGAACTCAAAGGAATTTGCCTTGGTACTGTTCGACGCATTAGCTAGAAGAAGGAATATGTCTGGAGATGTGATTGATAAGGACCAGTTAAAGGATTTTTGGGAACAAATAAGTGATCAAAGATTTGAGTCCAGGCTTATGACTTTCTTTGACATGTAATCTTTCTTAATCATTTCCCATTTTGTTTCATTTCATCTGGATCTCTAGGTAATGAATGTAAAGTTTGAGCCAACTGGGTTTGGTAATCGCAGGATGGATAAAGATGGCAATGGTAGACTAACAGAAGACGAAGTTAAAGAGGTAAAAGTTTCTGATGAGGTCTTTGGTTTCAACTTTCAATTGTTATAAAATAATTAAAAAATGCGTTTACATGCAAAAAATATGAAAAAAGAATTTACACTCTTAAAACAATAATAAAAAGAATTTTTCAGTTTTGTGGAAGCATATTTTTTTTGTTTTGTCGGAAAATACAATTTTTTGATTTTTGTAAAATGATAAAATTTCTCTGTGTTAATTTTCAAAGTTACAATATGTTTATAATAACCAAAATTGAATTATTTAACTTCAACTAAATTGATATTTCAATAATTCAAATAAAATTTTCTATTTAGTTCTAAAGTAATAGTAATGATTTTGATATGAATGTTATTGATTATAGTTTGGTAGTTTTAGAAACATATGTCTATAATAAATATTTGATAAACAAATAAATTTTATAGTTTAAAATAATCATATTAATTAATATTTTTTCAAATGGTAATTTGTTTTATATAATTTCAAAAGAAGATCAAGTAGCAATTTAGTAGAGAAAATAAATTACATTTACCATTAGCATGAAAATACTTAAAAATGTATTGTTTTATTCTTACATATACATTTATAGATAGTTAACTAAACAAATTTGATAGTAGATTAAAATTTTAAAAAATTAAAAAATTAATTATATATAATATTTATTCAGATTTAAAACATATAAATACATAACTCAAGTTAATAAAAAATAAATATAATACTCATTTACATTATAGAAATAATTTTATTATATTAAAAATATATACAAATCTAGAAAAAATATTCTGCAGCATAGCACGGATAAATACCTAGTTATGCTAAAAGTTGAAGTTCATTATTTTCTTGTTAAACAAGCAAACGATTAGTTTAAAACAAACACAAACAAGCAATTAAACATATTAAAAAAAATCTTTGAAAATTTAAAAAATGTTTAATGGGTGGGAGATTTGTTGAACTGTGCTCTGTCTTTATGTGTTATGTAGATCATCAATCTTAGTTCGTCTGCCAACAATCTGTCAACCATCCAGAAAAAGGCAGATGAATATGCAGCAATGATAATGGAAGTGCTTGACCCACATAATATTGGATACATAATGGTAAAATTTCTTGATATTGATCCAAAATATTTTTTTATTGCTGCTATCTAAAACTATGTAGTGGTGAATTTAAAAACAGATAGAGAGTCTTAAAGACTTGCTTCTGCAAGCAGAAACACTACCTGTAAGCACAAATAGTGAAGAAAGAAACAAGATGAGCCAGATGCTAACTGAGAAACTTAAGCCTACGCTTGACCCTAACCCGTTGAGGAGATGGTACCGTGGACTGAGGTTCTTTGTACTAGATAGCTGGCAAAGAATTTGGGTGATAGCACTGTGGCTCACGATTATGGCCATCCTCTTCGTATACAAGTATATTCAATACAAGAATAGAGCAGTGTATGAAGTGTTGGGGCATTGTGTGTGCTTAGCCAAAGGTTCAGCAGAGACGTTGAAGCTGAATATGGCCTTGATTCTTTTACCTGTTTGCAGAAATACCATCACATGGCTTAGAAATAAGACTAGGTTTGGTGCTTTTGTCCCTGTTGATGACAACCTCAACTTTCATAAGGTAAGAACTTTCTTTTTTTAAATGCAAGAATCTCTCCCATATATTCTTGATATCTTTTACTGTAACTTGACGCCTAAAACTACAGGTTATAGCAGTGGGAATTACGATAGGAGTAGGCATACATTCGGTGGCCCACTTGGCGTGTGATTTCCCACTTCTGATTGCAGCAACTCCAGAGGAGTACAAGCCTCTAGGAAAATTCTTTGGAGAGGACCAACCAAAGAGATACTCGCATTTTGTGAAGTCAACAGAAGGGATAACAGGACTCGTTATGGTTCTGTTGATGGCAATTGCTTTTACACTAGCTATGCCTTGGTTTAGACGAGGGAAGCTTGAAAAAAAGCTTCCAGGGCCACTAAAGAAACTCGCTAGCTTCAATGCCTTCTGGTACACTCATCATTTGTTCGTTATAGTCTACATTCTCCTTGTCATTCACGGATACTATTTGTATCTCAATAAAGAATGGTACAAGAAAACAGTGAGTACTTCGAGGTTTCAACATTTTTTCAGTCGCGTTCTCATTGTTGAAGAATGTAACTAATTAACTCGAGGTTTTTGTTCGCAGACGTGGATGTACTTGGCTATACCAATAACTCTCTATGCATGCGAGAGATTAATACGAGCATTCAGGTCAAGCATAAGGACGGTGAAAGTTGTTAAGGCTCCGGCTTATCCTGGAAACGTATTGAATTTGCACATGTCGAGGCCTAAAAACTTCAAATACAAGAGCGGTCAATACATGTTTGTAAACTGTCCAGCAGTCTCGAAATTTGAGTGGTACGCAAGAAACATTCCTTCTCAATCAAGAAATCTAAACCCATTTCAATATCAATTCATGTGATTTAATAATTCTGTAGGCATCCATTTTCAATAACTTCTGCACCACAAGACGACTATCTGAGCGTTCATATAAAATCACTGGGAGATTGGACAAAGGCTATCAAAGGAGTTTTCTCTGAGGTTTTACTCACTTCTAATCTTCTAGATCTATCAAATTATACATTTTGAAATCAGGGAAAATAATATGATAGCATGTTGCGTTATGTCTCAGGTCACGTCTAAACCACCTCCGGTCGGAAACATATTGCACGGTGCAAATAATCCCGTGTAAGTAGTATCTTCTAACACTCTTGGCAAAAATATGATTCACAATCACAACATATGTAGAGAAAGATAAAATGTATGAAGAAAAAACCACGCATGCATAAATAAAAGTAATCTTATATAAATAAAGATATAGTCATATACGCAAGCTTGAAAAATTCCAAATTTTAAATTTAAAACGAACCATCAACACCTAAACTGTAAAGCAATTAATTAAAAAGACGATTAGGATTTAGTTCTGTCAGTCAAAGAGAGGTCGTAAATCGCGTCAAGCGAAGATATAATATTTCTAGAAGCTTGGCAGGTACGATGGTCGTAGTCGTATATCATGATTGAGTAATATGATGTGGATTAGTGGATACGTGATCCACTAGGAAAAGCCTTCATTTAAAAAAAAAAAAAAAAAAACACCATGCATATTTCGTGTTCGTGTGTAGAGTAACCATACCTACCTATTTAGTGTTCCCTTATTTAAACGACTAAGAAATATAATTTGGTTATATAATCATGTTCCAATTCCCTTTGTTTGTTTATGTTTTGTCCGCAAAGTCTTGGATAACGACGATCCACTATGGCTTTTCTTGAAAAAATACGTTTTTTACAAGTACAACCACTACTATTAATTAAATCTTTTTAGTTTTTGTTCATCAACTACGCATAGTACAGATTAGCTTTCAAATTTATGTTTTTCATTTACATGATTCATTATATTTTCAACTACTAATTAGTTAATTGAAATAGTAAATGATAGTATAATATAAATTTGAATTTGTTTTCACTTCTTACCAAACATTAATGTTGTTGGACACTGATTGAAAAAAAAGAAAAAAATTGGATGTTAATGTTATACCATAATTTTTTTGTTGGACCTAATTTACCTGAGAAAAGCTAATGTTGTTAATTTTGAAATGGCAATAATGACTCATTCTTCCACAGTTACCCCAAAATCATGATTGATGGTCCGTATGGGGCACCAGCACAAGATTACAAGAAGTACGAGGTGGTTCTGCTGGTCGGCCTTGGGATTGGTGCCACCCCAATGATCAGCATTATCAAAGATATTATCAACAATAGAGATGCAAAAGAACAGGCCCAACTTAACCACATGGAGAAGGGATTGCATCATGAGCCACAAACACAGGGTAAGAAAGAAACTTTCAAGACACGGAAGGCTTACTTCTACTGGGTAACGAGGGAGCAGGGCTCGTATGATTGGTTCAAGAACATCATGAACGAGATCGCAGAACGGGACAAAAGTAAAGTCATAGAATTACATAACTATTGCACTAGTGTCTACGAAGAAGATGACGCTCGTTCCGCGCTCATACATATGCTTCAGTCTATAAACTATGCCAAGAATGGTCGGGACATTGTCTCTGAGACAAGGGTCATGTCCCACTTTGCCAAACCTAATTGGGAAGACGTCTACAAACAGATAGCCGTGGATCACCCTGACACTAGTGTTGGTAAGTTCCCTCTCTCTCTCTCTCACACACATATCAAGTCAAGCAAGCTTATCTTCATAACTCACTATCGCAGTCAGATCATGCAAATATTAGCTTGGCTTTGTAGATTTACACGGTTAAAATCATGCAGGTTATAGAAACAAAGGTCTAGGATACTGATTTGGTATATATGATTAAATATCTGTGATGTAAGTAATGACTATAAAGAAGAGTATATGATATAAAATGAAATTGTTTATCTAAACGTGCAGGAGTGTTCTATTGTGGATCACCGGTATTGACCAAGGAGTTAAGGCGTCTGGCTTTGGAATTCACACACAAGACGAACACTAGATTCTCCTTCCACAAGGAGAACTTCTAATTAATTAAAGACAATTCTGAAGCTTATACCCACCATGCTGATAAAGTATGTATGATGGCCAACAAGATAAACAATGGAGCAAGATAATTGTGTTTTGAAAATGAAATTTGTGGGTTTGGTTGATTTGTTATTCTTATCTGAATAAAACGTGTGTGTTGATGATTATGTGAAGTGTGTTTTTAAGCGCTTTTGTTTGTTTAGTTTCAATATTCAATATTCAAAATCAAGCTTAAGGCCATCTCTTCTATTATGTTGCTCGTTTTTTATTCTCTTGCACAACAAGAATCATTTTGTCAAATTAGCAACTCAGCAAAGAACTAGCAATAACATAAAAAAAACATTGCCAGTTATATTTTTTCCGTCAAATAGCAGTAATTAGATTGTTGTAAGTGTAAATGGTCAAATTATATAGATATGTCTATTGACTTTTATAAAAAGTTTGGAAAATATTTAGAAGACTAGGTATTTAAAAAGCTATACTTTCGTAAGACTAGTTCTGTTCCCGCAAGAAGTTAACCGCTGACTTGTAATGCAAGGAATAAATTGCCATTGTTATGTTTTTTCGTAGACATTCTAAAACAATCATCAATTTTCTTGCTCCGTTTGGTTTACAGGTTAAATATCTCATCAAAAGGGCAGGGAAAATTTCAGGCAGAGTGTGCTATGGAGAGACCAGTGAGTTTCGACGTGACCGATTATCACCCCGATGGAGATGAGTGGAGCCATCGTCACCACCGATCCACCAAAATCCGGAGACGAAAGATCCTGAGGACACAACCGAGTACGTGATCATCACGCTAGACATTCATGGAGACAGCGTGTCCCTAGTCAGCGTGACGCCGGAGAATTGGAACGGATCGGGGAAGAAATCAGCGGTGAAGCGACCAAAAACGCCCAAGTTTGACGTGTCCGAGGCCTTGAAAGGGGTGAAAATGTTCATTAGTATGACCGACGCTGGCTGGATCGCCGTGGAGAAACGGTTTGATAAGATGACTGCCAAAACTCATGGATTGCTGCTTCGTTCGAAGTTCGGTGAATGCATAGGTAATTGTGTTGAGGAAGTTTGATTGTACAATTGTGTGTTTTTCTCTCTTTATCAAGCAAGGAAAAATATAAAAGTATGCTAATTAACATAGCTAGCTCCTATTTTTATTCAAATTATGAAACCTTTTCCTATTTCAAATGGATGTGCTTTTACTTGCTATATAATAGAAGCACAGCACGTACTTACGTATTTTCAAAAGTCTCACGTTATGCTGTGTTCTATTTGCTCAACGATACAATTTCAAAGCAAACGTTTCTCTTCCCCTGTCATCACTGCAATGGTTCCCTACGGCTCTCTTCCACCCGCCGGCTCTCGTCCCACCGGCTCTTTCCAACCTGTCGGTTCTCTTCCCACCGGTTCTCTTCCCACCGGCTCTCTTCCCACCGGCTTTCTTCCCACCGGTTCTCTTCCCACAGGCTCTCTTCCCACCGGCTCTCTTCCCACCGGCTCTCTTCCCACCGGTTCTCTTCCCACAGGCTCTCTTCCCACCGGCTCTCTTCCCACCGGCTCTCTTCCCACCGGTTCTCTTCCCACAGGCTCTCTTTCCACCGGCTCTCGTCCCACCGGCTCTCTCCCACCCGCCGGCTCTCTCCCACACGTCGGTAGTCTCGGTCCCATGGGTTCTCGTCCTCCTGTAGGTTCTCTTCCCACCGGCTTTCGCCAAACACTGCTCCGCGGCCGACGTTTTGTTCATGGTTTATTTAAAAATTAGAACTTTTTTTTCCCTTTCGTTTGATCCAAGTTGAATGATGATACGGCCATCTACAACTTACCAACGCTCTTACAAAATAATGTGTGCTTTAAATTAACGATATCAGACAATGTGCTGAGAATTTATATATATATCTTTCTTTCCTTTTTTGTTTAATTGGTTTATTCACAAAGATTTGAATTTGTAGAATATCAAGAAAAGTCTAAAAATAACTAGTTTAGAAACTTAGGTTAAAAATTATTCGTTATGATGACTATAGTCTATAGATAGATTATAATTGGTCGAAATTCTTAACCTCTCATTAAATTATCAATCTGTGTGTATATCGGTCTGCTCAGTATAACCCACTATCTCATGTTTTGCTTAAAAATTATTTTTCCTGCCACAAACTTTTTTTCCCGTTAAAACTATAAATTAACTGAAATAATCATGCGCAGATAGAGTTTTAGTTCACGCAACGTCGTAGGGTATTTTGGTTTTTTTTTTTAGTTGTATATATGTATAAAACTAACTATATAACTGGGTAAAATTATCGAGAATTCCAATTACAAATCAGTTTATAATATGTACAATGAAACAGAAATGTATAATTTCTTACATATGTTAATTAATGTTATTAAAATAAAACATGATGTTTTTAGATTACAAAAATAAAAAGCTATGCATTACTGCAATAGTTACGCAAAGTTATAAATTAACTATTTTAGTAAAACATATGTCAATCTCAAATTAAATTAAATTAATATAATATTTGATTAACTTCTATTACATGAGAGAGTATCTATATGTAAAAAGATGTGTCATATATATGTTATGTAAAGCCCTTAATTAGGAGTAGTCATGTCGAACTGCATTTTATTTTTATTGTTGTTTCTCTAACCCGAAAACTATAAATTTTATTTATATCCATTGAACACGACCGAAATTGAGAGACTTGTGCAAGATAAAATGCAGTGATAAACTTTATATGTTCAACATATATATATATATATATAAACTTTATTTTATAAGCCCTGTATACGACAGCTTCACATCACGAGGTAAAAAACACTCCCCTAGCATTCTTTTTCTGTTTACTGTGTAATTCACCAGGAGATAATGTATAAAACTGTAGATACATTTTTTGGCCCCCGCAGGCTCTGTTGAATCCGATAGCTCCAAGTTTATGAAGACAGCTTCAAACTCTCCAGATAGATCTTCAACAATGTATTCATGCACTCCGAAGAAGAATGTATTCTGAGAAACGGTTTGATAAGATGACTGCCAAAACTGATGGATTGCTACTTCGTTCGAAATTCGGTGAATGCATAGGTATTGATGTCGAGGAAGAAAGGTTGATACATTGTTTCAAATTGAAAAGTATTTTGGATCTTAAAGGAAAATTAAACAATCCAGGAATAAACTCAAAGGGATTTGCCTTGGAATTGTTCGACACACTGGCTAGACGATGGACTCAAACATGTGAGGGGATTAGTAAGTGCGAATTAAGGGAATTATGGTGTCAAATAAATGATCAACGCTTCAATTCAAGGCTTAAGATGTTCTTTGAAATGTAAGGTTTTTGGTTTGTTGTCTTCTTTTTTATCTCTACACAAGTTATCTTGGAAAGAGGGTAAAAAGTTCAACCAAAAGGGTTTGTGAAATGTAGGGCGGATAAAGATGGCGATGGTAGACTAACAGAAGAAGAAGTTAGAGAGGTAAAAAAAAGGGAAAAACCCATCATGACATATGTAGTAGTATATGTAGTTGTTTGTGCTAATATCATTATATTATGGATTTTAATTAACTTAGAAATTAATTAAACTCAGCAATCTTAAACTCTGTGAGCTAATTTGTTGTTCTATGTCTGTCTTCGGTGTGCTTTACACAGTTTGTCAGGCTTGCTTCATCTGCAAACAATCAATCCACCACACAGAACATAACAAGTGAATATGCGGCACTGATCATGGAAGAGCTTGACATATATGATCAGGGATACATAATTGTAAGTTGTACTGATAAAGTCACACTAATTAATTTAAAGCTGCTATTTATAACTTTGTAGTGACTTTTCAAACAGATGGAGATTCTTGAGTTGCTGCTTCTGGATATAGAAGCATTGTCTGAAATAACAAATATTGAGGAAATAAAGAAGCCTACAAAAAGATGGTACAGAGTTATGGGAGATATCTCATCTTCCTCTTTGATTCCTTGCTTTAAGAAAAGAGCATCCACGAAGAAGAAGACATGATGATTCTTTCAATTACTAAGCATATATTAACATGAGAAGAAATATGAATTACAACAAGACACATAGATTATCCAATCCAGATCAAATATGAGTTAAAAAGCTCAAAACTTATTTGTTTCTTTCAATTAAATCATTTGTTCAAAAAAAAAAAAAATCATGAAACTATTTATCTTCTGTTTGTACAATTGACGTAACCCACTTGTGTAAATGTTTTTCATTGAACAGTTTTTGCTTAAAATGTGTAGTTACCAAATTACAGTATCAACTTTCTTGTTAACATTAAAATCCAAAAAAAAAAAATATCAAACTTTGCAAAAAAAAAAAAAAACCCAACATCGACGTGGCAAATAACCTCACCACTGGTTCTCAAACTCTCGAGACTCTGAAGCCGAAAAACGCCGATTGTCGTCACATTCTCCTGCATCGCGAGCTCTGATTGATTGGCTAAGCTTTTTGGGAAACATCAGATGCTAAGGAAACAAGATTTGGACTGAGACCTAAACGGTTTTATGGGTACCGGGTCGGGTTCGGATCCGGAGCCAAGTTCGTCCGGGTGGAGCAGGGCTCCTGGTTTGGTGGTGAAGACGCTGTTTCTGATCGGCGGCGCCGTTCTCCTGAAGCGTCTCACGAAATCCACCACTCGCTGGGACCACTCTCACGTCGTCTCTCGCTCCCTCAGCGGCGAGAAGGTCTGCTCTTCAATTTCGACAAAACCTCTCTACTCCAATAGCTTGTTGAATTCCATTGATTTCCCAGGAAAATAAAATTGTGCTGATTTAAAGGTTTTGTTTTACTGGTTTTTAAGTTTTCTAAGGAGCAGGCATCAAGGGATCCTGATAATTACTTCAACATAAGGTTTGTATTGTTCTTCATCAATCATGAATTGGATTGTTAACTATCTAGTGTCACTGAAGCTAGTTTTTTTCTCTTCTTGATTTTAAGCTTGAGTTGATATCTTTGTGGGTTGTTTCTCAAATTTAAATGGCTGCAAGTAACAGTGATAAGCTTTTGAAATGCTTTGTGCAGAATGCTGAGCTGCCCTGCAGCTGAGATGGTGGATGGTTCGGAGGTTTTGTATCTCGAACAAGTCAGTAGTTTCATCTTCTTCTTCCTCGTTTTTTGCATTACGAAAATGTATAATCTTTGCTTGTATGTGTTATATTGAGCCATAACCATCTTTTGTCCTCAGGCATTTTGGAGAACTCCTCAAAAACCCTTTCGGCAAGTATGCTTTCCGCACCTTATGACGGTTCTTCATGTCTAAATCCTTATGAACCAGTTCTGACTATATGTATGTACGTTTGGGTTGCAGAGATTGTATATGGTTAAGCCTTGCCCAAAGGAGTTGAAATGTGATGTTGAGGTGAGGAGATGATTCGTGCATGTCCTCCTGATCACAAAAGCTTTTGTCTTTTAATGTATTTGTCAAGAGATTAGTCCTGAACTGTTTTTTATAATCTTTGTTTAATTCTCCAGGTGAGCTCATATGCAATCAGAGATGCCGAGGAGTACAAAAATTTCTGTGACCGGCCAAAGGATCAACGCCCACTTCCTGAAGAAGTCATTGGTGTAAGTAACCGATATAATTGATGGTAGTCCTTGAAAGTGTGTGTTACTGGCATATTTGTAATAACAAGCCATGTATGATTGCATCGAGTTACAGGACATAGGCGAGCATTTGACAACGATGCAACTTAGGTGTTGTGACCGTGGAAAGCGTTGTTTGTATGAAGGATCAGCTCCACCTGGTGGTTTCCCAAATTCATGGGTATGTTTCTTCCGAGACAAAAAAAAAAATCCTACACTTGATGATCCATTTTACACTCGATTTATACAACCAACAATTTTTTTTCTTCTTTTCCTTTGCATCTCGAAATGAAAAAGAATGGTGCAAGCTATTGTACATCTGATCTTACAGTCCTGAAAAACAATGAGATACACCTCTGGGATCGCGGATTTGACGACGATGGAAACCAGGTTCAATCCGATTTCCTCATGCACGCTCGTTTTTTCTTGGTGTGGAGAACTTTCATTTAATGTTGGTTTTCGGTTTCTTGCTCATGTTTTCAGGTATGGGGACCAAAGCAAGGTCCGTACGAGTTCAAACCGGCGCTGTCATCGCCGAGCGTCAACAGCGATGTGTTCTCCCCTTTGATTATATCTCCTCAATCTACACTTGATAAACCAATCAAAGGATCCTTCATCTTGCAGGAGTAGGTTGAGGTTTTGCCACTCTTCTTTTTCTTTCTTTGTAATTCTCTACTGTTATGGCAAACAATACTCCCTTGTGTATCATCATCATCTTATACAGTTTTTTTAACTCCTTTTTATCTCTCTACTTTCACTCTCCACTAACACAAAAGTGTATATCTTTTCTTCCCTTTCTAAATGAGACAGCCCAACTGTGGTTTTTAAGGCCTTACAATATGATTGTAGCAAATCTTCTGCAAGAGTTTTGAGCATACAGTAAAGTTACACATTACATTGATTACATAAAACAGTGAAGAACAATGAACTGGGGCCTGAAGAAGTGCATGTTTTGTAGACACCACCCTCAGAGTGAGTGCAGGAAGAGTTGAGAAAATCTCTTCAGTGAGTTTCGCATTGACGGCATAGTTCCTATTCATTGCTAAAGAATAATCAACAGATCATACAACAATAGTTCTCCAAAAACTGACCTAGTAGTTTCTACATGGGAACAGCTTCGATGAGCCTAGAAAAGTAGAACTGGGTGGTTGTGAGTCCTCTCTTGCTGATTTTCCAGCCAACCTTACGCAGTGCTCTTTCCACATCTGCCTCTGAGTGTAGATAAGCCCTTGTAGCCTTTGAAGGCCCTGGAAAAAGCTCTCCGATTCTCTTTAAGATATCATAGTAGATAGTCTTTGGTGCAAAGCTTAGAATCACTCTCTTCTCTGCTAACGAAGCCAGGTGTGCGATCATCCCGTCTGCTTTGTTCTGAGGGTAATGTATCAGCACGTCTAGACATACGACTGTGTTATATTTCCCACTCAGGCTCTCCAAATCATTCACTTCAAATTTTGGTAAATTCTCTGGTGGTAGTTGCTGCTTTGCCTGTGCATATTCAAGATTTGTTCTCAGATCAGTTAGTAAGGATTCAGATTTGAGAATGTAGTTACTCAGCAACTCTATTTGAAATCATATTGATTCTGCATTTGGATTTCATAATGTCTATCTAGTTTGCCAATAGAAGAATCTAGCATTAAGCAGAGGAGCTTCAGGAATGAAATTTGAAATTCGAGCTGAGTTTTTTTGTGTGAAAGTGTTTCGAGCTAAATCCAACAATCACAGGGACGAAAGCTAACCTTCATCTCAGCTTCGGCGACCATAGCTGCAGAGATATCGCTAGCAGAGACGATTGCTCCTTCCTTGGCAAGTGGAATGGAGAGAGATCCGGTTCCGCATCCAGCGTCGCAGACCGTGACGCCGGCCAAGGATCCTTCCTCCGTCAGCATAAGCATCGCGTTCTCCACCGTCTTGGCGTGGCCGAGTCGTATATCTTTCTGCACGCGGTTCACTTCGTCGGTCTCGCCGTAGATCTTCCTCCACCTCTCGAACCCGGTGCTGTTGAAATACTCCCTCACGACCTCCTTGTCGCCTCCTCCAACTTCCTCCGCCTGCAATTTCCGCCTCCTCTCCGGATCGGTAAGTGAAACCATCGCCGCCAGTGCTGCAACGGAGCCGCCTCCGAGTACGGCGATGGTCGTGCTGTCCACGCCGGCTAGGTCGGTGACGGATGCCGCGACGACGGTGACGGCTCTGCTCCGTGGGGCTACATTGAACCTGGAGGCGTTGGGGAATTTGGGAAGAAACTGAGAGACAGAGGAAGACGATGACAACAAGGAAGGAGCAATCGGCATTCTCGAAGCAAAAGAAGTGTGGCTACTCCTTACTCTGTTTGGCGCCCCTGCAGTGAGTTGTATTATCGTTATCCAGTGGATAGGATAGGAGAAGAGAAACGATCTGCCTTTCGATTTCCATGGGGCCCACCATTATGCGGGTGAGTCACAGCCTCGTCGCTTTATTATTGGCCATGTATATTTTTGTTTTTTGGTCTTTTCTAAACCAATATTTTTAAAAGATTTTGGGCAAAAGGACTGATAAAAGACGAGTGTTATGCAAGTAACAACATGAAGCCCAAAATATTCCCAACAATAGGAACAAGTCTGAAAACATATCATATACACTTTGGAACTTGTTAATGATGGAGGGGTTTCTGAGATTATGGTAAATGAAATGAGTGATTTCGACAATCTTTGTGTTAATGATGAATTGAGCCGGTCGTCGTCACTCGTCACAGTAGTCAGAAACAGAAAGAGAAGGAAGAAAAGTGGAGTCGATGAGTTCTGCGCGAGATGTTTCCCACAGTTGTTGTTCTATTCCCAGCTTTCTTAGCTCCCTCATTCCTCTTTCCACTAAAAAAAAAAAAAATGAAAAATAATCAGAGTCTTACCTAATTAACCCATTAATTTAGTTTAATGACCTGTGTATATGCACTAGTTAAGAGGCTTTACCATCAACTGCATCATGTGATGATGGCTGTTCCCCGAATCTGTGGATCCAGAACTTGAGACGGTCTTCCGCGATATCACTTTCCACGCCATGGATTTTAGCTCTTTTCCAGAAATACAGCAGCCATGCCTACAACATTTATATTTGTGCTTTGAGCCAATGCATATGATTCTGCTAAGTAAAAGCTTCAGCGAGTTGAATATGTACCTCTTTAAATTGAATATCCTGTCGCTCATCTTCACTTAACTCTGCATTCAAGAACAGGTTTTGTTAAAGAGGCTTTTTTTACTTATGATTACTGTCTGTGTAGACAGTCGTAAAAAAAACAGTTTGAAGAACGCGACTCACCAAATGCTTCGGAAAACTTAGCTTCCCCTTGCACCCTGGGATCTGGATATTAAAATCACATGAGTCTCTGTTGTATAACATTCACATCACATTCGTGCTAATCATTTTTAGATAGACTTTTTACCAGTGTCGGATTGTCGGACCACATTTTTTTGTCTATACCGGGAAAGTGCAAGCATTAAAGCATCCTCGACCTGTGAGGCGCAAGAAATCATATGTATGAGATGCTTATCTTCTGTGCAACAGATTTTTCAGTTAAAGAGAAATCAGATTTCAGATTAGAGTATGGGCATGTTTTACCTTCAAGGATGCCATCTCTCGCAAACCCGTTTCAACAGCAAGCATACTCTCTATGTTTCCGTCTCCATTTGCATCACTGAATTTACTCACGACTTTGTTCCAAGTGCGATCACTACCACCTGACAGATATGATGTTATAAGTTTTCTTTTTGTGAGAAATTTGTGGCCGGAATAAACAGAGAACCAGACCTGTCTGCCATGAGTCTTCAGGCTTTTGAGCAGCGGAAATGACAACTTCCAAGGGTAGAGGAGCTAAAGCTGACCAATGTTCATGTCTTGATGGGGCAATATCATCACATATTCCTAAGAGCCATGACCCAATGCGGTGCATAAGTAAACAATTTCAAATGAGGATTGCAAGTAGTATTGTTGATCGACGCCCACAAATCTCTACCGTGAGATAAATTGATAAGCTAGTCCATGTCAGTATACAGTGTAGTGAACAAGTACACTGAGCAAATGGGAAACTAATGCTCTAATCATATTTTGAATCATGTCAGGACCATGTTGTGAAATCCTCAAATCCCTTTAATTTAAACTCTTGGCACCAGAATGAGAAGAACAGGTTCATCTTACAAAGTCATTGCAGGTCAACACAGAACAGAGAATGGAAAGATTAGATCATTAGGAGAGAGGAAGTTTCTTACTATGTTGAACAGCTAGTTCCCAGTAGCGAGCAAGCCAGCATCTCTTTAAAACAACTTCCTCCTAAAAGAAGTCAATCATATAGTTAAATCAAACAAAGAAGTTGGTTTTAAACGGCCAATGCACAAAACTCTAGTTTAGTTTGTGAACAAAACCATTTCTTCTTGAGTCAAAATCGTTCTATGTATCATTGTCCGGAGAGACTTTGTTTCAGCCTCAGCCTCCTGGAGCTGTTCCGCTGCCTTCTCTGCTTCGTCTTTCAAGCTCTGATCATAACACAACACAGAAGAGATGATCGTTTCCTTTTCAAGTCTAGATCACACTTTAACTGTTTAATACTACCACTTTGATGATCAAAGTCGTCAAACCAGAGCACTGTACCTGAAATTCTGAACGAAAGGCATCACTTTCCCTGTGTTTTCCATCTCTCTTCTGTTCAGCAGCTCTTAATGCCGCCTGCAATAGATTTACATTGTCCCTTCACAATAAATTTAGTGTCAAAGCAACCGCCAACATAAGAAGAAGAAAATAAGGAACAAATGAAACAACATCCATTAAAATATGAATGCCTTACGGACCTCTCTTTGGCGCAATGCTGCTTCTTTCCTGAAGAAATTAGCGCAAACTCGGTGAAAACAAAGTTTTGTGAATTAGGACTAATGATAAAGACAAAGATAACCAAAACCTCTTCAAGAGCTTGACGTCAAAGTTTGCTCCTTCGCCTAGAGAAGCAATCTGTTTGCAAAGTCATAACAAGCTTAAAAAGTAACCATCAAGATTGTAAAGAAACGTACATGTCTACAAAATTCAACTGTACTGGATATCATAAACACCTGTTTCTCGAGCTCTTTAGCCCTTGCTTCTGCTGCTTCACGTCTTTCTTCAGCGCGGTGAAGCTGCATAATGTAATCTCAATAATATACACATCAAGTAAAAAAAGGCAGCAAATGAAGTATATATCAGAGATAGAGATAGAGAGAGAGAGAGAGGTCACAGTGACTGACTTTTTCCAGAATATTATCGTTTTCTTCTTGAAGCATATCTAACTGCAATCATGGAGTTGGTTTCAAATGAGAGATCAATATTTTCATAAGTTTTTTCAAGTATTTTGGGGAACAACGTACTTCATCACGCAGGGCCGAAGCTTCTCTATCATCTTCCTCCTGATAAGAGGCATTCGCTGCTACAATCTCTGTAGGGCGAAACCTGAAACTACACGTTCGTTTCCAGTGTAATTTCGTCAAATACAACACAATCAAATCAAGTTAAGAGACTTTGCGCAAAACTCGAATTTGTACCTTTTCTTATACTTTAATTGAGCCTCCGATTGTTTTGCAGACACATCAAATTGAACATTAGGTTTCCCGTCTCCGTTCTGCTCAAACTCCTCGATGGGATTCCGACGCGAATCTGCCGGAACTCTAACCCTGAGTGTAGGCCTACCACTGTTTTGAGGAATCTCCACTGTAATTTCGTCACCGTCAAATTTAGGGGGAACTGCGACGGGTTTCGCCGCCGGAGATTCTTTCACTGGATTCCGGGGAAAATCGGCAGCGATTTCTTCACCGTCGAGTTCATCGTCAAATTTAGGCGGAATTAGGGCGGGTTTCACCACCGGAGCTTTTATCCGGCTGATCGGATCCCTACTATTCTTTTTAGGAATCTCCACTGGATTCCGAGGCATTTCGGGTGGAATTTCATCGCCGTCGGACTCATCGTCAAATCTAGGCGGCGGAAGTAAGACCGGTTTCGCCGCCGGAGCCTCTTTTCGATTGACCGGACCTTTACCAACACGGTTATCATCTCGTCTTCGAGGCTGAGTGATGGGCGGTAGATGCACCTGGTAGAGATCTTCATCTCCGTCATCATCGTCGTAATCGTAGTCGTAGTCGCGCTTCTCCATGACCTTGGCGAGTAGCTCGGCGGCGTTTTGCTTCCGGAGCGTGCTTTTGCCAGAGATTCCTCCTCCACCGTTGTTCATCCGATGCGACGGAGACATAGCTGGTGAAGAGCTAGCCGAGCTTCCCGGTCTCCGAGCCATCTTTCCCGGACGGAGTCAACAAGGTGTAAAGGAAAAGGATATTCGTTTGATTTTGAGGAGAAACAAAAACGACGAACATGTAAACGCTGTAGGCGTGGACCGAATCCAAATGGTGGCGGGAGGAGAAGTTGAGAGAACGTGGGACCCATTTGTTTAATATTTTTTCCCTCTCAGGCTCTCAGCAAAATCCAACTTTTATAGTATAATACATCCAAGTAATTAGTAATCGTGGTAGTGACATAAAAACACATTTATATATTTTCATCATAGAAGACTAATTACCACAAAGAATCAAATTTCAACGTACCAAAGTTGTTGTCTCATCGTCAAACATTCAATCTTCCAGAGGATAAAAGAAAAATAACAGACGGTCTAATATACCAAAACAAAATGCTCTGAAACCAAGAAAGGTCAGAAAGAGAGAAAAAAAGGCAAGACAGCCGGTTCGATGTACCGGGTTTGCTAAACCGGGAGGGTTTAGGAAGCTTCGGTCGCCGGTTTCTTCTGAACAAGATCCTCAATCAAATCAGCCGCCTCTTGAATCGTCGTAATGTTCTGAGCATCAGATTCCTCCACACTTATGTTAAACTTTTCCTCCAAAGCCATCACTATCTCCACCTGCTCCATATTCACCCAACATTACCAATGAGTAAACACCTAATCATTTGTTTTGAATTAAAAAAAAGTAATACTAACAATTTGCTTAAACTTTAAACACAAAGATGGCATAAACATCAAAATTAATATGAAACGGAGAGAGAGAGTATAAAACATACGGTGTCAAGAGAATCGGCGCCAAGAGCGGAGAACTTGGATTCGGCAGTGAGCGCAGTGTCAGCGGACAAAGCTAATTGTTCCTTTACAATGTCACTCACTTTCTGCACTGTCTCTGGTTTTGCCTGTACCCCTCACATGTTACAATCAACTTGCTGCATTTCTTATATAAATTTGACTTTAGCATTCAAACAAATCTTTTACTTACTGCGCAACTGATTTGAAGACGAAGGCTCCTTGAAGACTGGAAACGACCAAAGGCAATAGATTGAAAACTCGAGGGTTTCCTCAACACCTGATGATTTACATTATTCGAGGCTAATTACGTTACATGATGGACAAAACAAAAAAAAAAAGATCGAATTCTCAAGGATGTGGGTTAATGGACTATATAATTAACTGAAATGTTTGAACTATTGGGATTCCTAAGAATGAACTACGAAAAACCAAAACCAATTGGGATTCCTAATAATGAGGAAACAAACTAGATAATTGAGTTTTAGGAGAAGGAATTTGTAAAGTCACCTGAGAAATTCTGGTGGATTGAATGGAAGGAGCTTTGAAGCTTAGAGAAGTGGTAGATAGGGAAGCCATTGAAGGAGATGAAGCTCTCAATACACAGCTCAGAGAACACAAAGAAAAAAAAGTGGCTTCTCCTAATGCAACCACCAATTGGATAAGGTGTAATCTCTTAAGAAGATGAATCTTTTTTGTTGGAAGTGTAGAGGACGTAGATACGGCGTCGTTTTCGTTTTTATGAGACTCAAGCACGTAATGCTTCCCATCCTTCTGTGGCCGAGGTTTGTTCTTGGGGATTCAGGCCTATCTTCGGCACATGTTGCAATGGGTCCCATAGTTGCCAAGTAGAATTGGTCACATTTTGTAATTAGGACAGGCCCAAATCAAAATACAAGTTTTTTCAACGGGCCCATCTTGGTTCCTTTGCGTTTAGTTGAGCCCATGTTCAAACATATTTTTACATGTAAATTAGTGTAGAAAATACAAGTATTCCGGAAAAAACTCATCCTTTAGACCAAGATGATATTTTGTATCCCCTTTTTTTTTCTAAATCCTTAATATCAATATTGTCTTTTCAAATAGTTTGTTACATCTTCTTATTTTATTTTATTTTGAACAATACTTCTTCTTATTTTTGCTTGGTCAAACTCAAAAGTTTGTTACTTCTTCTATTTTTCCTAAAATTAATAAAAAAACAAGTGAACACAAGACGGATCAAATACTTTTAAAAATATTTAGATACACGGAATCGTACAATTTTCTTTCTATGATATCATCAATTCTATCTTTTTAAAAATCTAATTATATAAAGACTGAGAAATCTTAAAGAGATACAAGCAATTGTATAATTTAAAATGTAGAAAAAGGAAAAAAAATCAGATATGACGAGAAGCGGAGGCAGTTAAGACTGTAAGGATGAACAATAGAACAAAAGAGGCAAAAGACATGGCGAGTGAGAGAGTGACACGATTGCAGTAACGATGCACATAACGGCAGATCGGAAGCCAACCGGCGTGTGTGTTACCGTACTTTCCGATGTAACCCTCCGACATGGACGCCGAGAAAGCTGATATCGCCGTCAGCGTCGTTAGCTGTACAATATATCAAACCCATCTCAAAACGTTCATATACATATATAATCTATCAAGACAATATTTCAGATTAAAAAGTCTTTCATGTTACGTATCAAATACTCAGACTGAAAAATATGGAGAAAAATATTTACCAAATCAAAGAAGAATAGTGCAAAAACAAGTCCGACTCTACGGACAGCTAAACAAGCCCATACGAGCGTAAACAATGCCGCGGCGCAGATAGCTATATTTGCGTACACCAAATACCTACGAAACGCCCAAACATCAATCAGTTTATTGTAACAATCAGTTTTGTGTTTTCTCGTAAACAATGATGTTGATCCCACACGGATTCAGGTTGTCCCTTGTTTTAGATTTCAAGTGGTATTAAACACGAGACAAATCAATGAAATAAAGATAACCAGATATGGATGATCCATGAAACGTGGAAAAAAATTCATTCTTAATTAGATCTTTTGTTTGCACGTTAATAAAATAAGAAGTAGCTGGTTATATATAAAAGGATAGTTAATGCTTAAAGAAATATATATATACCTAAAGGAAGAGGAGAAGCTGTAGTCAGCCTCAAAAGCAATGCCATAAACAGAGGCAACTTCACGGTTAGTGAGCATGAGCCACATGGATGCCATTGCAGTGCCAATGACTAACACTCTCATCGACACTTGAACCCCTAGATTCATTAACGGCGTTCTTCTTCCTCCATTGTCTCCCATCATTATTCAGATATTCAAGCTTTACTTTCTTTCCTTATTAATTGTTACAAAGATCAGAACAAAAAGGACAAATAAGACAAATATATGTATATGGTTGTTGTTGTGGTGTAAGATCCCAAAACTTAATGAAGACAAGAGGAAGAGAAATGGGCTGGAAATGAAGAGATCTATAGAGAGGAAGAGATTTTATAGGAAATAAACTTGTGGGTGAGATCACAATATTGGAGGACGTGGGATGATCGAATCTTCGGCCTAAACAGATGGGTACTTTCCGTTTGAATACTTTGAATTTGGTAAAATATCTTTTCTTTTTTTGGCTTTTTAATTTTTTTAAGTTGGTCACAAATCTATGTATATATATTACACGTGATGTATTTATTTTTGGTGTTTTTTTTCTTTCTAGAAATTGTTTTTTGGATAATTAACCTAATTTCTGTTATGATTTTATTATGGTAACAAAAGCTCAGTAATGTTATTTTTAGGTTTTTAATGTTAAGTTATACTCAAATGGCAAGTAAATAACACCTAGGTACGGTGCAGCTGTGCATATTCAAATGGAGGATGCTAGGTTGGCTTGTTTCCAGCAAACAATCCTTCCTTCAATTTGATTTCTGTAAGTATTTCTGATCTAATTGTGCTGTACTCGAAAATAATTAAATACACAAGCACCTTGCAATTTGCTTTCAAACATGATAGGTTTGATCCAATCGTTCTACACTGCACCATAGTCATAGCTTGAACTCAGCTTCAACGGTGATTCAATACTGTTTAATTTCACAATGTATAATAACTTAAAATAGTGCTATTCGAAATTGATTGAATCCCCATCAACAAACCGGTGATTCTCTTTTTAAAAGCTCATCAAATTATAGTGTAGAAGTAACACAAGAACCTAATTAGGTACCGTGATATCTGATAGTGTAATACAATTATACAACCATTTGAGACTAACTATATAGATTCTCTTCTAAAATATATACTCTCTCTGTTTCTGAAAAAAAGATTTTCTAGTTTTTATTTTTATTTTATAAATATAGATTTTAAAATAGTTATGCACTTTTTATTAGTTAATGATGATAGATTGTAAATTTGAAAAAAAAAAGAATTTATTGAATTACTATTAATTTGAGTTTATAGAAAATTTAATCACAAAAAATGATAAAATTCATGGTCAAATTTTAATATATTTTCTTAATATGTGTAAAAATTCTAAATCATACTTTTGAAAAATAGAGGGAGAGTATATTACAGTTAGACATTGTCAGGTTGGAAGTGGATTTTGCTAATCCCATTCTCCTTTTCACTTTATGATTTTATATGCTTATTGTTCTTTTACATTGTAGTTGTTTTCGGAAAAGAACAAACTCAACTTTCTGAAAACAAAGTTGGTACCAAGGGGACTTATCCGAAATTGTAAGAGCGTATCAAAATCATGTGATAAATTCTAACCTAATTTGTTTTGGTTCGAATCTCAACGCACCTTATTAGTTTTCGTGCACGATGCTATATATTATAAGAAATTCTGTTTCAAAAACAACAACAATTGTTTATTCTTAAAGACAACCAAACTCAGAATATTTTCTTTATAATGGTAATTAAGGATTAATACATTTTGTTTCATAGCACGATGGGGCTAGTACTTTTGGTGCATACGAATAAATGTAGCATAACTGTATGCTTCGAAGACAAATGAATATGTACTATTTACATAATGAGTAAACGTATGAGAACATTTGGTATATATAAATGTGCTCTGCAAATCTATTCAGTCGTTGAAGTAGGTAATGGGTTAACCTTTGTTCTGTGGACACACTTCCAAACAATATTTCTTGGTGGTTTCGCAGTGTTTTTTTTTTGGCGTATCGCAGCACCAAGCACCGATTCTTGTTTCATAGCACGATGGGGCTGCTACTTTATCCCCGATGATATTTTTGAAGTTGAAACCTATATAAATATTGAAGAACAACCCAATTACAAAAGATTATGGAGAATATATATATGATTATGAATAATGGTAATGATGATAAATGATTGAATGAAACCTATATGACATACATTCATGAAGACTAGAGAGGGAAACGAGGACGATACAAAAGATAGCAAATTTGGATGATGACATTGTGATTTTTCTCTCCAAAAGAAACAATTTTTTTTTGTTTAGGAAACCTTACATTAAAGCTTTTATATATATGTAAGTCTCTAACTAGTAGTAAACTTTTGTAGGATGATCCGAATAAAACTGAAGTTCAGTTTGTTTGGCTAGTTTTATTTTCTTTAAAATAGTAATGTTTTTAAGTCTTTCTTTTCAAACATTCATTTTGGTTTTTGATTCGAAATAACAACACCTAGCTAGAAATACCAATTAACGACAGCCGTTTGCATCGTTGAAAGATTAAATAATTGATTAGCGGTGGATTAGCTACCAACTGCTCGTCGTTAAAAAAAAAAATCCCTAAAATATTATTTAAGTAGCCACAATTTCTGTTCTTGGTTTTTTTTAATCAAAATGTCACATTTTACGTGATTGTCACCGAAAAAAGTATAAGTCGAAACTACCTTATATACAAGTTCACATCAATACCTTTTGTAGCTATAATCGTAGTATCGTACACGCAAGCCGTATGTATATCTTCTATCTACTCGCAAACCGGACCTAATTGCAATGTCATTAATATATCATAAGCATTATTGGACGACTCATCTTAAGAGATCAGAAAAGCTCAAGCTTTTCTCATTAATAACATATCTAAAATCCAATGTTACCTATGAGATATTGAGATGCATAAACACCATACATATAGTGGCTTTATTCAATCAACAGAGTCTTTTACATTCGAATTCAACTTTTCACAGTTACAAAATAATGGCTTTATTCTTGTTTTTCTCAAACATTTTAGAAACTTTTTAAATACAATCGCCAAACACAAGAAGATATATATATATATATCTGAGATCTTCGAAGAAAACAAAATCTGTTTTAGCAGACAACTGCTCCTGTGGACACAGGACTTGCAACTTCAATCATCATGGGATTCCACTTCATCACCGCTTTATCACCGCACCTTCCCTCCGATGAAACTCCCGCAAATTGCATCTGATTTGCTTCGACGGAAGACGGGTTTGGTCCGGTCAATGCCAGCTTCTTCTGAGCTATGGATTTGAGCCTAAACCTCTCAGCTCTTGACCCTATCAACTGTCCCATAACCGATGCTGCTATGGTGAACACCATCGCCATCTTAGGCATCAACACTGACTTCCTCAGTATTCCTATGAAGGGAACCGCTGCGTGGAGAGCTACAAACCAAGACGCCGAAAATTTCTCGGTGTGCTCTCTCCAAACCCCTAGAGGCACGTTCAGCGCCATTCCCAGCATCCCGATCACCAGTACTTTTGATGATAAAGGTTGCGGCCGGAGGTTCTTAGCGAAAGCCGTTTTCGATATCGCTGCTCGAGCTGCCACTATTGCCTGAGGGCACTTGTATTTCATCCCTGGAGGAGGTTGCAGGATCTTTGCCACAAGCGGTGCCACGCCACTCACAGCTCGAAATGATTTCGCAATTGGGCAATTTCCTGTTTGAAGCCAATCGTCGCTCAAAGACTCGTGGTTTCCTCCCTGAAAGAGAAACAACAAGTAAGCGATGCTCTAAGAGGAAGAAAAACAAAGAGAGATATCTTGAAGTTCTGATCCCATAAGCCAACACAATGCATGCTTCAGCGTTCTTTGAAAGCTTAACCATTTCTTTATACATGTTCATTAACTCATGCACATGACATCGATTAGAGAAGAAACAATGTCAAAAGCAAGAACAGCATAAAAGCTTTTACCTTTGAAGAAGAATCCCTGTTTTTGGATGAGTTTGACTTTTTCTTTTGATTTTTAAAAAAGTCGGAAAATGCATCAAACCCAAAAGGCCCTCCAGCTCCAAAGGATGAGAGACTGATTGTCGCCGCCTTTGCAGCAAGTGGATGGAAAACAGGAGGGGCAGGCTTCTCGGCAACAGCACGAGCACTGTCGGAGAGTGGCACAACTCCATCTTGACCATGGAATAGCCTAAATGCCGTATCAAAATTGGGCCCATCTTCAAATATCGGTCCTTTTCCTGCTCGTACCTATAGGATATACAGATTCAATACGACATCTAACGAGCCAAGCTCACAAACGAGTTTCACTGCAAGAAAAATGTCACCACAGAGTTACTTACAGGCATGGGAAAAGGCAAGGATGAAGAGAAGGAGAGATTAGTGGGCTCGTTGATGTTCCTCAAGAATGGGCATCGAAGAATGTCTAACTGAGAAGACCTGGTGTTTTCGTTCAAGCCTCCCGAACAATGATCCATTCTTGTTGAGTTGAAAAAAGAGAAGAATCTGAACAACAACAGAAAAACAAAAGAAAATCATAAAAAACGTGTTCTTGGCAGCTAGAATCAGACTACGCAGTAAAACCGAAATCGAGATGAAAACTAATGAAGCAAGCCAAAGATGCTAAGTAGCGTAAAAAGGCAGAAGATGCGAAAGTTTTGGGGGCCAGTGATAATATTGTGTGTAGGCTAAGTATCAGTTTCTATGAAGAATAGTTATGTGCTGAAAGAAAAATCCTCCATCATTCACCATAATCTTATTCCAAATTTTCAGAACCGAAAGTTGTGTTTTTTTTTTTTTTTTATTGAAACGTCAGAATCAAAAGAAATCACACTTGAGTCCATCAATTCGAAAAGCCACACAAAGACATCTCAAAAACTAGTTCACAAAGCAAGAAAAACCAAATCAACCCAAAAAAACTAAGAAGAATTCGAGCAAGCCCAAAACGAAAGCAATCGTGCGGTCGGCATCAAAAGACTCGGATTCAATGAGAAAAATCAAAATCAGTCTAAGAGCACTAGCTTCCACCGACGGTATCAAATTCTCAGGCACAGTGGTCAAAGAGCTTGACGAGTCTACAAACGACTATAAGCCTAAATCAGATCTACCAATATTCAATCAATGTGAGATCAAAATAACAAATTGGGAAAAAGGGTGAACAGAGAGAGGGAGAGACACACAAAACTTACGGATAAGAGACGGAAGACGACGATGATTGAAAGACAAAATGGGATTAACCGATGAGAGAGGCGTGTGTGAGGAACGATTCAATTCCCTTTGAAATGGAAAAAGAAGAAAAAAGCTTAAAGGAGAGAGAAGGTGGATGAGATGTTAGGTGGTGATGGAGAAGATGGGTTTTGATTTTTTAAGAGCAAAGATGAGCTGTTGAGCGACTTTGTACACCTGCTTCTTCTTCGTGCTGACCACGCGCTCTATCTCAGCCATCTCCGTTTGACAAATCATTCAGTATTAAATTAAATACTTATTGCAATTTACATGCCTCCTTGTTTGAATATTAAATATTTTTATAAATTCCCCAACCACTATTTGTCAAAGTTCTTGCCACATTTTACTTACTTTGTTTGTTTTTTTCTACACAAGTTAGGGGACGGCACTTTCTCTTTCATTCCGTCTTGTTGACCCAAAAATTCCGGTTTCATATATGACTTTTTGGTTTTCATTTGTGAAAGGGATAGTACGAAAATTTTAACAACTCTTGTTTATATGTGGTTTAGTTTGCGGAATGATTAATGGTAATGAGTGGAATGCTAATATGGATAATGAAATATAGCATTGCACTGTTAATTTTTTTTATAGAAGAGCAACATGAGTTTAGGTGAATTAATACTGAACCAGTCATCAAATCTCATAAAGAAGAATTTTTTCACAACATGAACAACATATGATGCAAACATAAACCCAAATTTTATGCTAAGCAGCTCAAGTTTTTTAAGTGGACTTTTGAGTCCAATGGGCTTCTGTTCATTTTTTTTTATTCTTTATACAATAAAGTAAAAAATTTCTTGGGGTTGTTCACAAAATTAGGGACATTAATCTGAAATACCCCTCCGTACACCAAATAAATCCAATATGTCCCTGTTATAAATTTTTTTTTTTTGATTTTTTTTTAAAACCAAAATGCGTGAAATGACGATGGAGGGTATCCGAAATCCTCTAAATTACGGACACTAACCAAATAATATCTATTGGGTTTTGGCCCAACATAAATCAAAATCGGCCCAAACCTAAATCTAAATCTAGCCCAAACCCAAACCAAAAACAACTTCCCCTTCCCTGATTTTTCGATCAAACTGCCTCCTTTCCAACTTCATCTTCTCCGATTCAGAAACCACCAACTCCCATTTTCATTTTCTCCGATAAACCACCAATTTCCACCAATTTCTACTTATCAATCTCATGGCGCGTACAAAATGGCTTCGGTTTAGAACACCGCCTTCACGGGATCATACATCATCGCCGCCGCCACCGTCAAGTTCAAATCCTCCGGCGGAGAAGCAAACAGAAGCGGAGAAGCCTCCTGCGGCACCGCGAGGAAAAGAGAAGAAGCCGAAGAAGAAATCGAAATCAACAGAAGAAACTTCTAGTGCTCCGCCTCCGCCGGGTCCGGTGACCGAAGGAGAAGAAGAAAATCCCCTACCGTCGAGTTCAAATCCGCCGGCGAAGAAGAAAAGAAAGAGAGAGAAGCGTCCGGAGGCACCGCGAGGAAAAGAGAAAAAGTCGCGGAAGTCAAAGTCCAGTGCTCCGCCTCCGGTGGCTCCGGTGACTGAACCAGCAGAATAAAGTCTGCCTTCGGCGGTGCAACCGGCAACCGGCCCGCTTTCGATTTCAGAACCGGCAATCGGTTCATCGTCGCAACCACCACCACCATCGGTAAACCCTAATTTGTTGTATAATTGGGTCTAACTAGTCCGACTAGTATGAGTAGTTCAACTAGTTCAACTAGTATAATTGGATTGCATGAAATGTCGAGTCTGAGTAGTAGGAGTAGGTCAACTAGTCGTACTAGATTGTAGTCATACTAATCGTACTAGTCGTACTAGTTTGACAGTAGTTGGCCTAGTAATCGTACTAGTCGTACTAGTTTGACAGTAGTTGGCCTAGTAATCGTACTAGTCGTACTAAATCGGTTTTCTTATTTTTGCAGCATGACGATGATGATGTGGAAGAACCAATGCGGCCTCTCGGATATTTCTTCAATCCCATCGAATACCAAAAGGGATGTAAGCTAAGTACCAAATGCTTGCAACACAAATTTAAGGAGGAAGTATTTCCAACTTTGGAAGAGGATGAGAAGAGTTGGTTTCTGAACCACCCGCAGTTCAAGCACCTGTTTCCCATGAAGACTTATGCAACAAGAAAGGTGATGGGGCTGTGGATGTTGCTTCTACGTACGGTACAAACGGAGAAAGGTAGACAGGCTTGGTTTGTGGTAAATGGAGTGCCCATTAGATACTCCATCAGAGAGCATGCTCTCCTCTCGGGACTGTACTGCCACGAGTATCCAGCGAATTACCCGAAGTTAGGTGGCGAGAGGTTTGCTAGGAACCATTTTAAAGACGAAAAAATTACTGCTGAAGTTGTGCTAAAAGCACTTCAAGGGATGAGGTATAGTGACACTAGGAATCGGCTAAGGATGGCTGTCCTGTACTTCTTGGCGACAGTGATAAGAGGGAGATCAAAGCATGGAGTAGCCATAGAGCCTTTTATTCTGAGGATGGTTGATAATCTCGAGCTGTGTGAGACATTCCCATGGGGACGGTTTACTTTCGAGGACAACATCAAAGACATTTTTTATATGACGAACCATTTCAAAGGATCGATCCCAGAGAAAGCGAGTTGGACGTTTCCTGGGTTCCTCAACCCTTTGGAAGTAAGTCGTATTTCCTACTGTTTTAATTAGTCTGAATAGTACAACTCGTCCGACTGTTTTAATTAAATATACAGATTTTTCGTATTAATAGTACAACTACTCTAACTGGTCTAATTATATGTGCAGATTTTGGCGTTTGAATGTATTCCAACTCTGAAGACACAATTTCGGGTGAAAGCAACAAATGCAGAAAATGATTGTCCAAGAATGTGCAAATGGGAGTTCACGCAGACTGGCACAACTGGATATTCGCTGGGTTCAATAAATGAGCATCTTGGAGATACAAAGGTATTTTACTTTTTGTTATTGGAGTCGTACTAGTTTGACAGTAGTTGGTCTAATATTCGTACTAGTCGTACTAGTTTGACAGTAGCTGGTCTAATATTCGTACTAGTCGTACTAGTTTGACAGTAGTTTGACAGTAGTTGGTCTAATATTCGTACTAGTCGTACTAGTTTGACAGTAGTTTGACGGTAGTTGGTCTAATATTCGTACTAGTCGTACTAGTTTGACAGTAGTTTGACAGTAGTTGGTCTAATATTCGTACTAGTCGTACTAGTTTGACAGTAGTTTGACGGTAGTTGGTCTAATATTCGTACTAGTCGTACTAATCGGTTTAATTTTTTTTCCGTTATACTTCAGGACATTACTAGTATTTTGACTGCTGAGGGTGAGGAAGTAGATCTCATAGAGAGGGCCATGGAAGAGACACAGTGGCAGGACTTTGAACTGAAGGATGATTCAGATGTAGCTGAACCTATTGTTGATGGGTGGAACAAGTTTATAGTCCGCCAACAAGGGAAGATACAGTGGGAGGATGTCTTCATGGCCGATGTTCAATCCCGAGTTGTCGAAAAAGAAAATGTCCTAGAAGAAGATGTCCAAAACGAAGGTGCGGCAATAGGTGAGCCAGCTGAAGAAGAACCTGCAGTTGTGATTGAGCCAATATCCGAGCAATTGAAAAGGATGATGAAATTAATGGAAGAAGGGTTCAAAGAAATTAATGACAAGATTCAAGGTTTGGATACAAGGTTGGTAGCTGTGGAGAGCTTCGTGGAAGAGCAAAGAAATCCTCCAGATTTTCAGTATGGTGGAAATGATGATTTCGGTGAGAAACAATTTTTAAGAATTTTTTTGTTTTGAATATTGAAGTTTATTTGACTCTTTTTTTTATGTCACAGGGAAAACGGCTGAAGAGGAGATGACGGAGGCTGCTGCGGCTGTAGAGAGGGAGATGGCGGAGAGAGCCGCGGCTGAAGAGAAGGAGAAAGAGGCTGCAGAGAAGGAGGCTGCAGAGAAGGAGGCTGCGGAGAAGGAGGCTGCTGCGGCTGTAGAGAGGGAGAAGGCGGAGAGAGCCGCAGCTGATGAGAAGGAGAAGGCGGAGAAGGAGGCTGCAGAGAAGGCTGAGGCGGAGGCTGCGGCGGCTGTAGAGAGGGAGAAGGTTGAGGCTGCGGAGAAGGCTGAGGTTGAGGCTGCGGCAGCTTCGGAGATGATGGAGGCTGCGAAGACCGTGGAGACTGTGGCGGCTGAGGCTAGTGCAGCTGCGGAGATAGTGTTAGCGGCTGTGGATAAGGCTATGGAAAAGGCTCTAGCTGGTAAGTGCCGATATAATGAGTTTCATCGATTTTTGTTGATATAATGAGTTTCATCGATTTTTGTTTGTTTTTGTTAGGTGGAGACGATGCCGATACAGTCCAAACTCCTAGGAAGGTGAAGATCAAGAAACGACCTAGTCTTCAAGCCCAAGCAGCAAAGAAATTAATTAAGAAGAGTAAGACTCCCAAGCGAAAAAGGAAGGTTACTCGTTCACGGTTGTTGAAGGATTGTTATTAAGTAACTTAGGCCTTTGAACTTCTGTTGTGTCATTATCTGCTATGTAAGAATTTATCTTTGTGTTTTTCAGAATTTGGACATATATATTTTATGCAAGTCTTTTTTTATGTGTTGAATTAAAAGGTACGACTAGCAGAACTAGACCAACTAGATCTGAATTTTAAAAACGTGTGCATGCAAAAAAAACATGTTTAAAATGAAGTTAAAAATGTCCAGTTAAAAATGTTCAGATTAATGTCCAGTTAAAAATAGATAAAATATGAAGTCACGTGCGCCGTCAAAAGAGGAAATGAATATCTTTGCAAGTTTGCGCCGTCAAAAAAAAAAAATTGAACCCAGTTTTTTTATAACATAGTTGTACCCAGTTTTGAGTTGTACCCTAAAGACATAAGGTTGTAAAATTTTGTAATCAGTAGTATCATACCTAAATTAAACATTTTTAGCTGTACTTGTAAAATTTTGTAAATAAACTAATATTCTAATGCTATAACTAGTATAAAATAACAAACTTTCATGGTTTTCATGTTTGTGTGGTTAAGATTTACAAAGTAACCTTAAAAGTATAAGGTAGATTGTGTAGAGAACACATTTTCATGGATCAAACCTTTTCGTGGATCAAATTTATTTAACTATAAAATGTTCAAATATGTTTGCAAATGTTCTATGGCCTATTTTATCTGGAAAAATGTTTACAAATACATTTACAACTTGTGTTATTGACATTTTTGTAGAAAGCATAGTCGTACCAGTCTTCCCAGTTGGACTTTAGTACAACTAAAATGTAGTTGAACTAGTTGTACTTGAAACGAGTGGTACTAGTCGCACCAGTCGTACCAGACATATTAGACGCGGAATATAGAGTTGTACTAGTGGTGCCTAGTCATACCTGATAGAAATAACATGGATACAAGTCTCGGTCATACAAAGTTTCACACATAGTTCAAATAATTTAAAACAAAGACATAAATTAATCTTCACTTCCATCAATCCCAAACCATTGAGCCCAGCGTCCACCTCTCCCTCTTCCTCTACCTCTTCTTCCTCTTCCTCTTCCACGATGTTCTCCAGCTGATGGGAATCTTTTCTGTTGCGGTTTTCCTTTCTTTACTTCATATTTCGGATGTAAGACTTCTTGTGCTTGTATCTCTTCAGGTACAACCCATTCAGACATATGAGTAACTGGATAGATTGTCCTGGAGTATGCCAATGCCCATAGCTCTACCAAATAATATTTGGAGCAAAACTCTTGTAGATGAAGTTCCCTATCTCTGCTCATATGGATGGCAGCAGCAATTGCATGCACACATGGGTATCTATCTATATCAAAATACTTGCAAGAACAAGTTTTCCTAGTCATATCAACCAAATAATTCTTCCCATCAAGACCAATCACATTGTATTCATGGAGATAGCTGTTTAACTCTTGCACCATGAGTTTCTTTGCATCCCCACATCTCAGATCCATTTCGTTCTCCACGGAAGGCACAAGCTTCTGTGACAGTGGGACTTCAGCGGCACTCTGCCTATGGGTGTTCCACCATTCAGCCAATTTGGCAACAATTACATCAATCATTGGTAACAGCGAGTACTTTCTTGCGTTTACAAAAACACCATTGATAGATTCTACACTATTGGTGATATCTATGTTGTACCTTTCTCCTGGAAAATAGCATTTTGCCCATTTTTTCTCATCAACACTTTTGTCTAGATACTCGGCAGCAGATGGATATTTCATCCTAAAAGCACTATAGAGTTTTACGAACTCAACCTCTGTATAAGCTTTAGCGCACTCGATGAACTTCTTCGCACATGCATCTCTGTGGGTGGCAACGTGTCCTTTCACATTCTGTGACAAATGCCTTACACAATACCCGTGTTGAGACAGAGGGAACACTTACCTTATTGACTTGATCAAGCTTGGATTCCTATCCGAAATAAACACCATTCCAGGGACATCTGGTGTTACTGACTTCAATTGATTCAGAAACCACGTCCAACTTGCATCTTTCTCACCATCAACTACACCAAAAGCAATGGGATAATGATGATAATCAGGATCCTGAGCTGAAGCGATGATTAAAACTCCACCATATACGTTCTTCAGGTGGGTTCCATCTATAATGATGACTTTCCTCATCGATAGAAACCCTTCTATGCAAGCTCCCAATGCAAAGAATAGGTATTTAAACCTTTTCTGCTCATCTAATTCCACACAAGTCCGTGTACCCGGATTCACTTTCTCTAGCATGTACAAATAAGAATATAGCCACCGATAACTCTCCTCAGAACTTCCCCGCACCTCATTAGCAGATTTGTTTTTTCCTCTCAGCGCTGTCGAGTATGATACTTTCACGCCAAGCCTGCCTTGAACCATATTGATCAGCGTTTTTGGATCTGGTGTGTCGAATCGACCTGGATAGTCTTCAGCCAAAACAGTTGCAACTAAGTGTGGTGTGCCTTTCCTTTTTTGTCTGATTGTACTTGTAGTAACCCGAGAGCATGTGTGCACCTTGTTGTAAGTGACAATAGTGAAACTATTTGAGTTCATACGCACAGAAGCTCTTAAACCCCACTTGCATCCCTCTTTTGCTCCCAAACATTTTACCACGAAACGTGTGGGATCAGACTTTTTCGTTTCATACTCAAAACCATTCTCATGTGCACCTTTCTGCAGGAGAGCTTGCAGTCCCTGCCTAGTGTCAAATTCTTGACCTTTATATATATCTAAACCATCTTCCCATCCATGACTTACTTGCGAGTTTCCATCAGAATGTCTGACTTCTGTATCATCATCATACACGAGCTCATATCTTTGTAGAGGATCTGTATCATTTTCTTGCATCTCATTGTCTGGCATTTCATTGTCATGCATTTCACTATCCGGTATTTCTAAACCATCTCTAGCGGTAGAAAACATCTCATCATTACTTGGACCTACATCAACGTCAACTCCATGATCCTCTCTTGAAACATGCACGCTTCCATGACTTTGATCAACATCCTTGATGAACTTCACATGTAGAACACTTCTACATTGATCCTTACTCATTTGTAGTAGATAACCAAAAACATTTTCGTCATTCCAAATATATGCTGGTTTCTTCGTGTTCAAGACCATTGGATAGTAACTAATTTTCAGCTGAGATGTAGTTGCATCTATCAAAACCTTTCTGCAAATTCCCTCCACTAATCCAAGATAAGTGACATCCTCCAAAGATTTCCTCATCACTAAAGTGTGAATCTCATCTTCTACAGAATTCTAAATAACTTTATCACCATCTTTTGAATAGAACCCCCCATAATCAAAACATATGACTGTGCAACCACTGCTACTCATTTCCCCTGAAAAGAACAAAACAATCGTAAGGTAATCTTATCATAGTTGTACCAGTTGTACTAGTCGTACTTAAGATGTCCAGTTACGCTAGTTATACCAGTAGTACCCAGAAAGTTTGGTTCATCCTAGTCGTACTAATTCACTTAATATGTCCAGTTGTGCTAGTTGTACCCAGTAGTACCCAGAAATTTGGTTCATCATACGAATCATCACTAGTTTTTACGATTCATTGCTCAGTTAACCAAGATATCATATTTAATTAACAATATCAGTTTCTAATAGCCTTACCCAACTAGCTCAGCAGCTCCAATGAGCAAAAAAAAAATCAAAATTTTATTTACTATGAAATTCTCTAATTGAGAAGAAATTATATATTATTTGCTCTGCCTATGACATAAACTTGATAATTCAATCAAGAAATCGAAAATAGTATAAGAAATAGCAACAACTAACCTTCACACCTCTGATTTTGTCAATGGTGGAAACATGAGAGGAAGAAAACGACGATGAAAGGTGCAAAAATTTTTGTGGTTAGTTTGGTTGGTTTAGACAATTAATTTTAGGTTGGTTTGAATTAAATTTCTTACCAAACCAACGACCCGAATTTCTTTTATTTTTTGTCATTTTTTCGATTTTTTTTGTTTATTCATTAAGAGCAAGATAGTCAATTCAATGAAGAGAGGGGTAGTAAGATTAGAAGGGGGCAGTGAGATTTTGGGAGGGGTGTACGGGAGGGCATTTCAGATTAATGTCCCAAAATTAGAGGGTTTTTCTGTCGCTGGAAAAGTTAGGTTCTTGTTCTCCAAACAGTGACGCTCTCGACCACTATGGACCCTTCCGTCGCCAACAATCCTGAATTGATTCGGCTCATTAATGTAAGTCTCCGATTCAGTGTTCGAATGGTCTGGTGAGAGAGCTAATTGTATATTCGTAGCTGAATCACTTGAAAATTGAGGTATATATATATATATAGTGTTGTTTTGTGTATTTGGTAAACGAAATTTGGAAAATCTGGTTATATCAAAACCTCCTTTTGGATCTGAACTAAATTGTAGTATGATGTGATAATAGCTTTTGGAAAATCTGGAAGCCCATGTATAATTTTTGAAAATTATGAATAAGTCTTAAAAAAAAAAGCTGACCTTTTTGTTGTTTATAATGAATGTATGAATATGTTGTATGGCAATTAACGGTTTGGTTGGGAAAATTTGGGCAGCAAGAAAAGGAAAGGGTGATGGCGAACGCGATGGTGTCGAAGCTGACAAGCGTGTGCTGGGATAAATGCGTAACAAGCTCACCGGGAAGTAAGTTCAGCCCAAGTGAGCACTCTTGCCTCACACATTGTGCCAAGCGTTACGCCGATATGAGTACGCTCATCCTCAAAAGCTTTCAGTCCAAACGCTGACTTGCTCCTTTTCTCGAATTGATTATCTGCGAGAGATTAGATTTAACTATTTTGGATTGGGTTTGTTGAGGTTGTAGTGCTGACGAAAACAGTGGTTGTATCTATGTTACTGAGGTTTGAAGATACTTTTGCTACATTTTACAGATATTAAGGTTACTTGATTCTTCAAACTTCTCAGCTATATATGATGATGGCAGCTTCGATTTCATTCTCTTGTTCTCCTTGCTAAGCCATGTGTAGCATAGCGATCCTTTCTAAAGTGTCTCTCAATTTTAATAGTATCAACAAGTTCGTTGGTCATTTAGTTAGACTTAATGTTTGTTTACGTTCTTGGAGTCGTCATAGTTTAAAAACTATACTAGATCCTCTAGTTATTTTATATTTTTGTTCTTTCCTTTTTCGGAAGTTGAAATTGTATAAAAGAGGAAAGTGGGAAATAAGAAAGAAACAAAAAATGGAAAAAAACCAACGAAAGGCACGTGCTGCATGAGGGAAGGCCCATAAAAGCCCATTTACACTGTTTATCTGAGGACCCTGCCCTTGAAAGTCTCACGATTCTACAATTGTCCGTAATTTTTTTGTTTTGGGAGGAAACACGCTGCTCAGTGCTCACAATGAAGCTCTCTTTCTCTCTTCGTCACAAACCTAAATCCAAATTCGGATCCAGGAACGACGGCGTCGACGAAGGCAATCTCAAGGAGTTCGTCACTGTATTCGATCCTTCCAAAACCCTAGCCGACGCCAAACCGAGATTCGTAATACCTCCCATCGAGAACCGTTGGAGGCCCCACAAGGAGAGCCATCTCCCGCTACAAGCAGCTTCCGGGCTCCAATTTGAGGCCGAGATTCCCTCCGTCGGCTCCGATAATATCACATATGGTCTGAATCTGCGTCAGAATGTCGAGGAGGAGGACAAGCCGCCAGCTTCGAAGCCAGAGCCTGTGGAGCAGATGTTACTAAAACGTATGAGGAAAGATCTGGAGTCGCTCCCCGACGCGCCGCGACTGGAAGATTTCGAGAGCGTTCCCGTGGAGGGCTTTGGAGCGGCTTTGCTTGCTGGGTACGGCTGGAAACCAGGGCAGGGAATAGGTCTAAAAGCTAAAGAGGATGCTCAGATTTTTGAACACAAGAAGTTGATTGGTAATGCTGGATTCGGCTTCAGCATGGATAGACCTAGTTTTAAGGTTGCGGATGCTGCTAAACTCCAAGAAAGTGGTAAATCGGACGAGATAGGCGTAAAGCGTAAGATTATAGAGAAACTTGGTAGAGTAGTGAGCAAACGAAGTAGAGAAACAGAGAGAGGGTGTCGCACTCAAGTTGTAGGCCGTAAGCAGAACGGTAGAGGTCAGAGTAGAGAGACCAGAGAGAAGACCGCAACATCATGGCTTAGGAGCCGTATTAAAGTGAGAGTGATAAGCAAGGATGTGAAAGGTGGGAGATTGTATCTTAAGAAAGCAGTGGTGACCGATGTGGTTGGTCCGACAACTTGCGATATCACTATGGATGAGACGCAGGAGTTGGTTCAAGGGATCGATCAGGAGTTGCTAGAGACCGCATTGCCCAGGCGAGGAGGCCCCGTGCTGGTTCTATCCGGTAGACACAAGGGCGTTTATGGGAGTCTTGTTGAGAAAGATTTGGATGAGGAAACTGGTGTGGTCTGTTGTGATGTAGACAGCAAGGAGATGCTTGATGTTAAACTTGAACAAGTCGCCGAGTACATGGGTGATCCCGATGATTCTGGATACTGAGCCGTTTTATGCTGTGAAACAGAGCTCAAGTACCAAGACTACCTTTTTTTTTAGAGGATCCATTCTAAGCTTGTTGCATAAATGTTTTTGCAAGTTTAGGTTTTAGTTAACTTTGAGTGAGATTACTTGCAAACTCAGCTATGGATAAGTTGTTCATTCACATGTGTAATGAGCGTACTGGGGGATTAGCCAAATGCTTGAATTATTTGCATCCAATATATATTAACATTGCACGTAGAACCCAAGATAATAAGTATTGAATAGAATGTTTATGCAAATATAGTTGTTGGTATACAATGTGAATGAGAAGCTGCAAAGATGATGAGGCAAAGTTCATTTTTAATTTTGGTACTGATAACTACTACTATGCATTTGCCCATTTGGTGATGACCTATGTCCTTTTATTGTCTTTGGACTCCCATTTTTGCTTTTATCAATATGTAGTAGCTGATAATTCCTTACACTGAGCCGAGAGGGAGCTACATTGCCCCTGAATGAGAATGCTACAACAACCTTTTCTGTGTACAGAGGATTTGGAGTTTTTGGATTGTTGCTTATTTTTTCGGGATGAATTATAATTTAAGTTAAGAGAGAAGTGGCTAGAGGCAACATAGAGACACCAACGACCAGTTCCAAATCAGTGTTCATTGTACTCGGAGCTGACTATGTTTATTTCAGTGTCTGAAAGGCTATAGGCACACCGCAATGGAGATTTACCACTGTGATGCATATGTTCAAGCCCTGCGGTAAATGTTCATTAGGCTTCTCATAGCTTTCAAGTTTCTCCAAATAGATGTAAAAACTCGGCTTTACAATATGGAATTAGAAAAGGAGGTGTTCATACCACAAACATGCATACTGTATTACTGTTTATCATCTAGTTATATATAGATGATAAACAAAAAGAGTGCCCCTTCCTACTTTAAAGCGCAACCATAAATTTTAATCTATGAAAGTGAAGGGAAATGTGAAATTCTGGAATATGAACGTATGAAGTGAAGTGAAGTGAAGGGAAATGTAATCAGTCAAACTTTAAAGCTCAACCATAACAATCATGTATTACATTTCAAAGGTGAAGGCATGAAGAAAAAGCTAAGGTGGAAAAAAATATCTACTAAAGGGTAAAGCACTCTAAGTGGACGATGAACTATGGGTAATATTATGCTACACAAAAAAGTCTGTCTTCTGTAGGTCTTGAAGTTTTTTTTTGTTTTTTTCAGCAATGCAGTTATTTACTTATTTTCTCCACTTTTATAAATGTATTAGGGATTGAACCGCGCTACGCGCGGTTTGTATTCAATATTTTCATTTATAGTGTTAAATCTAATAACCCAAATTATTTATTGATAATTATTTAATTTTTTAACTTGTGTTTTCATATAACTTTATTTTACAATTCTAGGTCTTAAGTTTGTTATTCATATTATTTCAATAATATTTCTAAGTGACTTTTCGGTGATATGCACTTAGATAATTTTAACAAATATTTTTTTGATAAGATCAGTTTACTTAGATCAAAATTAATCTGTTCTTTTAATTTTGTTTTATTCTCCAATTTTCCAAAATCTAGTTTAATCAGGTTTAGAATAATAATGAATCCATAAAAGGTCATTTGTTTTTTTTATTTGGATTTACCAAATTAGAATTATTTATTGGTATAATATTTCAATTTGATATCAAAAATTTTAGATAAATGGTTTAGAATACGTTTTTTTCCATTCCGATAAACCATTTTTTATATGTTTTTGTTTTGTTAGTTTTATAAACATTGACATATCGTAATTCACTTTGGTAATTGTTTCTTTTATTAATTAGGATTTGATAAAGTGATTTAATTGGACTATGTTTAGAAAATACCGACAAATTACATCAAAAATATTATCAATTCAAACTATTGAATATAGACAATCTAAACATCATACAATAACAACTTATATCGACACACTTAAGCATAGAGCAACGCAAAATAGAGTCACCATACCATAATCTTGAAAACGGTTCCATACCATACTCGATAATAACAAAAGGTTCATGTCAACAGCTCGTTGATGTGCATCTATGGCAGCACAAATGTTCTTCATCTCGACATATTCATGGTACACCAGAGTCCACGCAGATAAGTACTTCTGGTTCAGTTCGAAAGCTCTCCATAAGAACATGACTGCATTTTTTTTGCTGCCATTTAAACTGTAATAGTTTCCAATGACGCAGCAAGACTCATGTCTATAATTATCAGTTAAAATAATTGTTTGCAAGGTAACTCTATGACTGTTCTGGACTTCAACATTTAGAGCTTGGAAGTAATTAAAAAAAATGAAAATACCTTGCAAATAGTCGTAGTCACCAAGGACTCACTGTGCATTTTGATTTCTTGGCAAGAAAAATCTCATTCATCTAGTGGTTTCTTAGAATGATAGCTACTCATAATAGGAAATTAGGAATCAGTGTACATACATATGCAAAGACTGCAGCTATAAGTAAGCACACTCCAGTTACACGTATAGCTATTGACAAACACAGAATATTGGCATAAGCAAGACTATTTTCCTTTACTGCATATATACAGAATGAAGACTCTAAAATAGTTGGAGAATCATGAGATGAAAAGCACAGACGTACAATTGCATGCAATCATCTTGTTTAAGAATGCTGATTCTGAATTTTACTCCGCCTCTACACAAAAGGAGATTCCAGATTCTGAGATGCTTAGTATGGCACATGGATAATCAAGAAATCAAAAGCAGCAACTTAAAGGGAACATAAATGCGAGCAACAAAAGAGGAAATTTGATCCTTTGACTACAAACAAATCTTGGACATGATGATAAGAGAGTAACTGTGATCTTTAGGCTTTTGCAGGAAAGTTAAAAATATAGCAAGTTGATTATATGAACAAACTGTTTTTAGATATAGGTTTTCAGATGTAAAAGCTGGTTTATCTTGTAAGCTAAGGTTATAACCTGGATGGCTGTTTTGTAGACAACATAATTTTTTGATTACCTATATAAATTTTTGGCATATTCAGCATAGGAGAGAGGTGTGGCTGCTCGTTTCTGCTAACCTCTAACTAACATATGAAAAAGAAAACAAAGCAAAAAGTGAGCAAATAATCTAGAAAACTCTCTCAGTTAACAAAATCATACTTATCAAGCATGTTATAAAATACACTAAATCATGGATTTTAGTGCCCAAAATAGCCTCTTTTAATCCATATAATTGATGAACTACAGAAGTCAATGATAAAGCAAGATGGTTATGTACTACATGGACGTAAGACAAATAGTTGGCAAAAATCGAAAAATAAAAAAAGTAATCACCAGTTTATTAATTACTATCTGAAATCTGGTATACTCAAAGCCATATATACCTGTAGCTAACCTATGTGATGGTTGATGTAGATGCACCAACATATTTTTCTCTTCACAATCTAGCTTCTTTTCAATAATCCTCTTACTCACTTGTCATGTAAGATATCCATCAGCCATGCAGCTAAGACGTTGTGCCATAATCCTCTTTTCCAATCCGCTTTATCCTAGCAGCTCACTTGCATTCTCTTATCTACTCAGTTAGCGCTGATTCGGAAGAGTATTATTCTCAGTTTTGAGAGTTCCCTCATGTTCCATGTAAAAGAATCACCATATATTCAGAGATTAGGTTAGCGACTGATTATATCTAATTTTTTTTGTGTTATCTTACCACTACATGAGGACGATGGTCCTGCTACTCTGCCATCTTATTCTCCTTGCTTCTACATTCTTTCTCGTTCCCGATCAGCTTCTTCTCCTCCCTTGGCCGGTTGTCTTTGTAGAAATCTTTGAGAAGTTTTTTTTTTGGCTCCAAGTAAACCTTGTTCTTTACCAGATCTATTTCGTGAAGACTAACATGTGGCTGGTTTATCCATTGAACTCTCTCGAGAGAGGTAATCAGAAATTAGAGAGTTAGAATCGAGAAGAAAGTGACTATTGGAAGATGAATTGTTTTGAGGGATAAATAGATGATACCAAAGAGTTTAAGGAAGATGGATCATCGTTACAATGAAAGTGGAGAGAATTGGGAACGTCTGAGAAGAGAAACTGTGAAAAAGAAGGAATGAGATCAAATAAGCTTTTGGTGCTTATGTCATGTAGCGTTTCCTTTAAAAAAATATATATAACAAAATGTTGTATGTCCATAATATAAGGGTTTGGCCCAAAACTAATTTTGAACTATTTTTCATAAATTTTTAAGTTACTGATGTGGCACGATTATAGGCTAAAGAGCCCCGAACTTTTATTTAGTATAGATGGGCTTTGTTGTTCTTTTAGTGATTTAAATATATTTAGACATATTTTTGGTTTCAGTAACCTCCTAAATATATATATATATATATCCCTGATTATATTTACATGTTGCAACAACATTCTTGAGATTGTATAATATTTTGAAACTGGCTTATTTTAATCTGATATGTCGGAATTTGTATTCTGATTCTGATGTACTGCTTCTGTATGGAACATTGAAGCAGATGCTCTTCTCCTAGAATACTCTAATCTTGCTGACATCTTTTAGACTCTTAGTTAAAATATAATTTGAAACCGAATGTACGAAAATAAAAGAGTGCTGAAGAAAGTGAGTAAGAGGAGGAATGGTTGGGAACGAATTTTAACCGTCTAATAAGGAATCTGCATGGTTGGATGGAACCACTCCCTTTGACCGTAGACGAACCACAGAGACTCCATAAAGTATAAAGTTTCTTTGCTAATTATTTAATGCAAAAAGGTATTTAATCAGTCAATTTGTCTTTGATTAAGTGAGTGAGACTAAAACGAAAGGTGGCAATAATAATCAAGATTCTAATGGGTTTTTATCAGTCAATCCTTTTCATACGCTTTTTGTTTCAACCATACATTTACTGTTTCTCCTTTAAAATAGAGGGTTTTTTTTATGTAGGTTATTTCTTATATTTTTTACGCTCCTCAAAATTTAATGAATTTGATACTACTGTACGTACAAACTGAACACTACACTTTACCACAAACGAAGGTGATTTCTTCTACTAATTTATTTCATTAATTATATTGAATTGTTGATGTTACATGATAGCAAGTAAAGCAATTCTTACGAATAAGAACTTTCTCATGATACATGTTAATTTTCAGCATAATTAGCAATAGTGGCATGGTCCATGTGTCCTCTATCGGTATATTTGGCATACTATATCACGCCACAATGATATTCAAATTTGCTTTTTCTAAGAGTCTGTCTTGTAATGGCAAAGGAAATTATAAGTAAATCGTGACTAACTCTTTTTCCCCTACTTCACACATAATAGCTACATGCATATACAATAATAAAAATGTAATATAATGTGTGAAATTAGTAAAACGAGCTAGTCACGATTTACATGCATATTTCTAACAAAAAAAAAAATGTATCCATACATACATATGCCTTAAAATATCTGACGGCGGTCATGAGGCGTTACCATAATTTCTGAAAGTACTAGTGATAAAAAATTATATTGTTGTTTGAAACTTCTAAAATCAACATTTACCATGTCAACTTTTCATTTTTTCTGATATCAAGTTTATTTTAATTTAAATCGATTATTGCTCTAATTACAGTAAAAACTTCTATACCCATTTGATTATGTTAAATGGTTGATTTTACGGTAAAAATATGAACTTATAACTATAGTAGGTTAGTTTCAATAAAACTTAAAAATTCACAAATTTTACAATAAAATAACAAAAGAAGAGAGAAACGTTTTAACTTAAAACACACTCATATACGCAGTACATATATAAATGCACAAAAGGAAATCAAAAACAATTGTAATTATATCACATAACTACTAATAATTAGAGCAATGAAATTTAATTTAAAACATATTATATATATATATATATTTCCAATCATATTAGCTTAACTATATATATATATATATATATTTTGTCACAAGTTGAAATATATATTTATAATCATATTAGCTTAACTAGTAGAATATTAATGATTTGATATTATTTTATGATAGAGAAAGAAAACATAGATTATCTAAGAACTGAATGATGATTGTTGTTGGATACACGATAATATTTGTGAAGATGATAAGATTAACATGAAAAGTAGCCAGGTGGAACATCAAGAAGCATGATGGTGAATCTTACCTATACGGTTTACACACGCGACAGTCGCGTCTAAGATGAGACGCACTATTCTTTGCTTTATACATTTATTAGTGTTTGCTTTCTTCTCGACTCGTTTATATACATTATCACAGGGAACACATTTTTATCATTTGTTGTTACGAAAGCTAATAAGATAAAATTAGTTACGGACCTAATTTTGGCTGCCAAATCATGAAGTTCAAGAGTGCTCAGAGACAACATAGAATATGTCACACGTGGCGGACACCTAAACGTTCGTTTTTTTACTGGTACGAGGAACAAAAGTGGAGAACATGTAATAGTTAATCTTATTTCTCATTCTTCTGACCACCTTGTATTCTCAAAATGATGTTCCATGCAAGAACAAAGAGTAATTAATATGAAAAGTATATAGAAAAAAAAAAAAAAAAAAAGAGCGAACATGGGAATGGTACCAATATGTCGAGCGATTGGGGATGGAGGTGGAATGGGAACTAGCTAGCTAGAACATGGGAATTGTACCATCAAATTTATTTATTGAATGGTTGGCTAGAAAGCTAACAGCCGATCAATGGTTTATTTTATTGGTCATGCCAAAAGAACAAACTACCAATAAGTTTAGCTCATTAATTATATTAAATTTGGTTTAAAGGAAAAAGAAAGCTCACTTAAATGACTACGATAATAATATAAACCAAGGTTTGGCATAAAAGTTTGACACAAAATATAATACACGCCAAGAGTGCATACCACATAAAATTATGGAATATTTGCCATTTTAAAAAAAACTTTAGAAATATCTGAGACCATCAATATGCGATGTTCTTCTCTCTCTTATACCATGAAAACGACGACGTCCCAGCATATTAACATTGCACCCTTACACATATAATTAACCCTCTCTCTAGTCTCTATATATAGTGTGCTTCATTGGCCTCGTAGTTAAATTCATATCGAAGAAAACTCAACTAGAGCGATCAAGAGTAGAAGATCTTCTCTTGTTTCCTCATTCTTTTTCCTCGATAATCCCTTACAACAGTAGAAAGATACTCGAGAGCTCATTCACAGAACAATCAAGATGTCTCTAAACGTATTGGCATTTACATTTGGAATCATGGGTAAGTATATAAACATTCATGAACAATGGGTATAAAATCTAATTGTTAATGAACGTCCATCAAAAATTTAACCATGTCATCGTTGCTATATATATGTACTTTTTTCAGGCAACATCATATCGTTCATCGTTTTCTTGGCACCAGTGTAAGCATCATTAATCCCAAACACTCTCTTTGTTCTTGATTTCTCGGTATCAAATAATTAAAAAAAGTATTTTGGATATTATTTTTCATGTACGTGAAGGCCAACTTTTGTTAGAATCTGCAAGAAGAAATCCATAGAAGGGTTTCAATCACTTCCCTATGTGTCAGCGCTCTTTAGCGCGATGCTATGGATTTACTACGCTATGCAGAAAGATGGATCAGGCTTCCTTCTGATTACCATAAACGCCGTAGGATGCTTCATCGAAACCATCTACATCATCCTCTTCATTACCTATGCTAACAAGAAAGCTAGAGTATACGTTTAAACCATACCATTTATTTTGGTATATTAAAACATATGCACTTATATAAAAATCGGTTTAGCTGATGATGATGATATATTCAACCCTGTAGATATCAACTTTGAAGGTTCTTGGGCTCCTGAATTTCTTGGGTTTTGCCGCAATCATTCTTGTGTGCGAGCTCTTAACCAAAGGATCGAATCGTGAGAAAGTCCTTGGAGGGATTTGCGTCGGATTTTCCGTTTGTGTTTTCGCAGCTCCTTTGAGCATCATGGTACGTTAACATAACATGTTAAAGAGCCTTGCTACTTCTCTAGCTTCTTGTCTTTCTATTTATGGTAATAGCATCTCTTTATGTTTACGTATATTATATAGTTTAACATGTGAAAAGTAAAAACTGATGATGCAGAGAGTGGTGATACGAACAAAGAGTGTGGAGTTTATGCCCTTTTCTCTATCATTGTTTCTTACGCTCAGCGCCATTACGTGGCTCTTCTACGGTCTTGCTATTAAAGACTTCTACGTTGCGGTGAGTTTTTCATATAATATTCAGATCTTTTTTCTAATTTGGCATATAGTAATGGACAGCGCAACATAGTATCATATATTATTTTGGGTGGTTCATATATAAGGGAAAAGAGCTTCCACCATGCACCTTTTGTCTCTTTCCCCCCAATTCCTTCTATATAAAGACCGCGAATATATGATTTGAGCCGTACGCTACTTTTGCTTTATGTTTACAAATCATATATTATGTGATTGCGACAGAGTAGACAAATATATTTTTTCTTTTATGTGTCGGAGATTAATGGGGATTACTGTTCCTAAAATGATTAATGGGACTAATGATGTGATTACTTTTTCTTTATTGAAGCTTCCAAACATACTGGGTGCGTTTCTCGGAGCAGTTCAAATGATTCTCTACGTGATATTCAAATACTACAAAGCCCCAAAGCCCGATGACACAGAGAAACCCAAAACGGTGACGGATCATTCCATCGATATGGTCAAGCTTGCATCCACTACTCCAGCTTCCGGTGATTTGGCGGCTCATCAAACTCATGGTGGTGATTTAGAGGGTCAGATGGAAAACAAAGTGTCAAACCAAATCCAAACTTAAGTAGTCCTTTTATATTACGTACGAATTAGTGATTTTATCAATGTTGCACTGTTGAGTCGTGTTTCACTAGCTTGTACTTCTTCGCCTTCGTCGTCGTTTTCTTCTCTCGTCAATTTGTTTCGGAGTATATCTCGAAATTGTATTATCCTTTTAAATATGTACGTATGTTTTAGTTTTATATATATAATGTTTTTGATCCCCTGTTCTCATAGTTTCTTGAATCTTCCTAGTTTGGCTGATAAGATAGGAAACAAAAAAATCAAAGTAATAAAATTATTTGATCATTCACAAGTGAGTTCTACAAAAACCATCCATTTTGATGTGCTAATACATTATACATATATAATTAAACGTGTCGACGACACTTAAAATTCAAGCACCTAAATCCTGTTTCGTCAAATAGAAAAAGGGTACGAATAATTAAACCAATAGATTATAATCTTGATCAGAAGCGAGTCACACAAAAACGAATATTAATTTTTCCACCGAGCTAGTAGTTTCTTTATTTTGTATACTACTTTAACATGTTTATCAGGAAAAGGAAAAAACAGAGAGCAAGTTTTGATAAGAAACTAACTCATGCACGCGTAAGTACTTTGGGCCATATGATTCTTCTAAGAAACAGTAATTGTTACAGCCCAATAACTCATTTTAAACAGCCCAGCCCACATATATATATATGCCGTCCAATGCATTTAACTTAAGGTGGTGGTAGTTACGTGTGATTAAAGGTTTTCAATGTTTTTTTAGGTTTTCAATGTTTTCCAATGCATTTGAATTTGGAATGTCTCAATAGATTTTGAAGAACTCACGTGGATTTCAATTATATTTCCTTATACTATATTTTAATAATTTGTATGGATCTTGTTTTTTTTATAAAAAAATAATCATTAATTATTTTAAATCTACCATAGGTAAAAATTTAATAAATTATTGAGCTTGGATTGCATAAAACAGATAGTTATATAGAAGAAGATTGGATTTTAATGTATTCATACAAATTCATGATCAAATAACACAAGATTCTATAATAATTTTATATACATTTACTTCATATAATAATATACAATAATCATTAATGAGTTAAGCAGTAAGAGCAGAGAGCAGCAAGTTATGCCTTATAGAAGAAGATTAATCAGATAAGGTGTGGACAACAAGGCCGTGTCGTTGAGGATACGTTACTCTCTATAGAAGGTTTCTTGTCAATAAAAACACCATATGGATAGAGAAAGAAGACAATTCACATAACAACACCAAAAATGACAACGTTACTCTCCTCTTGTCTTCTCTCTTTCCTCGTCTTCTTCCCAACCTTCACGTTTTCCACCATATTGTTTCAGGTACAGACAGTATAATAAACTCTCTCTTTACAGTTTTTGTGTGTTGTTGTTACAGATTCGAATTTGGTTTGTGAAATAAAATTTGGTGACAGGGTTTCAAATGGGAATCATGGACGAAAGAAGGAGGATTCTACAATTCTCTCCACAACTCCATCGACGACCTTAGCAACTCTGGAATCACTCATATTTGGCTTCCTCCTCCTTCTCAATCCGTTTCTCCTGAAGGTCCCATTTCTTTCTCTTTGCTTTTTACTTTCCCTCTCCAGATTTCTATTCACACCACAGATTCTTCAATCTCTCAGGATACTTGCCGGGAAAGCTATACGATTTGGACAGCTCCAAATACGGTTCAGAGACGGAACTTAAATCCCTAATCGCAGCACTGAATCAAAAAGGAATAAAATCTGTGGCTGATATTGTGATTAACCACAGAACCGGCGCGAGGAAAGACGATCGCTGTGGGTATTGTTTCTTCGAAGGTGGGACTAACGATGGTCGTCTTGACTGGGATCCTTCCTTCGTCTGTAGCAACGATCCTAACTTTCCCGGCACCGGAAACCCCGACTCCGGACAAGACTTTGGCGGGGCGCCCGACATCGACCACCTTAACCCTAGGGTTCAAAAGGAGCTGTCGGAATGGATGAACTGGCTCAAATCTGAAATCGGATTCAGTGGTTGGAGATTCGATTTCGTTCGAGGCTATGCAACTTCCAGCAGCAAAATATACGTTCAGGTCGTCAGCCTCTAAATCTTTTATATATTTTAGTTTTCTTTTTCTTCTTCTTCTTCTAATTAGACTTTTATGTTTAGCGTTCTAAATTATGATTTGAGAGTTTACTTTTCCTTATCGTCTTTATTTTGGTATTCATTATGAAGAAAATAAATTTCCGCTATCGATGTTTCCGCTGCATTATCACGATTTTGTTTGTGGCTGAGCAGAATACGTCACCGGAGTTTGCGGTTGGTGAGAAATGGGACGATATGAAGTACCAAGATGGGAAACTGGAGTACGATCAGGAGGAGCATCGATCGGGTCTAAAGCAATGGATCGAGGAAGCAGGTGGTGGTGTGTTGACAGCTTTTGATTTCACGACCAAAGGGATCTTACAGTCTGCAGTCCAAGGTGAGCTCTGGAGACTAAAGGACTCGCAGGGAAAGCCGCCTGGTCTCATCGGAATCATGCCCGGAAACGCAGTCACTTTCGTAGATAACCACGACACTATCAGACCCAACTCGTGGGCTTTTCCTTCGGACAAAGTCTTGCTTGGATACGTTTACATTCTTACTCATCCAGGCACGCCTTGCATCGTAAGTATACAAAATATGTAGTTTCTCCAATATGCATGACGCGGTCTTTGATGATGTTGTGATGTTTTACTGTTGCAGTTTTATAGTCACTACATGGAATTGGGTTTCAAAGATAGTATCTCGAAGTTGGTGGCAATCAGGAACAGAAATGGCATTGGAAGCACAAGCAGTGTTATGATCAAAGCGGCCGAGTCGGATCTATACTTGGCTATGATTGATGAAAAGGTTATCATGAAGATTGGGCCAAAGAGGGATTTGGGAACTCTGGTTCCTTCTAATTTTGCTTTAGCTTATTCAGGTCTTGACTGTGCTGTCTGGGAGAAGCAGTGACACAATCAATTACTCCATGTCTCTATTAAAAAAAAAAAAAATGTAATCGAATGTGTGTATCTTCTACTTTTGTTACTACATCATATATGTACATCATGGTGGTATCTAAATATTTACAGTGAAATTAAATGATAGATCTAATAAATGTACTACCGCTCGAATCAATCTGAGTTTTGCGTGTGTGGGGAATGCCGTTTGTATTACAGGCAATATATTAAGAAAATAGTTTGATAATATTATTACATTTCAAAAGGGTTTGATCTTTTATCTGGAACTATAAAATATCGATTTACTGAATCTTATTATCACGTTTTAAAGATGAGAAATTCGAAATTTATGTAAACAGTTAAATAGATGATGAAGGCCAGTGTTCTAGAAAATGATGAATTTTATGACAAATAAAATAACACCAATTTCTTAATAATGTTGTTATAAGACCAAAAAGTTAAGAGAAAAATCTTTTAGCCTAAACTAGTAAAAAAGATTTGGACCCAACGACGTACGGAATTAATAATGGTTCTAACAATAATAATACCGCCAAAGCTGAAATGTAAACGGATTCTACAAGAAAAAATTATGGAGGGAACAGTTAAAGATGGGTAAAATTCCAATTTTGATTAAACCGACACCGTTTTCACCACGACGTCGGCTTGATGAGAAGTAGAAGTGACGACGAAAAAGAAAGGCGAAAGAAAAAAAGAAAAGAAAAAAAGTGAAAACCGTCGGCTTGAGAAGTTCCCAAAGGAAACTTTGGATATTTGGTGGACTCTTCAGCTTTCGTCAATAGCTTTTCTTCCTTCCTTCCTCCGCTTTTTCCCCTTACCTCATCAAAGATCCCCAAGGCGAAATCGAGAGCTACTATTCTGTAATCTGTATTGATTTCTCCTGATTCTCGTTTTTTTTTATTCCTTTTTTTGGTTCTATCCCGTTCGAAGCAAGCTCTGATTCTGGTTTTGTCTACTTTGTTTTGCAGATTGGAGCTATCTCAGATCTGAAGTAGCTGTGTTTAAGGCTGGTTTTGAGAAGCGGGATTGGTGATCGGAGCTGGATTTTGGTGGTAACGGAGGTCTGAGATAAGTCAACGGATATGCCGGAGGAGGAGTCGATAGATATCAAATTCAGGCTCTACGATGGCTCCGATATCGGGCCCTTTCGGTATTCATCGGCATCGACTGTGGATTTTTTGAAGCAGAGGGTCGTCTCTGATTGGCCCAAAGGTTCGTTAGGGTTGTCAAGTTTTGCTATTTCGTGATCGGTACCCTCTTTCCCCACCGATATCTTCCTTGCCCTTCATCACAATTGTCTTCACTACGAATTTCGATTTGCCTGTCAATAGAAAGTTGCGCGATTTAGAGCTGTAGATGATTATATTAGTCTTTGGTGATTGAGGGGGAAAAAACGAAGTTGTGTATGCATTAAGGGTAATCCAGAGTATTGCAGCTTGTTATGAATTCTACTTTTTGTGCGTTACTTCAGGCAAAACGGTAGTACCAAAGGGGATAAACGAAGTGAAGCTGATCAGCTCGGGGAAGATCTTGGAGAACAGCAAGACTGTTGGCCAGTGTAAGACACCATTTGGAGAGATTGCAGGTGGAGTCATTGTGATGCATGTTGTTGTACAGCCATCTCTAGCAAAAACCAAAACAGGTTATAGTTTTTTATTTGCTCTCTCTTCTCCTCTCTTGCTTATCAGAAAATCTACTTTTCATGGAGCTATATATGTTTCCTTAGACCTTCCCACATATTAAGTTTTTTTTAATATTTCCATCAGTCTTGTGTGATTTATCTTGTCACATGTATGTCTGATTATTAGATTCGTTTTCTGGCTCTAATTTACTTTTTTCATAAAATCGTCTGCCTCTAGTCATACATAGGCTGATAGGAAGTGTTCACATCAGCAAGTTAATCAGTGACTAGGATCAGTATAAATGGTAGATGCATCAGGTGTATAGCGGTCTTTGTTGTTTGGCTTGGGAATGTAGGGGATGCTCTAGAGTTCATCCCTAAGTTTCTGGTTTGTTATTTTTGTTCGATACAGCAGTGAAAAATAAAATCAAAATCAGCTCTTTACTTAACAAAGGCGTGCCATGAGAGAAAAGACTAGCCTGTTTTCATTGTTGGTCGTAATGAATAGCAACTAGGATGACGTTTGTTAATTCAAAGCTTCTAGAGAATGACTCTGTTTGCCAAACCATAAACATTTTTCCCTGATATTACACAAACTTGATGATCAAATGATTGAAACTGAGTCTGTGATTTCTAAGACGATGTTGAGGAACTGTAACTAACTGTTGAAATACCATGTTTGATTGAACAGAGAAGAAGGTCGATAAAGCACCCAAGGCGGTTATATGCACATGCACCATTTTGTGAAGGGAGCAAGACGTGTATCATACAGGCCATCTCAATTCTTCAGGTACAGAAGAAAACAAAAGGAAAAAGAAAGGTAAAGTAAAGTAAGGCTTCCCTGTAAGCTGTGGAGTATCATAACCTCGAAATGCAAGCTTTGAATGTGTAGAAAATGGATTAGATTCTTTTCAAAGTACCCATCATCTGTTGTCCCTTATTTGTTTTTTGTTCACACTTTCTGGTATTGTAATAAACGGAAGTTGTATAGATTACTATTAGCTCTAAAGGATTATGTGTGATGAAGATAATTAATGTACTTATCAAAGAAAAAGGTTGTGCCTTTCTTTATTTACCATTCGTTCCTCCTCCACACCATTATAAACTACAAATTCCATTTTTAGGACAATCGGCGATGAAAAAAGTAACATTGAGGCAGAATTAATGATTTTTAAAGAAAAAAATAATAAACTCAAAACGAAATATAAGATGTGGGTCGAAGACTCGAAAAGCACGTTATTTTAACATCAGTCCGTGCGAAAATCACGTTTCCCCTTATTTACTTTTTTACCACTATTGTCCTTTACCTATCTTATAAACCCAAAAAAAATACATAAGGTCGAAGAAGAAGATGGAGGCTAGGTAAACGCAGCCCAAGTGCAATGGAGAAAGATAGGGAAAAAAACTACTTAGGACAAAACTACTAATATTTCGCAACACTCTCAAGAGCACATATTTGCATATGTTTAGTGAAAACTACCTAAACCCCTAATTTACTACAGTAAACTAACGAACCAGCAAATTATTTATAAAAACTGCATATTTTGGTAACAATTCCTATAAAAATGGCCACATGGTCAAGCAGCCCAATTTCCTTCCATCGCTATATCTTCCTCTCTTTCTTATAGTGAATGACAAAAATAACGTAAAAGATCTATCTTTGTGAATGACAAAAATAATCCCTTAAAATGACTAGACAGGGGCGGATCTGTTTATTAGAAGTTGTGCCCCATACCAATTTTATAAAATATTTAATTATATCATTCATTTGGTAAACTAAATTAGTATACAATCTGATTAATTTTGTTATTGGTTCATATATTCACGATTTGACCAAAATTTTCTTTCATTTTTTTTTCTTTTTTAAACTTTACAATCTGAATTATTTTCTTTCTTATTTATATTTTTACTTTTTTATCTTATTTTGATTTCAATTCTTACATAAATGTCAATTTTAAATTTTAAATTTATTATTTTGTATTTAACAAATTAAAAATATTTTTTGTATGCATAAATAATAAACAATAGTATTTTACTTGGTTTGTGTAAATAATAAATATTTTTTTAAGTTCCTTATATTGTTGAATCGTTTTGGTGCAGATGGAAGTTAAAAATTAATAATTTTTGATTATAGTGGTATAATTTTACTTTGTTTGTACTTTTTCGTATATTCTACTCATATTTTTCTTAAGTTTTGCTTATTTTTTACATATTTTTCCTCAATATGGTTAGTTTTTAATATGCATGCATGTGATAGCATTGGATTATTTATTGGTTATAAAACTCAAATATATACACATTGTAACCTTATAAATAGTATATCACACATCGAAATGCAAGCTTTGAATGTGTAGAAAATGGATGAGATCCTTTAGTCGTAAGATACCATTTGAAAAAACTTTGTAGAAGCTATGGAGAATTTCCTCCCTATTTTAGCTGCATTGTCTCTTCAAATTGGATTATCGATAATGTCTATATTTGCGAAATTTGCCATTGACTATGGGCTGAGTCATAGGTCTTCGTTACTGAGAGACTCACAATTGCGGTTATCATTCTATAACACCGCTTGCTCTCATATTTGAGAGGTAATACATTCAAATTTATTTGCATCCCTTATTGTTTTTCTGTTTTCTGGGTTATCTTAATAGTTTAAATACTATAGGAACACAATTCCTGCGATGAATGTCAAGATCTTTGCTCAGATCGTTATAATGAGCATTTTTGAGTAAGTAACTTATCTTTAGTTACAAATCATCTCTCATGATTATATTTTTTTAATCAAATATATATGCTTACAGGGATGCATCTCACCACACCAACTTTCACTTTTTGAGATGTTTAACCTACTCCCAAGCTCCCAGCCATTATATTTGCGATGACATGTCTATTCAGGTGACTTTAATTTGGAACTAGGGATGTTTCCACCCTACACAAAAAATATTTTTATAATTATTTAATTACTATTTTAATTAATTATTTTAATTTAAAATATAATATTTAATTTTTAATATTGTTTTGATGTGGTTATACATCAAAAATATTTTAATGTATTCAAAAAATATATTATAATTTAATTCAATACAAGTAAAAATTAATTATTACTCTAAAACTTAATATATGTATATAAACTCATTGTTGTTTAACAACTTTTAAAATATTATAAAAATTATTTTTGTTTTAATTAAATGCGATATATAATTGAACTCAACAACTATAAGTTTTTTTATTATTTAATTTAAAAACAATTTTTTGTTTTAGATAAAATGAAAATAACTTATCAAATATATTAGTGCAACTAAAGCACCTGATTATTGTATTTGTATGTGTTTTTATTTCATTAGCAGTCTCAAATACAAAACAACAATCAATATTCCAAACTCTAACAAATCCGTAAAAAAATTATAGTTCATATAAATAAAAACAACATTCACATTGTATACAAACTCACTATCATATTGATAAATTTTAATTTTGATTTGGTCTCTGAAGCATCTGTAAACTATAAAAGTGTAGATGAATAAATCATGTAAAATATATACAAACACAATTTCATACTAACTCATTATTTTAAACAAAGTATGTTGAGTTTCTAAAAACTCAAAAGATTTAAAAGTTCATTTGCATTTGGCTTGTAATTAACTTAGATATTTTTTTACACTACACATATATTTTGATGAGCCTTTATAATTAAATTAATAATATATATTATATTATTTTAAAAGAGTTTTTTAACCTCCAAAAAATCATATTAGTTATCCTTACATGTTGGTTAGTAAGGAATTTATTTTTTGTTGATGTAGATGGTCACATATGTTTTTCTGACATTTTCTTTTACATAAAAATTTGTAGGTTATATTTTAAATATAGAAATCTAATATATTAATGTTTAAAATAGAGTTATGCTAGTCTATTTTTCTGTAAATGTATTGTATATATTTTTGTGATAAGTAATATATTCATAAAGTCTTATAAATTTATCTTTGTAGAGACAATAAACAATTTTATATCTACGTATGTAAAATACAGCTGTGTTAATTTCAAAATTTTATTTAATTATTTGTTATGTGTATAATCTTTATGTTTCTAAAAAATGAATGTTTCTAAATTGTGAATGTATAAATTTTTTTTTTAGAAATTACTATTTTGTAATCTTCTATCTACTAACTATTATTTAAGTTTTTTGGAATAATTTCTTTTCCAAAATACTCATTATATTAGAAAAAAAGAGTATATACTAATGCTATACATTTATAGATAATAATATTTATTTTATTGATTCCAAAATAATATTTTAATTTATTTAATCTTTGTTAATAACTATATTAGTTGTAGTGGTTTTATTTATTTATTTTATGTGTATTTTAAAAAAAAATGAAAATAGATTTTTATTTTTTAATGTTTTTTTGTTGATATGACAACAAAAGAGAATAATTTTTAAAATCTGATATGAATGGCTTTAGGAACTCCAAACAATTGCTTTTGTTTAATATAAATTTAGATGAAACATTGGGAATACTTTATCTAAGTTAAGTTTTATATTGCAAGATAATTAGTGCTAAGATATGATATTCTCCTAGATTACTGGTTTAAATATATCAAGAGTCGCTTTGACGGATCAGTAGACGTAAAAATTATAGTATACAGTATGTAAAAGATTAAGATTGGCATCAAATCCAAGGTCCCCCAAACCAACTATCTTTCATAACCGAGAACTGGTTGACATCAAGCTCATTCTTAACCCAACCGGTCTGCACGAAACCTCCCTCAACCTTCGATTCAATCTTAAACTACCTGTGATTTTCATCACTTGGCCAGGTTCAATTTCAGAGCTTGCTTTCGGAACTTTTTTCTTTAGCGGGCTTAGGAGTTGTTTTTTTTAATGGTGTATCATAAATCATAAGGATCCTCAAATAAAGGAGTTTGATATATATTTTTTATAACTTTTGACTGTTACTCAAAAAAATTTCACATCCCAAAATAACAAAAAGGAAAAGAAGGATGATGGGATGGTATGAATATGATTAGTATCATATTTTTTCGCTGTTTCTACTTTCTTATCCTATAAAAGCCAAAAGAAAACCCTTTTAAGAACAGGTAACGAAGGAGACAGAGAGAGGGTAAGGGAAAGTGTTGGCGTAGCGGAAAGAGAGTGTTGAGCCATAAGGCAAAGGCTTGCCGTTGTTGACGAGACAGTCGTCGTAGTGAATACGCTTGAAGAGTCTTGGGTTTATCAACTTAGCCGAGCTGAACCATCCGCAGCTCACGTGGATCCTCGATATATTGCATCCAGACATACACTGGTTCGTTATCTCTACCGAGTAACCCGGTATTCCGTTCGGCATCGGTTCGGTTGCTGCCTGGTTCACCACTATGTCGGACTTCTTGCACTTGTCTCCGATCCGATCCGGCTCTGCCCTCGTTTCTGCCTTTTTTCCTATTTCAAGAGAAAAACAGAGGAAATTTGAGTCTCATTTGTTCCATAAACAGACGATAATTTTTTTAAAAAAAATATTGAAATCGTTCTATGTTAGAAATGATATAAGACTCCGTTCGAAATTCAAACTCCATTTACCAGTTCTTTTACTGAAAAAAACAAAAATAAAATTGAGAAAGATTGTTAATTGACGACAGCTAGATGAAGTAGGAAGCTGTTTTGGCCACTGTTTAACCCATTGCTCTACCGATGTATTGCCATCTCCGGTCAACAAAGATATAGAGTCATCATCAATCAAAACATATTCAAAATTTAATTATTCTTCCTTTTTTTTAACAAATCCAAACAAGTAAAGAAGAAAGAGATTTGAAAGTAAAGGAATAAATCGGATATTTGAAAAAAAATATCTTTTAAGATAATGTTTTTGTTTTTATTCAAGACAAGTCATGAGGCTATTGAAATTCTTAAGGGGTCCACCAAAAGTATAACGAACAAAAAAAACAAAAGGGAGCAAGAAAACACAGACGTGCAAAAGACTGACGACGCTGTTAAAACTACAAAAAAAAGGACGACGAACGCATCAGGAAAGTGTGATTGCAGCGAGCTTCTGAGCCCAAAAACAAAAACAAATTCCCCAATTTACGAGGACTTAAACGCAATTGGGAAACCAACACGATTAGGAAAAATCAACACGAAAGGACCAATCACTGATTTGGTATTCCAAAAATCAAATCCCCTTACCCGGAGAGAGAAGAAGCAATTTCCGATGCCCAGAGGTCGATAATAACGACGTCGTATTTGTCGAATCTAGATCGTCTCTAAGCTCCACCACGCCTGATTCAGCCACGAGATTTCAGATTTCTACTATTAATACCCAGCCAGAAAAAAGAGTGTTAAGAAACGAGTGAATCTACGGATGATTTAGGAATCTATACCACCGGATGCCGCGACGGAGACGAGAGCCATTCCGTGAAGCAAGTATGAGAGTAATATCACTGATAACAGAAGTCGCCGTCGGCTCATGTGCACAGACGTCGGAGAAAGTAGATTTGATGATGAAGCTGATACCGGTCGGCGTTCGATGTGACTAATACCGGAAAATCTGCAAAATATCAGAGGAAAGAGGTCTAAGAACTTTTTCAGTATCTATCTATCACACGACTTGTATTGTTTATCCATCATATCAATGAACAGTTCTATAAAGGAAAATCGAGGTTTACGCGGCTATGATTTGAAACGTGAGAATCTATTGCAGAAATTTGAAAATCCTTTGACCAAAATCAAAACAAAAAAAATCTGCTGCGGAGTGTATAGAGATGAGAGAAAAAAGCTTAAACCTAAAAAAAAATGGGGAAAGCGATGGGGAGATGAATAATCGAACCAGCAGAAGAAGAATCAAAAATAAATCAAGGAGACTAAGCGATTCGGCGACAGATAAATCACATCATGAGCGAGTAGAATGGAAAGAATAAAGGTAAAAAGTGAGAAAACTCGATCGACTTTCTCGGAAAAAAAATCTGACGGAAAATAAATAGAAAGCTGGATCGTAGTGCAGCGTTAAGCAAATAAAAGATAAACAAAGCAGAGAGAAACAAATTCAGGGAAGGAAAACAACCAAATTTCGTGTAATACACATCTATACAGAGATCGTGTACTCTATACGTATACGTCCGTACAGATTACAGAGAGTTATTCACCTTTTCTCTTTCGTCGACTTTCTCCTGCTTGTGGTGTCGCTGAGGTAGAAGACGAAGGGAGGAAGAGAGAGAGAAAAAGGATGTAAGACATTTACACACCACAGTCGTATTTATAGTCCCAAATTCTGGAATAACTTTTGATTACCTTAGTAAAATAGTCAATAAGTATATGTTAAAAAATCTATTATATTAATGTTTCTTTTGATTACCTTAGTAAAATAGTCAATATATGTTTAAAAATCTATTATATCAATATTTCTTTTCTATATTTGATAAATTGATAAGAGTTAGACATAGAAACATAGTTAAGTTATAAGGTATTGTAGATATCTTGAAAAGTAAAATGTGTATTTTACGGACCAAATATTGTAATCTTTTAAAAGTCGTTTATGGAATGAAGTTGTTTATGGAGTGAAACCTTTGAAAATTAACCAAAAAATATTTTCATATATTATCTATTGTGATAAGGATTTGGAAGGTTTACATTATTTAGTATTATCAATATATTAATATTAATCACTGTATATATGTATCTTATTGTTTTCTATAATTAACATAATCATTTAATAATATATTTAGATTCTATAATACAGACATAAGGTATATAACCTTATATAAATTTATTGAAATAATCTTTATTTGACACATTATTCATATATAGAGATGATGAAATTGAGGTAATATTTATTTGACACGTTAACGTCTGTATTCTTTTCATTATTTTGACACTTTTTTGGGTTATGTATGGTTTAGAATGTAAAAAGGTAGAGGATACATGATAATGTATTTTTAATTTTGCAATTATGTGTTTTATTTATAATTATTATGTTATTCCGTGAATCAAATATATGGACCACCACATGATGTGGTAGCAATTCTTGGACAATTTGATTGAAATAATAAAAAAAAACCGTTATAAACTTTAGGAATGGTTATGGTGAGAATCCCGCTCGCGTCCAAACCAAAAATGGATCGGTACGTGTGTATAAAGCAGTTGGGTAAAATCAGAATATAAGGGCAAAAATGTAAATGACAAAATCTAAACTTTTGGATCGATCCCGTGGCGGGTGTGAAGGGAAAATGATTGGCTAATATTATTATCAGTTTAAGAAGATTGGGTAATTATTATTTTGTGTAATTCTAAATTGTCACATCCTCACGTGGGAGTATCAGAAGCACACGAGTCTCTTTTACACGCGCCTTCAAGAGCATTTATGATGGCGACGATGATGTTTTTGTACCCATATTATATTCTCCTCTATATCCTTTGCTCCTTCAAGTCCTATTTTAATCTCGATTTCTAAAAAGACAAAATATATATTCGGGAAAAGATTGTTAGAAGATACGTCCACTTATGAAAAAAAGTGTTATTAATTTGTTTCAAATAAGTGAGTGAATATATAAAAGAAAAACTACTTTCCATGGAATTTCTCTCTTTCTTTTAAATACCACCTATAAATCTTACAATCAAACATCGTTGATAAACTGGGAATGAGATGTAGAGAATCAAGAAGATATCATAACGATATCATCAATAATTGTAAATATTATTAATTAGATATGTATATATCTAGTTTAGGAAATTAGATTTAATACTCATATCATTATGGTATTATATAAGTTGTACTATGTTCATCACTATTATGATTATGAGAGTTAATAATAACTTCTTCCTATTCTAAACTCTCATCACGTTATCATGGTATATGAGCATTAAACATAATTTCTTAAACTAGATATATACATATCTGATTAATAATATTTACAATTATTGATGATATCGTTATAATATCTTCTTGAATCTCTACATGAGATCGAGGCCAATATTTTAATGAACAATATACTTGTGCTGGAAAAAGTTATGAACAAAACCTCTGAAATAGAGGTTTTTACTTGTTTGGGACAAAACCTCTGATATAGATTTGTTCAGTAAACAATCAAAACTTTGGGAAAGAAAATGAAAATATAGACCAACTTAACTTTTGATCTTCGAGACAGGCAAAAGAAAACACTGAAATTTCGATTCTATAAACGTAAGTAAGGTTAAGCAAAAGCCATACCAACAGACAGAAGAAGTAATCCGAAAAGGTGAAAACATAAGAGAGTTTTATTTGACTGGCAAAGAGATGACAGAAGGTCGCAGAATGACAAGTTGACTCTTCTATTTTTTTTTTTTTTTAAAACATTTTCCTCGCAGAATAAAGATCTTTTTCAGTATAAAAAAAAAACATGAATAAAATTTTGCATGTATAAAAAAAGTATAACAAAAAAAGTGAGTTTTCAAAAGTTTTAAATAAGATTTAAGAATATATCCTGTAGTTTTTATATGACATATTTGTATGTATTGTCTGTCAATATGCGATAAATGCGCTACAAAGAAGGCATTTTTTTGGCATTTGACAGACAACACAATAATGTGTCATCGATACAACAGAGTTTTGCAGAGCTTTTGGTCTGCCTTCTCTTCATTTATTTGTTTTATTAATTTTTATTGGATGATTCCTACTTCTTTAGTTGACCTTAGTTAACGCACACACACTTCTTCCCTTTCCCCAAAAAAAAACAAAATTTTGAAGATTTGAAACCTCCTGACATCAAAAATCAAACAAACATCAATTATTATATAGTTAATGGTAAATAAATATAATCCAAAAACTTTCAAACGGTATTAGAACAATCAAAGGCCAACACACATTTAGAATTAATGTCACAAAAATTCCTAACAATTACACTAATCTACAACATCTATGCCAGAAGGTGGTCAGATCAGGTCGAAGTCAGACAAATCAAATAAGAGAAGCCTAATGAATCAGTTTCGTTAGTCCGGAAAAAATACCTCTTCATAATTTAGTCTCTATGTAATGTATGTGCAAGTTCAATGTTTAACGTCTCGAACTCGAACCATGAGATACCTCCAGCTTCTTAATCCTATCCATCAGCTCTTCGATTGTGTTGGTCGCCTCCTGCAATGAATGTTTGGTTTTATTTACGGTGAGCATATACAAATGATTACCAAACGAGTTAGTAGTGGAGAGAGAGAGAGAGAGAGAGAGGTTTGTTTAATGAATGAGGAACCTACCTCTAGCGTCTTTGTCATAACTTCTTCCTCCTCATCACGTCGGTCTCTTTCCTGTTCGAACATCTTAGTTAGACTCTCTTTCTCTATCCTCATGTTTTCTATTGTTTGCCTTGCTGCTTTAAGCTATATCAACCACAGAGGAATCCATCAGGCTTGCAAATAAACTATATATATAGAGAGAGAGAGAGTTAAAACGTCAAAAAGCAGGAGCCATACCTCAGCTTCAAGTGCCTTGCTCCTCTCTTTCTCACGTCGCAGCTCCGCTTGCAATGACTGAAAGTGCCAAGAAAAAAACGAGAGATGTGTAACAATGTAAAGGTTTTTAAAGATTTTTCCTCATTTTTTGTTGTTGTCGAGAGAATTTACCTGTTCACCATCTGATGCATCATGGTGTACACCATTGTCCCCATTATGATCCGGGTATGAGCTTGGAGTTTTGATGTCTGGTGCACTAGATCTCTCACGATCGTCTTCTGGTGATGAGTCCACAATCCGACAAAAAACATATTTAAATGATTGTTAAATCTCATTGAAACCTGAAAATGGACCAATAAAGAAGACAACTGTACCTCTGTTTATATAATGACTCACAAAAGTCCGTTTTCGTGGGTTATAGCCAATAATGTGACAGTTGTCTCTCCTGACCAAAACGGAATTGGAAACAAATATTAGCGCCTGAAACATCCAAAGGCAGGGTTAAAAAACCGTAACATGAGAGAAGAAGCAGACCAATATGACTTCTGAATCTGATTAAGCCGTAATCCTAGTCGAGAGAGAACATTCGTATTCTCAAAACCTTGCTTATCATGAGCAGGCTCAACAAAATTAGCTTCCAGAACACCTAGTAGCATAAGAAACTAGCATTGTTATCTTCACGTAAAGTAAGCAAATACAAATATTACACAACTTGTAGATATATATTAAAAAACAAAAACAATACCTATGACCCCACGACCACCACTGCCTGCTGCAGACCATACCCTCCAAAATGGCTGATGAGAAAGAAATACATGAGAAATTGAGAATACGAAAGTCCAATATTTGGAAAGTTTTGTCAACCAAAAAAGGACATATAATATAAGCACAAGGAAACCTGGATGAGTCGGTTTTTGTGGTAGACATTAAAGCCTTGAACATCAATATGATACTTTGCGTCCTTGACAAATCCGAGAGTTATAGTAGTCATCTGATGCAAAAAAAAAGAAACCAGTTTTAAACTATAACTAGACAAGATCGTGGCTTGCAATTATAACAAGACTGGTAGAGTTAAGTTGTTAATAATACATACATTTGGATCCTCATAATTTGTATTGGGACCATATTGGGGTCGATATGTGACCTGGAAAGTGTGCATCATGTCATTCACTACGTTGTGGTGTTCCACATCTACTCCTCGCAGTAAGATACGAAACCGAGGTGGAATTCTTAGGTAGAGGATTGATACATAACTCTGGAAACACACCAAAAATATGTGAGATATGAATACAAGTAGATGCAGCCAATTTTTTTTAAAAAAAGATTTATGCTTTTGATTTCCCCCACACCATTACATCAAATGTAGGAAACTCTCAAACACGTTTATAGTTGTAACTAGCATGAGATTGACTAGTGATACTCAAATGGCAATGAAATGTTTGTACCCTTAGTGAGTGTCTGTAGGTTAGGTAGTGCTTTGCATTAGGATACAGAGAAGCCATAGTGATGTTTTTCTCATCCCGATTAACGCCTCTAAGTTGGATATCCTGCGGATAAAACAAAATATGTAATAAAGAAGGGCTTCTGCATCATCTCAGACAATAATCCACAATGCAATGAGTAATTAAAACACACATACTTGAGGATCAGCATCAAAATCAAGTTCTAACGACCCTTTGTCATCTTCCCACAGGTTATATATGATTATCCGAGTGCCATGGTCTTTCATTTGGTCGAACTACAACAAATGAGAAGAACCACATTAGTGTAAACATATGCTCAGAGACAGTAAAAGGGGTAGAAACAAATTGACTCTTCTTCTTGGTCTCCCATGGAGAAATGAATAAGTAACTGAGAAACTGCAGTAAACAATGGCGAATATATATGTATATATATACCTGACTAAGAAGATCTTCTTCACTAAAGAATGGCGACCATTGAAGCAATGTTCTCATATTCGTATCCCAGTCACTAAGTGAAGACCGGATTATTTTCCTCCATTCAGGGCCTCTTTTTTCGTAGTCAATCTGGTCATTTAAACACATCACAGGAGAGAATACAGTGATATAATGAATACAATATTCATCTACAAATTTTTAAATAGATAGTTGTGGACATGAAACATCTTCCATGGCAGCAGATATATGTGGACAGCTAAGAAACAAAGCTAAATTCAACAATGATGAAACATTAACACAATGATACACACAAGCTAAGAATCTAAGATACCAAGAGAGAAGGGAACAATCATGACTTACAAAGATTTATCTATATTTGTAACTGCTATACCACAGATCAAAGTTGCAATTAATATATTCTACACCAAAAATGGTAATACCCCCCTAAGTTTAACCTAGAAATCAGGTTTACAGACTTCATAATGGAGCAGTTACAGCAATCATATGTGTTTCGGAGTTTCATGTGTAAATATCTGTATAAGGAATCAGTAAAAGTACGAACCGTGATATCAAAATCAAAAGTGATGTACTAAGAACTTGCTAGCTTTCGTAACCTAACCAATGGTTGTCAATGAATCACATGCTAACAATGCCAAACAAAATCAAACGAAGAGAGATTACCATAGGTACAACAAAGTCCGCAATTCCTGTGCTCCTCAGAAATGTATATGATATGAGCCCGATGCTCTGCGTTGAGCTGAAACCAACATCAAGTATAAAATTAATAAACTATAACAGGTAACTACAACTACTAAAGCTGTTGCTGTTGTTGTTGTTCATAGTCTTTTCAGTAGTGATCCAACCAAAACAGTTAAAGACAAACCAACCTCGTTCCATTTTTTCCAGCGCAGCGAGAGAATACAATGACATCAGCTCCAAGTCTCATTGTACTAGTCTTAAAACCATTGCCATCTATTCAAGAGCAGTAAATGAATTTAAACGTCTTCCTCCAAACATATAATAAACATCACTGCGGTTGGGAATTAAAAAAAAAAAAACAAAATTTACATTGTCCAATGGTGTTTGCTGTCTGGCTTTTGGAAGAGAATCCAAGAGATACGCATTCTCGCATTTTTGTAGGATCCATCCCGCCTCCGTTATCTGCATTTCAAACATTACAGATGCTCGTACATTACTGAGGATCAAGCAGTAAGACAAAAAGTGCAGCACTTTAGGAAAACAGCAAACATAATAGCTGAGATACGTTAGATAAAAATGTATTACCCTCAATTAATAACATCTTCCTATCTTTTTTCCTGTTTTCGAGCACGTCTACATTAACATAAGTAGCTCCAGTAGATACCTGATATCAGTGAGAGACTGTTACTATAACGCAGAAACTAAATGCGCTTCAGTCTGTGTAAATATCATTAGCATATAACAAGTTAAGAACTTTAAACCCACCTCATCCAAAGCATTATCAAAAAGCTCTGCAAAGGCTGCGCAAGAGAATATATATTAAAAAAAAACACACAATTTTGTTCATCAGGCAAGCTCATTGTAAATATAGCTCGAATCAAACGTTGATCATTAAAAAATGAAATAAAAATATACCTCCAAGAGCCCATTTGTGACTGGTGGCATTAGAATGTAAGAACATGGGATGGATTCTTGCACGTTCGAGGGCACCTGAGACACAAATTACATAGTGAAATATAAATGTCAATCCCATGTCACACAATTGAGTAAGAAAACATGTTTTGACATTAATGTTAAACAACAAATTAGGAACAATAAATCAAACATTAATGGTTTGGGTTATATACCTAAAGGTAGATCCCCATTACATCTAGGTGCTTCAAAATCCGTAGATGTCCAAAACTGCTTGAGATTCCCACCTCTGGAGGACGACGCGCCCGATGAATGCGGCTGCGGAGTAGGAGTAGGAGTCGGAGTCGGAGTCGGAGTCGGAGTCGGAGTCGGAGTCGGAGTCGGAGTCGGAGTCGGAGTCGGAGTCGGAGTCGGAGTCGGAGTCGGAGTCGGAGTCGGAGTCGGAGTCGGAGTCGGAGTCTGAGTCTGAGTCGGAGTCGGCGTTGGCATGACGGCATTGCACGGAACCGCATCCGTCACAGCTTCCGGAGTATCCTCATCGGGGAACACAAATTCTTTGGGGAACACGAATCCTTCAGGGATCAGATCTTCAAAAGCATCTCGTGCTCTCTTGGCACCGGCGGTGTTTCCAGAATTATGCCTTGGTTCGGAGCTTCCGACGACCACCAAGTCCTCGTCATCATCACTGCTACAGAGATCGACGACAGGTATAGGTTCATCTCGGGGAGTTACTGGTAAGATCTTCTCTTGCTTCACATTCACAATCACATGGTTATCCATATGGACAGGAAGACGAGAGAGTTTGAGTAAGAGGATGAAAGAAATGTTTTTTTAGGAATCAGAAAAGAAAAAACCAAAAGTAAAACAATGTGAAGAGAGAAGACGAGAATCTATGAGAAATCTTCTCTGCTGCTCGTTCCGGCGGCGGGCAACGAGGAGTGATTGCGTATAACGCGACAAGCGGAGACACACTGTACTTATAAAGCGGCGGACATTTCTAAATGATAAAACAAAAACAAAAAAAAAGGGTTTTACTTTATATATTCCACGTGTTTCACTTTTATTTGTGTTGTTTTTTTGTCGGCTAGTTGTATTTTCATTAATATAATGAACTTTATTGACCGAATTCATTATGCGTAAATAACACTGTCCAAATAGATGTTTGACTACATTATCTTTGACTAAATTATCTCCTGAGACCATTATCTCTTCTTTACGACGAGTTGACAACATCTACACCTCTCTAATTGTATTTCCATAACATAGTAAGACTGAGACCAATGAGACGGACACTTACACTAACACCAACGTATATAATGCAATAACACTAATACAAAATAATACTACAACTTTTGCATTACAGCTGAAGTTATGGAAATAGATAATGATTTACAACAATAAAGATAGTCGATACTGATCAATAAACTTTATTCAAGAACATTGATAAGTGATGGCAATTCAATGAATTCATTAATAATGCAAAAGGTGATTGTTTCTCGACGATATACTAATTTCTACTCGATGCCTATATGACACATTCATGATGCGTTTTTACCGTCATCATCTAATAACACGTAAACCAAAAGGCATAAAACTAGGGTTGACAATTATATTGAATAAGATTACGAATTTAGTGACCACTCTTTAGAAAAGAAAGAAATCTAAATGTTATATAGAAAAAATATATATATGAGAATAGTAAACTTCAATTGAATTACATAAAGTATATTGCAACCACAAAAAAACATATAACGAAAGAAATATAAACCCTAAACAAAAAAATAACGAATATGGTATATAATAAAATCTTAATTGAATAATGTAAAATGCAGTAACCACTAAAAAAAAATATAACAATAAAAATCATAAACGAAAAATCCACAATGCTCCAATATTTCTTAGCAAATCTGCAATGCTCAGTTAATCCACTATTTTTGCGGAAAAATCTATTTCATATTAGCTAGAAAATTCATCAACTCTATTCCCCTTTTACAAACCAATTTGTTTTGGAAAAATTCCATCTGATATAGCTGTAAAAGTTTATTTTGGAATAGAATTGATAAGAGAGAGGGGATTACTCCTCCCTATGCTGGAATGTATGGGATTGATGAATGGATAACTTCTCGGAGTAAACTGGAATAGCAGCTACCTACACAACATGTTAGCACACAGCTTAATTTCCTAGTTTTAAGGAAAGTCGTAGATAAACATGCCAGCACACAGCTTGATTTCATGGTTCATAGCCCATGACTGAGGCTTTTTCGCATACAATTTGATCCTTCAACATTATTGCGCACATTCGACGAAGAAATAGAAGGTCAAGGTAGATTCATTCTTCACAGTTCTCAACAAGTAATTTCGTAAATCCCCCAAGTCGAAATAAGCGATCCATGCAAATATGTTACATATGATAAAAGGGTAAATACTTGGATTAAAACAATTAAATAAAAATTAGATTCCTTCAAAACAATGAAACTCGCAGGATAGTCTAGTTCATCCTCTGGGCAGCTTCCTTGGCAAGAACCCTCTCCTTAGCCTTAGTCTTGGCCTGAGATTTGGATCCCATAATCCCACCTCCCCACTTCTTCCGGTACTCGTCATACTTGTCGTTAAAGTTTGCCTGTAAGAAACAGTTGAAACCCATTTGAGTTCATTTTACAGAATCTACACATATGGAAATGGAGCAACTGAAACTTAAACAAGCAAAACTCACCTTGATGGCCTCGAGGATTTTGCTGAACTCCATCTTGTCCTCGTTCTTCACTGTTGTCAAACACAAGCAAGCTGCTGTTTTCTGGTGGACAATCTGCAACCACTCATCCACAAATCAGATTACAGATCAACTACATGTCTTCTTAACTTAAAACAATGAGTGGAACAAGCATATGATTACCGCTCCCAGTCGTGATTTCCCCTTGACAATGCAGTAAGGAACTTCCATCTTCCTGCACAGTGCGGGTAACCAGACGACCAACTCAATCGGGTCCACGTCATGAGCAATCACCACCAGTTGCACCTTGTTCTGCAATCATAAAAAGCAGATAGATTTCAGCAAAATTTCCCTTGTGGAAAGCTTATCAATTCCTTAAAAAGGTGACAGTTGAATTGGTTCTGAAGGGAAGAAACCACCTGCTCAATGAGGTAAGTCACATGGTTAAGACCATACTTCACGACAATAGGCTTCTTTGACTCAACAGGTTTCCCCTCAGCCTCACCCTGAGCCTTCTTGAGAAGACGCTCCTTCTTGGCTGCTTTGTCCTCAGGCCTATACTTTAGGAGAATCCTGAACAGAGAATTCGCTGCAGTTATACAAAACATTAAGTTAAAGTAGCTAGAGGCGTAATCATAACATAAAGTAGAAAATGTTTACAACTAAGAACCGATACAGAGACAATCAAACAATATCTTTAGGAGCAGAGCAGAACACAATCACATACCGGCTTCTTCTTGGTAGCCACTTTGACTCCTTTCTTTGGGGCCTGAAATCAATTAAAACTGTAGCTTTTAGCACTAAAAAAGTCCATCGAGCAACGAAGAAGTATAGGAAATAAAGCAGTGACTACAAGTGCCTATTGATTGATGATCAAAGTTACAAGCTTTTGTAGTAAACATGAATTTTATTTTAATTCATATGTACAGTTGCAAATTAATAGACTGAAGAACGTACTAATCGACTCCTCTTATGAAGAACTAAGTTAGCTACAACGGAACACATAAGGTCAGATTAACCAACGACGGGTGCAAAAACAAAAGCAGAAGCACAAAGATTCCATCAACGCAGATTGCTCGAATAAATTCACCAAAAGAGAGCTAAAGAGATTTGATAATGAATCATTTTTTTACTGCTGAAATCGACACTACACTAAACAAACTAAGAAGAAGAAAATATAGAAAAAAACTGGATTGACGAATGAGCTAAATGATCAACTGATCGAATTAGGAGCAAGGAGAATTACCATTTTCAACTTTTCCACAGCACTGTTATCCCAAGAGACAAGAACAAAGGAGAAGAAGAAATTTTAGGTTTTTTCTTTGTTACGTGAGTTGTGTAGATCCAAATTATAAGCCCAACCATTTTGATTATAAACAAAAAGCCTCTTTTGCCGATAGCTTTGATATACAAAACAATATTAAATGAACTTGTGTTTATCGATTCTGGCCATGAATGTAGTTTTCTCGAATTATATTGTTGTACAGGTAGAATGACGACTATTTGTTAGTGGTCGACGTTGAAGACATAATGATTCACATCCACATCTATACGGTTGAAGTAAAACGATAACACTAAATCCAGATATTAGTTATATTTTGTTTTACAGGTTGCTAAATCATATTTTACTTGTCGCTGCTCTGAAACAGCAAAACAAAACAATATTGCATTTGCATCTTAGCCGAAACAAACAACCCCTCTGATTCCGTACTCTTATTTGGATATGATGAAAATTGTCGGCTGAATTGGTACCGGGATATATATAATTGCGTCGAATCCGGAATCGCACAAACAATAATGAAATGAAAATCCAAAAAAAAAGAGCAAACGTGTATTAAAAAAGATTAACATGTAGGAAGACTAATTATTCTCATTAGATTAAAAAAGAGATGACAATAGCGTTAACAAACTTGTGTTCCCACAAATATAAATTACGCGATGAAGCTAAAGAAATACAACAACAAGAAGCCACTTTCTAATATAAAACGATTACACACCTCATGCAAGTCATTACTCATCATTCTTAAACCCATTTTTTTATAAATAAAACAAAAGCAAAAGTAAGATTAGACATAAACAAGACGGGGACCCACCACCAACTCCATTACTAGGCAAGTTTGTTCTGTCTACTCACTTTCCGTCAGTGAGAGTGAGCCTCGTGTCCCTCCTACATTTTAAAGTAAAAGTCAATTAATCTATCAATTCAAGTAATAACACACTTGTTAAACGCTAATCCTCGCTACGTCAGAGAATTACGTTTCCTAAGATTAAAAAAACTAAACGCATAATAAATCTTAAAAAGTCTCATTCTTTAACCGATCTTGAATTCAAGAACTATGGTTACTTTTTACGTTTTTTCTTTTTAATAAAGAAAATATTAAAAGTTTACCCGGTGGGGGAAAATGGATTGGAGGAGGTTAGGCTTGGTGTGCTTGGAGGAGTGGTGGCCGTGGGAGGAGGAGCCGAAGAGGCCGTGTTTCTTGAACTGTTCCCTGACCAAACGGTTGTAGATGAAAGCGGCTCCTTGGAACTGAGGAAGAACCAACCAAGCGATGAACACAAGTTTCACCGAATACCAAATCGGGATCCACTCCAGAAGCGACTGCAGAATCAGCTCCGCGAGTGTGATGAACGAGTATATGATCCAGTACGCTAGCCACTGTTCATCGTCTACTTTCGTCGAGCTCTCCATTGCTACCACCGATGCGTACCTATCATATAAGATAATCAAAATTCAGATTTTGTTTTTTTATTCTTTGAAACAAAGAAGAGAAACCGAACAAGGTGGAAAACTTACAATGGATACAGCAACATCACCAGGGGCCTGCATATACACACAAATCAAATACTTATTTTCTGTCTTAATAATAAGAAATCGAAATACAGAAAAAAAGGTAAAGTAATTTTAGAAAGAAATGTTAGGAGGAAATACCCAGCGCCTGAATGAAGAGCAGTGAGGAAAGTCCAGAATTTGCTCATTTTTTTTCTTTGGTTTAGGGGATGTGAAATATTCAGAAGCTAAAACCTGTGAGAGAATAAGAAAGAGACGGAGACAAGTCTGGGAAGTTTTCGAGGCTCTTTAATTTTTCACTGCAAGAACACGACAAAGAGATGCGAAAGGAAAGAACCTAATTTATAGAAAATATCTTGGGGAAAGGTACGGTTTGCTACAGTTGGTTCACACCCTTTTCATTGGCTCTTAGATAATGGGTACGGTTTGATTGGAAAAAATAAAAATAAAAATACCCTCCTATTTAATTTGAAAAGCGTCGTACCAGAACGCTGATGTCGGTCGATATACGACTACTCTGGTCTGGTCCATCGGTTCAGTTAGTGAACCCGATTAGATCTCTTTCGAGTCGGTTTAGTTCCATTATTCGGTTTTATCCCGAGATTCGAAGACACGTGGCGCGGAAATAGAGGAAGTATAAGATTCTAACTTGAGCGCGTCGACATGGCACCGACCTAAAAGGAGAAGAGGTCGGTGAGTGCTTACTTCATTGTCATATTTTTGATTTTTCTACCGAAATGCTTTCTTGTTTATCATTTTTTATCGTTCGGTGAATAATCAATTCCCCCTTAAAAACCAAAAACAAATTCTAAAATTTGTGAACAACTTTACCGATGAAAACTATGGGTAGAAGATTCTTTTCCCCGACAGTTAGGCTTCACAAGCTCAAAGAAATGCTTTGCTTTGGTTCTTTTGAGAATCAGATATGCATTTTCAATCTCAAGTAACTCTGTAAACAGTCAAAATATGCGATATTCAATCCCAAAAAAAGCTACAAATGATTTTATAAAAGAGATCCCAACAGCTAAAACAAAATACTTTCATTTTTTAAGTTTTAAAATTAGATTCCTCCAAAAAATGAAACCAGCTGTGGATAATCTAGTTCATCCTCTGAGCAGCCTCCTTGGCAAGAACCCTCTCCTTAGCCTTAGTCTTGGCCTGGGATTTGGATCCCATAATCCCACCTCCCCACTTCTTGCGGTACTCATCATACTTGTCGTTAAAGTTTGCCTGTAAGAAACAGTTGAAACCCATCTTGAGTTCATTTTACAGAATCTAAACAATGAAATAGCCATTTGAATCTTGCACAAGCATCTCACCTTGATGGCCTCGAGGATTTTGCTGAATTCCATCTTGTCCTCGTTCTTCACTGTTGTCAAACACAAGCATGCGGCTGTTTTCTGGTGGACAATCTGCAACCAGTCAAACAAATCAGGTTACAGATCTCAACTACATCTGTTCTTTTTGAGAGAAAATGAGTAGTAGAACAATCATATCATTACCGCTCCCAATCGTGATTTTCCCTTGACAATGCAGTAAGGAACTTCCATCTTCCTGCACAGTGCGGGCAACCAGACGACCAACTCAATCGGGTCCACATCATGAGCAATCACCACCAGTTGCGCCTTGTTCTGCAATCAAAAGAAAACAGACAGGTTTCAGCAAAGATTCCCCTGTGGATAGCTTATCAGTTCCTACTACTTCCTAGAGAGTGACAATCGAATTGGTTCTGAAAGGAAGAAACCACCTGCTCAATGAGGTATGTAACATGGTTAAGACCATACTTCACGACAATTGGCTTCTTTGACTCAACGGGTTTCCCCTCAGCCTCACCCTGAGCCTTCTTGAGAAGACGCTCCTTCTTGGCTGCCTTGTCCTCAGGCCTATACTTGAGGAGAATCTTGAACAGAGAAGTCGCTGCAGTCATACAAAACATTAAGTTAAAGTAGGTACAGGCGTAATCATAACAGATAACATCCACACTAGAGTAGTATGTAGAAACAGAGTAAAAATAGGCAAACAGATAAAAAAAGACCTAAGTTCTTGTCAAGTGTCTTAGTGAACTGGTTAAGTGCAGGTGGGACCTTCAACCTCTGCTTCAGAATACGCTTCTGTCTCTGCAGACGGATCGACTTTGGCCATTTGATGTATCTCGTGAGATCCTTTTTCGGAGGCAATGCTCCTCCGATCCCAAACTGCTTTGGGCGTCTCTCAAAGAGAGGGTTTGTTACTTTCTCCTGAAACCAAAGAAAATGTTTACAATACAACTAAGAACAGATACAGAGACAATCAAACAATATCTTTAGAAGTAGAACAGAAGACAATCACATACCGGCTTCTTCTTGGTAGCCACTTTGACTCCTTTCTTTGGGGCCTAAGGCAATTAAAGTATTAGACTTTTTGAGTAACTAAGCAATTTCAATGATCAACAACCACATGAGCAAGTTGAGTGAAACAGGAAGTCCAGACATGAAATAAACAAGTGATTTAAATTTGCAGGCTTTTGTAACAACACAAGAACTATGTTATATGTATTGCACATTGTATATAGATTGAAAAAGTACCATTCAATTCCTCTTATACAAAACTAGGTTAGCTACAATGCAACACAAAGAAGGCCAGATTCAATAACACATTCTAAGCAACCACAGGCGCAAAAATTCAAGATCAGTCTAACATAATTCACTGCTATCATGTTTAATATCAAAGAAGCAGAACAGAAGCCCAAAGAATCAATTACGCAGGATTTTCGAATAAATTCACCAAAATAGAGCTAAAAGCATCACTTTTTTTCTAAAACCAATGCTACAATATACAATCTAAGAAGAATATTGAAGAACGTGGCGAAATCGGATCAAGAGACATACCATTTCAGCTTTTCCGCAGCTACTGTTATCCCAAGAGAGAAGAAACTGAAATCCTAGAGACGAAACGATAGTGATGACAACCGAATATTTAGGGTTTTTCTGTAACGTGAGCTCTATAGATGGGCCTTCTTCCGTTGGGCTAAATCATAAACCCAACCATCAAAATAAATTTTTTTTTTTCGATGTTCAAAAAATGAGAATTTTCATCACCAATAAAATGATGATTTATCCTTTTTTCAACCAAGAAAAAATCAGAAAAAAATTAGGAGACTAGACCGCTATCCTAATTTTCAAATTATTATCTCACGAATATACCAAATTATTTGTTCTTAAGATAGTCAAATTCTCAAATTTATCTATGTAATTGTTTTCTAGTAGGGATTGACATTTCACATACTAGCAGTGTAGCTTTTCTATTAGCATCTTTCATCCCATTGCTAGTGTATATTTTTGTAACTCGCTTGCCAAACTCAGTACATACATTCATTTTTACCGTTTTGGTCAAACTACATTAAACCTTGATGAGATTCTGTTGAATGTAAAAAGAAGGCGAGAGGGAAGAATCTAAAGCGAAAACATTTTGCCTTATTGAGTGTGATGAACATTTCTACAAACAAACAAAAAATCAAGTAGGAACCAAAGTATCGATCTGTCGATTCATGGAGAGATGATCAAAACATTTCATCAACACAACCAATACCGAAAACAAAAGCAGCACCACACTAACATACACAATCCTTCCTCTCTTCTTCTTCTTCTTACTGTTATTGTCTCTCACATTCATCACATTCGAAGACCAACTAGACGAAAGAGAAAGCGATGTCCTTTTGTCCTCATACTCATCATCGTCAGAGTCGTGAAAGAGTCTTCTCCTACAAGGTGATCTTATTTGTATCATCTCTGCCTCTGGACATGCCTGATATTCGTGTTGGAGAGAGAGCATTAGCTTTCTAGGAGAGTTTTCAATAATCATAAGAGCTTCTTCCACAGTGATACATGAAATTGCAGGTGAGCTTTTGCCTGTTTTCATGGCGGTCCATTCTTTCTCAAGCTCACTCAGTTTCTGCTTCAGTCGCTCGTGTGGATTTTTCTCTCTTTCTTCCATTTTTTTTTCTTTTTAAGAATAATGAATTAGGGAAGAATGAAAACAGTACATTGTTTGGTTTATATAACACAGCGAACTCTCGTAAGATCTCACCAATTACTATACTTTTATTTATTTATTTTCTCTTTTTAATTTTTGGTTTGAGTTATAAAAACACAAATTTTGAAATTCGAAATTGACAATTCAAATATCGATAACTGAAAAATCAATTATAAGGAAAATCATAACTGATCACTTCTTTCACAATCTTTCTTAAAAAAATAATAAAAATCACTTCCGGAAACTTTGCACATTGTTGTTATCTTCATAACATAAATGCAAAGCAAATGATAGAGACATAAAAAGAACCTCATAGATCAACAGAGTTAGATGAAAATTAGGACTCACTGGTTACTTAAGACCTAAGAGGCAAAAGAGTTGGAAATATCTTCCATCACACCTTTCCCATCTTGAGCATCAAAGTAGAAGAAGTTCTTTAATGGATCCCCTTTGCCTGATACCGCTTTGATCACTTCCTGCAACATCAAAACCTCTCTTGTCAAATTACAAGTTTCTGGTTAGAGAAATTCTGAAAGCGAAAAGAGACTGAGAGAAAGAGAACCTGTGCTAAGATTCCTCCTACAATGGCACAAGCTGGTGGGAATTCGGTATTACCAGTGATAAGTCTCTCCAAGAGGCTATCTGGTATATGACTCTCGCTCACAGACTGTTTGCAATCTTTTTATTCAGTGAGCTGAAGTGACATTTATAAAGACTCGCAAACAACACGAATGCACTTACGTTTGCCTCACAGAGTTTCCTTTTGATCTCCAAGACTGTGGCAAGATCGAGCAGTGAGCATTCTCCATGTTTACGCCTTTCACTCTCCTCAAACACTTCGATTACTGAAAATTCACATGAGAATATCAAAGATTAGTGAAGCACTGTGTGTTTGTATGCATGTCTGTCTTGAGATCCCAACTTTCAATTGTTTATCGATAAACAGATAGTTACGACGAATTCAATTATAAGCTGTAGTAACTAGTAATCACCTCTCATTGCAAAGTAGAGCTTTGCTGTTCTCCGAGGAATCGGTTTCCAAGGTACTGATATAGCTTCCTGTGCCAATGAACCAACAAATATAATCGTTATTACTTCTTTTGCACATGTAAGCACTACTCACTCATAGTTACACTGTACCTGAAAGCTCGGATAATTGAGTTCGCATTCAACAGTCTCTTCCAGCTTTTTCTGTAGAAAAGAATATGCCATGGAAACAATAAAAAAGAAGATTAATGGGGTTTAGTATTCGAAGGAATGTAAAATCATAGATAAGACAAGAATTACAGTATGTGCCTGAAATGTCAAAACAGTATACAATCAACAGAAGAAATGCAACATCAAATCATGCAAGTACCTTTGTGTACTTGTAATTTTGAAGGTCGACAAAGATTTCACCACATGAGTCTCTACAATCGACTGTATAGAATGCCACACGTTTCGATAACTTCCGACATTTTTCATTCACAGATTTCTGCAAAAATAAAAAATAAGATAATCAAATAACGTTATGAAGAGAAGTTTGGAGCAACCAAATATGAAAGCAAATGAGAACTATATGGAAGATGTCATCAATACTTTGGTAGCAAGAGAACCGTAGCCTATAACGACCACATCAAACTTCTCGAAATAATCAGTGCCAAGTGTTGACAAATCACCTGAAACATTTGGAAAAAAAGAATGATCAGAGAATCAACGTCATTATAACCTTATGTTATCTAAACATTTGAAAGAGAGGTATTAGAGGGAAACCTTTCTCTACAGAAACAAGGACCATAGGGTTAAAGTCCTTGAGTGAGTCACAACACATCTCAGCCACAGTTTTGCCTCTGTAAGCGTTTTCATCAGGCGGAATCACGAAGTTAGCGTTCAAGGCCTCCTCGCTCACTAAACTATCATCCATTAGAGTAACGCTACCAACTCCTGCCAGAACAATGTTCTTGCAAAACTACACAACAAACGGGAACAAAAGAAGCTAGGCTAAGTAATGTAGCCATCATATTTGCTAATAGAATATAATGACATCTCAGCACAAGACAAAATGTCACAGCTTACCTCAGCAACAGTTCCCTTTATTCCAGATACCAAGATATGAGATTTGGTCAATCTGCAGGCAAAACATCAACCTTTAATCAAATGGTGCTAAGCTCACACAGTAATTACATGATATTGTATTGTATCAATATGTAAAAAAGATTCAGCAGGAAGCAAAAATGAATGAACGAGACACCTTATAACGATCTATCAGTACCCAAACGGTATCAAGTCAAAACCAAAAACCAGTTACTCTACTAGAGCGTAAATTTAACATAATGATACTACCACATCCCACAACAACCAACAAAACTCAGAGTTTACTATTCACTAGACGAGAATCAGAATCCAAACTCTACACTGACTCGGAATGCGAATTGCAAAAACAAAAAAAAGCCAACTTTAAGAGTTTATGATACTGTCTCATTCCAGAACAACTACGAAACTCAGAGTTACCATTTCACTAGACGAGAATCAGACTCCAAACTCTATAGTATAGCTCGGAATGCGAATTGCCAAAAGAAATCAACTTTTAAAGAGTTTATAGTACTCGAACCAAAGCGAGTCAAAGCAAACTGGGATCACGCAGCCTAAAAGCTATAAACTTTGAAAACTGTAAAAACTAGATTCAGTGTTAAGAGTAGAAATAATATGATGAGACGTAACCTTCTTTGAGCATTGGCGCCCCAAACCCTAATCTGGCGGTCGTACAAGGCAGTCTCCTGCTCGGTAAGCTCGTCTCCGTCCATTCGCAAATTCAAGCTAATCAATTCAACAAAGGTTTGCTCTCAGAAACTGGAATTTGCACTGAATTGTCGAAAATGGAGCTTGCGTAAACCTAGTCTGCAAGGTCGATTTTGGTCCAACTTCTCTGAGTGTGCCAAGTCAATGGGTTTTTAATGGTAGTCTATCATCAAATTGTTCAGGTCGGATTTTTTTTTTATTTCAGTTGGTTTTTATTTATGGGGCTCATTTTGTATTTGCTTACTACGGCATTCACAGGATATAATTACTGTATAAATACGACTACTCTGTGACTTAGATTTTCCGCATATAAAAAAAATGAAAAAGCAAGCATAAAACATTAGTTTTGTTGAATTGTAATTAGTTTAGTGTACAAAAAACAATCTTTGTAAAAAGTCTATTCTACAGAAACAACTCTAATGAAATTTTGTAAGATATGACCAAAATTTTTAAAATATAAACATAACAATCTGGTGAAAAAGGTATATGTACAAAGGAATAACTAAAAGTTTACAAAAGTTCTACCTCTTTTATCTGCGTTTTAATCTTTTATTGAAATCTTATGAAAGAAGTGATACAAAAAAGGTATATAAGCAGTAAGCGTAGTCTTAATGAAAACAGGGTACCTGTTGAATCGTGAAAATAGAGTTTCCTTGTCCAGTAGGATCTTTGTCATTCTCTATTCCCTGCACAAATCTGCAAACGTACGAACAATGCCTATGCAAAAACAGAATGTACGAGAGTATTTAAACAAAAAAATTCTAAAGACATTAATTCTTCAAGAGCAAAGACTCAAGACGATTTTGAACGTCTTCTCATCTCAATCGTTTGATTTCCATCTCTCTCTCTCTCTCTCTGGAATTTGATTGGCGAGTACTTTTTCTAGTGGTGGCATGAGTCAATGTTTATTAAAGGCAATTTGATTTTACGAAAACATTCAATGAAAAATATATAATTAATAGTAAATGAAATACATGTAATTAATAAAAACATCTAACACTAACAGGTAGATACATATGCATCATGTGTGATCACTGAACTTTGTGTATTTGATCGGAGTACTAAATAGAAATTTTGGAAAACATAGAAAAAAAAAACTAGAAAAATTGAAGATCACCGGATGATGTGATTGGCGGATACACCACAAGGGCCATCAGCAGAAGGAAATAACAAAAATGAAATAGTTTATTAACGAATATAATATTTTGGATGAAAAGAGAGACAGAAACCATAAACTACAAACATGAGTTTGGTCGGCAGTTTGCAACTCATCGTCCCGCCACGGCCGAGAGGCAGCAGCACAAAGCTCTTGTGTTCACTGAAAAACCAAACAACACAACCACTCTCTCCTTCTCCTTCTTCTCAAATCTCACTCTTACCAAAGCTAATCTCTTTAGCTCTTGCTCTCTCTCTTAATTCCTCCACTTCCCCAGCCTTAGCCATACCTTCTCTCTCCTCTTCTCAGCCTCTCACTACTCCTTTCACCCAATCCAAGTTCGTTCAGACCGGTCTTCTCAATGGGTTTGTTCCTCTTTCTTCTCTCACTCTCAATTTTACATATTTGTTGTTGTTTTTATGCTAATTCCGATCTCTCTCTCTCTCATCTGTGACTCTGTAGCAAAATCAGGCCTTGCCCTTCCACGAACCCAGGATGTATATCAACGAATCCGACCTCATCTTCCTTCTCATTTCCGTTGACCATCCCAGAAACCGATACACAGGATCCCATTCAGGTCTCTTATTTTGTGTTCCCTTTTCCCAATTTAGGGATTTGAATCGACGCTCATTCGATCAGGTTTAGTCTCGTTTCTGATTCTTGTTTACACAGAAGTTGAAGGAAGCAATAGCGAGGACCCAGAAGAATCCCAAGTTTGTGGCTATTGAAGATACCCCAAACGGTAATTATCTTTTCGATTTCTGATTTGGGGATGAGAAGAATAATGACTAATGACGACTATAGTGTTACGGAGAAATGAGGGTTTGAGTAAAGGATCGTATGCATAACGCTCAAATGCAGGGAGATATTTGGAGGCGGAGATAGAAGGAGGAGGTTTTAGCAGAGACGTGATGGAGTTTTTGGTGAAGCAAGATGTGGTTGCTTACAGGTGTATGGCCACTAAGGTTACCTTTGTGTATCCCTTCACCACTGCTTTTGGAGACTCCAAGGGACAAGAAGAGAGGATGAAGAAACTCATCGACGAGCTCGGTTGGTACGCTCCAACTTTTGAATCCATGGAGTAGTAACCAGTTAAATGTTTACACTGCTGATTTATTCATCGTTTTTGCAACTCCATCATTAGTAATGAGTTTGTTTGTCCTTTTGAGAATCTTTGAGGATCAAAGAAAAGCTATGAGCAAAGTAGATGATGTCACATCGTTGATGTGTGTTACAAGTTACAAACTTTCAAATGTTATCTTGTACTAAGGTCTAAGAATTCCTCCAATTTCAATAGAACAGTGGAAAAACTATTAATTTTCAGAAGGAGAAGAACATTTCCTCATAAAAACATTCCTTACGAAATTTGGATGTTTTAGTGGGTTTGGGCCTAAATTCAATGTATAGTTTGACTTTGCTGACATGGCATACCTTCATCGGTCTCGGTCTGTGATTGGTTCTTCAATATCCATGTGACGTTTAACTCTCTCTCTCTCTCTCTCTCTCTCTCTCTCTCTCTCTCTCCTCTCTCTATTTATGAAATTAATTCACATTTTGTTTCTCTGTTCGAACAAATAAAAAACGAAACTCAAATTAAAAAAAAAAAAAAGTCAAAAGAAAGCGCCATGGACGCCATCGATTCTGTCGTCGATCCTCTAAGAGACTTTGCGAAGGACAGCATTCGCCTCGTTAAGCGTTGTCACAAACCAGATCGCAAAGGTATCATCACCTCACTCTTCTTATCCCAGGGATTTTAAACGGATTTAGCCGCAGCATTTGATTTCCCTTTTTAGTTTGGAATTCGCGTCTTTAGATAGTTTTGCATGAGAGATCTATACGTTTGCGTCGTCTGATCTCCTGGATCTATCGTTTTTTTTTCCTTTTTGCGGATGAGAAGATCTGTATGTTGTTGCTTAAGCTTTTCATGGCGGATATCGTCTGATCCTGTGTTGCTTTGTGGTTGTAGAATTCACGAAAGTGGCGGTCCGTACAGCCATCGGGTTCGTAGTAATGGGATTCGTGGGATTCTTTGTGAAGCTCATCTTTATTCCGATCAACAACATCATCGTCGGTGCCACTTAGGTAAATTCCTCTGCTCCGGTTAGATTTAACATACATCGATTTATTGGGGATTTAAGTAATCATGATTCAATGCTTATCGTACTTTGCAATTGTAATGGATCTATGAACTGCTCTGCTCTCCATTACATCTCTTACATAGCCCATTAGATCCCCTGCTTTTAGTCTTTGTACTTCACCAACGCTTCTTCTCATCGTGAGTAATCATTTGATCACATAGTAAGTAAAGAAAGCTGGTGTCAATAGTACAAGTGAATCTCTTTGGAAATTACTAAAATCAGTAACTGCATTTGCATCTCAAATACGATTGTTTTATTCATATCCTGGAAAATTCATTGTCATTGAGTTAAAAAGTCTTTTGGCTTGTATGTGTTTGAATGCGCTAACTTATATACACTGCAACTGTCGGTTTAGCTCAAGTCTTTGGTAACTGCTGATAGGCTTGTGCTTAATTGCATTGGCATGTTAAGGGAATAATAAGAAATTTGGTCTATGTGCAACTGTTGTTAAGATATGAATGGGGAATTGCTTAGTTTGAGTGGCTTTACCATGTCGTTATAATTTGGGAATTACTCTTATAAAGTTTGGTTTGCCATGTTTGCAGATAAGCAAGGGAAGATGGAGAAGGGTAGTTGCAGTTATGTTGTTTCAAGAAGACACTTCACAGTATTTTTTTCGTTTTGTTCAGATACTCAAAAGAGAAAACATTTGTGAACCAAGTTAACCCACACATTTGATATCAGTCTCCAGTAATTGAATTCTTTTTAATATCCCTCACTATTTTTTATACTCTGCACTGTTATCAAATGATACTTTTGGTGATTGTGTACGACAGTACAAGACGAGGCTAACCCTTAGTTATGGTGACGAGCATATATAACTTGACAAAACAAATCAAACCAGAGTATTGTCCGTTTGAGTAGAAGAATATTTGAGTAAAAATCAAACAGATAAATAATAAATTAAGTGAATTTCCAAGGGCCTGCCTATTTTAATACTTTCGAGAATTGTTTGCTTAAATTAAGTGAATCCCCAAGGGCTCTAAACAAAGCCTCGTTAAAGCATTCCGATTCACCACCAAAACCTCACTCCAAAAGTTTTATAGAAACAACCAATTCACCAAACTTGTTCACCCTATCGCAAAACACATTGATGATACAAGTTTATTTCTTTTGACCAATATCTTTGCCACTCCTATGACATGACTAATACTAATCATACTGTAATAATAATGATGTTAGGTAAACCCAAACTAACAAGCAAATGACATGACAACAAGAAAAATGAAGAAGAGAGAATCTTGGAATAGAAGCAATACGACCTTTCCTTGCCATTCACTCGAAGATGACACTAACACACATAATTGTTGATCATTTAAAACCACAAAGATGAAAACAGCATTAACAAAAATCTTTTGAGGACCTGAAGATATTGAATAAAAGGTGAGAACAGTAAAAAATGCCTCCACAAATTCATCAATCTTCACTTCCTATTCTCAATCCTCTACTTAGATTTTCACCACCTTCCTCCCCTGACAATCTAAAACACCAGAGAGAATCAAAGATCACGATGCCAAAATTCACTGTGCGTAAACTCATACCCCTTCTTATCTTCGTTCTTTCAAGCCTCTCTGTTCTTCGACTCCTCCGGATTTCATTAAAGTCTTCGTCATCCTCTGCTTCTCGTCCCTTCTCTTCCATCACATTTCGGTCGAGTCCGGCAGAGTCCAGTCAGCACATCAGGGCTACTAATGCGAGCCAGAGCGTTCTCACGGAAAAGGAACTCAAGCTCTTATTAGATACAGTTACTCGTAGATCCCCTTGCAACGTTCTTGTTTTCGGGTTTACACCTCAATACCTCATGTTATCTTCAATCAACACAAGAGGCATCACCGTCATTCTAGAAGACGAACCTGCAAAGATAACGACATTAAGAGATGAAGTGAATCCAAACAACACAAGAATCTACGGCTTGAAATACCATCAGATGGAAGTGAAAAACGCTTACAAGCTGCTTCGACATGCCCGAGCTAATCCCGCATGCGCACCAAATGTGAATAATCTACGTCAAGGCTCACCGGAGTGCAAACTGAAACTGAGGGATTTGCCACAGGAAGTAGACAAGATCAAATGGGATGTGATCGTTGTTGATGGGCCACGTGGGGATGACTTAGAGGCGCCAGGTAGGATGGGGAGTATATACACTGCAGCTGTGTTAGCAAGAAAAGGAAGAAGCAACTCCACAACGGATGTATTGGTGCATGATGTGCACAGGACTGCTGAGAAGTGGCTCTCCTGGGAGTTCTTGTGCCAGGAGAATCAGGTTTCTGCTAAAGGAAACTTCTGGAAGTTTAGGGTCAAGGGTCAATTAAATGCAACAAGCTTTTGCTCACCAGAAACATTCAATGTAGAGTAGCTATCAGAGTATTGTAAAAATGTTATTCCAACTGTATGTGTGTCCAAGTAGAGAAAAGATACAGCTTGATGAAATGGTCACAATAGGACGAGAAGATATACATTTTTCATGAGACGAATGAAGTCAAAAGGAAGATATCAGATAGTAGCAGAAAGGCCTTCTTGATGATTTACTGCATTAGCTTACATTTTGAAATTCCCGTACAAAAACAAAATTGTATCCATTTTCTTACACCAAGTCAAAGGATTATCACAAACCTCTTAATTTCTTTCAGAGCTCCAAGAAAAGAGGATTATAAGACTTCTACATGAATGATCCATACTCGACTCCATTTTGAATGTCGGCCACAACCGTCACTCATCACTCTTCTCTTTTCGCTGCAAGCAAAACAAATGTATACACATAAGGCCGTTGAGATGTACTTCTCGAAGTAGAATTAAAAACAGTAACCAAATATTCACATACTTATTGAGAGTAAAGGAGGAGTTTAGAAGGAAGACACCTTACCATTCGTTTGCTAATGTACGGTTGTATCTGGACTGGTTCTGATTCCATAGAAATGCTTTCAGTTTTGACCAACTTTCGTTTTTCCTTGTCAAATTCTTTTCTGGATTCTTTACGAGTGCCTGATTGCCAAACTCGGCCAAAGTTGGGAAGCCAGTCTGCGTCAGTGTTGCTATCCATTGCATGTCCCTTCTTCTCCATCTCCATCTCCATCTTTCTCCTTTCAGCCCACGCAGCGCCAACCCTATTAGGGTTCAGCTTACAAGTCTTTACAGGCATCTTTTTGGAAATTTCTGATTGTATATTCCCATCATTTGCATTGAGCCACGGTGGAGGAGCTCCAGAGTGAACGTTCCCGTTAGCATCGCTGGAATGTGAGGAAGAAATACTAGTAGTTCCAGCCACACCTGTCAAGAAAAAACTCATGCCATTAAAACCAAATGCAAATCAGACTGGCTACGTTAATGAGATTCATAAAACTAGACGATAAAGCAGTAATCATGAAACTGACACCTGGTAGATTTCTGAGTGGATCAGCAGATAGAGGGAGATGAGAGGCATCCACGTTCAAATGCGTAACTCCAGGAAGCTCTGAATGTGATATCTGATACTCATTCGTATTATACAGTAAAGGCATAACATCATTTATATGGTGTGCAGGGAAATTTTCAATTCTATCCATAGTTTCAAACTCAAGTTTATTGTGGATATCATTAGATGTCTCGGAAAGCTGTCCACAGGACCCTTTACAAGAAGATGCCTCTTTATTTCTCATCGCCTTGCATTTTTTCCCCCACTGCATCCATCAAGCATAAATAGAATTTCATGAGACAAATTCAACAAATAAAAACAATGTGGCCTCAATTACACAGAAGAGAACAATCTTCAAGAACTTAGTGCTTTACCTTAGCTACATCAGCTTCTGAGATTAGGAAATCATCTATGCAATCCATTCCCGGGCCATATTTCCAGAGAAATCGCTTGATATTCTTATGATGATCGGGACTTGCCAAGTGATTAATTGCCTTAGAACTGATTAAAAAAAAAAGGCATTCAAACAAAACGTTATGTGTAAACAGATTTATTGATTAAGGCTTCTATTGTTCTCCTTTTATGAGACACAAACCCAGTTTTCTAGTAATTCCCAAATTGTTCTCGCGCATTCTCATTCCAAATTCCAATAGCCCCACACAATGAACCCAAATCGAACTAACAGAGACAAATCCAGGGAAGAAAAAAAAAAGTAAGGGAGTGACATACCAGGCGAAGGAGCTACCGAGCTCGACGATGTCTTCATCGCAGAAGACACACCAGACACGGTTTTGTGATTGCTCTTCGGGGCGTAGAACGATAGGGTTCTTCAGGAAGAACCTGACGTCGGCTAATTTGGATCGGAATCGATCGAGGAAAGCAGAGAGGGAGGCTTTGTGGCGAGGGAAGTACTTGTGGCGCGAGCCTTGGTCGTGATGCAATCGGCACACCTCGCAGAACTCGATTTCGGTCTTCCTTGGTGATTTCGTCTTCTTCTTCGCTTCCATCGAGTTCTTCGTCTGAACACGGATGAACCAAATATCTGGGTGGTGTCAAAAGCTAGGGCTGCGATTACTATATGTCACGCTACATTCCAGTTTCAAGGAAAACCCGGACCGACCGGTCTAATCGGTGAATCCAGGACGATTATACTTTAAAAACCCGGTTATCCCTTTATTTTACCCGCTTAAACCAGGAAACCGCGGCAAAAAAAAACTAGAGATTTTTAACTTATTTTGGATGAGATTTTTAACTTATTTTGGTAACAAATATAATTGGGATCTACGACTCTAAAGTTTCACCTCCGGTTGAAAAGATTCTCACTTCCCTCGCCTCTCTTCTCTCTCTCTATCTCCCCTAGATTTTCGGTAGAGAGATATTTTAGATTTTAGATAACTCCGAGTGTTGAAATCGATAGATATGAATCAATTTTGGAAGATTCCCAGATACTCTTATTTATTATAAATAATCCCTCTTTGTGGATTTTGCTTCTGCTCCACAACAAGTAACTATGGCTAGAGTTTTGGTTCCGCTTCTGTGTTTCATCGGACTGCTGAGCTCGAGCTTATGTTTGGGTGACGCCAACGACGGACGCGGAGATCAGCCACTGGCTCAGATTAACATTTACCAAACAAGTCTTGCTTTGGACACTTCTGTAGCCATTCACGCTTCCCCTCAAACTCTTGGTTTAAAGGTTCTGTAACTGATTTCTCTTCCTTGGTGTTGTCTGAGCCTAGGAAGAAGCGATTTATAATGTCAGAAATTTTGTATGACAAGTCTGAGTTTAGCCGTTCTAGTGATATAATATATGTTCTTGATCTCACAAAGTGTATCAAGAATCAAACTTTCAAAGACGATTGGTTTTGATGTCACTCTTGTTGATATTCAGGGTGAAGATACTGAATGGGTACATGTTGCTATCTCCAACCCCAAACCCACTTCAAACGATTGGATCGGAGTTTTCTCGCCAGCAAAATTCGAGTAATTCTCCTCATCTATGATGTGTGTTTGCTTGATTGTGCTTTTATGCGTTATATTACTAACTCTGTCTTTGTTGCTAGCGCATCTACCTGTTGGCCAACAAATGGCAAAGAGCCAGCTCCTTACATTTGCTCATCTCCCATCAAGGTTTGTTTTTCATTTACATATATTGACTTTGTGGTTTCTAGTTTTGATCTCAGGATAACATTACGTTTTTTTTTTCTTCTATTTGCCAGTACATGTATGCGAACAAATATCCCGAGTATACAAAGTCCGGGAAAGTGATTATGAAGTTGCAGATTATAAACCAGAGAGCTGATATCTCCTTTGCACTGTTTTCTGGGGGAATTTCAAATGTAGGTTCACTATATATAGTTCTATCTGTTTAGTGTATTGTACCTGCAATGTCAAGTGGACTTATTGATCTTTTTGAATACAACAGCCAAAACTTCTCGGGGTTTCGAATCCTGTAGCTTTCGTCAACCCCAAAGCACCTGTCTACCCACGTCTTGCATTAGGGAAGAATTGGGACGAAGTAAGTTTGAGAAAGATTCAGACTTTGAGAAATGTGTTGCAGAGCTTTGTTTGGTATTTGTTACTGAAACAGGCTTGCTTTTTTTGAGCTTTTGATAGATGACTGTAACATGGACGAGTGGGTACAACATAAATGAAGCTGTTCCGTTCATTGAATGGAGTTCGAAGGGACTTCCTAGTAGAAGATCGCCAGCTGGAACCATTACCTTTAACAGAAACAGCATGTGTGGTATGTCTTGTTCGGTTTATTATTTTCTTCTTTTATCTTTCAGTGTTATCAATCGTGGAATCTCTTGAACTCTTTCATCTGGATCTTTCTAGAAATTTGATTTGTGGATGCATGCAATATTTACACAGGTGATCCTGCTAGTGGCGTTGGTTGGCGCGATCCGGGTTTCTTCCATACCGCTTTCTTGAAAGAACTATGGCCAAACCGCGAGTACGACATCTTTAATCTGCCTCTCTTTTTTTTTTAATCCAAACCAAGAGTAGTTTATATAGTTTTGTAACTTCCAATCTTTGGTTTTCAGATACATATACAGGCTAGGCCATGACTTGGTCAATGGTACGACAATTTGGAGCAAGAACTACACTTTCGTTTCCTCTCCTTACCCTGGACAAGACTCGTTACAACGAGTCATAATATTTGGTGACATGGGGAAGGTACTGTCTTGTTTAGGGCATTGCGATCTTGGCTTACTCTCGGACTATTATCTCATATGGTCCCCTTATTTTTATCGAAATATGTTTCAGGGAGAGCGAGATGGCTCCAATGAATACAATGATTATCAGCCCGGTTCAATCAACACAACTGACCAACTCATCAAGGACTTGAAGAACATTGACATTGTTTTCCACATTGGAGATATCACTTATTCAAATGGGTATATCTCTCAGTGGGATCAGTTCACAGCTCAAGTTGAGCCCGTCGCTTCTAAGGTTCCCTACATGATTGCGAGGTTAGTCAATATGGAAAGCTTTGTCATTGTTCTTGTTCTCTACTCCTGCAGTGGATTAAGTTACTTCTGTTTTCACACTAGTGGCAACCACGAGCGTGATTGGCCAGACACAGGATCTTTCTATGGCGGTAAAGACTCTGGAGGAGAGTGTGGTGTTCCTGCAGAGACCATGTTCTACTTTCCTGCTGAGAACCGAGCTAAATTCTGGTAATTACAGTTGTGAACCATTTTTCTTGCAAGTTCCAGGACAATGTCTTACGAATGTTGGTTGAATATGGGTAGGTACTCCGCGGATTACGGAATGTTCCGATTCTGTGTAGCAGACACTGAACACGATTGGAGAGAAGGCACCGAGCAATACCAATTCATCGATCGTTGCCTTGCCACCGTCGATAGAAAGACTCAGCCTTGGCTCATCTTTATCGCTCATCGTGTCCTCGGTTATTCCAGTAATGATTGGTATGGCAAAGAAGGAACCTATGAAGAGCCTATGGGAAGAGAGAGCCTGCAGAAACTGTGGCAGAAGTACAAAGTAGACCTTGCTTTCTACGGCCATGTCCATAACTATGAGAGAACATGCCCCATTTACCAGGTCCGATCCCGTCATAAATTAGTAACACTATCAATGTGCCTGTGTCTCTGAGATTTTTTTCTACCTTTTTTGTTTTGTATTGCAGAGCCAATGTGTGAACAATGAGAAGGATCACTACTCAGGGACCTTCCAAGGAACCATTCACGTTGTTGTTGGTGGTGCAGGAAGTCATTTGTCTCCCTTTAGCTCAATGGTTCCCAAATGGAGTTTGGTAAGAGACTATGACTATGGGTTTGTAAAGCTGACTGCTTCCGATCACTCATCGCTTCTCTTTGAGTACAAGAGGAGCAGCAATGGCCAAGTGCACGACTCCTTCAACATCTCTAGAGATTACAAAGATGTTTTGGCTTGTATTCACGATGGCTGCGAGCCCACCACATCAGCTTCATGATAGTTTTCCTTCAACACAGTTAGCGTTTTGTTTTTATATATTTATTTAGGTTAGGTTTTACACACTTTAGGACAGTATTTGTCGATTTCTTTGCAGAGACTTACTCTGTAGACAATATAAGTAAAGGTTTTCTTATAATTTTCATGGAACAAATTATCATAAGCATTGTGTTTTGACAAACCAAAAGGTGTTTTTTCAAGAATTTGCTTCTCTGCTTGCAAAAACACAACACAGTGACTCTCCTCTTCAATCGGACATCTCTACTTCAGGGGACTTGTCTTGTTGGTTCTCGTGTGAAATCGCAGATGCGAGATCTTCTACTTTCAGCGGAGAATGTCGGGCCATAAATTGAAACATGATCTGCAAGATGGTTCGTGAATGCTCGAGTCAATTCATAAAACATCATTCCCCTAAATTTGGTAAGCAATAATCAATATGCAAAGGTAAAGAGAACCAACCTTGGAATAGCTATCAGCAAATGCTCGAGCTCGATTTGACACACCAATATATTGTAAATCTGCCTGCTCAAATCTACCATCCACACAGTTCAACCCTCCATCGCCAATGGCAAAGCGAATAAGGCTTCCTGAAGACAGTCCTGACTGTAACAACACGGCAACACGCACACAGTTAGCAAAGTAGCATTGTGAGAAAGCATCCTTAAGCCAATTTAAATTCAATGCGTCATTACAGGTACATGGAGTCTATTAGAAAATAAAGCAGTACTAAGCTAGATGGATCTATTAGCAATTATTAAACAGCACATCAACGAGAGTACTTCATAGACTTCTGCGGGTCTCCTAGTAGTAAAACAAGAAGATTTATCTGTTCCTACAAATTTTCAACTAGCCCAAATGCGGATCTTTCAAGCTAGTTTAATAAAAGGCTGATCATGATATCGAATCACTCTAATGTATCTTGAACATACCTGTTTTACAAAATCTGCATTCAAGCAACCAACTGGTACGGGTGGATCATCTGATGTTACAATTTTCCCATCATCTTGCAACTCCAAGACGATCTGCAATTACAAGATACGGAGAGAATTGATGTTCAAAATTTCGTTAATGGGAGTGTATAACAGTAAACACTTTGTATGAAAAAACCATGAGCTGCACATGTATGTAAAGCCCACTTACATGTTGTTGGTTTAGAACTTCTCCATTGTTGTCAGTATCAATGACATACTGACTACACCTCTCATCCTTCCATATCAAAACCAGAGGAGTATTTCCAGTATGATAATGTGCATGCCTGCGAGTATTACACGAACTTAAGTAAGGAAAAAGGGGATATGTAGACGTATAAAAGTTCGGCCAGAAACAAATGATGCACTTACTTGTTATAGAACAACAATCCATCCTTGACATAAGGTAACGATCCGGCATAAGCTGAGTGAAGTCCGCTTTGGTCACAGTTATGAAAAGGAACAGCACTGAACCTGAACTTGTGGTAAAAGGAAGGCGGATCGCAAGCACCTGTCTCAGCAAGTTTTGACTGCAACCAAAAGAACCTGAACTCTGCCGTACATTCATAAAGCGAGTAGCCTCTCCAACAAACCATATCAATCACGTAATATGTCTGATCCGACTGCATAAAACAGTACTACACCACTTAGTAGGAACATGAACGGAGAATCAGAGGAAAATGAATTGAAAAACCCGGAAAAATGATCTCTTTACCTCGTGAAATATACAGTCTAGTATTGAGTAAGACTGTGCGGGGCCAGAAGTGCCTTTCTTCCTTGCACCACCAGGCAAAGCAGAAGGGAAATGGTGCAGTACGGATCCATTGCGTAATCTACTAACAGTTGTTCCATCAGATGACACTACAAAGCATCTTTTCCCAGCTGGTCTTGCTAGTACATACCTAGAAACGGAGAAAATGAGTTGATTTACTCATGGAGACCTTTCACCCAAAGTCCATAGAAAATACAAATCGATCAGGAGGAATAAAAGAGGAGCAGTTACCATTCTTGGCTCAAACTATCAGGGACGTCGATCATCCATTCAGGTAGCATTAGCTGGCTGGCGAACCACTTGCGAGCCTCAGGTCCTCTGAGCCTGGAAGCTTGGCGAACGTCAAAGCTACTCGATTCCGATTCATGTCCGTCGTCGAATTCGGCTTCGGATAGCATTTCCCGGTCGACATCGGGAGAGGAGGACTGGAGAGAGATGACGGAAGAGGCGAGGTTTCGGGCTCGCTGATGGGCGTCAGAGCGATTCTGAGACTGGCGGAGTAGGGAAAGCTCTCGGCGTTTCTGTTGATCGGAGATAGGTCGTCGCTTGAAAGGACGGCGAATATCATGGGGAGCCATTTTCGGAAGAAGAAAAGTTGGGGGAGCCATTTTCGGAAGAAGAAAAGTTGGATCGAAGCGGTACTGAGTTCGAACTTACGAAACTTTTGGTCGACGACACTTTATTGATTACTCCCGGTTCTCCGGTGACAGGCTCGACCTAAAAGCAGCTCCGATGGTATGGTAAAGTGCGGTTGAACTTGGAACCAGTTGTGCGCAATACTACAAAGCTGAACCAAACCGGTTCGCCTTTGGTTATATTATATAAATGGTTTAGATTTGCTTCTGTTTTAGTATATCAGAAAACAACAACAAAAAAAATATTTGGTTAGACAGATTTATTCTCTTGAAAGTTCTGAAAAATCTAGAGTATTGAGAACTAGTTATTGGCTCCTGAAAAGCCTGCAAAAATCTCAAAAATGCATACGTTACTTTAGCATTGTAAATATAACAAATAAATTTAAGAATCGCAATCCTTAATACAAGTACAACCATGGCTGATAAATTAAGAAATGGTTTAAAAAAAGTTGACAAACTAGGATTATGGTTTAAATTTTAGAGTTATTGGACCAATATGATTTAGTAATTCCTCAAACATATAGTAATGTGATCATGTGCAAGATTGAAATGTACATAGTTGACCTTAGAATCGAACCACCTACTGAATCATTGGTGAACCATAGACTAGTTCTTCCCACTTACACATTGATAGTGGATAGTCAGATCGAATCAAGATCAGTGGAATGTAAATCCTTAGCTATGAGACCTGCGACACATTCCGCGTAACGTTAATATTAACGTATGTATATTTTTTTTTATAAAATTTATTACCAAATACCAACATGGCAACATAAAGTCTCGTCAAATTATTGACCGGTTAGTCTCCAATAATGAAAGCTGGTGTATCCAGGCAGTTATCACTTTCCTTTTTTACATGTCATCATCATAGTTCCCTCTAGATATTATTTATCATTATTTTTCCCACCGAGAAAAGCCGGATGTATATATATACACACAATTATACTCTCATTGAGTCATTTCTTGTTTCTTTCTTTCAAAAATCCATCTCTCGCATTGATTCTGTGATCTTTCAACCATCGGAAAATCGAAAAGTCTACTATCGAAGAACCGGAAGAGAGATAGAGTAATGGTGTCAACGACTCGGAGCGGAGACCGCTCCGGCAACAATAATACCACCACCACGCCCAACGGTAGCAGCAAGAGATCTCCGTCTTCTTCCGAAGATAAACCTCAATCACCCAAACGCCAAAAGGTTTCTGATCAGATACCCTTCTTCTCCGTCAAATCCCCATTTTCGTTTCATCTGTAAGTTCTGGTTTTGAATTTTGGCGATTTCCCTTTTTCATTTCAGCTTGGAGATGGCGGCGCCAGTGTCGATAAGCCGGCGGTTGCAGCTGATAATCAGACGGTCGCGGAGGAGAAGTCAAAGGACAACTGCACGCTGCCTCCGGTAGATTCCGGTGAATCCGCTCCAATCTCCGAGGACTCCAAGATTGCGGCCTCTCCGGCGGCATCGGCGGCGCAACCACCTGTTGCCGAAGGTCTGCCACTCTTTACTCTTTGCAGATCTTTCTGCACATCGTCTCAATGAATATGTGAACCTCCTGGGTCTGATCTTTTTCACTTGTTCTTTCTTCTTTGATTGGATCCTTAGGCTCAACACCGGCCTTGGTAGAGAAGCCAATTAGTTCATCTTCCGGTGGGAATAAGTATCCGAAGCAGCACGACTCTCCGAGCCCGTGGTGTAAACTTCTGTCACAGTCTGGACAGGTTTGATTAAACCTCAATGGAGCAAATTACTAGTTATAAAAAAAGAGAGAACTTTTAGGCTTTATCTGTTCTTTATATGGAGTGCATATCCTGACAGTTTATATACTTATGAATTTCAGCAACCAAGCCTTAGCATTTATACATCAATCTTCAGTATTGGTACTAGTAGTACCTGCAGCTTCACGTTTAAAGACCCGACAGCAAGTCCAATACTGTGCAAGATCGTAAGACCTCAGGTATTTTTTTTTCTTCCTTAAATGTTATGCTCAAACATCTGCATTTCATATAATATTTTGTTTGAGGTTCGTCACATTAGCACTGTTGGATTTTGAGATTTTATTCTTGTTTCAGAGAACTCAGTAATAAACTGGCCTATGCCTGCCTATTCATTTCCTCTTTATCGGGCTTTGTGATTTTTTTTATTACGATATGTGAACTCCTTAGTATGTATTCTCATTGTTTGTTGACATGTTCAGCCGGAAAGCAATTATGCAGCTGTTCTAGAGATCACAGGAAGTGAGGGATATGTGCTGCATAATGGAACACTTATGAAGAAGAATTTCAAATGTCCGCTACGCTCTGGTGACGAAGTGGTTTTTGGTTCACTCGGGAGATATGCTTTCGTATCCTCATGTCATCCCACATCTTCTTTTTTTTTTTTTTTTTTTTTTTTTTGTATACACAAGTGCAAGAAGAATCTTTTTTGTCAGTTTTGAGATGAATATCTCCATGTGGATACACATATGTTTTCCCCTTAATTTATATCCAGATAGTACAGAAATTGCCTGAAGTTGCAGTAGAAGGTGGTGGGCTTCAGAAGCCTCCAGGAAACACTCTAAAGTTAGAGAGACGGGCAGACAATTTCCGTGCTACAGTTTTGGAATCGGTTTCAAAATTTAAGCAAGGCTTATTGCAGGCATCTAGTCAGAACCGCCAAGCGCCAGAGAAAGCTGCTACTTCTGTGGTCGAAGATGGCGCCGAGCTTGAGGTAATTACTCTATGTTTTCTTGGACCTTGTTGTCATCAACAATATTGAGCATTATATTAACGAAGCTGGTATCAGATATTAGATGAGAAAAACGAGTTGACGAGAAATTCACAACAAGCTTCAACGTCAGGCAATGGTCTGCGATTTTCAATATTCAGAGAAGACATTCAAGCTGGTATTGTTGAAGGCAAAAGCTTGGAAGTTTCATTCGAAAATTTTCCCTATTATTTGAGGTATATGGCCAGGTCATATTAATTTTGTTCGGCTGCATATGCAGAGTCAAGATATGTGCATGGAAATATTTCACTAAGAATCTGTTTATCATCATCTCTTTTCTTATCTTTGATATTTTAGGTTTTGCAATGGGTACTTTTCTTCTGTATGTTGATTAAGGTTTTTCTGTTTTATTTTTGCAGTGAGAATACAAAGAATGTCTTATTAGCTGCTTCTCATATACATCTGAAGCAACAAGAATATGCCAAGTATGCCTCCGAGTTGACCACGTTGAGTCCAAGAATATTGCTTTCTGGTCCCGCAGGTTTGTGGTAACTTGCGTGTGTTGTTTCTGTAGTTCTTCTAGGCGACAACATCATTTTTTTTTTCTTTTTGGCTGGGATTGTTTCAGGTTCTGAAATATACCAAGAGATGTTAGCTAAAGCACTTGCCAGTTACTTCGAGGCGAAATTGCTAATATTTGACAGCCATCCAATTTTGGGGGTAAGATATTATGCTGTTTTTGTGACGAGTGAATGTTGGTTAGAGTACAAGACCGAAATATTTCCATGTTTGTTTGTTTTCCTGATTCTGGGTTAGAGTAATTCGCTCTGCAATTTCCTGCAGGCTCTGACTACTAAGAAAATCGAGTCACTGAAGGATCGGGGTAAAAGCTCGGATTTGTCTGAGTTGGAGGCGTGGACTTTACCTCCTTCACTTGGAACTTCAGTGAATCATACTCTGAAGAAAGGCATGCTCTTTTAAATTGTTTGAAACAGAAGAATTTTTTTCAACTTTGTTGGATTTCTGGTTGATGATGATTCATTGGATAAGCAACACTTGCAGGTGACAGAGTGATATTTTACAATGCTGAGATGTATCAGGGGCCATCTACCTCAAGGTTAGCTTCTTATGATTGAAGAAATATCTTCTGAACTTTTTCTCTTACCTTTTTATATTCACTCCTCATTTCAGTGATCCGCTTGTTACCTAATCTTATTCAGGGGACCTCCTAATGGGATCAAAGGGAAAGTTGTTTTAGTATTTGATGAGAATCCTTCAGCTAAAGTGGGTGTTAGATTTGATAAGTCCATGCTTGATGGAGTTGATCTTGGTGGTTTGTGTGAAAAGGGGCATGGGTTTTTCTGCAATGGTACTTCTTGTTCGGTAGTGCATTGCTTACTGGTCCTCAACAGCTCTTGTCTCGTCTCACAAACTGTTTCTTCTGTTTCTCTTCTATAGCTACTGATCTTCAGTTACTAAGCTCGGGTCCTGATGATCTTGATAAATTACTTATCAACACATTGTTTGAGGTATACTTATTCTCTCAGTTGCAAAGTAATATATTTGTTCTTGGTCTTATTTTATCCATGTGCTTATATCTTCATCTCTTTCCAGGTTGTCCATGCAGAGAGCAGAATTTGTCCGTTTATTCTATTTTTGAAAGATGCTGAGAAGTTTGTTGTTGGAAATTCCGATTCGTACTCTACGTTTAAAAGCAGACTTGAAGATCTCCCAGAAAACGTAATTGTGATTGGTTCACAGATACACACTGATAATCGCAAGGAAAAGGTAGTTTATGTAGACTTTGAATATTGTGTATTCACGAAATTATCACTTTCTTCGTCCTGATATATAGTCCTAACATTAAATAAATTTAAGAATGCAAGTGTCTAGCACTCTGAGAATTGTATAGGTTAATTGCAAATAAAATAAGTCTCAGGTAACTCTAGGGTTTCTAATCCATGGCTAGCTCATTTCTTTTCATCTCTTTTGCAGCCTCATCCTGGAGGTCTATTTTTCAGCAAGTTCGGTGGCAGCCAACCTGGTCTTCTTGACTTAGCTTTTCCAGTAAATCAACATCCTCTTTTATTTGTTTGTTTCATTCTTGAGGCAAAGTATCTTTTGGCTTTGGTTTCCGGGACTCCTTCTGGGTGTCTACTAGTGTCCATATATGCCTTACATTGACTGTCATCTGTGCTGTTCTCTAGCTTGCTTTCAGCTCTGCATGTTCCTTTGAAACAAGCCTCTAGCATATATGTACCAGCGATTCTTATTTCAACTGGCTAGTGTGAATCGGCAGAGTATTTCCTTCTCTTAGGGTGGGACTAATGTTACCTTTGCATAATATTCCCAGGATATTGCACGACTACGTGAGCTAGGTAAGGAAGTCCCAAAGGCAACGAAACTTCTAACGAAGCTCTTTGGAAATAAAGTTACTATTCACATGCCACAGGTTTGTAACTCTGTTCTTCTAGACATAAGCATTCTCGTCTGCTGTCTGTCAAAGAAACCCTAAACTTAATGAAGCTAATTATTTCCAGGATGACGATCTTCTTACATCTTGGAACGATCAGCTGGATCGTGATGCTGAGACATTGAGAATGAAGACTAATTTCACTCACTTGCGCATGGTATGTGTTTCCTCTGAATATATGGTTTGGGGTTATGCTTTAAGCGGTCTTCTTGGATTTAACATGTAATTAGAAAAAGGCATGGCAGTATTTTATGTCTGGACACAGTATAAGTTTTACATATCAGAATTGAACAATTTTCTTAGGTGCACTTATTCGCATCCATAGCACAGCCGCCATGATGGCGTGTTCATTATATAAATCCTTTACCTCTATATATCCTCTTCTTTCAAATCTTGATTGCTTGAGTCTCAAGTCACATGAAAAGAAGTTATTGATAGCGTACCTTCTAAAATAGCTTGTTTTTTTTTTTTTTTCTGGTGTACAAGGTTATCTGTTTTTTTTTACATAAGGTTCAGTTCCATTTCCTGTTTTTTTTCTTTACAGAAGTTTTAAGAACGAACCCATAATTGCATCTTCATTCAGGTGCTGGGACGATGTGGTCTGGAATGTGAAGGAATTGAGACGCTGTGCATGAAGGATCTCACACTTCAAAGCGACAGTATGTTTTCCCTTAGTTCGGCATGATGACCAGAATTGACGATGTAAGACGATGCAATGCTTCTCTAAAAGTTGACTTTGACTTTCTGCTTCAGGTGCAGAAAAGATCGTTGGATGGGCTCTTAGTGACCATCTAAGGCGGAATCCTGATGCTGATCCAGATACGAGGATTATTTTGCCTCTTGATAGGTATTTGGCAGCTTGTCCCTGTGCATTACTGCTCTTACATATCTGTTGCAGTATTGAGTGCGAACGTTGGATCCTTGCAGCATAGAATTTGGAATTGGAATTTTTCAGGCTCTTCTAAATGAATCTACGAGCTCAAAGAACTCTCTCAAGGTTAGCAAATTTTGTTGGAATAAACTGAAATATTTGTTTACTGACTCGCAATATGGATTATCATGTAACAACTCTTTAAATTTTCTCTGTTGCTTTCAGGACATTGTGACAGAAAATGAGTTTGAGAAGAGGCTTTTAGGTGATGTTATTCCGCCTAGTGACATTGGCGTTACATTTGATGACATTGGCGCACTTGAGACTGTCAAAGACACCTTAAAGGAATTGGTTATGCTTCCTTTACAACGGCCTGAACTTTTCTGCAAGGGGCAATTAACAAAGGTGATTCTATTCTCTGCCTTAGGTTTCAGAAAGATCCCATAAATTTTTACTAGGCCCTGCCTTGAATTTATCACAGATGTATGTACATGATTCCTCAAAAGTCTTGTCTCCTTAAATTTAGTTGTTGACATGTGCATTGGTGGCTGGCTTCCTAATCAGTCGGCTCTTGTTCTTCTCTATACAGCCTTATAAAGGAATTCTTTTATTTGGACCTCCCGGAACCGGAAAGACTATGCTTGCGAAGGCAGTGGCAACGGAAGCTGGTGCTAATTTCATCAACATCTCAATGTCAAGCATCGGATCTAAGGTAACAGAATACCTGAAAAGTTGAACTTTATATAAGGACCCTATAGTTAAAACTTGTGTTACTCTCATACTGCAGTGGTTTGGTGAGGGTGAGAAGTTTGTCAAAGCCATCTTTTCATTGGCCAGTAAAATTTCCCCTAGCGTTATCTTTGTGGACGAGGTAATTTTTTCTTTGTTCAATTTCTGAGTGAGTGTTGCTTGTAATCAAAGCACTGACAGTCTTAGAATATTACCGTCTTGTAGGTGGACAGCATGCTAGGCCGGAGAGAGAACCCGGGGGAACATGAGGTAATGCGGAAGATGAAAAATGAGTTCATGATAAATTGGGACGGTCTAAGGACAAAGGAGAAGGAACGTGTTCTGGTTCTTGCAGCCACAAATCGTCCTTTTGACCTTGATGAGGCTGTCATTAGACGGTTGCCCCGTAGGTAAAATATAAATGGCTTCCTTCCTTCTTGGACTAAGCTTTTTTGTCAAATTGACATGGCAGTTCATAGGTAAATTATGAACGTTTGTGGTACTGACTTGTGCAGGTTGATGGTGGGACTACCAGATGCTCCGAATAGAGCAAAGATACTAGGGGTTATACTTGCAAAAGAAGACTTGTCCCCTGATATTGATCTTGATGAAGTTGCCAGTATGACTAATGGATACTCTGGAAGCGATCTTAAGGTAAAATCCCTTCGCAATTTCTTGATCCTTTGTTTATGATCTGACAAAATAATACTCTCATATATTCCCTTGTTATTCTCTTTCTGGTGCGCGCAGAATCTATGTGTTACCGCTGCCCACCGTCCAATCAAGGAGATATTGGAGAAGGAAAAAATCGTGAGTTTTCTGTGTATACACACATATTCATTATCTTGCGTAAACTTTGTCTGTGTAATAAAAATACATTGATGATTGGGATATTATGGTAGGAGCGAGATGCTGCTCTGGCGGAAGGGAAAGTTGCACCAGCTCTAAATGGAGGTTCTGATATCCGAGCTTTAAACATGCAGGATTTCAGATACGCACATGAGCAGGTAACAAGATTTACTTATGCTGTTTTTCTTCTTCTTCATATCAGACTCAGGATCAGAGAAGTGTAACCATTGTCCTTGGTGTTGGTTGAATCAGGTGTGCGCGAGCGTTTCGTCAGAGTCGGTGAACATGACAGAGCTTGAACAATGGAACGAACTCTACGGGGAAGGTGGATCTAGAAAGAAGAAGTCACTCAGCTACTTCATGTAGGATTCAGAAAAAACCATATAACTCAATTTTCGTCTCGGATACAGGCAGAATGTGTTGTATTTGTTCAGTGGGAATGTAGATGAATGAGATGTTTTGTTGTTTTCGATCTTTGTACATAGCTGGTTATGTGCATAATGTAGCCATCTCCGACAAAAACAAGCAGTTTTAGTCGGGTTTTTGACAATAAAGAAATAACAAGTTTGTTTCAGCTTCATAGCTAATACAAAATGTTCTCCTGCAACTTTTTCAATCAATCTTCTACAATTGCACGATTTTTCAAAGAACTTGTGTACCCTTGAGTTCGACAATCTGCTCATGTTCCTAGCCAAACCAAAGATTCAATTGCAAGATCTCCACCTTGAGTTTGATTTTGAGCCTACAAGAGAGAAAAACAAAACAAAAAGAGAACAATCAGAACTGTCTTCATAATAGTTTAATCTTGGATTAGATAAAGATTAATAAATCAGAACTGTCAGTAATCCTGATCAAAAGGAGGAGGAAACAAATAAACAAATAAAGATTTTGGTTTAGTGGGTGCCGGATAGTTTACAATTGTATATACACTTTGAACCGGTTGTACCGGATAGTTTTCAGTCGACATTTACGATTAACAGAAACAACAAGGAAATCGGCTTTTTCTCTCGATCATCGTCTTCTTCGAATGAGTCTGGGACTCGTTTCTGTTAAATCTCAAATCTACTAATAGGACGGATCCGGAAATCTATCAACTAAGGCTTGCACAGAGGAAGCAGCGAATCGAAAATGTCAGATATGGTCGCGACATTGCCGTCGCCGTCGTCAGCGCCGAGATCGGCCTCAGACTTCTTCTCCGATCCCTACGACTCCCATCCTCTTTGGTTCAAGCCTTCCCTCTTCCTTTCCCCTGGCTTCGACTCCGAGTCATACATCTCAGAGCTACGTACGTTCGTTCCATTTGACACTCTCCGATCCGAGCTCCGCTCCCACCTTGCGTCCCTCAACCGCGAACTTGTTGATCTCATCAATCGAGACTATGCGGATTTCGTCAATTTAAGCACTAAGCTCGTCGATGTCGATGCGGCTGTTGTAGGCATGCGCGCCCCGCTCCTTGATCTCCGTAAGAAGATCACTGGGTTTCGTGGATCCGTCGACGCCGCTCTTTTCGCACTGAGGAGTGGACTGCAGCAACGTTCCGATGCCGCTGCTGCGAGGGAGGTTCTGGAATTGCTGCTTGACACTTTTCATGTGGTGTCCAAGGTATATGATTTTAGTTTTCTCAATCTTAATTTTCCACTGAGCAATCGTTTTCCGCCTGTATGACTCATTAAGAATCTCGAGTATGCTTCTGCTCGACATTGGTTTCGTATTCGAGCGTTTATATTGTTTGGAAATGTTTACTCTTGTTGGTTATAGATCTGGATCACGGGACGTGTGCATACTTGTCGATCGTTTTAGTTTACTCTAGTAGTTAGTTTCTTCAGTATCCTCATTCCAAAACCATCGATTGTTAGTGATTCGTAAAATTGTTTGGCATTGTAGTTCCGTTTATAGTGAGAAAAGCTGTTTATCCATTGCTTTTCATTCATTACTTGGTTGTATAATCTGAATGCTTGACGTACTCATTGTGATGTAGGTTGAAAAGCTAATCAAAGTTCTACCAAGTGCTCCTTCGGATTGGCAAAACGAGGATGCTAATTCCCTGGGAAGGAGCTCTATGAACGTTGAGAATGCCACGCAGCAAGATGGCATAACCATGAGAGAAACTCAGAGCATGCTTTTGGAAAGAATAGCTAGTGAAATGAATCGGCTCAAGTTCTATATGGCTCATGCACAGGTCTCCATCATGCATTTACTTTCTTTCCTTTCCTTTTTTTTCTTGCGAAGTCACAATTTCTTGCCCGTCACAAATTATAGATTATATTAGGTTTTAGGATTGCACCTCTGTTTCTTTTACAGACACAGTCCAAAGTATGAACATCTGTACAAGTTTTCCAAGGATTATTTTGAAACAATTGATGGTAGGAAATTTTGCTTTTCAGTCCTATTCGTTTAGGAGTACCAAAGTTATAAAGAGGATAGCAAATAACTGGGTCGTCTATAGGATAATAATGAAAGAGGTTCGAGTATAGTGCAGTTAAGAGTAGTATCATAGGGATCAAAACTAGTTATGCGTATGGGGTTTGAGAAGTGGCTGGGCTGCTACTAGAATTCATTGGCTGTGATAAGATTGTTGACAAAATAAAACTGATTACATGAGATGCTACCTGGTAAAATATTGTGAAATCTTTGGTGTTCTGCAAAACTCCATTATACTTGTTAGCCTCAGAACACAATAGAAAGTATTACTGCTGATACTCACTCCTTTTTCTGTAATGCCTGTACAGAACCTGCCTTTCATTGAGAACATGGAGAAGAGGATTCAGAGCGCTAGTGTGTTATTGGATGCTAGCCTAGGTCATTGCTTCCTTGACGGGCTAAATAACAGCGACACAAGCGTCCTTTACAACTGCCTACGTGCATACGCTGCCATTGATAACACCAAAAATGCAGAAGAAATCTTTCGAACAACGATTGTGGCTCCATTTGTACATAAAATTATTACACATGAAACATCAGCGGATGCTGCTGGAACATCTGGAGATGAACTTGATAACGATTACAAACAGATCAAGCGTTTTATTGAGAAGGATTGTAAAATGCTGCTAGAAATATCTTCAACCGGTAATTCGCCCAGTTCTCTGTGATCATAATTATTGTAGATCTAGTTACATTTTCTCTGGCACTGTTAAACATTCTAAGAAGAATTTTACGCAACTAACTATGTGCAATAGCAATCTTGCTCGTTAGTCACAAATTGGACTTTGTTTCCTTCTTAGTGTTATGGTTTTATATTTCACTCAGTGTACTCTTTGCTTGGTATCTTGGTGCTAAAACAGACAAATCGGGTTTGCACGTCTTCAACTTCCTGGCAAATTCAATTCTGAAAGAAGTTCTTTCGGCAATCCAGAAGGTCAAACCAGGAGCATTTTCTCCTGGAAGGCCTACCGAGTTCTTGAAAAATTACAAGGCAAGCTTGGATTTCTTAGCATATCTTGAAGGTAGGATAGCTTATCTATATCTTTCTCTAAGGTTGATGTCATAGCTTATCAGATGCATTGTGAACTAATCTTCACGTGTCTGATATAAGCAAATAGTCTAATTTCATACTAGGTGATGACATTATTTGGATAATTTTCAGTAGAATCATACCATATACTTTTTATGAAGGTTATTGTCCGTCAAGGCCTGCTGTCACTAAGTTTCGAAGTGAAGCGGTGTGTGTCGAATTCATGAAGCAATGGAATGTGGGAGTTTACTTTTCACTGAGGTATTCGAGAAATATCATAGATGGCGGTTGAGTTACTGTAATATTAGCGGCTTCTCAGGTTCTCTAACTCGAAAGTACATAATTTCAGGTTTCAGGAAATAGCTGGAGCCTTGGATTCTGCTCTTACATCTCCTTCTCTGGTTTTCATTCAGGATTCTGATTTAGATAAACAGAGTTTTCCCAACTTAATGCTTAGACAGAGCGCTACTCTTTTGGGGAGTTTGCGTTCATGCTGGAAAGAAGATGTTCTCGTTTTCTCTGCTGCTGATAAATTTCTTCGATTGACCTTGCAGCTTCTTTCGAGGTTTGTGAAATTTGCCTTTAAAATAATCCACACTTGTTAGTTTTTGTTTCAGTTCTCGTTTTAACAATGTGTTAATAACTTGTAGATATTGCATTTGGGTGTCATCTGCGCTGCATACTAGAAAGGGTAATGCCAGCCCGAGTCCTGGTTGTGATTGGGCAGTTTCATCCACTGCAGAAGATTTTGTATATGTAAGTCACTTTTTATCTGGATTGTTTCCCAGCTCCACTTATTTTTGACTTTTTGGGATTTCTGTAGTTTCTTGTTTACTAAATCAGCTGCAGTTATGTTCTGTGGGACAGCTTAAAAGCTGCTTCTTACTTTTTATTTGTGACCATCATTTTTTAGAATTAGAATGACAAAAAATGCTGTGGAAACAAGTGAACTCGAAATATCTGATGTTCACATAAATACATGAAATCTAGTAATATAGACCTTATTGTTGATCGTTTGTTTTGATTGGAATATTTACACGTGTCCTTCCTTGCAGGTTATACATGATGTAAATTATCTAGTCTCAGAAGTTTGTGGCGATTACCTTGAACATATATCACACTATTTATCTTCATGCTCCACTGAAGTTCTTGATGTGGTGAGGATGAGCGTGTTACAGGGTGGAGATAAATTAAAGGAAGTCCTACCTTTACTTACCAACACAATTATTGAAGTCATTGTTGATAAATCTGTTGAGGTAAAGCCCTGAAGAAACATTATTAGGTCCATTGTCTAATTTATGCACTTGAAGATATTTTTGACGGCCTTAATGAGCACCTGCAAGAACAGTGTTGACTAATTTGATTTATAGCTGAATAGGTTAGTGTTATTTTTCAAGTATCATACATGGTTAAATGCTTTCATCTCTTTTGCAGGACGTAAGGCATGTCAAGGGAATAACGACAACCTATAGGATGACTAATAAACCACCGCCGGTTAGACACTCACCATATGTCGTTGGCATATTGCGTCCTGTAAAGGTATTAATTCAGCTTTGGGATTTCGGTTTTAAGAACGTTCGTTGTTACTTGATTGATGGATTTTGAAGAGTTGATTGATGCACCTTGTCTATAAATAGGCCTTTTTGGAGGGAGATAAGGCTACACAATACTTGACGCAGGAAACAAGGGAGGAGTTACTGCTTCTCACTGTCTCTGAAATTACCAGGCGGTATTACGAATTAGCTGATGAAGTTGTTAGCGTGGTAAGTATTATGTTTTAATTAGTACAACTCACGAGTGAGCTTTTAACTAAGACTGGGATTTATCATTTATGAATCAGGAGAGAAACTCGTCTAAATATTTTCAATAATATTATTTTCAAAAAGGTTTATAGATGAAATATTACCAGAAATTAAAAACAGGATTTCATTTGACAAAATAATATTTAAAAATAAAACCTTAGTGGCCATCCCCCCCCCCCCCCCCCCCCCCCCCCCCCCCCCCCCCCTAAAAATCGTTTCAATCTATCATTGGTTAGTAGATAAAAATGCGGAGATTATCAGTAGTTTATGTGTAGGAAAAGGTGGTAGAGAGATACTGATTGTAATATGTTACAGGCGAGAAGAACCGAGTCATCGCTTCAGCAATTCCGTCGAAAGGCACAGAAACGAGTAGGTGCAGCATCCGGTGTATCTGACCAGAATGTATCTGAAGCAGACAAGATATGTATGCAGTTATTCCTTGATACTCAGGTAATCCTTCTCATGCTTTACTGTGTCAAGAGAAAACATATCTGGAAATAGTGTAGTTTAGAAACAAGTGTAAAAACATCATATGGGTTAATATCTTATCAGGAGTATGGCCGAAACATATCTGCTTTGGGGTTAAAACCGGCAGAGATCCCGGCTTATTGTTCCCTTTGGCAATGCGTTGCACCTGCGGATAGGCAAAACACAATCAGTGTTTGAGGAGGACTCACACTGCAATTTTCATACAACATGGTGGTATCATATATCTCTTAGAATAAGAAATCGTTTCTTCTTTCTTTCTTTTTTCGCTTCTGTGTTACAGTCATTAGAATAGAGTGTTCTCCGAAATTGTATTATGATTGAGAGAGAGATCTATGAGTTAGTGTCAGCTTTGGCCATTCAATCTTTTGCAGGACTATTCATCTTCAGTATATAACACTTGCCAAATACTAGAATGAAACTTTTCATGGCCGGTCTATCAGTATTCGTATAAGGCTATAAGCTAAACCAGAGATTATCAACCGTCTAAAGATATCAAATTGGTAATTCTAATAAATATCCTTCGATATCTGTTCGTATCAAAATACTTTGTATAAATAGGTGATTCTTTAGAAGGTTATATTAGAATATTTTGTTCCTGTAAAACTGGATTTTGAAAGGAGTGAAGTAAAACAAACGATTTGAAATATTGATGATACATGTACTATACAGTAACAAAATCATGTGACAATTATCTTATAAATAATTGAAAGATGAAAAACACAGAGGATTAATTCCGCTAAAATATTGTATAATACAGTACGAAAATTCGAAATGCCAGAAACATAGTCAAAACTCAAAACCCTAGAGGACGTGGACCCTCCTGACATCTTACCACTTACAAGAGCCCCTCAAGCCCCATTGTCGAACACAACGCAGACAAAAACCCAGAAATAATTTAACATGGCTGAAATCTCGGCGACTTCGTTTCCTTCTTCTTCGTCAGCTGCTCTCGCTTTCCGTAGCTCCCACAATGGTTATCTCTCTGTCCGTCATTTCTCTTCTGCTAAATTTACCGGTAGCTCTTCTTTGTATAGTAAATTGAACATTTTTCCGACCGTTTCTAATGTCTATTTTAACCCAATAAGATTGCAATTTGGTCTCTTAATTATTGATATCTGATATGTTCCAGTAGATTATAATATAAATGTAGTTGATACATCTGATATGTATGCGCAGGTAGCTTAAGATGTCAGAATGTAGCTTGTCCAAGAACCACTTCCCCGTTTCAAGAGGTATTTCCAATTGAAATTGATGCTTTTAAGAAACATTTCGTGTTCTTTGTTTTCTCCGATGCTGTACCCTAAAATCCTACATGACCTCTTTCAATATTTGCATTTTCTGAATCACAGTTATCAGTGAGAAAAAGCCAGCTTGTTGGTATCGTTCATGTTCCTGGATCCCGCGGCTGCAAGAAGCAAGGTGAAGTTAGCATTACACTGAATCTACGCATTTCCTTAAAATCATTTTCTATATTATCATGTATTAGAAAGAGCATCTTCTATGCTGTTTCCATTATTACGTTTTAAACACTTTGGGGTCTTCTATATTGCACAGCTATTCGAGCTGTCCTCTCCGGTGATGAACAATCTGTGGTGGCTGCTGATTCAAAGGGTGCCGGGCTTCGTGGCAAACTGAAAAAAGTCGTGCTAGCTTACAGTGGAGGCTTAGACACCTCCGTCATCGTGCCATGGCTAAAGTATGTTTTTTTTCTTTTTTCTTGAGTTTATTTCTGACCTCTATAGCAAGAATAACTTCTTACCTATTTTTGTTTCATGAAAGTTTCTTCCATCCACTTCTCTTACATGAATCTATTTGTTCCGCAGGGAGAACTATGGCTGTGAAGTTGTGTGTTTCACCGCAGATGTTGGTCAGGTACTCTACACAAGTGCCAACTGTTGTTTGGTTTAGTTGAGAAATGAAGTTTTGTGTAGCATTGGACCTATGTATTCTCATCCTCTTAATGGTTTGATATGAAGGGCATCAAAGAGTTGGATGGTTTGGAACAGAAGGCTAAGGCCAGTGGTGCTTCTCAGTTGGTCGTTAAGGATCTCACCGAGGAGTTTGTGAAAGATTACATATTCCCTTGTCTTAGAGCTGGTGCCATCTATGAACGAAAATACTTGCTTGGTACCTCCATGGCTCGACCTGTCATTGCTAAGGTAACATTTCAAAAGGTTTTAAATGGTTATGTTTTGTAGGAATCTCAAAATATTCTTAACATCTGAATGTATCTTTTGAATTCTCTGTTATCTCTTATACAACTTCTACAAAATTAGGCCATGGTAGATGTAGCAGCAGAGGTTGGAGCTGATGCCGTTGCCCATGGGTGTACTGGTAAAGGAAATGACCAGGCAAGTAACTGGAATGTCTTGCTATTGCTAAATTGTCACATCGGAAAAACACACTTATCAATTCTTACATTACTTTTTTTACTGATTGATTGACCAGGTTCGGTTTGAGCTCACCTTCTTTTCGTTGAACCCTGAGCTTAAAGTTGTGGCACCATGGAGAGAATGGGAAATCCAAGGCAGAGAAGACGCTATTGAGTATGCGAAAAAGCACAACGTCCCTGTCCCCGTGACAAAGAAATCTATTTACAGCCGAGACAGGAACCTCTGGCATCTTAGCCATGAGGTAAAATAAAACTAAACTGTTGATAGACATTCCCTTTTTGGATACGAATGATCCATTTTGTCACGTCCTTGAGTTCCTAATACTATATCTCCTGCTCTCTGATACCGAATATCTTTTTTTGTTGAAAGGGTGATATATTGGAAGATCCAGCAAACGAGCCTAAGAAAGATATGTACATGATGAGTGTAGATCCCGAAGATGCTCCTGATCAGCCTGAGTAAGTTGCTTTTCTCTAATGCTCTATTTGGTATCATTTTGATAAGGCTCTTATGTGAGTCTAGTGCAGAAGCATTGTAATTACCCTAAGTGATGCGTAGATTTTGCTACATTAATCGTTTTAGATCCTATTAACTTTGTGTACCGAAGTATGGTGGTAATGACAATTTGCATCGTTACTTGAATGATTAACAGATACATCGAGATCGGGATAGAATCTGGACTTCCAGTGGCGCTCAACGGGAAGGCTCTCTCTCCAGCTACGCTTCTCTCTGAGCTAAACACAATAGGAGGAAAACACGGCATTGGCCGTATCGACATGGTTGAGAACCGTCTCGTCGGTATGAAATCACGAGGTGTCTATGAAACCCCAGGAGGCACCATCCTATATGCAGCTGTACAGGAGCTAGAGTCCCTCACGCTAGACAGAGAGAGTATTCAGGTGAAAGACTCGTTAGCACTGAAATACGCAGAGATGGTTTATGCGGGAAGATGGTTTGATCCGCTTAAGGAGTCCATGGACGCTTTCATGGAGAAGCTAACCGAGACAACGACAGGGTCCGTTACACTGAAGCTGTACAAAGGATCTGTGTCGGTAACAGGGCGTACGAGTCCGAACAGTCTCTACAGACAGGACATTTCTTCGTTTGAAGGGAGTGAGATCTACAACCAAGCTGATGCAGCTGGGTTTATTCGGCTTTACGGGCTTCCTATGAGAGTTAGAGCGATGCTTGAGAAAGGTATCTAGAAAGGGTTTCATCATTGGTAACTTGGAATTGAGTTTATTTGCATGAAATGAGAGGATGAACCTTTATTGTGGTCAAAATTTGATGCGTTTTAGCTTCAGCTTCTTTCGAAATAATTATGTTATCTTTTCTTTACTGTGTTTTCAATTTGGAGAAACTTGAGGAATTGAATAAGTAACTTGAGAAATTGAATAATAATGTTGTTAAATCTCGTTGGCCAAAGAAACCATATGTTCCTCTGTGAATGATGAAACTTACGGTGGATAAAATTAGCCTATATTATAGAATTGTTTCTAGACCAAAAGACGGTTGTGTAATGTTAGACGAAGCAAACAAACAAACAAATATGAATTTCAATTTACGTTAACAATTTTAAATTTAAAAAAATGATTGTTTTACACTATTATTCGGTAAAGTGGAAGAGAAATTTACATCTAGTGCTAATATTTTTTACCTCTCAGTGTTAAATTAAGATACGGGTTTAAAAAAGTTATGCGAAACCTACTTTTTTATATATACACAAAACTCATCGGCCTTCTTAATAATATATCCGGTTATCTCTTCCTCCTTACTCAAGAAAACAATTTTCATCTTTTTCGTCTCTCTCTCTCAGATCCGTCACAAGGTTTCTCCTGATTTGAGTGTGTAGCAGCCATGGACGGTGGAGCCGAAGGATCTCAGCAGCCTCACCTTATTCTAGCTCACAAGCTCTTCCTCCTCACTCATCCCGATGTACAAGACATCGAGAAAGTCCAGCTCAAGTCTGAGGTCCTGGATTCCATCAAATCCGATGGTAAATTAGCTTGGGTTTCTCTAATCAATGACCATAAGTTCCAAATTTGCTCGAGTATCTTCGAGATTTTTCTTCAGTTTTCCCTTCCTGATGCTTGGCGTGTTTTTAGGTATGGCTCCCTTGTACGAAACCCTAGCGGCGTCTTCCGTGCTGGAGTTGGATCAGAGCTTGTTAGATTCTATGCGGGCTAATAACGAGGAGGAGCTCAAAAAGCTCGACGAGAAGTAAGTTTCCTTCATCCTTTTGCTTCTATATCTAATTTCGGGCGGTTTCTCATTAGACGATTCTGGAGAATTTGTTCCGTATTCAGCTTCCTAGATTCATATACCGATAGTTTCCGACTAATATAGGCTGGGTTTTCACCGGCGGTGCTAAATTACTATATCTTGCGTATGGATATAATCGGCAGTGCCTTGAAAAGTCGAGTTCACGTGTTGCTGTTTGTCGTTTTAGACTGATGAAGTTGCAAATTGTAGAATTGTGTGCCGTTTTAGAAAACGAGTCAGATTGGGTGGAGTTAGCTCTTGAATTGGATGTTACTGTGTAGCTAATGTAGTGATCTTGAGGGACTGTGTTTAAGATTATATGGAGCTTTTTCATCATAGCATGATGTATTAGTTTTTCAATTGGAGATAATCATTTATATAATCTTGTGCTCTATCTAAGGCTACTACTATACTTCACAAACAAAGTTTTTGAATAAAGCCTTATGGTGTCAAAATTCCATCCCATATCGTACGTTATGTGGTGTTGATGTTCTCTGACATATTCCTTCCGTTCGTCTTTCTTTAGGATTGCAGATGCAGAAGAAAATTTGGGCGAAAGTGAAGTCCGTGAAGCTCATCTTGCAAAGGCTTTGTATTTCATCAGGATTAGTGATAAGGTATGTGCGAGCATGTCAAAGATAATAAATTTTCACTTCAGAGAACTTCCTTGGTCATTAAATGTTTTGCTTTGTGAATCTAGGAGAAAGCTTTGGAGCAACTAAAACTCACTGAAGGGAAAACTGTTGCTGTTGGGCAAAAAATGGACTTGGTGTTCTATACATTGCAACTTGCTTTCTTCTACATGGACTTCGATTTGGTGTCACAGAGCATTGACAAAGCAAAAAAGTAAGTTTTAATTAGGCTCTTTGGCTGCATCTTTTGTGACTACCCTGCATGGATAGTATAGCTGAAATCTATGATCTAAACCTTCCCTTTTTTCTGTGCCAGATTGTTTGAAGAAGGTGGTGACTGGGAGAGGAAGAACCGGTTGAAAGTCTATGAAGGTTTGTATTGCATGGCCACCAGAGATTTTAAGAAGGCTGCCAGCTTATTTCTGGATTCTATATCAACCTTCACGACTTATGAAATCTTTCCCTATGAGACATTCATATTTTACACCGTCCTGACGAGCATCATAACGTTGGACAGAGTTTCGCTTAAGCAAAAGGTATTTGTCGATGGCTCAGTTCTTACTTCGATTTTTATAAATTTGGATTCAGTATGGCTCAGTGATGTTAATCTTTTTGACAGGTTGTTGATGCACCTGAGATCTTAACCGTGCTTGGGAAGATTCCATTCCTTTCTGAGTTTCTCAACTCCTTGTACGAGTGCCAGTACAAGGCGTTTTTCTCAGCATTTGGTGAGGACCAGATTAGCTTACTGAAGTGTCTTAATTATTATCATAAGCATGTTGGTTGCTTTATATCTGTGTGTGAATAAGCTCATTGTTGGTGTATTTTTCTCAGCTGGAATGGCAGAGCAGATAAAGTTTGACCGTTACCTGTACCCGCATTTCCGGTTCTACATGAGGGAAGTCAGAACGGTGGTTTACTCTCAGTTTTTGGAATCTTACAAGAGTGTGACAGTCGAAGCAATGGCCAAAGCCTTTGGCGTGTCCGTGGATTTCATTGATCAGTAAGCAAACAAACGCTGAATTACATTCTTCCGCATCTTTTAGTAAATCAGCTCTTTCTTTAGATGTTACAAGGTTTAAAACTGACTTGAAATGATTGTTATCTTATTCAGGGAGCTGTCTCGCTTCATTGCTGCTGGGAAGCTTCACTGCAAGATCGACAAGGTTGCAGGTGTTTTGGAGACTAACCGTCCAGATGCAAAGAATGCACTTTACCAGGCAACAATCAAGCAAGGCGATTTCTTACTAAACCGGATCCAGAAGCTGTCTCGAGTCATCGATCTGTGAGCATTTGAGTCGCAATGTTTCTGTTTCTCGTCTTTCTTCAAAATTGCAACTCGGGAACTCGAATGGTAGAATCTTTAAGGCCTGAGAAACAATATGAATTTGGATTTTGAGATCAATGTCTACTCTCTCGTTTCTTTCGACTCTAGTTGGTTTGTTTATCAGTCTTCTTTATTAATTTAAATGGCTAAATTTCGTCCGGAACAACATTCCCGTATTATCTCATTACCACTTTAGTTCCTGGAACTTCCGGTCTTCCAGATGTTACAGTGGCGAATCAATGTTTCAGAAATCTGGTTTGATACTTTAACCGACCTCAGTAATAAAATAAAAAAATAATCCCAACTCCGTGTATGCAAAGCCTTAGCGCGCTATACACAATCTCGCCCACAAATGTTTCTTTTGTTTGCTTATTATCCTCATCAAGTCTTTCTTTTATCACTTCCCAATCACTCGAAAATGCATGCGATCGATTTCAAAGAGATTCAGGAACAGCTCTGCGATGGTTTCCGTCCCTGGCAACGGTCGTTTCAGTTCTGGGCTCGTGCCTCCGATATCTACACCGGATACAAGGTTTCTCTTTGCCGGTATTCCTTTCTTCCTGTTTTTCGTTTTCATTTCGTATCCTGTTTCTTATGACTCCTGCAAATTCGAAACTGTGTTGCTTTGTGTTTGCTTAGGTTTTTCAACTTAGAGTAAGCTTCGTCAAGGATGTGAAGAAGCAGGAGGAAATGTGGGAAACACAACATGAACTTGCTGCTCACAAAATTTACGCTATGTGCTCTGACCTTGGTGGGTTCTTCCTTAAGGTAAATGTATTTGTAAATCCTTTCTTTGCTGATGATGAGTTTTTTTTTTCACTTTTTCATTTTTCCTTTTCTGCAATAGGTTGCACAGATTGTTGGGAAACCTGACCTGGCTCCAGCTGCATGGGTGAGAAAACTTGTCACTTTGTGTGATCAAGCTCCTGCAACACCATTCGATGCGATTCGAATTGTCCTCGAGAAAGAGTTGGGTAAAAGCATCGATGATGTGTTTGATTCATTTGATGATAAGCCTCTTGGGTCTGCTTCTATTGCTCAGGTACTTAGACTCTTCATCACTCATAGTTTCAGAACCTATGTGGAGTAGTACCGTGCATGCTTATCAAATAAGATTAAGATTGTAGTATGGTTAAGTAAGTCACAACTCTCAAGATATACGTGTATGATTCTTAATTGTACCTGTTGTTTGATGTTTAGTTGGTTCGAGATTGAAATTGAGTAAACAATTCAAGCAAATATTACATTTTCACTTTTCTATGTGTTGCTTTTGTATAGGTTCATCGTGCAAGAGTAAAGGGTGACAAGAGGGATGTTGTTGTGAAGGTGAGAATAATCAAGACACAATTGAAAGCTTCCTACCGTTTTCACTAGTCTCTAAATGTAAAACGACATGTTCAGGTCCAACATCCTGGCGTTGAAAAATTGATGATGACAGATATACGGAACTTGCAGATATTTGCATTATACATGCAGAAAACAGATATCAAATTTGACTTGTTCTCTCTGACAAAAGAAATGGAGAAGCAGGTATTTTTCATTTACTGTGTCTTGTAAGGATATTTGGTAAAGAACAATACATCCCCAAGTCGCTTTCGTGTTTTATTTTTTCAAGATTGGGTATGAATTCGACTTCAAAAGGGAGGCCAATGCAATGGAAAAGATCCGACGTTTTCTTTATGGTAACAACAGAAAGAGCCCTGTTTTGATTCCCAGGGTGTTGCCTCATTTGGTGGCAAGGTACGCATTTCTCATATTAGCATTCTCAGTAATGGTTAGGCTTTTTTTAGCTGTTCTGTTTCACTGATCAAGAGTTTCTGTCTTTCTGACAGAAGCTCGTTTCATGCAAGATTCTTTTATTTTCGGTTCCATTGGAAAAAAAAATGAGTGTTGATCAGCGGAATAATCATAATACGCACAGGAGGGTATTTGTTATGGATTACATTAGTGGAATCCCAATCTTGAGACTCGGTGATGAGATGGCCAAAAGGGGGATAAATCCTCGTGGTAAAATGGCAGAGGCAGCAAAATTGTAAGCTCCTCCATCATCTCATATTGTATTTTCCAACTAGACAAAGCTATCTGCTTTCAATCGTTATTTCTTGGGTAGCATATGGATCTTGTCTAATGCGGCACTGAAATGTGTTTTTGTTCGTGTTCCCACAGAAATATACTTAACAGTTTGTCTCAAGCATATGGCCAAATGATACTGAAGAGTGGTTTCTTTCATGCGGATCCACACCCTGGGAATATCTTGATTTGTAAAGGTTCAGAGGCAAGTCATCATCTTTTGTTTCTCAATTTACTTACTCTGGTCTTTTGATAGGTTTTGAGTTGTACTCTTGTTTCCGGCGATCAGGTTGCACTGTTGGACTATGGTCAAGTGAAGGAACTCCCTGACAACCTAAGACTTGGTTATGCAAATTTGGTCATTGCCATCGCTGATAACAATGCCTCATTGGCATCGCAGAGCTTTAGGTGATTCGAAATTCATCAATACCTTTGTACCTCATGATTATGGTTTTAATTTGAAGCTCGAAACTGGTTTTGGCTAGTCAAAACTGATGTTCTCAGACGAAAATTGCCTTCTTTGAACTTATGCTAGTTAGAGTCAATTGGTCAGGTTAATGTAGCATCTGATTACCTTGTTGGGTTACGTGGTGAATGTTCAGGGAACTCGGTGTAGTTACGTTTGCCAAGTGTGAGAATGAGCAGCAAGAACTTCTGCAGTTAGCAAAAACAATGTTCGACACAAAGATGCCTCCTGGTGTAACAGTTCTGCAACCTTTCTCGGAAGACTCTTCGATCAAAAAGATTTCCGTTGAGGTAAAAAAGTACAAAGTTGTGTGTGTGTCTTTGGGATATACTGCAAAAACACTGACTGTGTTTGTTTGTTGTGAGTAGGCATTTCCAGAGGAACTTTTCTCTGTTCTTCGCACAGTAATTCTGTTGAGAGGGCTAAGCGTAGGGATTGGGCTTAATTACTCGTGTGCTCAACAGTGGAAGCCTATTGCACAAGAGGCTTTACTTTCTTCATTACTCTCAACAGGTAAAAAAAGTCAATGAACGACTCTTTTCAAGTGTTTTTATTTGTTTACCAAAAGCTGTTTTTATAACGCAGTGCAACAACAACATTTCAGGTAGAAGGCAGAAGCGTCGATGTAGCTCTCTAAGAAGGCTATATCCAGTAGATTAAGAACACAAAGAGATCGAGAACACAAAGAGAGTTGATATTTTCTTTTATCTTGCAAATGATATATTATTCTGAATCGTTTCTCTATTTTCCAAGTACAATCAAGGCAGCAAACTTCGAAATTATCAATACCTTTGTGCTTTTAACCTCAATCTCTGTTACCTACTTGGAACCTTCGCAGTTACAGCGTTCATCGCTGAATCTGTTGCCAAGTTTGAGATTGATGTCGCAAGCAAAACTACAATTTAAAAATATTTATATAAAATATTTTTTTATAAACTTTTCGGATTTCTAAAACATTTAAATTATTTAGTTAAATTTTCCACAAAAATATTTAATTTGAGGAATGTAGCTAAAATAATTCAGCTATTTTTATTTTGGTATATATATAATTAATATATTAAGTTTAAAATTGTAATTTTTGGTATTTTAGTTATTCTAAATGTAAATATAACTGATATTCCGGCTCTTTGAATATAGGAATGAATGCTCTATTCGGTTTTTATATCAATTCTAATTTAGTTTAATACCTTTTAACTTGATTTATATGGTTCGGTTTTTTTAATCCAATTTTTATTTTTTCATCCAACATTAGAAAAAAAAAAACGAGTTTGTTTTACAGATATAAAAATAAGAGTACAAAAAAATTACAGATTCAAAACATCTTTCATTTTAATTAAGAAAGAATATCAAATATTTTTTTGCTTTTTCTTTTTTATTTGTTTTTACTTTTTCATTTATTTTGCTTATTTTTTACTTTTATTTTTCATTTATTTTGCTTATTTTTTGCTTTTATCTTTCATTTATTTTATTTATTTATTGCTTTTAGTTTTCATTTATTTTGCTTATTTTTTTAATAGCTTTTCATTGTATAATTAATTTTCAAAGTAAAACTAATTTCGATTAGAGTTGTACGACCGAATCTCACGTGGTAAACAAATGATTAAATATAGACCCATTAAGGTTGATTTAAGTTTCTTAACTTGGAGAATTGTTAATAATTTTTATAAATAATTCTTAACTTGGAGAATTTTTAATACTTATAAAATATCAATAAAGTAGCTGATTCTATTTAGAATCACTTATTAAAAATTGACACTAAATATAAAATTTTATATCAATTTTTTAATTGATACTTATCTTAACTTGATTAATATTAATTAAAAGCAATTGATACTAATGGTAACTTGATTAACATCAATTAAAAAATAACTGATACAGATTATTATTAATTTATAATACTTTTGAAAAACTAATACAAATATATAAATTTAGATCAATTATATAAGTGAAACATTTGATAAAAAAGCATTAGCATCTTTGTATCTGTTTTTTTTTAATTGATAATTCCCATTGTCTTTCTATAGGGTGGTAGGGTGGGGTTGGATTATACTATGCCACTTGAGAGTATGACATATCTCGAATATGTTACCTCTCACGGCTTGGCTAATCGTGCTGGTGCATTTGAGAACAGCGCTTTTTATGGTGTATTCAGTTGTGATTTATGTAAAGCTAACTACCACCTGATGGTCCACTTACTACTTTCTGGATTTATACATGCTTTTTTTTCGTTGCTCTTGACCCGATTAAGGCTGTTTCTAGGCCCTCCCTATCCATATGAAAGAAATGTTGAGCGCCTTCCATAATCAAACAGGCATACTTATGTGCTCTTATTTATCATATTTCCACAAATTTAACAGAACCAAAGGTGAGCTTTCTATGATTTTATTTTCCCTTAGACCTGTTCTGGTTTTGGATATGTTTCTTTTTTAATGAGAAATAGTAAAATTCGAAAAGCTTGATATGACGCAGAGAGAAATATCAAGCTTCAATATGATGACTACTAAGAATGAAAGCTTCTTAGAATAGACCTCTCCTTTACCCAAGGCGTGTACATCATAGAGGAGCGTCAATACTGATGACTGCTAAGAATGAAAGCTGCAAATCAGGATGGAAATAGAGAGACGCTAAGCAAGATAACCCCAACGAGATTATTGGAGCGATGGTTGCAGGACCAGACAGGTACAACCGTTTCCAGGACGACCAGAGCTACAACTACACATAGTTGACCCTAGCAGCCGGAGCCGTTCTAACTAAAGAAAATTTTAAACATTTGCTTAGGGTATCATTTATTTTTTGTTAAAACTTAAGGCATCATATTATGTAAACAAGTTAGTTTACATGTATTTTGTAATAATAATTGGCCTGATATTTGAAACTTATAGGTGAATGTAATGTAGTAGTAATGAGCATTGCATAATTGATTCGTATGAATTTAAATTTAACAATTTAAAAATGTTTCATTTTTTATGATTTTTACATTAAATAATTTCATTTTTAATCTCTGTTTTTACCATCTTTTATTTATTCAGAATTGTTTTTATATTTTTGTTTATTTCTAAAAACTGGACTTGTTATATAAAAATGTTTCATTTTATATATAATACCTTTTGTCAACAATAAGTGAAGTTAACTTCCCTCGTCTCGACTCAATCGTCAGTTTGACTATCAATCGTGAGAAAAAAAATCTATAATTTATTAATGTCGCGACCAGATGTCAAACTTTTGTAGTAAACGAACAGTAAATGAGAATACATACACCACCCAAAAAAAATAAGAGAAACAATTTTAACTTAACAACGAATCTATGTATGAAATGAAACAATTACATTTATTAATCTTTGTTTTTGTTCTTGTTCTTCCTAAAAACAATCTCAGTGTCAAGCCCAAACCCATCGATCTTCCTCACCTCCACGACCTTAGATCCCTTGAACAGATTCACTAATGGCTTCACACTGTATATATCGTTGGCCGAGTACTTGGATGTACTCAACAATGTAAAATTTATTCAACAAATATCATATTAGTGAATTTAAAAAATAAGTCAAACAATTTTTATAAACTTGAAACAATAATATAATTATATTTTACTATATTATATTATTTATATATGTTTAAATGTATAGTTATTAATTTATCTAATTATTGGGACTGTATTTTTACACAGGAATTTCAAAAAAAATATTATCTTATTATCTAATCGAAATTTGCTAATTTTTATACAGACCCGATTTGAGACCAGTAAATATTATTAATTTATAGTGATTATTAATTTATGAAGTATTAATTTATAGAGATTCTACTGTAGTTATGTGCAACTTACCATATTTCCACAAATTTAAGAGAACCAAGGGTGAGCTTTCTATAATTTTACTTTCTCTTGGACCTGTTCTGGTTTCGGATATGTTTTTTTATGAGAAATAGTAAAATTCAAAAAACTTGATATCTGAACCTGATGCAGAAACATTTCGACACCTCACAGACCACTAGACCATTTATATTCGGTTTCAGATTTGTTAAAGAGTGATAATAACTTTTGTCATTAACTTTACGGGGGTTTGCTGGAGTTGAACCATGGAGAGCAACAACCTCTTCAGGCGTACGTCCCATTACACCTGACGAGCCATAAGTAAGTAGAAAAAAACTAATCTATGTGTTGTATCAAATAGGCCTGGGTGCAGAGTGGATATCCAGAAAATTTTAAGTATTTGTAGTTTGCTCCGTTTTTACCGAATATTTGATTTTGTGATTTGCTTTGCTCCAAAAAATACAGATATCCAAAAAAATTACAAATATTTGTGGATATTTGCTGATATTTACGGATACATATAGATATTAAATTTGTTCCATTCAATACAAGTAAAAGATGAAAATACATACGTTTCTTTTTAACTACCACTTAAAAATAAGTGAAATAACTATTTTTATTTCAGAAAACAGATATAAATAATAAATTATAATGGTAGAAAAGGAAAAAACCATGTTTTATATTCTGAAAAAGAATATTAATTAATCAACACTCTAATATAAATTTTTCTAATTTATTTTCAAATATTTGATAACTATTGTAGATGTTTATTACTTATTTTAAAGTTATTATATATATTTTTTATCATATATATTCACTTTTAAAATGTTAATAAGATAATTAAACTATATAAAAACATTAAAAATCTATGATATTAATATGTATATATGTAATCTACAGATCGGAGCGGATATCCGAACTTTCGGAAATTAGTATTTGCGATTTGATTTGTTTTAGACGGATACTATATTTTAATATTTACTTTGCTTTAAATCATTACGGATATCCGAATTTTTCGAACCAAGTCCAAGCAAATAACGAATTGAATCAAATATAACGGATAATATGTCCACCCCTAATATCAAATAAAAGACACTAATCAATCTATGGGATATATTTAAAATCGATCGGGTTAAACATCGATTCGTACAATTGATTCAAATAACCTTAACTTCTTTACGTTAACAAACATGCGATCCGAAAAACTAGATTAATTATTTTCTAGAGGTTGTTGTGTATACTTTAAAGTTTAAAGTGGGAGTGTCATCAAGCTCACTTCTTAACTAGCCGCAGTGCAACTGTGCAGGGAAGGACTCGGCCAATAATCAGTGAGCTCTTGTTGTTCTGTGTCTCTCCCCTACCCTACAAAACATCCATCACCACAAATTCAGAAACACCAAAGTCTCATACACAGAAATATTCAAAACCCCAAGCCCTCGTAAAACTTCAGAGGCAAGTAAAAGCCAAAGTTCTTTAAACCGGAACCGAACCAAATTCTTAGGCCTAGCCTGCCTAGTAGAAACGTTTACCTTGCCTAGGGGAGTCCTCCTCCAACACAACACAACACATCAGCGTCATCTTCTAGCCTGTACAAAGCCAGAGGCAGAAGCATATACTTGAGTTAGCTATCCAAATCACAAAACAACTTAACACTGAAATAAACCTATGTCTCATCTCTTACCCTTTGTCACCCGGAGACATGTGTGGAATTCGCATCGCCTTGATCACTCGCACTGCTCATTCGCGACGACACATTGGCTGAAGAACGTACACTCCGAGTCGGATAAGACTTGTGTAGCATTCTACGAGAACAGCTGAAAATTCCAAAGAAGAGACTTGCTGCTGCTTTTGCAACTCTTTGGTGGAGAAGAAGCAGAGATCACAAGATTCATTCGGATCTCAACATTGCATCCTAGCACGGACTGTAACGAGTCTGCAATCAACTTCCATGATTTCTCGGCTCTTGTTGCATGTTGAGGTGTGTAGAATTCTAATTCAGCTATTACCACACCCGAAACTGAAAATTATGGTTTGTGTGTACAAACCAAACTAAAACTTTAGAGCCTATTTTGGAAAATTAAAGATACCTTTGTCAACAATAAGTGAAGTTAACTTCCCTCGTCTCTACTCAATCGTCAGTTTGACTATCAATCGTGAGAAAAAAAATCTATAATTTATTAATGTAGCGACCAGATGTCAAACTTTTGTAGTAAACGAACAGTAAATGAGAATACATACACCACCCAAAAAAATAAGAGAAACAATTTTAACTTAACAACGAATCTATGTATGAAATGAAACAATTACATTTATTAATCTTTGTTTTTGTTCTTGTTCTTCCTAAAAACAATCTCAGTGTCAAGCCCAAACCCATCGATCTTCCTCACCTCCACGACCTTAGATCCCTTGAACAGATTCACCAATGGCTTCACACTGTATATATCGTTGGCCGAGTACTTGTCCGTCTTCCCATGAAGCGACACGTGTATCACGCAAACCCCGCCTGGCTTGAGCGTCCGTTCGATCTCCCCAACGAACTTCTCCGGATAGAGCGCGTGATCGAACACGTTGGAAAATTCGAAATCGAAAGTGTCCGCGTCGAACGGCTGCGCGTGGAAGTCACCTTTCACCACGAGAGGCGGACGCGGCACCAGATCTATCCCGACGGAGTCCTCCACGCCGATCAGCCTCAGCGCCGCAACCTCCTGCCCTACTCGAGCGCCGATCGAGAGCGCCTTGGATCCATTGGAGAGCAGACCGCGATCGCTGAGGCGCCGGAAGAAAGTAGAGAACACGCGCACCTTCCTGTCCCAGTCGCGCGTCGTCCACACCTTCCGGAGCTTCGGGTTCTGAGTTTTGTTGAGCTGGTGCTGGATGTAAGCCTCGTAGGAGGCGTATCCATGACGGATCCGGATCCCTTCGTCGGCGACGACGACGGAGGAGGAGGAGGAGGAGAGAGATGGCCGGAGGAAAGTGGAAGGGAAAGCGAAGAAGAAGACGATGAGGAGAGAGAGTGAGATGAAGAGAGAAAGAGTGAAGGGTAACTTTGGAATTACGAACTTCATTTTCAGATTTAGAGCCTCGAGACTTCTATTTCTGAGGAGATAGCCATATATGGTGATTAATTAAATAAAGCATTAATATATACAACTCGATCCATTGTTTCCGCTGTGTTAACAAAACAACCCAAAGTTATGTTGTGATTAAACTCAGAGCAAACGAACAAAAGTTTTTTTAAACTAGTAGGTACCTCAAGTAAACAAACGTGAAAAGATTAGCTCTCCCTTGCAGAATTCTCAAAGCGTAAAATTGCTCAAAGAGAGAAACAAACTTGTACATTCTAATGAGGTCATCACACTGTTTTTTTAGTTCCCACACCATTGGTCTTCTCCTCGATATGACTAAGCATCTTCAGTTAGGGAAGTTACAAATGAAGACGAAACCCAACCATTCTTCTTCGCGTGCTCCACATAGTCGTTGAACTTCTCCTTTGCGTTTGGAATGTCTAAAGCAAGATCTTCGAGCCCGTCTTTGACTCTAGTGAACCCTTTGGTCATCTGGTTTATGGTTATGAGTCCTTCACCAAAACTCTCCTGCAGAAGATCCAATACCATCTTGTCGTTCTTCTTCTCCATTGCCATGACCAGTGCTTTTTTAACCACCTCATGGTTGAAGAAAGGCATGCCTAGCTCACGGATGCATTTGCAAGCTTCTGATACGAGCCCCGAGCTTTCATACTCCTCCAGGAGACTCAGTATCTTGTCCTTTGCGTCTTCCACTGCCCATCCGGTCCCACCTCCCCAGCATCGTAGAAGCCTCTCTCCTGCATGTCGAGCAAAGATCAGTGACCTAGCCATCTTCACGGTTTCAATCCCGCTTGAGTTTGGTCGTAGCTTGCTACAGATCTCTTCGAGGTTAAAAGGTGCTAAAACATCATCGATCACGGCTCGAGCTAAGAACAGAGCAAGTTCGTTGGAAGCATCGAGGATGTCAAGAGCTGTATCTTCTGCAGATTCCAAGAGCATGACGAAACCATCTGCAACATCTTCTGTGGTGAACATCTCGATGTGAAGAGAAGAGAGGAGAACAGATGCCATTTCTTTCTCCCGATTCTTCCTGTCCAGAGCAAGTGTTACCAGCTTCTTTAGAAATATTGGGTTGTACTCGGGTGCTCCCAAATCCTCAAGACTGCATATGAGCTCAGGTATGTCATCGGAATTGAAATACTCATGAATGATGGTCACAACCTCTTCCTTGAACCGCTTGAGTTTCTCATCCTCGATCTGCTGTCGTCCACCTTCACCAGAGGGATAACTAAACGAAGCATCAAGCCAGCCGCCTGAGATAGCCTTTGGCACAATCAAATCGAATTTGGTTTTAGCTGAAGGAATGTCAAGAGCAAGATCATCGAGGCTTTCCCTTAACCTGGAAAATCCCTTCACCATTTGACTAGAGCTTATCAGGTTTTCTGAAGCTGCTTCCTTGAGCAGATTCAATACAAGTGATTCTGCTGTGGAACTCTCCAACCCAGTAACTAGAGCCCTCTTCACAACCTCGTGATGAAAGAAGGACACGCCCAATTCCCTAATGCAGCGACATGCCTCATAAGTGTCTCCAGTCTCCATATACTCCTTCAAAATGTCAGCAATCTTCTTCTTGACTTCCTCAACAGAGGTTCGAGTCATCCCACCCCATCTTCTTTCAACCAGCTCGGCATGGTGTGCAGCTGATAGATAGCTTTTCTCTGCAGTTTGGACAACCTGGTAACCTTTGGAAGTATTCGGAAGTGCCTTGGTTGCCCTGGGAAGAAAAGCTGGAGGAAGGACGTCATCCACAACAGCACGTGCAAGGAACAAGGCAAGAACATTGACAGCATCAGGTATATCCACCACAAAGTCATCAGCTGACTCGAGCAGCAGCACAAACCCATCTCTGATCTGGTTCGGGTTGATGACATCAGCATACAATGCGGATAGCAACACTGAGGCCATTTCCTTCTCTTTGTCATGTCTGTCCATGGCTACAGAAACAAGCCGCTTGATGAAGTAAGGATGGTATTCACTCGAACCAAGTTCACTAAGGTCAGATGCTGCCACATCGACATCACCAGTGCTGAAGTATTCCTCGATGATGGAAGCCACAGCTTTCTTGTAATCATCTAATGGGTCTGAAACCGTGGCACCAACAAGCTCGAATGGTTCCTAATATAAACAAGAAACACAACGGGAGCTGATCTTTAAGAACATCTAAAAAGCAACGCTCTACTGGAAACAGTGGATGGACAAATAGAAACAATTTTGCTTTCAAGTACATACTTTGGCAACAAATTAATCAATCAAGAAAATCAAAAATGATTACTTTCATCTAGTAAGGAACTACCTCTCCGCTGTCATAATTTGGATCATTCCGGTCCATTTGATAGTCTGCATCAGTGTCAATAAGATTCCCCCAAGTTCCTTTCCCACCACACCCATCTAAAAACAAAATGCATCGATCAGACCAAAGGAAGATGAACCACAGGAAATAACATACGTATATATGCAATAAACAGCTCCAAGTTTAGCTAAATGCAATCATCCCCTTGGAACTTCATGGTTTAGAATCACAAGCCAGAGTAGTAAGTAGTAACTCACTCTTCTTTGCACGGACAGGCTTCCCCGCATGAGACTTTCTATGTTTCACAGCATTCGACCCACCAGAAGCTTTCCCACCAGCATTTGATTTGGGTAGATGATGCTCTGCCAGTAAAGACGAGTGAGGTTTTTGTGATGGTTGATGATTCTCGGTTGCAACTTTCATCATCTCTCTCTGCTCATCCGTTAGAAACCCTTCCTTTGACGCCATCTTTCCTGAAAACTGGAACATCGTTAAAACAATCCTTTTGACACAGATATACTACACGATAATATCGGTAACGGCAAGCTATCTCATCAGGTAAGTAAACAAATTTGAGCTGTAGCAGTGGTGAATCTTCCAAACCTAAAAACCACAATACAATCTAAGCCAATCCAAAACCGCGAATCCAGAAGAACGAAGGACGATACATGATATCAACGGATATTTGTTTCTCATATATTTATACATCAATCAATCATCCAATGATCAAACACCATAACAAACCGAAGAAAAGTTTAAGAGTCTCGAAGTACCAGTAAATGTAATGTTCAAATGGATAGGCACAGTAGAACTCAAATCCCGAATGGTGTTCCTTCGTCGTCGGCCAAACTCTTGAGCCCAGATGAGATAAAATACCAAAGTGAGAAAAGCTCCACGAAGCGGACCCTAAACAAAGCGAGATGCGAGGAAAGAAGAAAGAGGTCGAAGCGTAGATCCGAGAAGACGAACCGGATGAAACTTTCCCGGGAAAATAGGAGATTTGAGAGACGATTGTAGTAAAATGTTTGAGGAATCAGCAGAAGATTGGATTGGATTGGATTAGATTGGAAAGTTGCGAGTGACAAATAAACCTTTTCGGAATGGAGGCTGCTGCTACGGCTACGGGTTTCTCATCAAAGGGCTCAATCACAAAGACTGTCGCCACGTGTTACTGTTTCAACGGTGGCGATTGCTACTAACATGCCAAAGGCAGCGGACTAGGGTTATGGATTAATATTTGGTTTTTTTTTGTAAGAAAATAGTGAAAGTAATGAAAATGTATATATATGGGTCGTATAAATCTATGGGTTTGCCAAATAAAATGAAGAATACAAAGACTTTAATCTATGGGTTGTATATAAAATAAAAGGGACAATCAATCTATGGGCTATATTTAAAAGGGATAAAGACCCCATCAGAATCAGATGCTTGAGCTCAGACAATGAAAGGGTTTAAATTTAAAAATCAAATTAGAGGGTAAAATGACTCATGTCCTTAAATGATTGATTAGTATATGCTAATCTAAAATATGGTCTTGATACACATTTTGCAACTGTACATTTTGTGACACATTGTCCCAAAAACAGGTCTCAATGGATTTGCTAAACCTAATGGCTCCACAAAATGGGAATGTCATCAAGCTCACTTCTTAACTAGCTGCAGTGGTGCAGGGAAGGACTCGGCCAATAATCCGTGAGCTCTTGTTGTTCTGTGTCTCTCCTCTACCCTACAAAACATCCATCACCACAAATTCAGAAACACCAAAGCTTCATACAGAGACATATTCAAAACCTCAAGCCCAACCGAAACCAAACGGTAACAACATTTATCTACCAACCGAAAGTGCAAGCAAACCGAACAAAACCAAATTCTTAGGCCTAGTAGAAATGTTTACCTTCCCTAGGGGAGTCCTCTTCCAACACAACACGTCAGCGTCATCTTCTAGCCTGCATAAAGCCAGAGGCAGGAGCATACATGAGTTAGCTATCCAAATCACTTAACAGCTTAACACTGAAATAAACCTATGTATGTATCATCCTTTACCCTTTGTCACCCGGAGGCATGTGTGGAGTACACATAGCGGAATTTGCATCGCCTTGATCACTCGCACTGCTCATTCGCGACGACGCATTGGCTGAAGAACGTACACTTCGACTCCTCAGGACATTTCCTTGGCAACTCCTCAGAGAATTTGTAACTGCGAGCTTTTCAGCTGCGCAATCAGAGTCGGCTCTACTAGTCAGATACGACTTGTGTAGCATTCTACGAGAACAGCTGAATATTCCAAAGAAGAGACTTGCGGCTGCTTTTGCACTCTTTGGTGGAGAAGAAGCAGAGATCACAAGATTCATGCGGATCTCAACATTGCATCCTAACACGGACTGGAACGAGTCTGCAATCAATTTCCATGATTTCTCGGCTCTTGTTACATGTTGAGGTGTGTAGAATTCTAATTCAGCTATTGCCACACCTGAAACTGAAAGATATGGATTGTCTATATCAGAAAGCTGCCTTCAAGACATAAACCAAACTAAAACTTTAGAGTCTATTTTGAAAATTTTAAGATACCTTTGTCAACAATAAGTGAAGTCAACTTCCCTCGTCTGGACAAAAAGCTCTTTAGTGATTCAGAACAACACAAATCTGTTACCATTTTCCACACGGTTTCAACTGTTTCTTTACAGTTCTTCTCTTGACACTCTTCGGTTTCTGATTTAACGACATCACCAGGACGATCTGATGATGTGCTGGAGAGGTCACCGTCTAGATACAGGACCAATGTCAGTTATATACTTAGCAACCAAGAAAACACAGTGCAAGAAATATATAATAATGAAAAGGCGTTGTAGGATAAACTAAGGACCTTTGCTTGTTTGGCTTCTTAAACACATTCCATTTTCATTTGTTGCGAAAGAAGATGAGTCGGTGTTGCTAAGTTGCAGAAGTGCCACAGTGAGCCAGGTTGTCTGGTTTTTCGATGCTCTCAAGTGTTTCTCAGCATCAGATAGTATCTTCAATGCATTACTCAGTTTGTTCATTTCTTCTTCAGCTGTATAATATGACGACATATGAAAAGCGTTAGATTAGGTTCAATTTCTTCTTCAGCCGACACTGAAAGTAATCATTGGTTCGCTTACAGGTATGCCTTGTGAGAAACCGAAGTCTGGTTGCTGAACTACTTTCTTGAGATTTTCCAGCAATGGTGTCCATAATGACATTAGCTAGCTGGGAAATAAGCTGCATTGGATCTATTTTCGATCTCATGAGCTCCCTCGCTCTTATAACCGTATTTGAGGTATCAGAAGACAAGGCAAGATCAAGCAGATCAAGCAATTCATCATCAGAAACAACCCCAATCTGCACAGTAGAAGAAAGTTTGCTTTTTACCTCAGCTATCACATATTCCTAAGACAATGAGTGATTACAAATATATGGAGAAAGATGTGTTAACTTACGAGCTTGTAGGCCAAAGACGTCGTTATTCTTTTACCGAGCAGGCTTAACTGATCAAGCATTATCTCAGCGTCACGAAGCGAACCATCAGATTTAGAAGCAATGAAATCAACTGCAGCCTGATCAAAATCAATACCTTCTTCCATACATATCTTTGCCAGCTTATTCGATATATCCACGTCGCATACTTTAGAGAAGTGATATTTCTGAGACCGCGAGAGCACGTTACGCGGCAACTTCTCTTGCTCCGATGTGACCAGTATAAAAACCGAATGCTGAGAGAAACTGTCAAAACTGTTCAAGAGAGTACCCCAAGTTTCTTGGCATAGTAACTGACACTCGTCAACGATGAAAACTTTAAATCGAGACGAAACCGGAGGAAGAGATGCGTTTTTGATGAGAGACCTGAGGTAGCTAGGCCGGTTTAGTTTACCCGAATCGATCTCCTTCACGTCCATGCTTCTTCCCGAGAAGTATGAACTGCATTCACTACACAGGCCACATGGTCTACTATGTGCAGCCTGTGAAAGGCAGTTCAAAGCAGCTGCAAATATCTTAGACGTCGATGTTTTACCGGTGCCACGAGGACCGTGGAAAAGGTAAACAGAAGTGATCCTCCCTCTCAAGATGGTGCTCAAGAGACATTTCACCACAACTTCTTGTCCAACTATCTCATCGAAAGATCTCGGCCTGAATTTCTGACTCAGGCTCCTTGACACAGTTTCGTGACTCGGTGTCACCACATTGCTCTCACCATTTCCAGAGAGTAAAGGATACTCTTCTACATCTGAGGACTGGTTTGATCCTCTGTACCTCGGAGTTCTTGACCAGCAGTACGTTATTCCGCAACCGCGGTTACATTCGTTCACGAAATCAACGTCTTCATCCCCATAACTATGATTAGTCGAGGTCACTGGACTACCTACGTGGCTGCCATATTCACCAACCGAGCTAGCTAACTTAGTGGAGTAATGGGTTCTATATCTTCCCCCTGAAGCTGCATCCTCAGCAAGACTAAGTGAAGGCGCGTTACATGCCAAGTCCCTACCTTTAACCGTTGAATCACCACAGGATCTTTCGCTTGACGGCGATTTACTCCTCGAGCACGCGTCTGCTTCCCCATTAAGCACCCTGTTGCTCAGCTTGTGAAGACCACAACCATTCTCTAGCTCCTCCATTATCGAGTACGATCCAAAAGGAATCAAACCCACACGAGCATCATCAGCCTTACAAGCATCATCATTCACAAACTGCAGTGAGATCCCGTTGTTGGAACCAGTTTCCCATTTGACATTTTCGAGCAAAGAAGCAAACTTGCTCATCGAATTAGTACATGGATCTCTCAGTGACCGAACCCTTCTAAGAGCCACAAGTGTTCTTGTGATGGGAACATCTACAGAATGCCTCCTAATCTCCCCCATTTTTCCAAAATTGATCAAACAATCCTACAACTCAGACCCAAGCTCTCTCTCTCTCTCTCTCCCCTGAAACTTCAAGATTCGACAACCACAATCTCTTGCCTGATAAAGACTGTAAAATTAGTGATATTCTACAATATATAAAGCAAACCAAACTCCAGCACCCAAGAGCATAAATCAAATCCAAACAACCATTTTGAGTTAGTACAACTCAAGAAGAAGCTAGCAAAACGATGAAAATGCGAACACGGAAACAGATGGGGAAAAATAAATAAAAACTAACAGTCACAGAGCTCAAAGAACACATATAACAGAGACCCAGATAAGCCATGAAAAAAAAACAAAAAACAAAAAAACTTGGGAACGATTTAAAATGGCTTTAGAATAAGGAAACGACAAACCGAAAATCCCAAACGTCAAAGATTCGGGAATACCAATGTGTATTGAATGGATTGGCGTACAATGCGGAGGATCCAAAACCCTAAAACACCTTGAAAGAGGAAGAAGAAGAAGGTGGTGGCAAAGTGGTAAATAAGAGTGATGGTGAGAGGTGATAATAAAAATAAAAATAAAGGTCGTAGTTTGTGTGGACTGTGGAAAGAGATAGAGAGAGAGAGGGAGAGGACGGGAGACATATGTTAGGGTAGGAGGCAGCGTTTTTTGCAGAGAAAGATGAAGACTTGGGACAGAGAGCCAACCAGTAAGAAGGAGAGAGAAAGAAGAAATGAGTTTAATTTTTGGAGTTCGCTTCATTTAAGATTCGTTCGGCGGTTTCAGTTATGTCTCTTTTTGCTTCCGTGGCAAAACCAACAAAACACACTCTACTTCGTGTGGTCCGCTCCTCTGCCACGTTTTTAACTCTTGCCACCTCTTCTCACGTGTTGTTCTTCCAATTATTTCAGAGTTTCAACTATTTCTTCTCAATTATTTGTTTTATTATTTGGAAGAAGCAATAAGAATTCAAAGTTGCTTCTCGCTAATATGGAAAAATTATCCTCCAACTACACCCAAGTACTTGGCCATGTATTGAATACATGAATTTTGTGTCGGTTACTAACATCATATATTTATCTCTAAGCATTTGCATTTGGTTCCTCTCGATCATTACCGTTATTAACTAAAACATAGAACAAAATCGCTTCCAACTTCACCAAAAATTCACTTGTTTTTGACACATGCCTTTATTTTTAGAACGAATACTTGAAACAAGTTAAAAATGAAAAAAGGAGATCATTTGTGGAAAGTATTGTTGAGTTTGAGACAAACACCCTTTTTCCTTGAATATGATTTCCCTTTCACTTACAGAGGTGAGATGCTATGCTACTATTCTGGAGGGAAAATGTATGGAAATGACATTTGTTAAGTACTGTATTGAGTGATATAAGCAATTAGTTACAGCCAAATTTAAAATGTTGAAAACACATTTCAAACGTATATTACAGTAAGTGGGAAATTCACTGGTATGTTAACATATAGTCTGTTACAATTTCAATATGTATCTGAGATAACAACATTATGTGGATATCAAAGAAGATATAATGTTAGCAACATTTCGTATATGCTTGAAATAACATATACAGTTTTTAACTTGTGCACTGTTTCTTTTCCGTTATACAAATGATCTCAGTTAATGATAAAATAAGTGAAAAAAGCGTTGAGTACTCGAATGTTGACGTGGACAATTTTGTATTTAGATTTGAAACAGAGAAGTCAAGGTCTGAAACAAAGAGCAAGAAAAGAGATGACTATAGTGAGAGTCAGGGGTGAAGCCAGAGTGGTTTTTTATAAACTTGGTGTATTTTTACAACTAATTTTTGTAATGCACCTATTAAAATTTCTAATTTTGTTCTTATATTTGGGGTTGTGCACCCACTAAAAAAATTCTTCTAGCTTCGCTCTTGGTGAGAGTGACCGAAAAACATTTACAAAATTTCTCTATGTTGCAATAAAAAAAATATATATATATATGGATGAAATCGATTTATTATCCTATAAGACGAGTTCCTAACTGTTTTTTAGTTTTATCAACTACTGGATCATAATTTAGATTTGTTACCGGGTTTCTGAGTCTATATATCAGTTTACCCAGTCAGTGAGGGTCTTAAGACTTTTTTTAATTTGTTTACTTAAGTCTCATGACTTACTTGACTACTGAACTTAGTGGTATTCTTCATATACAAAAGCTTGTGCAACTGCCTTTTTCTGTTTCGTTTTCTATTTTGGGATGAAAGACCAATACGTTGACCGATTGTTTCCCAAAATTATCTCTTGGATTCTGATAAAGAAGATTGTTGGAAAAAGTGTGCTAGTGTTACACAGACGAAACTTAGTAACATATTGTTTGAGGAAACACGTTAAAACTTTTCATAATATCTATATACCAATATGAGAAGCTTTTTGAGGTTTTTGTATAGCAACATATTTAACTTATGATGTCAAAAGGTTTCAGACTCTTAAGTAAGCAATAAATTTTTAAAAAATGCTTTATTTATATTAATTGTATGTTAAATGAATGCCAATTAGAGAATATTATGTAGCGATGAAATAATGAATATTAATTAGAATACAAAAAATAAGTATGTATAAATATCTAGGATGACACTGGATCAAATCCTTGTATGTTTTACGTCACTAAAACTGGGTTCAATCAAGATTCCGTTGAATACAAGTCACTTTGGGTCCCCAAGGACGAAAAAGAAAGACAAAATAAATTAGAGAGGATAGCATGAATGTGTCACGCATTATTATTTATGAGTGGATGCCATAACATTTACTTATTAATATGTTCAAATTCTAAGGCGAACTTTACGGATAAAATAAAAACGAATAAAGAAAAGCAAAAAAGATATGTGGCATGTAAGAGTTGCCTACTTTGCCCTTCAAACAAACAATAATAAGTTCTGGGAGGCATGTGCTGCGATTACTCAAATCTTCATTTGTCGTTGTCAAATTCATCTTTCCGAACAAATCTTGTTTGGTAGAGTGAAGATGAAGATATGTTGAGCGAGCGGGCCTCTCTCCTTGATTGATTCCCACTATTAAATCAATTTTTTAAATAATGTAATTCACCTTTTTATAGTTGATCTCTGTTTTTGAATAAGGGTGTAAATATTGATTCCGATGGTAATAAATATTGCAATATTTTAAAAAGTTTTGCATGATAGTACAGATTTTGATCGCTGTTTGGTCTAGCTGGTATTCGGTTTCGCCTTTTTTCACTTCATGAACTTGTGTGCATATACCCATTTGTGTTAGAACCTCTGAAATTGCAAAACTGTTAAAAACCATGTCTTTCCCCCTTAAAAACAGTTATCCCGATGATAATTATATTCAAAGAACGGCTTAAAAACAATATCTTCAATCCAAAGCTACAAGAAAAAAGCTAACATGTTTATAATCTTTTTACTCCTTAAAAACAGTTATCCCGATGATAATTATATTCAAAGAACGGCTTAAAAACAATATCTTCAATCCAAAGCTACAAGAAAAAAGCTAACATGTTTATAATCTTTTTACTCTCTTCATTTTTTCTCAATCGTTTTTGCTTTATGTATTCTAAGTTTTTTGACCATAGATGTATGTGATTATGTTGACATATATATGAATTTGTACTTAAATGATAAGTCTCACATTTAATGATATGGTACATCACCCACTATCCTCCTCATGTTTTAGAGTGGATTCCTTCATTAGCAGAACTGTGTAAATCGTAATAAGATATTAAAATCAACATGCATCAACACATACGAATTATCAGAGTCTGGTTGTAAAGAGCCTACGAGAAGCATTAACAGACAATGCTAAAAATATCCAACAATCAAGATACAGTCAGAGACAAATTATATGATATTGTCAAGCAAAATAAATTTTTATATATACCAAAACCTTTATTCAGACCTCCACAATACAAGAGTAGTTGGATCACGGATACTGAATAACGAACAGATTACAAAAAGGCGTGACAATAAACACAATCACCCAAAAGAGATTCATACGAACAAATTAGACAAATATGATTCACCCAAAATAAACTAGACAAAAGAAGTTCATCCATCCATACTCATATATTTTCAGTCTTCACGTTTAATTTATGTATATATTTGAAATGTTGTAGAACCTTTTACGGTATTTTTCTCTGTATATTCTTTTTGTCTTCTTCTCTACAAAGATCAACTGCTGATTTAACAACCAGAAGAGAAATGCTAAGGTAGCGTGAGTGCGTGACTAGTTCGGAGAAGAAAAAAAGTCTATAATATTTCGTTATTGTCAACAAAATGAAATTGTTTTTACTAGACTTCAAGTGTCAACAACTCAGATTATTGCTAATTTACTCTCTTTTTTTCAAAAATTATATATATATATTTAGTACTCATTTTATATATTTTTAAAAAATAAATCAACCGTATCATTTGATTACGGTGTCCAAAGACTAGCATGCTCAACTGTCGAAACGACATAGAAATTGAAAGGAATCCCGTAAAACCTGCAAATCACGAGGCATTACATGTCCCACTTATACTTTCTTGTACATCTCACCAATGCCTTTCCACACTAACCTATCATTACCAATACCTATTTAACTTAATGACTTTTCAGAGTATTGATTCGTCTCTAAATTCCCCTGCCGTAATTGGTGCATTAACAAGTGGAAAGGAATATGGCGAGCACAAAACAACTGTCTTTCACGTCTTTTTCACCACCACCACCAATCATGAAGACAAATTGCTCAAATTCATTTCCTCTACATTTTCAGATAGAAACAAAGTCTAAGCCGATATATAGTGATGTACCAAAAATACAATTATACATCTTTAAATGACTAAATCTATGTACTCCATCTCCGATGGAGTCATCCGACTAATTAGATGGTTTATTACTTCATTTTTCCGTTTTCTTTTTCTTCATCTCATTCTTTCTTTCTTTTTTTGCCATTTATGTTTTTCAAGATACTCGATTACTTGACAATTTTTGTTTTTTTAATTAAAAAGTTACTTGACATGTTCTGTCGGTTTATCTTCGCTTTTCTTTGATATCTTACCTAACATGTTGCTATAGTATATGGTTGGATAGTTAGTTCTCTGACTAAAGGCTTTGTTCAGGTCTAATGATTCTGATACGGAGACTTTATTTTTCAAATTTATTTTTTGCAATATATGCAACTAACATAGCCCTGATTTCACATGGACATGTATATCGAAAACCTAAGATAGTCTAATGAACAGCAAAATAAAATAATAAGCATGAGAAGTAAAAAAGAAATATGCAATTATAGGCAATCTCTATGCCATTTTTTTTTTTTATCGTTCGTTATCATAGGTTTATGATTCACGTAACATCTCAAAATTTTGTTACATTCTTTTTTAAGTGAAACTGCGATAAACTGGTACTTTTCTTTTGTTGGTTTAAAATCCCTTTTTGTTGAAATTTTCTCTATTTCTCATCGACTATAATGGTTACTAAGTTTGGATCCTTATAATTACCTCAAAACCAACTTCCTGTTGTTTTTATTCGGCTAAACAGATCAAGTGGAGCTTATTTGAAAAGTATAACATTTTCGACCTAATTACTAATGAGATTGGAGGCTTTTGTTTAATGTCAACAATTCGCTAACTGAAGGTTTTTAATTGTGACGGATGTAAGCATTCTATTGGTTTATCCTAGGCATTATTATATAAGTACTTTTACTAAAGAAGAAATAAAAGAGTGGGACCTAAACCGAAAAATTCCAATAACAAATAGTAGTATGGGAGAGATCCGTAAATCTTTATATAAACCCCCAAAGTTTACTCTCCTCTCTATTCCCACTCAAAACTTATTTCCTCTGTATTCTTCCCTCTTCTCTCACACAGAATCCGAGAGAGAGAGAGTGAGTCTACACTGTAACCATACGAAAAAAAAGAAAATGCAGACCATGAAGCTCTTTATCTCCATAGTCTCCTTTCTTCTCTATGCTCAATCGCTCTTATCTTCACCAGTTCCAGACCCAGAATCCATTGTTGAAGAAGTTCACAAGTACGAATCTTTCTTCTTCTTCAAGCTCTCACCCACATTCTACTTGAAAACCCAAACTTTTCAGCTTACTGTTACAAATTTCTCATTTTAATATATACTTTTTGTCTGTTCACAAGTCCCTAAACCCCCAAATTTCAGCAGCCTAGTGTTACAAAATGCTCTCGTCTTTTTTTCAAAATAATTAAATTGCAAATGGGGACCATAAAACAGTAAACTTTATGAAATCTCTCTGCTTTATGATTTTAAGGAAATAAAAATGCAATAAAAGTCTCTGATTGTGTTGGTTGTGTGCAACTATGGCAGGAGCATTAATGCGTCGGTTACAGGAAGAAGGAAGTTAGGTTATCTCTCATGTACGACCGGTAACCCAATCGACGACTGTTGGCGATGCGACCCACACTGGGAGAAAAACCGCCAACGCCTCGCCGACTGCGCCATCGGGTTCGGCAAGAACGCAATCGGCGGCCGAGACGGTCGGATCTACGTGGTCACAGACTCAGGAAACGACGACCCGGTGAGCCCAAAACCCGGGACTCTAAGACACGCCGTGGTCCAAGATGAGCCGCTCTGGATCATCTTCCAACGAGACATGACGATCCGGCTTAAAGAAGAGCTGATCATGAACTCTTTCAAGACCATCGACGGTCGTGGCGCGTCCGTACACATCGCCGGTGGGCCCTGCATCACGATTCAGTACGTGACGAACATCATCATCCATGGGATCCATATCCACGACTGCAAGCAAGGCGGGAACGCTATGGTGCGGAGCTCCCCACGGCATTTCGGGTGGAGAACGATATCGGACGGTGACGGTGTCTCCATCTTCGGAGGGAGTCATGTTTGGGTTGACCATTGTTCGCTCTCGAACTGTGAGGACGGGCTTATAGACGCTATAATGGGCTCGACGGCGATTACTCTGTCTAACAATTACATGACGCATCATGATAAGGTCATGTTGCTTGGTCACAGTGACACTTACACTCGTGACAAGAATATGCAAATCACCATTGCTTTTAACCATTTTGGTGAAGGCCTTGTTCAAAGAATGCCCAGGTAAGAAACAGATTTGATCTTTTTGGTAGTTTTTGTTTAATGTGATTGTGATTTGTGACTAAAATGTTGGGACCATTGTTTGTGGATGTGCGTGTAGGTGTAGACATGGCTACTTCCATGTGGTGAACAATGACTATACACATTGGGAGATGTATGCGATTGGAGGAAGTGCTAATCCTACGATCAATAGTCAAGGGAACAGATTTGTGGCACCGAATATTCGATTCAGCAAGGAAGTGACTAAGCACGAGGATGCTCCAGAGAGCGAGTGGAAGAGCTGGAACTGGAGATCCTCTGGAGATTTGTTGCTAAACGGTGCGTTTTTCACGCATTCAGGTGGTGCTGCCTCCTCTAGCTATGCCAAGGCTTCGAGCCTTGGGGCTCGACCGTCTTCTCTCGTTGGACCATTGACGTTGGGTTCTGGTGCACTGAATTGCCGTAAGGGTGCACGTTGCTGATTGTTGTGGCCTTTGGTGGTGGTGGTGGTCACTTCAAGTTTTTTCTTACCCAATTATAAAAATTATATAGAAAAGGCAATTAAAGCCACTAATTAAGGGGTTAGTAGTTATACTTTGTTAAACCCCCTTAATTTACTCTCTTTTTGATTTTTCTTCTTTTTGGGGTAAAATTAAGGAGAATACAACCTCTGGCTTGCTTTCTCTTAGGACCCTTGTAAGGATTCTCTGTTTTAAGGAATCTTTTATTAGGTTAAGTGTAGGAACAAGTGCAGATGTGTTGATCTTTGATATTGTTATAATATAATTGATGTCTTTTATTTTATTTTTCCTTATGAATTTATATATGTCTGCAGAGATGAACCAACTCATGATGGAAGTTAGCTACAATGTCCATGCTTTTGGTTTTCCAAATAAATTACTATTTATTCAGAAATTTTGAATGTTCTAGTAATTTTTTTAAGGTCAAAGTTGTGTGAGCCAGTCAATGTTTGACCAATGCCACGACTTTTTTTTCACTCTGGTCGATGCATCGATTGTGTGGTTAAATAAAAAAATTTACCCTTAAAAATAGGAAAAGAATCAGGCATGTGAACATGCGAGAACAGAAAAGCGGAGATTTGAGATAGACTGAAATAGAAAAATGAAAAGATAAATCAAAAAGGAAGAAAATTGGAACAGTCATCTGTCTCAGTAGCCCTACTTTTGATGGCCTGGTCTCATATTCGTGTTGACTACTGTCCACTGATTGTGGGATACATTTTTGAAATTTTGAACTTATAACTAAAATAACTAACCCAATAGTATTTGTTTTTCTCCATATAACTAACCAATATTATAATATACACCTTTTTTCTTGGCCATGTCATGTCACATGTGCAGTATATAATTAATTAATTTCAGAAATAACAGAAAAAGATACTATGGTTACTGGTCGCAACTAAAGATGTGATGTAGTGGTTGGTGTGATTATTGTGTGGCAGGTTCGAATCGGCGAGTCAGTAAATAATAAATTATGCGTTGTAAAGTAATGCTCACATTGTTGGTTTTCTTTATCTGATTCCCAAGTCCAAAACACATGAAGAAGATATTGGTCTCAGTCTCATACCGAGCGAGAAGGTTTTCAACTTTTGATCATGTTGTGAGTTGGGCTTCTGCGGTCCACGTGGGCTTCCATAATATATTTTCTTTAGTATCTTCCTAAGGTAATGAATGAATCTTCAGAAGCCCAATATGAAATGCATTATAAATAATTTTATATGTTTAAATGTATGTCGAATAAGATATATTATAGAAAAATATCTTATGGTTTTCGCATGATTGATAGTTAATTTAAGTCTTCCTAAACTTGTTTTTGATATGGAAAACCTGTATGTAGAAACAATGACTATAGGCCACTATAAGATAGAATATATATTTTTATATCGAAAAACAAGTTTTAGGAAGAATAAACTCAAGAAACATCAAAAAACATTGCAGATACTCAAGAAACATCAATTCCTTACATTTAGGTTAGAAAAATCAAACACACAAAAAACGGTGAAATATTGACATACCTTTTTGTTGAGAATATACGATGTAGAGAGGGTAAGAACTACTAATAGGAGAATATGTTCTTTAAAAAAAAAAAAAAAAAGAATATGTTCTTCTTCTTCTAACCCAAATCCTTTTTTTTTTAGTTTGTTCATGTTTTTGAGATTGAATAAAAAACTAGAGTGGTTAAAGAGACAAACTTAAACACAACATTTTATAATTCGTTGGTTAATGAATTGACAATGTTAGCTCTTAATAATTTTTATTTAATTCGTTTTGATACGTTGAATTATATAATACGTTAAATAAAAATATTTAATTATTTTTTTCACTTTGGGTATCGAACAATTTTCTCTTGCTCACTCGGCCCTCCTTATCCCTATCTCCCCCACCGTTCTAAAACCCTCCCTTCCTCTTCTTTTCTTCACTTCTATCTCTCACAATTCCGCAATGGCTTCTTCAATAGTGACCTCAAGCTTGAAGCCTTTAGCCATGGCGGATTCTTCCTCTTCCACCATTTTCTCACATCCCTCATTCTCCTCCACTATCTATCCCTCCAAAACCCGCTGCTCCAGTTTCTCCCTACTCACCGGACGCACTAACCTCCCGCTCTCTTTCTCCCGCTTCTCCCTCTCTCTCAAATCCAAAACCCACCTTAAAAAGACCCCCTTTGTTTCCTTCGTCGCCCAGACTTCGGATTGGGCTCAGCAGGGTGAGGAAGAAGGTGGGGATGGGAGCGCATCGGTCGCCGTTGAGGACAACGAGCCAGAAGCCGCCACGTTTTTGGAAGGGGAAGGAGATGCGAGCGAAGGAGGCGGTTTCCCGGAGCCACCGGAAGAAGCGAAGCTCTTCGTCGGAAACTTGTCTTACGACGTTGACAGCCAAGCCTTGGCTATGCTCTTCGAGCAAGCCGGTACAGTTGAAATCGCCGAGGTGATTTTTTTAGTTCTGGTTTCCTTCTTGTGCTTCTTATTTGAGAACCCTTGATTGATACGTTTATGTTCATTTTGCATTGCTTCAGGTCATGTATGTTCTGTGCATTTCAATTTTTGCATCAACTATCAAATGAATGACAAATGTGAAACTCTTGGCTTCTCTGTGTTTTTTATTAGTGTATCTGGTTTGAGAGAATTATTGAAGTGGTTGGAATTGTGTGGGTTTAATTCATATCTGTTGATATTTAGATGTTTTCAGAGAACAATATGTGCTTGCATGCTTGGCCTTCGGTGTATATGTGATGACATTCGAAGCTCTCACCTCTATTTAGTTTAAGAGATAGCGTTGTTCATCCTAACTTATTCTTTGGATTCTTCTTGTTGAAGGTTATCTACAATAGGGAAACCGACCAGAGTCGTGGGTTTGGATTTGTGACCATGAGTTCAGTGGAAGAAGCTGAGACAGCTGTTGAGAAGTTTAACCGTTATGTAAGTTCACATGTCTCAGTCATATCTGAAATATTAGCATGTATTGTGGTGGGATGTTGTTGTTCCTTTGATATTGGCTCATAAGTGGCGTTAATAGATCTTAATCCAACCAAAGATTTTGTCTTTCTGCTCCAATTCTTTTTTTTTTACAAACTAATATGGAAGCTTTGGCATTTGTTGATTGGTGCATTATCCCAATTGTTTCACTACCTAAGTACCTATCCCCATTGGTTGCATCTGCGTGAAAATGTTTGTGCCTGGGACATATTGGCTACTGGGTTGAGCTCGGATTCTGTAAGAACATTACTGACCATCTGTGTTGGTCTTATTTTCGTGTATTGTCAGGATCTGAATGGACGGCTTCTGACAGTAAACAAGGCAGCTCCCAGAGGATCACGCCCAGAACGCCAACCTCGGACATACGAACCGGCGTTCAGAGTCTATGTGGGGAATCTACCATGGGATGTGGACAATGGTCGTCTAGAACAACTTTTCAGTGAGCATGGCAAAGTTGTGGAAGCTCGTGTGGTTTATGACCGTGAGACGGGACGTTCACGTGGCTTCGGGTTTGTCACAATGTCTAACGAGGCTGAACTCAACGACGCTATCGCTGCTCTTGATGGACAGGTACTTTCATCTTCCTCAAATGGTTATGCTAATGCAAGTTTAACATTATTTTTGCGATGATCTCTGAATCAATCTTTCCTTGCATCTTTGTGTGCAGAACATGGAGGGTAGAGCAATCAGGGTGAACGTAGCGGAGGAGCGTCCTAGGCGTGGATTTTAAAACTGAGATCTCTCTGTGTCACACCTCTCTCTCTCTCTCGCTCTCTTTTGCATTTTGTTTAGACGAGATTCTTACACTCTTTTGACGATTTTTTGTTGTTGGCTGAAGTCTTGAATGCAAAAGCTTCTTCTAAAGTAATTTGTATTATTTCTCTTTGACGATCTATCATTCATAGCTGAATTTCATATTATTTCTCTTTAAATGTTTTCAAGTTTGAGACTAAATAAAATCCTATGAAACAGTTCTCACACCCTCTAATCAACGATTCTGAGTCCCAAGCGTGCACTTCTCTCTGCATCCAACACTTAAACAAATGATGCATGAGAAAGTTGGTCTTAATGGAAACATTATCTCCAGATCATTAAACCACACCAACAGACATCACAAACTTTACTAAGAGCCCATTCATGAACAAAGGAGTTATGTCCATTAAATTGCAAAAGAATGTTCAGTTTTAGGAAGGAATCATATTATATAAAAAAAGTCATGATCAGCCTGGGACATAGCAGTCATGATGGCTGGCTTGAGGTCCTGAGGATTTGTTTTTGTTTTTCGGGGACCGTTTTTTGTTGCTTTGGTCATAGGCCATCTTTCTTGATCCGCTGGTCCAGTCGCCTACCAGACTGAAACTATGTGTGTTATCGTTTACGTCAAGACATAATCTTAGCTCAAAACCCATTAGGAAGTTTGCCGGAAAGAATACACACACACACTCTCTCACTCTGTTTTCGTTTTACTTGTTAACCAAAGAGCAAATGATAAAAAGCTTAGGTTTTTTTATAAAATCCACTAAATATTCTCTTATGGTCTTACCTTTTCACCGTTGCTTTACTCTAGTCTTTCCTTGATGCTTGCTGCGTCCAAATTTTTTATTTTCACACCAATCTTTGCTGCATCCATACTCTACAAGACGAGGAACCATCTCTTCTTTGGCATCTTGATAATCAGGACTAGCTGTTAGTGATCGTTTGAGCTAGTTGAGTGATTTATATGACATGAAGAAATAACCTGAGTTCGATCGATGAATCTGATATTTTGAATGAAAGACTTATACGACAAGATTATATACAACGGGATTAACATTCTAGTGGGTAAGACTAGTCGAAAAAAGCAAAATTTCGTATAACATTATTCTAAAACAAATAATTAGAGTCAACACATGATGGCAGGTTTGATTAAAGTAAAATATGGCTATAAACGATAAAACAAGAAGCAAAAAAAGTTATAAGTCGTGCTCGTTAAGTCGGTTTTACCAGAAAATGGAAATGCAACATTTTGTCGGGGATTCAAGAAAACAAATGGTCCATATATTCATGCATGTGTAAACAGGCTAACATCATAAAGAAAGAGGAAAAAGAAATAGTAAAAGTGTATGAGAATAGAGCGACATTGATGATTCATTTCTCGGCCAGATCTTGTCTTGGAACTTTCTTACAACCTCTCTTATCCCCAACCTTAGCCCTTAGCTTCTCGACCAGTCATCTCCATTAATTCCCACACTTGTCTCTTTGCCTTCCTCTAATAATTACTTTTGTTTGGATCCATCATCAACGTTTTATATTAATATTGAGACCAAGACACGATTATATTCTTCACGTAGGGTTTACTATTATATAATCTAAAAGTTCGGTATAGAATGCTAATTGCTTCATTTTTGTCTTGCCCCACTAAACCATATCATGTAAGAAAGGACGGTCGAATCTTAATGCCATAAATAGCAAGCAAAGTGGAATGGCCACTTTGCCTATAAGCGCTCTTGGGTAGGGCGATGTTAGTCGCTTTAAATTTAGAAAGTTGCATAAGAATCAAGAATCAACTATTCGTTTAAGAATTAAAATATGAATGTTAGTACTATTGTTTTACATCAATGGAGAGATGATATATATATATATATATAGTTGACAAAGAAAACGGGATGGTATTGGTCCCTCCCCGCCTAAGCCCATGATGTTGCCAGTAAATTCTTTCAAGGGCAACCAACCATCCACGTGTACCCTCAAAACCTACAACCTGTAAATGCATTTAGATGTATATCTTAATTTATTAGTATCTCAAAAAGTTTGGTTTTCCTTTGATTATAAAATTCAGTCTGGAGTCTTAACCATAATATAGAAAATAAATCTAGCTATACACAAACTTGTAATGGACTCTATGATGTTATCCATGTGAATCACACATGCTGTCATGATTTTCTTATAAGGCTACAAATCGAATTACAGTACCCATAGATTAGCTAGTTGGTTCTACTTTTATCGTTGATTAAAAAATATACTGTTAAGAGTATATGATTATGAGGTAAAATGGTACTATTATCTTAGAGAAAAAAATCTATTCAAATGAAGTGAACAAAAAAAACAAAATTTGGTGTCTTTATATGTTGAATTGAAACATTGTCATAAATGTTTAGGTTGGCCGTTACCATTGGTAATGAAGATGTAAAACAAAAATCAAAATTTGTAACGAGCAATCAAATAAAGTAATAAATCCCCGAATATGGGTTTTGTTTTTAGACGCAATACATTCATTACAGACAAGATCCCCATTTTCGTTCTGGATAATAAAAAAATTTATACTTAATATCATTAGAATTTGCAAGTTTTTGTCGAAAACAAAATATTTTAAAGGTTCAAATGAGTCATTGGCTCTCTCTAGAAAAGAAAGAGAAGGAATGTTTCCTCGCAATCATCATCTTCTTCATCGTCTTCTTCTCTGAAACTCCAGCGACTTCTTCCTAGCTCACTTATACACTTACCAATACGATTCGAAATACACATACACATACACACACACACTGAGTTTGGAGAGTTGACTCATGGGAGGTGTGACTTCTTCAATGGCGGCGAAATTGGCGTTTTTTCCGCCGAATCCGCCGTCGTACAAGCTTGTCAGAGACGAAGCAACGGAGCTTCTGCTCATGGACCCTTATCCACATCGAGAGAACGTCGACATTTTGCGGCTGCCCACGCGCCGAGGCACCGAAATCGTGGCCATGTACATCAGGTACCCTTTGGCCGCCACCACTCTTCTGTATTCGCACGGAAACGCTGCTGATATCGGTCAGATGTACGAGCTCTTCATCGAGCTCAGTATTCACCTCCGCGTCAATTTGATGGGGTTAGTTCCTTTTTTTGTTGTTGTTCTATCCCATTCTCTCGAGGTGGATTTGAATTTCCCAGATCAGAATTCGGCTCAGGATCTTGCTGATATATTCCTTGATTCCAAAAATGCTCTGCTTTCTGGATTTGTGCAAGTTAGATTTGAAGCTTCCAGATGCAAAAATTTAATTGCTCTCAGTGTGTCAAAGCCGAATACTTTCACTGCTGAAATCTGCTCACGTTTTGGTTGACACTTGACATAAGTGAATTTCAGTGTGTAGAAGCTGATAATCCTCCGAAAGTTTTAGGTTGCAGACTCAGGAGAAGTCTTGTTGCTTATGAAAGCTTTTGTCTTTAGGGTTTGTTCTGAATTCTGAATCTGGATCTCTACTGCTCTTTTAGCAAGGTGACAAAAAAGTAGTTTTGAGTTTTGAGATGATTGAATTTGATATTTTGGTAGATAAGCATAGTTCTGGTTGCGTTGTTTACATCAACTGGTCTTGGCAAAATTTTCTACATGTAGACCCAAAATGTAACTTCTTTGATTGAACAACTTTGTGGCTCATTCAAGTATAACCTGAATATATTACTTCCGCAAGCTTACAGTTTCCATCTTGTAAAATGAGGAAATCCTCTAAATATGTTTTGGTGTTTGCAACAGGTATGACTATTCAGGGTATGGCCAATCATCAGGGAAGGTGAGTAACCACAGATCCTAAAACCTTTTTTAGTTCTGTGATTCAAGCGTTAGGTCCATCTACACTGCGAACATGAATCTCCGTTTTGTTGCAGCCCAGTGAACAAAATACTTATGCTGATATCGAGGCTGCTTACAAATGTCTGGAAGAAAATTATGGGGCAAAGCAGGAGAACATTATCCTCTATGGCCAATCTGTTGGTAGTGGTCCAACAGTCGACCTAGCTGCACGCCTGCCTCGACTAAAAGCTTCCATTCTCCATAGTCCAATTCTCTCAGGGCTTAGAGTTATGTACCCCGTTAAGCGAACTTATTGGTTTGACATATACAAGGTAAGCATAATACCCTTTTGATTTCCTCTATTCATAAATGTTACTTGTAAGCATTCTTCCTTCTTGACAGCATTTTGTTTGATCTTCTTCAGAACATTGACAAAATCTCGCTGGTGAGGTGTCCGGTCCTCGTGATTCATGTAAGTTTCTCTGATCAAACAATATTGATTGCAAGATCCATTCTTTCTTGTATGAATCATTGGCTAATAATCCTCAGTATAAGTTTTATGGTGAAAGCTTTTTTTTTTCTATTTGCAGGGAACGGCGGATGATGTGGTTGACTTCTCGCATGGGAAGCAGCTCTGGGAGCTCTGCCAAGAGAAATATGAACCGCTATGGCTGAAAGGAGGAAACCATTGTGATCTTGAACTCTTTCCCGAGTACATTGGCCATCTCAAGAAGTTTGTGTGCGCTGTGGAGAAATCCGCATCGAAAAGAAACAGTTCTTTCTCAAGGAGAAGCATGGAAGGGTGTGAACAGCCTCCTCGGCATAGTGTAGATGCACCAAGGAAGAGCAAGGACGGACGAGAAAAGCCGAGGAAAAGCATAGACAGGCTAAGGTTTCAGGGATACAAGTTGAGCCACATAGAGAGACCAGAGAAGCTGAAGGTTCCATTTGAGGAGATGGAGAGGTCGAGGAGAAGTGTGGACATATACAGAGACAAGTCTCAGCCGATGGAGAGAGCACGCAAGAGCGTGGATTGGTTGGACAGAAGTCGAATTACCGAATGAAAAAAAGGGTTTGATGTTAAAGATTTGATTGTATTTTGAGTTTCGTTTAATTTATTGGGGTGTGTATTTGTGTTGTAGTTTTGTATGTCAAGTTCAGATACAACAGAAGATAGATTTAACCAATTTGGTAACTTCTCTGACTGTTTCCCAAACGACACTTTTGACTGGTTTTAAATGTTGTTCTATTTGACAAGATTCGTGTAATGTCTTCTTGCTGTTGATGTCCCTCCCTCCATCTTCGTTGCTACAGTCAAGGCCGAAGCTGTATATTTGTAAGAAGCATCCATAGGTTTGATGCTTGTGTCATGTGAATGTGACTTCTCTTCTCAATACCAGGAATTCGGATCAATTCACTCAATCTCTAAACCAAACAAGTACACTTGTGTGTTATGAAATTTCAATGTATGATCGAAATTAGTTTCAAGATAAAGTTTACATTGCTGGATAACATTTTAAAATACTGTATATGTTTTGTAACATTAGTTTAATGAATCATTAGAATTCTCATTTATACAAATTTGAGTTTCCCTTGAAAGAAAATGAGCCGTTTGGGGAACATATCTTTCGTCCGAGAACCGAGTCGGGTTCTAAGACTGCTTCAATGAAGCCAAAAATGATCATTGGTCCAATAAACCGAAGCTGACTACTCTTTGTCTTTTTTTTTTTTTTTTATTCTCTGTTGATGCGCAAACGCAAAGATTATCCTTTTAGTTACCACCCCGAAGTTCAGATTTCCTGGATAAACAAAAAAAAAATTGTCAAATTTTCATCCTTTCTCTGTTCGGCGGCTCGCTGAGAAAGCTCAGAACCTAAAACATGGAGTCTCTATCCCTTCCCACTCTAAATCCTCTATTAGCTTCTGGTTCTAATGTTCACAGAAAACAGAGCTCGAGGATGATAACTTCAGTGACTTCTTCACTTAATTTCCCCGTAGGAAGCAAATCCATTTCCACTGTTCGCCGCTTTGTAAGTTGATTCCCAATCTCTTTATGGGATTCCATCGTTTCTGTGAATGTTTCAGTTTTTGGGCTTAAATTACGTTTCTCCATTCGATTTTTTGGTTGATAGGAATGCGAAAGGAATTTTTTTTGATGTTTTGGTCATTGTTTTTGTTGAATGTTAGAGAGCAGGCGTTGTTAGGATGCAAGCTGTTGATGAAGATATTGATCTGAAGCAAATGAGAGACATGGCTGCTGCTAAAAAGCGTTGGGATGGTCTGGTAAGATCCTCTATGCAAATTTGTTCAGCTGTATCTTCAAAATTTGGAACATCTGAGTTATTATGGTTCATGAGAAACTGAATTGATTAGTTAAGGGAAGGAAGAGTGAAGCTTCTTACACCAAGAGAAGCAGGCTATGCTATTCAGCTTTCAAACAAACCTCTACTCGATGTCCGTCCATCTAGTGAGCGCAACAAGGTACATTCTTGTTTTGAGTCATTATGTTGTTTGGATTTTGATCCTTCGATGATGATTCTCCACATTCACCATTGAAATGCAAAGAATTGATTCATGTACCTCACCTTAGCATGTCATGTTCTTAAGTTAGTTCAAGCTCCCTTGGCCACTGTCACTGTTTTTCATTTTAATGCCTCTTAAGTCTTAACTATATTGTTTCACTGAGGTTTACTTCTTCTTTTTTTTTTTTCTGTTCTATTTTTCTCTAAAGGCATGGGTTAAAGGTTCCACCTGGGTTCCTATCTTTGAAAATGAAGACAACCTTGACGCTGGAACTCTTTCCAAGAAAGTCACCAGTTTTGCGATGGGTACGTCTTCATCACTGTGACGTCTTCATTCTAGTGATATTGGACCAACTCATTGTTATCATATTATCTATATTTTTGAAATGTGTATCATCCTCTAATCCCATCTAGGATAGTAACTAGAAGTTGAATACACCCGTCTATTAAACTGTTTTCAGTTCTATAAGCTGACTTCACCATGTTTCCACTTCTACAGGTGGGTGGTGGAGTGGTGCACCTACGTTATCTTTCAATAAGTATGTCTGCGAGAGTAAGCTGATCTTCTTGTATGCCTTCTTACATACTTATTTCTTCATTGGTTTTCTACTTTCGTTTGCAGGCTCTTCTTGCCAAAGGTTGAGGAGAAATTCCCTAAAGAAGCAGAGCTGATCGTTGCGTGCCAAAAAGGATTGAGGTATTTGATACAAGCAATGGGCTTACACGTTGCTACTAACCTGGTAGAAACAGAGTAGCTAACGATGATTTAGAGTATCACATTGAAAAGAATTAGTTTGTATAGTTTTAAGAGTGTCGATATTCTCGGTGACAAGTGATCCAAAGCAGCAGTCAAACAATTATCATTGGAGAGTGGTTTTAGAGTTTCTTTTGTAAAATGAAAATTAGTCCTATGCAAAGTTAGTATGTTGATATAACTATTGGATGATCCTCAAATTTATGCTTGACTCAACAATGATTTCATGTCAGGTCTTTAGCTGCATGCGAGCTACTATATAATGCTGGGTATCAGAATATATTCTGGGTGCAAGGCGGTTTAGAGTCCGCTGAAGATGAGGTTATTTACAATTCTGTTTCAACTTTCTGTTTTGCACTTTTGGCTTTTTAAGCCTACAGAGATGACTAATTCATTGATTTATGTAATAACATTCTGAAGTAGGATCTAGTCACAGAAGGTTCTCAGCCATTAAAGCTTGCTGGTATTGGGGGTTTTTCAGAGTTCCTCGGGTAATTCCTTCTTTTACTACTTAGACTTTCTCATTGCTTGTAAAAACTAAAGGTCTCAAAAACAACTGAGGAGACAAATGGATAAGGGCTGGTTTTTATTCTATGTGACTGTAAACTGACCTGTTTAAATGGCATACCACTTTTGCCTCGTCTGATCAAACCAGAGCCTATGAGAATCACAACATTTATATAACTTGTCTTGCAATCTCTACACAAGTATGAGAGAATTACTCATGGATTGTATTTCCTTTGTGCTTGCAGATGGACGGACCAGCAAAGAGCACAAGCTGCGAAAGAAGGTTGGGGTTACCGTTTAGTATTTACTGCTCGTCTGGTGAGTTTTGTAAAATCTATAAATCTCTCTTTTGTAGCTTTTGTTAATCTGAATTCTTCTTCTCCTTAAGTGGTCGTCTCATCTCATGTTTGTAGCTTGGAGTTGTTCTGGCTGCTGATGCCTTGTTCGTTGGTGCTCAGCAACTTGGTCATTATATTCAGGAGTTAAGAGGCCATTAGGATCTCTACTACCAAGCTCCAAGTGGTTATACTTCTCTTCAATTTTTTTTTTTATAAAAAGAGTTGTAAAATTCTGTTGAAGAGTGTAGTTTTGGAGGTAGAGTAGTGATACTTGAAATAGTGATTAACCAACATCTTTAAATTCTGAAAATCCAATGGACCGTCCACTTTTGTCTTTGAAAGACAAAACTCCTTTTTGTAGACACAAAAATTAAGAGAGTTTGGAATATTCGACGACTCAGGAAGAAAAAAAAGACCTCTCAATTCTATCTAAAATGCGTGTCGTTTAAAGATAAGAATGAAGCACTTCCTGTTGTTTCTTATTTTGGAAAGTGGGAGCATATTCCCCCACCAATTATTGCGCCAACCCAACTGTGGTTAATTCCAGCGCGCGAGTTCTAACTAACCCTGGTTACGAGAGGTGCTTACACGTGGACGGTGGAGATTGTTTCCGACTGCTTCTCCTTTGCAATTTGCAATTGCGCTGGTTTAAAACTAGGGTTAGGCTGCGATTCTGTCACCCATAAGCTTTCGCCATCGCCGTTTGGCTTTCTGAATACCATCCGGATTGGATTGCTTTTTTGTTTTTGTTTTTTTTGCGCAATTCTTCTGAATCTGTGATTATGGAGATGGAGCGCGTGCATGAGTTTCCTCATACTCACATGGATCGCCGTCCCAGAAAGAGGACGCGTCTCGGTTGGGACGTGTTGCCTTCTGCGCCTAAGGTATAGATCTTCGATTTTACCTCCTTATCCATGATTGCCAAATTCAATTTTTGTGTTTGATTGCATTGGATCTTCGATTTTGTTTAAAATTCAGGATCGGTCTGTATTTTTTGAGTGAATTCTTCTATGTCAGCGATTTGCTTAGTATTTATCGATTAGTCTTTCGAAAATACAGTTTTTAAATGTAATTTGGTGAATTTCCTGCGAGAATTAGGTGGTGTTCTATCGGTTTCAGTCAGATCTACTCAATTTTGGTCTATCCTTCAATTATTTTTTTAATTTTCACTCTGTTAGGTTCAACTTTTTTTTTTCTTTGTGCTATCCTTTGTTTATAGTATTATTTGTAGATAGTGAACAACATTCCATCTGATACAAAATTGAGAAAGTACGGTCGTCATTCGTTGTGATTTATAATCCAGATTTTGTGTTGGAATCGAAAGTCTCAAGACTTTTGCGTAGCTGCTTTTTGGTAATTAAATTTTGCATGGCAGATTTGCCTTTCCCTCGCGAGCCTCTAGTTCTAAAACTTTTAGATAATCCCGTGTTCGTTCTCCCAGTTTGATCTTGAAATAGATAACACCTTGAAAATACCTCAGTTGTTTGGATTTTAGAAGTTTCTGTGAAGGGTTTTAAGATAGTATATAACTCAACATGTCGGCGTAGAAGGATAGTGGCAGGTATTCATCTGTCTGTTATGGTACATGAATATGTGTAGGCTCAGGTAGGAATGTTTTGTGGGCAAGAGATTGGAATTGGAAATATGTCAAGCTTTGCATCGTCCGGAGCTCCTTCAGACATTAGTAGCACTTCTCTTTGTGTTAAGGGTGTGGCTCGAAATGATTCCCCACCATGGCGTGAAGACGACAAGGATGGACATTACATGTTTGAACTGGGAGATGACTTAACTCCACGCTGTAATCCCACTTTTCCATTACCAAAAACTGTTTTTTAAAAATCGTGAAGTTACCTTATAAAAGTAACTCTAGATTTCTCTTCCAATGGCCTAGAACAAAATTTGGGTGTTCGTGCCGGTTAAATAGTATCCAGTAACTATATGTTACTGGACCTTGTAAATTGTTTTGATTTCAGCATTCTGACTGCTACTTGCTCTTTTTGTTTTGCAGATAAAATATATAGCAAAATGGGAGAAGGTATGAATATATGTTTGTTGTATGAGTTACTTGTTATTTTCACAGGACTCCCCAGTGTAGTATTCGTATCTTATTCAAATATCTCATAAATTGTCCCTGCAGGTACCTTTGGTCAAGTGCTAGAATGTTGGGATAGGGAGAGGAAGGAAATGGTGGCAGTGAAAATTGTTCGTGGAGTGAAGAAATACCGTGAGGCAGCTATGATTGAAATAGAAATGCTCCAACAGCTTGGTAAACATGACAAAGGTGGCAATCGGTAAGTATTGCCTTTTTAACTTTTCACCATGCATCACAAATCTGATAGGGTCGGACATAGTTTCCCAAGATTGTTTTTTTTTGCAAAGGTTAAATCATTCTATTCTTTGCAGTTGTGTACAAATTCGGAACTGGTTTGACTATCGTAACCATATATGTATCGTAAGTACTTAGTCAATTTTGTGATGTCTATGATTTTCCCCAGTTTGGGAAATATTTGGGGTTAAATTTTGTGCATGGATTTAAATGGATGCAACAGGTATTTGAGAAGCTTGGATCAAGTTTATACGATTTTCTACGCAAAAACAATTATCGCTCCTTTCCCATTGATCTTGTCCGTGAGATTGGCTGGCAACTCTTGGAATGTGTAGCATGTGTGTAGTCTTTGCAGTCTTTTCAATCTACTTGCTTTTGCATTTTTCATCTGAGTTTTGCTTGTCGTTGAGATGCTTACATCATAATTGTTGAAAATTCTGACTCTTTCCATATGCTTAACAATTTTTTTTTTTGTTTTGCCTGATTTTGCAGTTATGCATGACTTGCGCATGGTTCATACGGACCTTAAACCAGAGAATATTCTGCTAGTCTCCTCAGATTATGTGAAAATTCCTGAGTATAAGGTATATCTCGTATGTATCTCTTTGTGACCTTAGTGTGGCGAACTGGGGAAGTGCTAAAGGATTCTGGTTGTGTTTTCTGATGTAGGGCTCCCGATTGCAAAGGGATGTTTGCTATAAAAGAGTGCCTAAATCAAGTGCAATAAAGGTGATTGATTTTGGTAGCACGACTTATGAGCGTCAGGACCAAAACTACATTGTATCAACAAGACATTATAGGGCACCAGAAGTCATTTTAGGTGAGTAGCTCTTGTAAAACAAGTCACTCAAATCTGTAGCCTCTGAGAATCATATGACAAACGGATGGGACGTGTGTGCAGGTCTTGGATGGAGTTACCCTTGTGATGTTTGGAGCATTGGATGTATCATAGTGGAGCTATGCACGGTATGTTTCGGAAGTAGTTGATTTTTATCGAGTGTTTGGGAACATATTTTTAAAAAATTGAATGATGTGATATTGGTAGGGAGAAGCATTGTTCCAAACTCATGAAAACCTGGAGCATCTAGCTATGATGGAGCGAGTTCTTGGGCCGTTTCCTCAACAAATGCTGAAGAAAGTGGAGTGAGTTGAAATCAAACATAAGTGATCATATTCGCAGGCATATGTGGGCAGGTGTTTAACTATAGGTTGTCTTTGTGTCGTGTGTTAAAGCCGGCACGCAGAGAAATATGTGAGAAGAGGTCGTTTGGATTGGCCGGATGGGGCAGCCTCAAGGGACAGCCTGAAAGCAGTATTGAAGCTTCCTCGGCTTCAGGTTCGTCAAGTGTTTGGTTTATGGAGTTTGATTTAATCAAGTGTTACGTTATGTGTTGTTAACAATGTTCATGTGTGTGTGTGTTGCAGAATCTAATAATGCAACATGTGGACCACTCGGCGGGGGAGTTGATAAACATGGTGCAAGGGCTTCTTCGTTTTGATCCGGCGGAGAGACTAACCGCTCGTGAAGCGCTCAGACATCCTTTCTTCACCAGGAGTCACTTGAGAAGATGACGTGTCCTATAGTTTGACCAGTGTAAATAGTGAGATTATGTATGTTTGTAGTATCTAGTAAAACCTTTTACCAAAGTGTGTTACGTGGCGACTCCACAAATTCTGATATTAATTAATCAAATGCTTGAATCACTCTTTTTGAAGTGAAAGGCCGATTATTTGTCTAAAAACCCGTGTTGCTTGATCGTCCAGTTTCAATGTCTTGATTTTTGTCTTAATCAGCGTATCAACTATACAGGAAAGAGCTATTAATTAATGAATTTGAGAAGAATAGTCTCATTGTGAATGGATGCTTTCATGAATATTATAAGTTGCAGTCGTCAAAAAAAAAAGAATATTATAAGTTGCAGCTAAAAACGGAAGAAGCATTTTCACATTGAATATATCACACCATCATATAACGAAGAAAAGATAAACGAGTTGGGAAATTGCAAAAGAAACTTCAAATGTCCACGAAAACTATATAAATAAAAATAAACTCAACTGTCAAATTTTTAACTCGAGCATTTGATGCGTGGTGCAAAGAAACTACTCCATCATAATTAATTAAAATTGACGGGGTCTTTTTTTTTTTTTATTATTCGTCAGGAAGAAACATCACGCAGTTTATATAGCAGAGAGAAAACTACATGATTTGCAAAAAAGACCCCAGTTTTACTTGAGTTTCCGTTTTCTGCTGACAAAAAAAAGAAAATCAGAATCTCTCTTCCGCATATCCTCTCCGATTCCGATTCACCTCTGCTCGTAGCTTGTCTGATCCTAAACAGAAGAGAGAGCTATCGCAAAGCTATACTGTTGTAAGTCTTTTCTTTTCATCACAATGTTGTTAAGTTTTCATACGACTTTCCGTCTCCTTTCACGATTTACGCCGATATCGAGCATTGAGTCCACGATTTGTCTATTGCAATGGATGGATTATTGAATCTTTCTCTTAAGATTGTGATGTTTCCGAAACCCCTTTTGTTCTGTGATTTAACGACTGTTGAGAAAAGAAAAAATGTTCTATTCAAATTTGCGAGACCAAAAAACTTGTTGTCACGGTGCCTATGAACAGGCTTTCCTCTCGTTGCATCTACTCTTAAAAAACTCACAAACTATTTAATTCTCATTTCTCACATATGTGAATCTATTTTATGACATTTTTCTAACAAGTGTGTTTGCGTAACTTCTTGCTGTTTACAGATCAATAAGGTTGATGATGGGTTCTGCAGCCACACAACCACTCTTCTCTTTCGGTGTTATCGCTGATGTTCAGTATGCGGATATTCCAGATGGCCGTTCCTTCTTAGGCACTCCTAGATACTACAGAAACAGCATCCTTGTCCTGCAGAGAGCTGTCGAAACTTGGAACAAACATGGAAACCTCAAATTCGTTATCAACATGGGTGACATTGTTGATGGATTTTGTCCCAAGGATCAATCCCTGGCCGCCACTAAGAAACTAGTTCAAGAGTTCGATAAATTCGAGGGTCCTGTGTATCACATGATTGGCAATCACTGCCTCTACAATCTCCCCCGTGAAGAGTTGCTTCCTTTGCTGAAGATCCCGGGTCGTGATGGCAATGCTTATTACGATTTTTCACCTACCCCTGAGTACAGAGTTGTGGTATTAGATGGGTATGACATCAGTGCTGTGGGATGGTCACAGGACCATCCTAAGACGATCGCTGCGTTGAAGATACTTGAGGAAAAGAATCCAAACTCAGACAAGAACAGCCCTGAGGGGCTTGTTGATGTTGAGAGGAGATTCGTGAAGTATAACGGTGGTGTTGGGGAGAAGCAGCTGCAATGGCTTGACAATGTGCTTCAGGATGCGACGAGATCGAACCAGAGAGTCATCGTATGTGGGCATGTGCCTATGAGCCCTGGAGTGGCATCGAAAGCAGCCTTGTTATGGAATTTTGATGAAGTGATGAGCGTTATACACAAGTATGACGCTGTGAAAGTTTGTCTGTCGGGACACGACCATAAAGGAGGATACTTTGTTGATTCTCGTGGGGTTCACCATAGGTCCCTCGAAGCTGCCTTGGAGTGCCCACCAGGTACGTATTCGTTTGGGTACATCGATGTATATGAGAACAAGTTATCTCTTGTTGGTGTTGATCGGATGCAGAGCACCGAGTTTGAGAACTAAGTTTCCCTTAAATGCAGATATTGTTAATCACCAATCCATTTTTATACGATGAATATTTTTAGATGATTACTTCTTTCTTTTTTTTATCATGATTGTAATATAATACGGCTGCACGTACCTATGTTTCTGGTACTTTGCTAATAAGACGAAAATAATGTAAGTGATTAGTGTCTATTCACAACAAATGTCTTGACAATGATATCAAACGTCTTCAAAGGCACATTAGTACAGGCACTCTCCAGAATCAAAGAAAATTTGCTAACCTTTGGTTCTGTGGCCTGTCTATTTCAAACGATTCTTAAGAGTGCATATAATCTTTGAATTGACTCAGAAAACGCTGTCAAACTATCATATCTCCTTGCAATCGTAAGAGAACTCAAAACTGATTTCTCATCTCTTTGGCATTTTATGCTTATCGCACCTTAAGACAATATAATCTGATGGAAACACAGTACTAGCATTTCTAATCTCTTCCAAATCTTCAAAGGGTAATTAATCTCTCTCTCTCTCTCTCACAACTTGTCTGAAGCGAACCATTGACTTTCTGGCATTGATTGGTTAGTGATGGAGATCATTTTCAACGATGACTGATTTGATAACCCACATGTCTTCCATCAGTGATATATGGTCATGGCACATCAAAAATTAATATGATGCAACACAATACCGAATTTTAATCTCTTCCAAAATTTCAAAGGATAATCTCTCCCTCTCACAACTTGTTTCAAGCGATTAATTTTCTCGCATTAATTGAATGGCGATAATTTTCAACGATGGAAAAAGGAATAAAATTGACACTTGCAAATGCATATGAACACCAGATGTAGATGCAAATGAAAGTAGAGTAGATACAGATATCTCATTCAAAAATTATAAATATCTAAAATAACTTTATCTAATTTAAATAATTACATATCAATATATACTAAATAATAAATTTCATAAAATCCCTAAATTCTGAAAATTTCCACATTTTATTTTTCAACCAAAACTGGAGATTATTTTTTCGCCAAAATTCATATATTACATTTTTGCCAAAATTATAAAGTTTTATTTTTTGTCAAAATCGTAAAATTACATTTTCCTGCTAAAACTGTAAAATCATGGGAAAACCGTAAAATTACGTTTTTCCGCCAAAACCGTAAAATCACGAGAAACTCGTAAAATTATGTTTTCCCGCCAAAACCGGAAAATCACGAGAAACCCGTTTAATTCTGTTTTTCAAAAACCGTAAAATTATGTTTTCCCGCCAAAATTGTAAAATCACTAGAAATCCGTAAAATTTTGTTTTCCCATCAAAATCATAAAATTTTATTTTCCTACCAAAACTGTAAATTTTCATTTTTCTGCCAAAACCGTAAAATCATGGGAAATCCGTAAAATTCCGTTTTTTCGCCAAAACCGCAAAATCACGAGAAATCCGTAAAATTCTGTTTTCCACCAAAACCGTAAAATTATATTTTCCCGCGAAAACTGTAAATTTCATTTTCCCACCAAAACCGTAAAATCATAGGAAATTCGTAAAATTCTGTTATCCCACCAAAATCGTAAAATCAAGAGAAACCCGTAAAATTCTGTTTTCCCACTAAAATCGTGAAATTTCATTTTCACGCCAAACCCGTAAATCACAAAAAATCGTAAAATTCTGTTTTCCCACTAAAAAGGTAAAATTTCATTTTCCCGCCAAAACCGTAAAATTTTATTTTCCCGCCAAAACTGTAAAATTACATTTTTCCGCCAAAATCAAAAAATTACGAGAAACCTGTAAATTTTCATTTTTCTGCCAAAACTGTAAATTTCATTTTCCCACCAAAACCGTAAAATCAAGAGAAAACTGTAAAATTTGTTTACCCGCCAAAATCATAAAATTATGGGAAAACCGTAAAATTATGTTTTCCGTCAAAACTATAAATTCTGTTTTATGCTGTAAATTTTTGAAGATTATTTTTTTTATAAAAAAATATTAAAAATTTGTTTTTCCTTAAAAATAGTATAATACGTTTTTTCAATCATTTTATTATTAAGTGCATGGAGATTTAAATATAGATACACAAACAAACATGAATGTATCCAGTTATAATATTTAGATACATTAATCAAAAATATAAAAGAACAACATCTGGATGTTGCGTCCAAATATGGTATCTGAAAGTTGTATCCAGACACTATATCCAGATAAGGAAACAAACATGCCAAAATATGCACCCAAATTTTTCATCTGGATGCTGCATCCAAATATGATATCTGAAAGTTGTATCCAGACACTATATCTAGATAAGGAAACGAACAGGCCAAAATATACACCCAACTTTTTCATCAAGCCCAAATCTTCATCAATACATATATTCCTCTTTCGGAAACTTTAGATTCAACGATGGCCATCCACACTTTCCTCTTCGCTTCACTTCTCATATTCTCATCGATGGAGTCGAGCAGTGGAGCGATGGAGGATAGACTCTTCACCGACCTACAAAATTCACTCGAGGTCACCGCTAAACCAATAAGAGATGACTTAGGTTTGTAAACTATCTTACTGTCGTATCTTTTTTTTTTTGTCGACTGTAAAAATACCTAAAGCGGTTCAGAAATTTAAACTGGAAAATTACATATATAACATCAAAACGATAGATCGTGCCCTTTTTCTTATAAATGAAAATGTTTCAACTTAATTTGAACATACTTCTCTTTAGTTTTGGAAGCGGGAAAAGGTATGGTGAGAATTACCTGGAAGCTAAAGTCATCGGCCAAGGTCGACGCTGATGCTGCCTTCAAGAGCGTCGAAGTCAAACTTTGTTATGCACCGATCAGCCAGGTTGATAGACCGTGGCGCAGCACCCATAACGAGCTCTTTAAGGACAAAAGCTGCCCTCACAAGATTGTATCCAAGCCTCATGACAAGACCCCTCAGTCACTCGACTGGACCATCGAACGCGATATCCCCATTGGAACCTACTTCGTACGTGCCTATGCAGTTGATGCAAATGGCCACGAAGTAGCATACGGACAGAGCTCATCCGTGGAGAAGACGACCAATCTCTTTAGCGTTCAGGCCATTAGTGGCCGTCACGCGTCCCTCGACATAGCATCGGTATGCTTCAGTGTCTTCTCTGTTGTTGCTCTGTCCGTCTTCTTTCTCAAGGAGAAGAGGAAGGTCAAGTTAGAGCAGATGAAGTGAGTTTTCATTAATTTTCGGATGAGCTTTGTTAAGTCGAACAAAAAAGCGTTGACTATATATGATCGTTATGTTTTTTTCATTTTCTTTCCGTCGTGTTTTTGAAATATATTACTTTCTTCTTGCTGTTTTGTGTATGCATGCGCTAGGTCTAGCCATGAACCAAAATCCAAAATCCAGCAAGTTGTGCATCAATTAGACCCTAAGAGTACCCACAATGGTGAACTCTATATTAAGATTCTTATATATATTTTAATAATAAATATATTATTAAACTAATTTATTGATATAGAGTCGATTCTAAAAACTTTGTTATTGGAGTCGATTCTACCTTTTTGTGTCTGCCAACTCATTTTTTTTTTCTTTTTTTCTTTTTTCTTTTTAGTTAAGAACTTTTCATTGTAGGTGCTCTAACAAGTTGGTGTATTAGACCCGGCCCAACCTCAACTCTAGAAGAAAAGCTTTATTTATTACATAATCTCATTCCTCCTTACCTAATAAAAAAACTTTATAAGCTTTGAAATGAGTATCATGTAGCAAATATGTATAAACCTTAACTGAGAAACTTCGATATGTTCTCCTCATCATTCTGCACCATATGTTTAACCGACATTTTAATAGTATGTCAAAGTATGCTAAGATATGCTGATATGCAATTAGTCAGACTTTTGCAAACTCTACTAGACCTTCTTCGTAAACTTATGTCATGTACGTAAATAAATAAATAAAATGTTTTACAGAATTTCGCAGATATGTGTAAGGGTTAAAATGGTCATCATCTTCATTTTTGGACTGTTCTACACTGTTTCTTCTATTTTTTTTTAGAGTATTATTGTGCTAATTTCTACAATTTCCCGTAAGCATGAAAAACAAAAATGTAGTGGGAATCCCGCCTATAACCGGAGGAAAAGAGAATCTGAAAAATTGAAATTCCGGCGTCTATAGAGACCTTTCTCGGCGTTGCTTGCTGTTTCCCAATCGACAACGCTATGAGCACTCCCATGGAGATTGCCGAGCAAACCCCTATGCTCGAGGATACGATTATTCCTCATATCGCTTCCATGGAGGTCATCTCTCACCAAAATTGCAGTGACGCAACGAGTATCCCTGAGCAAACTAGCACCGCTGAGCCCGTCGCTACAACCGATCCTACTCATCCTCCTCCACCTCCTCCTCCTCCTCCTCCTCCTTCTCCTCCTTCTCCTTGCCTCCACGAGAACAAATTCCTCGTATCTGGTACACTTCAATTTCTCCTTCCTTTCGTTTTTGGGTTTACCTGCTGGATTCGATTCTACGACTCCCTCTTTTTCCTCATCTGTGTGTTCTTCTAATTCTAGTGGAGGTCTGCTTAAAGCCCTCAAGCACGGCTCGCCTAGAGGACGTCCAGAGAGCTGTAGAACGGTTTGTAAAATACATTCTCCTCTTATGCTTTACTTTTTTTTACTTTTGATAATGTGGGGTTTGCTTTAGGATGCTGGAAAAGAGGAGCATGAGCTATTTAGATGGGCTTGTTCTGATACCTGCAGACGAATTGTTTATTGTCGAAAATGTGCAACGAATATGCATCTGTGATACAGGTATTAACTTTTGTGTGTGTCTATGTTAGATTTCAATCTCCGAATAGAGAAAATGCGAAAAAAAGAAAGAAAGTTAATCATGTTTAGTTTGCTTTCTGGGTTCTAGAGGAGTGGGTGAGGAATAATGATGTTCTCTTGTTCTGGCAAGTGAAGCCAGTTGTACATGCCTTTCAGGTAGATGCAAACCTGATTAAGTTGAATATGGCAGTGGAACTTAGTTTATCTCTAGGTGTCGTTTCTACATGACTTGTTTTTATAATTTTACATACAGCTAACTGAGGAAGGACCATGTGAGGAATTGGGCGCAGATGGACAGCCTGCTAGCTTTAACGAATGGATTCTACCCGCAAAGGAGTTTGATGGCTTATGGGAAAGGTGTGGTATTGACTTGGTTATAGAACAGTGATGATGACTCTTGAAACAATTTATTCAGTGGTTTTGATCTTTTTGTTATGTAGCCTGATATATGAATCTGGACTTAAGCAACGGCTGCTACGTTATGCTGCAAGTGCTTTGCTGTTCACGCAGAAGGGTGTAAACCCAAATCTCGTTTCGTGGAACAGGTGATGAGAGTTAGCATGCTTTTCTTCAGCACATTGCTATTCTCCAGAATTACCTTAGCTATTTATGTCTACAGAATGAGATAATTAAACTTCAGTTAACCGAGTTGCTTGTTTTATGCCATTGTGTTGTTCTATAGTGTTCAGATCTGATGTTTTCTTTTCCTGTGCCTGATTTGAACAATTTATCCGTTATGAATTTGTTGAAAATTTCTGCAGGATTATTCTTTTGCACGGACCACCAGGGACTGGGAAAACATCTCTGTGCAAGGCATTGGCTCAGAAACTTTCAATTCGGTGCAACTCCAGGTCCTCTTCTGGACACTAATTGTTTATCTTTTATGACGTATATTGACTGTATCATCTGGATTATTTTTCTATTTTGATTTTGATTTATGTTTCCTTCATCAGATATCCACATTGCCAATTGATTGAAGTCAATGCTCATTCTCTATTTAGCAAATGGTTCTCTGAAAGTGGCAAGCTGGTATGATACAAAATTCTCTTTCTCTAGCTCTTGTCTTAGTTTTCCCTTTAGCGTGCATTTAAGACAAGCTGGCTTTGTACTCATGGATTATTGGACTTCAACCAGACTTGCGGCTAACTTGTCATAACAGGCTGACTTAGGAATCTTATTTCATGTCCAGTAGTGATATCACAAACTTCACCAACACTTGTAAAGTGATCGGACCTCTCTAAGAAGAAAAGCTTTGGTGGAATATTCTGTTCTTCTCACCATCTTTGCTAATTCTATAATATAGGTTGCCAAGCTTTTCCAGAAAATCCAAGAGATGGTGGAGGAAGATAACAATCTAGTATTTGTTTTGATCGGTAAGTTATGATCTTGTCATAGCTTTTTATAGTTGTAGGCTTGTTTCTCCCGTTAGGCCTGAGTTGTTTTACCTGCAGATGAAGTTGAAAGTCTTGCTGCTGCCCGAAAAGCTGCATTGTCTGGCTCAGAACCTTCAGATTCTATCCGGGTATTCAAACTAGCTTCTAAATTTTGTGTACACCTTTTATCTTCGAAGTAATGGATTCTTAATCCTCTAAGACCAAATCTCCCTATGTATTTGCCGCAGGTTGTGAATGCACTACTTACCCAAATGGACAAATTAAAATCAGCACCAAATGTGATAATCCTTACAACATCAAACATAACTACTGCTATTGGTAAGCTGGTGGCCTGTTTTGATCCTTTCCATAGCCTCATGACTTATAAGTTCTTATTCTTCCCCACAATCTTCAGCAGTATGACTTCGCCTTGCTACTAATCTTTATGCGTTACATTTTTATTTCTCGGTCTCTCTGAAACTGTGTTCCCGATTCAGGATTCACACATCAATATCCTTGTTGCAGATGTTGCTTTCGTGGACCGAGCTGACATAAAAGCTTATGTAGGCCCTCCAACTCTTCATGTTCGTTATGAAATATTAAGGTCTTGTGTTGAGGAATTAATAAGTAAAGGGATCATATCAAGTTTCCAGGTACTATATAAGATCTTCCCATATAGGATTCTAATTCCATATC